AGCTTGGTTATATATAGTGAGATAATATTTGTCATAATATAATGGTGTGTATTTTTAAAATGAAAGTTGAGGCCAGGTGCAGTGGCTCATGCCTGTAATCCCAGCACTTTGGGAGGCCGAGACAGGTGGATTGCTTCAGCCCAGGAGTCTGAGACCAGCCTGGGAAACATGATGAAACCCCATCTCTACAAAAAATGGAAAAATTAGACAGGCATGGTGGTGCACACCTGTCATCCCAGCTACTAGGGAGGCTGAGGTGGGAGAGTCACTTGAGCCCAGGAGTTCAAGGCTGCAGTGAGCACTGTGATTGCACCACTGCACTCTAGCCTGTGTGTTAGAGCAAGACCCAGTTTCAAAAGAAAAAAAAATTGATGTATTTCAGAAAACTCAAAAAATATTATTTTCACATTCTGATTGTTACCTAATGCTAAATAAATAAACATGTTAACTAGAGTCACAGTTTCCAAGGATTTTATAATTTAAAATTGATACATCAATATAAGTAAGGCTGGTGAAGGCTACTTCACTGGGCTTGGAAGGCCTGGATTCTCATCCAAGTTCTTTTTCACTGTCATACTTTGAGTGAATTCTTATCTTGGGGTCATCTTTTAAAGGCAGGAAGCAATCCCATTTGCAATAGCAATGGAAAGAATTGAAAGACTTGTACACTGAAAATAAAACATTGATGATGGACGTTAAATAAGACATTGATAAATGCAAAGATTTCTTGTGTTCATGAATTGGTAGAGTTAATGTTGTTACAATGTTCATACCACCCAAAGTAATCTGTAGATTAAGCATAATCCTTATAAAAAATTCCAATAGCATTCCTTTTTTTTTTTTTTTTTTTTTTTTTTTGAGATGGAGTCTTGCTCTGTCACCCAGGCTGGAGTGCAGTGGTACCATCTCGTCTCACTGCAACCTCCACCTCCCAGGCTCAAGTGATTCCCCTACCCCAGCCTCCCAAGTAGGTGGGACTACTGGTGTGTACCACCATGTCCGGCTAACTTTTTGTATTTTTAGTAGAGATGGGATTTCACCCTTTTGGCCAAGCTGGTCTTAAACTCCTGTCCTCAGGTGATCTGCCTACCTCGGCCTCCCAAAGTGCTGGGACTATAGGCGTGAGCCACTGCATCCAGCCTCCAATAGCGTTCTTTACAGAAATAGAAAAAAAAAATCTTAAAATCCATGTGGAACCACAAAAGAACCCAAATAGCCATAGCAGTCTTGAACAAGAAGAAATAAACCTGGAACTGTCATATTTCCTGACATCAAAATATATTACAGAGCTACAATAATCTTAATAGTATGAAGATTATTTCCTGACATCAAAATATATTACAGAGCTACAATAATCTTCATATGAAGATTATTGTAGCTCTGTAATATATTTTGATGTCAGGAAATATGATAGTTCCAGGTTTTTTTTCTTCAACACTGCTATGGCTGTGTAGACCAATGAAATGGAATAGAGACATCAGATATAAATCTGTGCATTTGCAGTCAGCTGATCTTCAACAAGGGTGCTCAGAATGTGGAATGGTGAAAGATAGTCTCTGTAATAAGCAGTGTTGGGAAAACTGGATATCCACATGCAGAAGAATAAAATTAGACCTTACACCATATGCAACAACTAACTCAAAATTGACTAAAGACTTAAATATAATACCTGAAACTACTAGGTAAAACCAGTGGGGGAGCCTCATGATACTGGTATATAGGTAATGATTTATGTAAGGGACTCATGCAACTCATAGCAAAACTCAAATAACCTGATTAAAAAGTGAGCAGAGCACCCCACAAATAGATGTTTCTCCAGAAAAGATATACAAATAGCCAATAGACATGTGAAAAGATGCTCAATATTAATTAACATCAGGGAAATGCAGATCAAAACCACAATAATAAGATATCACCTCATACCTATTAGATTGGCTATTATCAGAAAGACAAAAGATAACTGTTGCCCAGAATGTGGAAAAAAAGCAACTCATGTACACCATTGGTGGGAATATCAGTTGGTATAGCTACCTTGGAAAACAGTTTAGAAGTTCCTCAAGAAATTTTAAAATAGCACTATCTTTATGATACAGCAATCTCACTTCTGGATATATTTCCAAAGGAATTGAAATCAGTATCTTGAAGAGATGCCTGCACTCTCATGTTCGTTACAGCACTATTCACAAAAGCCAGGATATGTAAACAATCTCAATGTCCCTTGACAGATGAATGGATAAAGAAAATGAGATATGTATGTGTGCATGTGTAGCACACACAATGGAATATTATTCGGCCTTATAAAAGAAGGAAGTTCTGTCATTTGCAACAACATAGATGAGCCTTGAGAAGATTATACTAATGTGAAAATACTAAATGTGAAATAAACCAGTCATGTAAAGACAAATACTGTATATCACTTACATGTGGAGTATAAAGTAGTCAAACTCAGAAGTAGAGTAGAATGGTGGGTGCCAGGGGCTGGGGAGAGTGGAAAATGGGGAGATATTGTTCAAAGGATGGAAGTTCTGGAGATCTAATGTACAGCAATGTGACATTATTGATAATTGATTGTGTATTGTGTACTTGATAATTTGCTACGAAGGTAGATATTACATCATTTCACCACAGATTTTTTTGAATGATAACTATTTCAGGTGATTAATATATTAATTAATTTGATCGTGCTGATTATTTCACAGTGTGTATGTATATCAGAACATTGTTGTACCTAAAGTGTATGCAATTTTTATTTCTCATTTATACCTCAATAAAACCTGGGGGAAAAAAGAGAGAATTCTCTCTTCACACCATTTTTGTAAGTTTGAATCAGGAGCAGATGAGATGTTCTGTAAGTTCTTTGAAACTCATTGTAAAAACAGAGAATGATTCTTGACCTTTTAAAAAATGATGTAGACCCCTCTGAAAGCTGCGAATCTGTTAGGAAAAAATTTTTTGAAGTGTTGGAGGATCATGAATCTGCTAAGTCCTATCCACGATCTCTAGATTATGAACTCTAGCTACAGAGTAAGGACATGGAGCAGAACTATAAATAATCTAAAGTGTTAGTTAATTTACAGAATGTTTATAGTTCATTTCAAATTTAAGTTTTGCTCAAGGGATTTCTAGGACTGCAGCACATAGTAGTTTATTTGAACATATTTGTTGAGATATTTACATTTGGAGGATATGTTTTTCAAGAATAAGATACATTGGACATCTTTGAACTGGACTAACTTTTGTTATTTTGCAGATTATATGCTCTCCCAGCCCTGTGCCTATGTGTTAATGCTGTTTCCTGCAGTTGGACACTTGAAACAGTGCCAAGTGCTCTCTGCACAGTAGTCATTCAGTGCAAACAAGCCATTGGTAGAGTTCTAGGCAGAATTTGTCTGTCTCCTCCTCACTTGTGATGAGTCACATCATATCCTCCTGTTAGCTACAGTGCCTCAGCATATACCTGTAGTCAAATATGGAATTCACTCAAAATTCGCAAGGGCAAGTGTGTTTGAAATTCTTGTTCTTATAGTCTTAAAAATCAATAGGCAAATGTTTAGTAAATAAAACTCTAACCTTGCTGTAGTCCTTCATTTCTTAAATGGCATACTGGCTTATGTGGTTCTGTAGCAAAATTAAAAATTAATCTCAGGTGATGCCTGCTTTTCTATGGATTAGAAAGCAAATTGTCTTTCATCCAAATTCTGCATACCCAGAATGTCCTCCCAGCCTTCCTGGTTCCTTTTGTAAGATATCCTGTTTTTGTGTCTAGACTTAGCTAATTGCTGGCATCGTTAGTAGTGGTTAAAAAGGGGTAATGATGCTTTCTGAAAGCTTGCTGTTACTGATTCTGTATATACTTTAACTCAATGATTAGTTTGTGTATTTTTTTAACTGCAGCTCTAGCAAGGGATACATTTTGCATTATGATTCAGCACACATTCATCCTCACTTATCTGAAATAAGCTTCATGAAACAAGTTATTTTCATATATCTTCTATTTTTTTCTATTCTATTTCACTTCTTTTAAAAATGCTTATCATTGTCTACTAAATGATTTAACGTGATTTACCAAATTATAATTTTAGAAAGTAGTCTACCATTACATGATCATTTTCACTGTCCTTTTATGACTTATATGATAAATTAGAATATTATTATATTTCATTTGCATATTTTAATTTATAATATACACTATTCTTCAGGTACTCAAGGTATACTTGAATTTTCTAGGGAAAAATTAATTATAAATTAAATAACTAAAATTGAAAAATTTGTGAGGTTTTGGTGTTTTTGGCTGTGTTAGATGTGTTAAGATTAGGGTAAAGTTTGTTTTTTCAGTATTTTTACCTTAACCATTAAGAAGTCTGTTAATAGTAAGTTTTGTGATCCCTTTATGTTTTTATTTTTTTTATTTATTTAAAGACAGGGCCTCAGTTGCCCAGGCCGGAATGCAGTGGCATGATCTTGGCTCACTGCAACTTCAACCTCTCAGGCTCAAGTGATCCTCCCACCTCTGCCTCCTGAGTAGCTGGGACCGTAGGCACACACTACCACACCTGACTAATTTTTGTATTTTTAGTAGAGACGGGATTTTGTCATATTGCCCAGGCTGGTCTCGAACTCCTGAGCTCAAGCCATTCAGCCGCCTCAGCCTCCAAAAGTGCAGGGATTACAGGTGTGCACCACTATGCCCGGCCTCTTTATTTTTGAACTTGATGTGACGAAATTAATTGGAAACATTTGTTACTTGTCTGATTAATGTTTTACATTTTACACAAATTGTGGCAAAGTGAGTAGGAACTTCCAGTACTATGATTCACAATTTGTCCTTCAGGGGGAATTTATCAGAATTTTGCTTCTCTGTCTTTTCTGTTTAAAGAAATAGAATGATATATTTTAGACATAATTTTGTTTTGTAAATTTCTTATAAGCTCTTACATGCATGCTTGACGTAGTCACGATGATGATGTTTCAACTGTTCATGTACTGACATTTTTCTACAGAATTAGAAGTGTGTCTCACCAACCAGCCAAGATGAACATGGTGAAGAGGATCATGGGGCGGCCGAGGCAGGAGGAGTGCAGCCCACAAGACAACGCCTTGGGACTGATGCACCTCCGCCGGCTCTTCACGGAGTTGTGCCATCCTCCCCGGCACATGACTCAGAAGGAACAAGAAGAGAAACTGTATATGATGCTGCCAGTGTTTAACAGGGTAAGTCCAGGTTGCCAGACACACACCTTCCAGGACTGGCTGGCACTACAAGAATCTGAAAGTTACTGGTATGCCATAGATAGAAAAAAATGATAGGATGAGTAAGCTTTTAAGAAGCTTGGTGTTATCATTTCATCTTTTCAATTTGCTGTAAAGCAATGTGATTTGATGGGAAACCTGGTCAGAATAAACTACTGTTAGTGGGACTTCTTTAATTTTTAACAGATAAAGGACAAGCTGTGAGCATTGTCTAAAATGTCCCTGTAATGGGGTTGGGTTTTGGAAGAGGAATAGATTGTAAATTACCAATTGTGTTATTTCTGTTACCTTTTAAAGTGATGGTTTTATTACACCAAATGATACACTTACCCAAACCCTTTGTACGCTTTAAAAAGTCATTACAATTTGCGGTTAAGAGTTAGTGTAAGAGGATAGTTATAGGCTATAGAGAACCCAAATAGAGTTAATGTTTTAATATATTTTGTGAATTACATGTACCAATCTTGTTGGGTATCTTTAAAATAACTTTAGGCTGGACACTGTGGCTCATGCCTGTAATCCTAGCACTTTGGGAGGCCAAGGCAGGCAGATCACCTGAGGTCAGGAGTTTGAGACCAGCCTGGCCAACATGGTGGAACTCCATCTCTACTAAAAATACAAAAATTAGCTGGATGTGCTGGCAGGTGACTATAATCCCAGCTACTTGGAAGGCTGAGGCAGGAGAAACACTTGAACCCGGGAGATGGAGGTTGCAGTGAGCCAAGATCATGCCATTGCACTCCAGCCTGGGTGACAAGAGCAAAACTCTGTCTCAAAAAACAAATAATAATAATAATGATAACGTCTATATATTTATCAAAAGTTCACAAATACATCATTTTAAAAAGTCAAATAATTTCATAGGCTTGTAGTTGCCCTACCACTCTTCACCACTAATTGCTGCTGCCATGAAGCACTTTTAAATAACATACTTTTACTTCTGTTGATTATGAGAATGATAGAGGGAGGAGATGCTAGAGTAGGAATGTGAGAAGAACTGGGGAAAGGTTTAAAATAGCTCTTTTAAAAATGGGAGAGAGAACTATGACAAACTATTGTTTTAAGCCCTATTCATGGAAGTTAATAATTTTTATTGTAGGAAGTTAATTTTTGTTACCCAGAAGTTTTGTTTTTTAATCTTATTTTTGTTTAACTTTAATGTCATGATGTGCTGTTGACTACTGAGTAGTTTGAGGTAATTTCCTTCTCTCTGACTTAGGAATGTTTACAAGGTAATGAGAATGTTTAGAGCAGTTAGTGGAATTGTTCTTGGCTATTAACATAAATTATTAAGTAATAGCCTACATATATATGTATATATCCCATGTATTTCATCAGTTAGGCTTTCACAGTCTGCTAGACTAAAAGAATCTTATGAATATTTGTTGTTTTAAGAAGTAGATATGAGATAATTTAGTAATTATTCTCTATCATTTATAATGTTGGACTTAGTTATCTTGTGTCCTATGTTATTGTCTCATTATTAAATTTTCTCAAAAGTTTTTATTTGGTTGATTCAAAGCACATATGTATGCAATGCCTTAAACCTATATTATAATTAGAATATCACAGTGATTTGAGTATCACAAAGGTTCAGTAACTCTGAAGAAAAGATAGAAAGTTGTATCTGTACCATTGTGACCAATTTGAAAAATGTATTATTTTAAAAATAATTCTTATTCAGTGGATGTAATAATTAATAAACTAAAATTGTCCTTAGATACAATTTTCATTAAATTTAGAAATATATAGCTATATCTGTTTAACATTTGGCCACTTGTGCTTGAGCATTCTCCATTAGTGAGAAGTACCTGTGGTGAGTGGAATAGCTTAGTATGTCGCTAGAGCCAACCAGTTCTTAGCATGATTGCTAAAAAGGAATTGCAGTGTTGATATTTGAGACTTTACTTGATTAGAGCTAAATGGTGAACAAGCTGTAATACTGTTAGACATGGACAGCTATCTACAGCCTAGTTTTTAAAGTATGCTTAATAGTGTTATTTCAGTGCATGATTTTTGCCTTTGAGGGACATGGGCTGGGAAATGACACGTAGAGTCTTTGTTCCGGGCCCCGTCTCATGCTGGTTCTTGAAATGCCTCCTGTTGTCTTCATTACTGTCCTACAAGGAGGCTGCTGTTGTCTCCCCTCTTGCTGATTTGCTTAAACTGAAAGATGATGGTGAAGTCTGAAAATAGCTGAATAATGTTTATTCAGCATTCTTAAAAAGAATTAATCTTTAGTTCCAAGAACAAAAGTTGACAAAAAAAATTTGGTTTAAACTTACTCAAAATGAGTAGCATTTTACTTGTCAGAAAATTCATAGCTGCCACTGTTAATTACTATACTACTTGTTATATTTTGTAGCATATTATAAAATGTAATGTTTACCAATTAGATCTTCTTTAAGAAACGCCCTTATTTTTGTACTTATTTCCAATTTATATTTGAGAAGCATGTAAATGTAATAGTGTCCTTTTTTAATCCCTTACAAATTACCATCACTTTTTAATCTGTTGGCTTAAGAGAGGTCACCCAAACTTAGAACCAAGTGAGAGAGAAATCATAAGGCAGACAGATGAATTATTTTGTTGTAGCTTTATTACTTATTACATAATACCAATAGAATTAATACTGGAGAATGTGACTTGGGTCTGTGCAACAAAGGACTTGCTGAATTCATCACTGAAATAGTCATGTTTACTTACCCAGTCACTGGCAGAACTGAACAGTTGCAAGCCACAGCCAGAGCAGATGAGAATGCATATTCTCATGAGACAGGCAGAGCCCACAAGGAGGGGACAGGACTGAGTTGGGCATTCTCTTCTTCTCAAACTCTCATCTGATGGTCCTTCTTAGAAAACAGAAAGAGCATAAGATAAATGTTTCCCTAAACATTTATATTAATTGTTAAGAAATCTTAACTGACTTACCATATGAAATAATGCAATTTACATCTTCATTGTTAATTTTTCAACATTGTTATTTATAGCAAATTAATTGAGGACTAATAATGGTCAATAGTCTGACTTAATTTTCGATATTATACATATTTAGGAAACAAAAACCTCCATTTTTAAAACGTTTGTAAACATTCCAACATTTATTAGTCATATTTAAAACATTTTTATTGAATAGCACCATTCAGTAACGAGTATATATTGAGCCTTTATAAATGCCATTGGATAGCACCATTAATTTGTTTTCCCTGAGTGACAAAAATATTTGGTTGAAGAGGTGCCAGGAAATCTTCTGAAATCTATTTAGGTGGATATTAAAAATGACTTTTGTGGCTCACGCCTGTAATCCCAGCACTTTGGGAGGCCGAGTCGGGTGGATCAAGAGGTCAAGAGATCGAGACCATCCTGGTCAACATGGTGAAACCCCGTCTCTACTAAAAATACAAAAAATTAACTAGGCATGGTGGCGCGTGCTTGTAATCCCAGCTACTCAGGAGGCTGAGGCAGGAGAATTGCCTGAACCCAGGAGGCGGAGGTTGCGGTGAGCTGAGTCCGCGCCATTGCACTCCAGCCTGGGTAATAAGAGCAAAACTCCATCTCAAAAAAAAAAAAAAGACTTTTAAAAATAAGTTAAACTTTGCTATTTCTCTCTAAAGGTGAACACTATGCAAAGTTACAGTGATAGGGTTCATGCACAGTTTGCGGAAAATGTAGGACTGAGTGATTAAGAGCCTGGCTTGGAATCAAACAGATGTAGTTTTAAATTCTGTCTGTATTTTCTCCTGTTTTAAGTTAACTTCTCTAACTCTTAATTTTCTTATCTGTAAAATGAGGATACTAACAGAACATCTTCTGTAGGATTTTATAAGGCTTAAATGACACCAAGTACTTGAATAGTGCTAAGCAGATTTTATGTTGGTATTATATAGTAATTGTTGTTATTTCTAGTGAATTTGCTAGAAGGCATTTTTGTTCCTTAGTACTACTGTTTTTGTTTTTTTAAATCTGTTACAAATTTCACATATGTATTCTAGAATCAGCCCTTTTGGGTCGAATGTCTTACCACTTCTCTTGCCTAACTTTCTTCCTCTGCAGAACCAGAAATCTTTTGTCATTGTTTGTTTGAGACCCAGTCTGGTTCTGTGCCCAGACTGGAGTATAGCGGGGCGATCTTGGCTGACTACAGCATCCGCCTCCTGGGTGCTGGCAGTTCTCAGGCCTCAGCCTCCCATGTGGCTGGGACTATAGGAATGTGCCACCACACCCAGCGAATTTTTATATTTTTAGTAGACATGGGGTTTCACCATGTTGGCCAGGCTAGTGTCGCCTCCTGACCTCAGGTGACCTACCCGCCTCGGCCTTCCAAAGTACTGGGATTATAGTCGTGAGCCACGATACCTGACCTAGAACCGGAAAAATTTGACAAGGAGTCAGTACTCCCTGAGAGTGAGAAGTAGAATCCACACCTTCTGACTCCCAGCTTCATGCTGCATCCTGTTTGGCAAACATTTATATAAATGATGGAAGCATTGTATATTTTCAAGAAATACCACTACTTATTGAAAGTAGTGAAAATATACCTAATATTTTTAGATTTAATTGTTGAAGTCAATCACAAAAACTACACTCTTTTCTTTGCTACCTTATCCATTCAGTATTATCTACAATGTAAGATTCATGCTTTAGTCCCTGTATCCCTCCAACCTTGTACCATTTTCCTCTTATATAAAATGCCCCAGCTTTATCAGCCTCCTTTCAATTTCTCAACACCCCAAACTCAATCTCACTTTGAGGTCATTGCACAACTCTGTTCTCACTGCTTGCAGCCCTCTTTCCTTGTCTCTTTGAATTGTAACTTTTCCTCATTTGTCAGTGTCATCCTTTGGCACTGGAGTTGCTTCTTCAGAGACCTTTCCTGACAACCTTCTTCCCACCCCAGGCATTCTCTTTCAGCTATCCTGTTTTGCTTTCTTCATAACATAACACTATCTTTAAATAATTTTAATTTTAAAATCAACTCATTTGCCACTGGTCTTCTGTGCTAAAATGTCCTGTGTTTCATGAGCACAGGAAATGTATTTATTTACCTTCATAACCACTACCCTTTGAACATTGCCTGACATATATGGTAGGAAGTCAATAAATATTTGTGAGTGAATAAACCTTATTCAAGAAGCAATGCTTGTTCATTTCAGATTAGCAATTATGACGTAGTCTTTTTTCTATAGTGCTGATTTTGGGTTGGTAAATTCAAGTCAGTTTTATTTATCTTGTGAGAAAATTTCTTTGAGGAAATAAAGCAATAAACATCAGGATTTTTGTAAAAAGTTAGTAGCATTTTCAACAGTCTGTTATTTACTCAGCGTGAAGACTGGTTGAATAATAAATCTTTCTAACTGCTCAAGGAATGAGCTATTGGCTCTGTTCAGTTGTCCTAATAACTCTTGGGAATAACATATCTCCTACTAATTCTTAGGAGCAAAATATACATTGATACATTCTGAGTAATAGGAATATTTGTAGACACTTCCATTAAAAAGCTATGTACTCAACCAGGAGCAGTGACTCATGCCTGCTGTAATCCCAGCACTTTGGGAGGCCGAGATGGGCGGACTACCTGAGGCCAGGAGTTCAAGACCAGCCTGGCCAACATGGTGAAACCGCGTTTCTGCTAAAAATACAAAAAAATTTAGCTGGGCATGGTGGTGGGCATCTGTAATCCATCTACTGAGGAGACTGAGGCAGGAGAATTTCTAGAACCTGGGAGGCCGAAGTTGTAGTGAGCAGAGATCGAGCCATTGCACTCCAGCCTAGGCAACAAGAGTGAAACTCTGTCTCAACAACAACAATAACAAAAAGCTATGTACTCATCTCTGAGCACAGGTGGAGTGGCTATTCAAACATGTGATTATTAGGCTTCTCAATTTTTATCAATCTCTACTTTGTTAAAGAATAGAGGTTTCTGACCAGGTGCAGGGGCTCATGCCTGTATTCCCAGCACTCTGGAAGGCCAGTGTGAGCAGATCACTTTAGCCCAGGAGTAGCCTGAACAACATGGAGAAACCCCCATCTCTACAAAAAAATACAAAAATTAGCCAGGTATGGTGGCAGGCACTTGTAGTCCTAGCTACTGAGGAGGCTGAGGTGGGAGGGCCACCTGAGCTCAGGAGGTCAAGATAGCAGTGAACCGTGATTGTGCCACTGCACTCCTGCCTGAGAGACAGAGTAAGACGCTGTCTCAAAAAAAAAAAAAAAAAAAAAGAAAAAGAATATGGGTTTTATTTAACTGGTAACATAGATTATTTAACAAGTAACAGATCAATTCTAATCGTACAGCATTCCAACATTTATCAAAATCTTAGCAGAAAAAAATACATATTTGCTGAGGAAGTATTGAACAGTACAGTTTGTTTTTTTGATATTATTACAATTACTCATTTGTCAAATTATTGAACACACTAGGTATCTGGATAAAAGGATACCCTTGTAGAACTGATTTATTGTTTTAGTGTTTTCAACTTAATTTGAGGGAAGTTATAAGAAACATGTAAGAAACATATTTTCTATTAGAAGGATATTACATATATCCTTTTATTGGGATCTTTGGAAGGAATTGTTTATATTATGCAGTAATCCCTCCTTATTCATGGTTTTGCTTTTCATGATTTTGCTCATCTGTGGTCTGAAAATACTAAGTGGAAAATTACAGAAACAATTTATAAGTTTGAAATCTCACATCATTCAGCTCCATCCCTTCTGGGACATGAATTATTCCTTTGTCCACTGTATTGGGCCATCAGCCCAATAGTCACTTAGTAGCAGCCTCAGTTATCAGACCCACTGTCCTGGTATCAAACTGCTTGTTTTCAAGAAACCCTATTTTACTTAATAATGACCCCAAAGTGCAAAAGGTAAGCCACTGGCAACTTGGGTATGCCAGAGAGAAGTGCTTCCTTTAAGTGAAAAGGTAGAAGTTCTTGACTTAAAACTGTATGCTGAGGTTTCTGAGATCTACAGTAACAAGGAATCTTGTACTTGTCAAATAGTAAACAGTATATTGTTACCATTGTTCTACTTTATTATTACTGTTGCCAGTCTCTTACTATGCCTAATTTATTAAACTTTACCACAGATATGTATTATAGTAAAAATTATAGTGTTTACGGGGTTTGGTACTATCTGTGGTTTCAGGCATCCACTGGGGTCTTAGAACTTACTTCTCACGGATAGGGGGGACTAGTATAATAAGAGGAATAGAAGCACTTTCTTAAATACTTATTTTTCTTATGCTAAGGACACTGCGAATGATGTGATAGATCAGGTTTTCTCTTCTGTATCTTTGGGCCAAAATTTGTAAACAATACCTGAAAAATATAGAGTTTTTTTTGGTCTTAGATTTTTATTTGGTTTTCTTTTCCAGTCCATCTCCCTAGCTTGGTCTTTTATTTGCTTTTTTGTTTTGTTTTCTTTCTTAGTTTTAGTCTGTGTTCTCATGTTCTCCTTCAGTGCTCCCTGAATGTTCTCTAGAATTTGGTTGTGAGGGCAATCAACATATAAACAAACAACCATATTTAGGGAACACCACTATAAAAGGCAGAGGGCTAGCTTGGGAGAATATGAAGATGAGTAAATTATGTTTTCTCCTATTGTAGTAACATTTGAACGGGTAGTAATAATATAAAATACTGTGTAATGAGTGTTATAAGGGAGAGATAGCCTTACAATATAGAGAATTTCCTCTCAGCTATAAAGAATATTTTTAAAAATAATACTTCAGTATACATCTAGTTATATATTCATTAAAATACCATTTCTTATGATAGTCTGTCCAGGTTTCATTTTCTTAAATTCTCTTTGCTGAACCCATACCCATTTGTTTTTAAAAAATGTTTATTTTAAGCAGGGTGTAGTGGCTCATGCCTGTAATCCCAGAACTTAGGGAGGCAGAGGCAGGAAGATAGCTTGAGCCCAGGAGTTCAAGACCTGTCTGGGCAGTATTGCAAGACCCTGTTCTCAAAAAAAATAATAATAAATAAAATTAAGAATAAGAATTATTTATTCTAAAGTTCATTTATTTAAAAAATTTTATAAAAACAAGTTTATTTCATGACCCTTCCATTTACTTTATTCTAGTCTTTTTCATAACAGCCTTATTTTGAAAATATCTGTGATTAGTATGTAGAAATTCTGAGTACATGGTGAGTTTAGTGAATTCTAAAGTCAGCCAGGGATTTAGCAGTAGAACTGCTTTTCACTATCCAGTGTGCCTGTACTCCATCAAAGATCATTTGTAACTTTTCTCTAAATTCTCAAATTAGCTTTACTCAGAAAAATGTTGGCTGGACGGAATCGCTCACGCCTGTAATCCTAGCGCTTTAGGAGGCCAAGGGAGGTGGATCGCCTGAGGTTAGGAGTTCACGACCAGCCTGGTCAACATGGTGAAACCCCATCTCTACTAAAAATACAAAAATTAGCCAGGTATGGTGGCATGCATCTGTAGTCCCAGCTACTCGGGAGACTGAGGCAGGAGAATAGTTTGAACCCAGGAGGCAGAGGTTGCAGTGAGCCAAGATTGCGCCACTGCAGCACTCCAGCCTGGGCAGCAGAGTGAGACTCTCACAAAAAAAAAAAAAAGAAAAATGTTATATTTTCTAAGGTTTTTAGTGAGATTGATTAAAATTTTATCAATAATATCTTTGTGTCTTAGATTTTAATTATTTCTTCGACAAATTAATATGTATAAGGAAATGTGGCTAGATATGTGATTTATTGAAAGAGTTGTATTTTCAACATATTAAGATCCAAAGTAACTGTGTAGATAGACTTTTCTGGACTTGATTCTCCAGTCATCTGGAAATTAAAAATTCACAGAATAAAAAGAAAAATTTGTCATTGCTTCATTAACAATGTCTTTTCTTATCTACAGGTTTTTGGAAATGCTCCACCAAATACAATGACAGAAAAATTTTCTGATCTTCTGCAGTTCACAACGCAAGTCTCACGACTAATGGTGACAGAAATTCGAAGGAGAGCATCAAACAAATCCACAGGTATTTTTACAGTAGCCAGCAAATACTGACTTGTTTGAATGAACAGACAGCTCTGCAAAAGTCCCATTAAAATTAAATGGAAAACAGACCTTATTCTCAGCACATGCATGCTATCCCCATTCCCATTCTTAGAGTCACATTCTTCTCCTGGTTTCAGCATCTTCAACTCTTGAGTAGTTCTGCTCAAGGCTGTTCTGCCTGGACCACTACCACTTCCACTTTAACCTTTTAAAATAGTCTCTTTTTCCCTTTGAACAAAATATAAATTTCTCAGCATGACATTTATGGCAAAGCTATCATCTGGTCTTTTTTTTTTTAAGCATATTCTAATTCTATTGCTTGTTTTCTTTTCTGTATTTCAACCAAATCCAGCTGTCTGTAGTCCTCAAACATGTCTATACTCTTATTTTAATCATTTACTTAGAATGCTTCACTGAGGAAGGAGACTCTTTCCTCATTTCAATATGTCTAAATGTCAGCATGATTAAGTCATGCTTCCTTGATGAAATGTTTTTTGATTTCTTTAGGCAAAGAAAAATTTTTTCTCTTCTGAACTACTGTTTTTCTTCTCAACCTCCTAGGTGGTCACTGGGCATGCGTCTTGATCTTCCCATTATACCATAAGCTACTTAGGGGTCCCTGTCATCTGTAGTAGTTGCTCTCTAGGCCATGCACAGCTGCCATTTTAACATCTCTATTCACATTTCCAGGGATGCCTTTTCATTTCTTTTGGATGTATTCTGTTTCCTGAATCCTTTAAATTCCTGATTTTGGTAAAGCATCTTTTCCAGCAGCTTCATAAAAAAGGATACAAGGGAATTGTGAGGGTTTTGTTCGTTTTAGACATACCATGAGCTAAACATTTTTTGACTATTGATGTAAAAAATGGGTTTCTTTCTCTTCAGTAACTAAAGTGTGCTACCTTTAGCCTGAAAACCTTTCAGCTGCCAGGACTTAGAACAAATTCCACTACATCATACAGCATGATTACTACAGAAAAGGAAGCTTAATATAAAACCAGGGATCAATAAGAGAAACGAAGACACAGTCCTACCACTCTCCTGATCTCACAGATACTTGTGCTGGGGAGATGTGCTGAATATGCAGCTGTGGTTTACATTTAAATGGAGAGATACTTCCCTCTCCTTCTCTCTATCCCCCGTTGCTCTCCATTCCTAAAAGGCAAGCTGGAGAGTAACCTCGTTAGTGAAGAGACATTTAAACTACCTATGATTTAGGCCATTTGAATACTTGTTATATATTTATAGGAGTTATTTGAGAATGCTAGCAGTGTAATCCAGGAGGCCCTCTTAGCAGAGATTAGAAGCGACTAATTGCCTGGGAAAGTTGACCATGGGTTGAGATGGACAGTGGTGGGTGTCTTAGCACTGTCTTTCCATGCACCCCAGGGTGAGCACTCAGGGTCATTTTGGAAAATCTTGCCGCTTGCATTATTATCAGTCCTCCTTAAGTAAATATCAGGTTCTATGTTGGAAATAATTTTGTCTCAGAATTTTAAAATTTTTCTGTTATAATTTAGGTTCTTACATTGTTACTGAGAAATCGAAAGCTACCTAGATTCTTGATGTTTTTTTTCCTTTGTAACCTATTTTTTTTTTCTAGAAGTTTTTAGGATCTTCTCTTTGTCCCTGCTTTTCTAAAATTTTATAATAAGATGCCTTGTGGTAGACCTGTTTTTATACATGTGCTAGGTACTCATTGGACTCTTTCAGTCTGGTTATTCATACCCTTTAATTTGGGGAAAGTTTCATGAATTGTTTAATAATATCCTCCCCTCTGTTTTCTCCTTCTGGTCAGATGACCCTCTTAGACTGTTCCTCTCATTTTCTTACCCTTCCTCTCATTTTCTATCTTTCTTTTTTGACTACTTGCTAAGAGAACTCAATTTTATCATCCGTCTCTTCTATGGAGGTTTTTCTTTTTTCATTTGTGACATTATATTTTTCTCATTTTAAAAAATATTTTTTATTTCTAAGTGTCTTTTCTTACTGATTTCTATTATTTTTGGGATGCATTCTCTTTCTGAGGTTTCTTTTTCTTTCTTTCAGATTTTTTCTCCTTAAACAATCTGTTTCTTTCAGGTTTAATACAACGGTTGTTTTTTTATCAATTTGTTTTTGTCTTTGCCTTTTATGTTAAAGAATGTCCTTACATGTCTCACCCTTGACCATCTGCTCTTACATAAGAATGGAGCATTAAAAAGCTTTTTAATTGTGTGTGAAGCTTGCATCTGTGGGCTTCAACAGAAGGTGATCTTGCTGGGCTATTTTTTTTGGTGATCTTTTTCCTAAACTAAGCAGTACTCAGAGAATTGTCCAGTCTCTTCTTGGAAAATATATGCATTTTGGAAGCAAAGTAGCGGCAAGATTTGGGGATCCTGAAGGTTTAGTATATAAGCTTTTATTTTACCTTTGTCTGTCCACATGGTGCCTGGTGTCCACCAGTCTATACTCCTTCTCTTATTCTTTTCAGTGAACAAACCAACCTCTGGTCTGGTGCCCACATAGTAGTGGGGACCTTGGGTCTAACTGCTCTTGAACATATTTTCCACCAATCCTTCTCATTATAGTTCCATATTTACTTCAGCTTCCAAAGGTGCCTAGTGCCACCAATTTCTGAGCTTCTCAGGGGTTCTTTGTTAGTTTGGTTGCTTTTCCACTTTTCCTGAATTACTTCAAGATTCTAGGGCTTGCTAAATCAGTAAGTAACCATGAATCTCTCTGCTATTTTAGCATCCAAAATTTCATTGCTTTCATTTATTCTGTTCTTCTTGTTCTGAAGAATTTATACCTTTTAAAAATCCTTTTACAAGCATTTTAGTGGATGTATTCATCCATTTTTCATAGTGCTATAAGGAAATACCCAAGACTAGGATAAAGAAAAGCAGTTTAATTGACTCACAGTTTCATATGGCTGGGGAGGCCTCAGAAAACTTATAAACGTGGCAGAAGACAAAGGGGAAGCAAGCACTTTCTTGACCAGGCAGCAGGAGAGAGAAGAGAGCATTTGAACTGTCAAACACTTATAAAACTATCAGATTTCATGAGTACTCACTCACCATTGTGAGAACAGCATTGGGGAACGCACCCTCATGATCCAGTCACCTCCCTCCAGGTCTCTCCGTGGACGCATGAAGATTACAATTTGAGATGAGATTTGGGTGAGCACACAGAGCCAAACCATATCAGTGGATGTATTAGTCTTCTTAGATTGCTATAACAAAATGCCATAGACTAGAAGATTTAAACTGCAGAAATTGATTTTCTCACAACTTTGGAGGCTGAAAGTGTGAGAACAGGGTGGTAGGTTCTGATAAGAGCTTTTGTCCTGGCATAGAGACTGCTGCTTTCTTGCTGGGTGATCAGGTTGGAGAGGGGAAAAGAGAGTCAGCTCTCTGGCATCTCTTCCTTTAACGGCACTAATCCTGTCATGAGGGCCCCACCCTCATGACCTCATAACCTGCTGCCTCTCATAAGCATCATCTTCAAATACATTCACATTGGGGGTTATGGCTTCAAAATATGAATTTTGAAGGAACACATTTCTTCTTGTAGCAGTGACATTTCCAAACAGAGCAGAAATAAATGCATATTCTCAATCTTCCACCTTAACTGGAGCCTATTAGGCAATCTTTGGAGTAACCACCATTAAAATTTAGATTGAGGACTAAATCCCTTACACAGAAGCAGTATATTCCAGAGACTGATGTATGGATTTTAAAGTGAGATGTTTTAAATTATATTGGCAGTCCTTGAAACAAGTCCAATGAAAGGTGCTAAGATAATTTAGGGTATCTCTGTCCCTGTCTTCTCCCTTTATTCAAAATAGTATTATATCCTTTTTTATCTTTTTTTTTTTTTTGAATGATACAAAGTCTCACTCTGTTGACTAGGCTGGAGTGCAGTGGCTCGATCTCAGCTCACTGCAACCTCCGCCTCCAAGGTTCAAGCGATTCTCCACCATCAGCCTCCCAAGTAGCTAGGATTACAGGCATCCACCACCACACCTGGATAATTTTTGCATTTTTAGTAGAGACAGGGTTTCACCATGTTTGCCAGGCTGGCTTCAAACTACTGGCCTCAAGTGATCTGCTGGCCTCAGCCTCCCAAAGTGTTGGGATTACAGGCCTGAGCTACCTGGCTCTTTTTTTATCTTTTCTGATTTCAGTTACTCCTGTTGAAGGAAAAAGTTGACATACAGTGTAAGATTTGGGTAGTTTATGCCTTTTTATTGAAGGTAAATTTCTGTCACATGCTGACTGTCATTGCATTTTCTTTCTTGAAGGACATACTAAATTAGGAAAAAATTCCTGAAAACTTATTTATACTTGCCTCTGTTACTATTTTTTTAAATACCTAATCTGCATGTTTGTAGAAAGACATTTTGCTACATTAGAGATTTGTTTTCCTAACTCCCTTTATGATTTTACATCCACAGGGCAATTTTTTAGATATAATGAAAGATGTCTTAAATTGAGTAGAAGATGTCTCACTGTTAATTACAGTAGGAGTTACACAAGTTTGTTTTTTCAACTTTTAAGTTTAAAATAATCATAGACTCATAGGAAGCTACAAAAATAGTATATAGGATCATATGCTTTTCATCCACTTTTCCTCATTGGTGACATCTTATTACTTAGGGATTTTTAAGATACATTTTTTTCGTATTATATAATTTCACATAATTTTTAGTTTTAAACTTCTGAAATTTATTAATCTTTGGATCCTATGATATTCAATTTAGTTTGTGTGTTTACTTCCTCATGAAAGATCTTTTCTGAGTACCCTATCTCAAATAGGTCTTCTGACCACTGTCCCTACCCATTAGTATCTATTCAGTCACATTCTGTATTTCTTTCATAGCTCTGTTATCATCTGAAAGTATTTTGTTTATTTACTTCTTTAATTGTATTCTTTGTTGTGTTCACTCTTGTATTACTACCACCTAGAATAATACTTCTCACGTAATTAGGTGTTCAATAAATTTTTACTGATTTTGGACATAGGATTTCTCTGCCCCCCCCCGCCCTTTTTTGATCGGAAAGCCACCTATGTTTTAATGCTTTGAGACTTGGCGTAGAGTTAGAAGAGCCAGCCTTCCTGATTTTTAGGAGAGAAGAAGACAATTCTGGGTGTCTCCTCAGGCAGCCTTGCCCTGACTATAGGAATCCCTTTTTTTTTTTTTTTTTTTTTCTTTCATTTTTAGTTTAGAACATTGGAAAATTCTTTTTTTCAGTGCTATCAAGAATACTTTCCTGGAGATTTTTTGACCTATTAATTTTCTAGTAAAAAGTTCTAGATTTTTTTAGGACCTAAGGATATCCTAACTCATCCAACTCTTACATATTTCATCTTTATTTTCTTATTTACTTGCTTTTATTATGATTTAAAAAAACACTTAATATGGGATCTACCTTCTTAACCAATTTTTAAGTGCACAGAACCAAACTATTAACTTTATGTACCATGCTGCACAGCAGAGCTCTAGAACATTTTTATCTTACATGACTAGAACTTTATACCCATTGCACAGCAACTCCCCATTTCCCCCTCCCCTCAGCCCCTGGCCACCAAGTGCCATTCTGCTTTCTCCTTTTGTGAGTTGGACTACTTTATCATTGAAAAGAATTTTGTCTTAATTTACATTCACATACTTTTTCTAGGAAAAAAACAGGTGAAGTGAGCCTTCTGTTATTCCTTTGAAGGTTGGCTTTGTTTGTTGTTCACCAGAACAGGGTTATTCTTCCAGTACTCCTCTGAATTTGCTATGGAAGACTTGTTATTTTGGGTGTTGCCTAATCACCACACACAGATAACAGTCTTTCTAACAGATATACTTGAGATATGGGCTGCAGATCTCTCAGTAGGAAACAAGCTTATGTGCAGGTCTGTTGTTTACATCTATCTGAAGTTACTGAAAATGGAAACCTTTTTGGGAATATCAAGTTGCGAAATGGACATATGGATGATTAGTTAGACATTTAGGTCAATTCACAGTCTCTCTTTCTCCCTTAATTCTTTCTTTGTCCTTTGCCTCCATGTGGCTTTTGCTAGAAGTAATTAGTGACTCAATTAATTTGGCGTAATGTCAGATTAACATGATGTTTTGGCTAGATTGTATAGAGGGTGTATCTTAAGATTTTCCCCAACTCTTCTAGATAGCTCAGCCAGTTCTCATTCTGCTTAAGTTTTAGGGCACATGGTCAATTTATATCAGCAAAGCAGAAAACTCTTACCTGCATAAAAAAATAGTATCTTCAGTTTATTATTAATGTTTTTGCTACATGCTAGGTAGCACTGTTAAACCTAGTGGTGAAGTCCCCAATGGGCAGCAATCCAGCCATGGAGAGGTTAGATGATGTTGACCCCAGTACTCTGTGGCGGGATTAGTGAAATTTAGTGAGTCCCCACTTAGACAATCCAGCCTTTTTTTTTAAACAGAAAAACAGTGTGCCCTGCTGTCCCCCAAGGATTTCAAAGCCACAATACCTTCAGGTAATTTCATTCCCAAGATGTGGTTATGTATTGTCAAATGAAAAGAAGCATGGAAGCTGTGAGTTCTAATATTGTTTTTTTGACTAACTTGTAGAACTTTTTTTTGGAGGGAGCAAGACTCTTCAGGGCTTTGTGTCTTCATTAATGAAATAAGTATAATATTACTATTAATGTGACTCACATCACCATGAAGCATAAATTGGAAAATGACATGCTTTAAATGTACTTTGCAAAGGAAAACTTGTATTTCACTTATGATTAACATGTTTTACATTCTGATTGTTCTGAATGCTAATTGAGTTTGTTTTATTTCAGTGTAGGTTCAGAAATTGCATTTAAGATTGTCTGCATTCTTATTTAATCTAATCCTGGGCTTTATTAACTCTATTTCGGTGTTTTTCATTCTAACTACATGTATTGAAATGCAGTGTGAAAGATAAAGCCTGAATCAAATGATTGACAACTCTAAAGATGGGTTAATATTAATATATTCATTCATTAACTCTTAGAAACTTAAATCATCACTTATATTTGTATTTGTTAAATATTATTGAATTTAAAAGATCCAGTATGTTTCTGACTAGTAGTGGGCATTTTTTCCCCAAAGTTTTAAGAAACCATTTGATTTATGGAGGATTTATTTAAAATTGCTTGGTAGTATACATAATTTTTTTAAGATAGCACTAAATTCTATATACTTTTTAAATGAGTTGTTTACCTCATTTAAAATAAAAATTGAGGCTGGGCATGGTATCTCACAGCTGTAATCCCCGTACTTAGGGAGGCCAAGGCAGGAAGATCACTTGAAACCAGGAGTTTGAGACCAGCCTGGGCAAGAGAGTAAGACCTTGTCTCTTTAAAAAAAAAAAAAAAAAAAAAAATTAGCCAAGCATGGTGGTACATACTGTTAGTCCCAGCTACATGGGGGACTGAGGTGGGAGGATTCCTTGAGTTGAGGAGGTTGAGACTGCAGTAAGCTGTAATCATGCACTCCAGCCTGGACAATAGAGTGAGACCTTATCTAAAAAAATAAAAAATAATACAATACAATAAAAAGTTGGAAATGCCTTTGAAATATTCTGACTGACACATATTGAAATTGATAGGTGAAAATAAAATGCTTCTTTCTTTACAGTGATACAATTATGCTATTCTTTACAAAATAGCAAAATTCATTTGTTATATAAAGACAGTTTGTTTTGTCAATGGAGTTTAAAATTTCCCCATATCATTCAACCTCAACCCTATCCAGATCTCTTTATCTGTAGGAGTCTGTAGCTCAAAGCCAGATAACATAATTTTACATTATTGCTGATATAACTTCAAGTCTTCTCTACCCTCTCCTTGAAAAGGGTAATTGTTATTATTAAGTTGGTAAAGAAGTTAAAGGCACATATGTTAATGATTATACTGTCTTGTTCTTTTTAAATTTATTTTCATGTGCATTATCTTATTTAATTAGCCCAACAATCCATTGAACATATTGTAATGTTTAATAACAAATAGAATATTGGCTTTTTCCCCATTGTTTGTCTTTTCTTATCTTGAAGAATCCCTTAATGTTATTGTTAACCAAAACATAAGAAATCCCACACTTGAATTATAAAGGTCCAGCATTGATCTGATAACAAGAACTGTTTTAAACCAACAGTAGATTTTTGGAGTTTTGCTTCTTAAAACAAGCATTAACGTTCATTGTCTATATCTGACAACTTTTTGAATAATGAAAATACATACTTTCCCATTTGCTTTTAAAGCTAATGGTGTTAAGTAATATGGATGGAATCCAGGTTCATTTGAAATGTGCCACCCCCTCCACTGTTCCCTCCTCTCCACTCACCTTGGGTTTCTAGCTTCTGTATCAGGAAGATAACTTGGTTTTGCCTTTTCTCTTAAAGTAGGACTGCACAATTTAAAGTAAAAGTAATAAATCATGAAGAGGCCTAGACAAAGAAATCATTGTACGTCAGCTTTTGTTTGAGAGTTTTAATAAACTAGGAAGTAATTGTCTTCCATACCTGGATATTTAATTACCAGCAACAAAATGGGTTCATGTTATATAGCCCATTGCAAATTGTTGGCTCCATGAAATACTTGTAAATCAATTTTTACCAATGACCTAGAACCAATGATCCTTCCTTCCTTCCTTCCTTCCTTCCTTCCTTCCTTCCTTCCTTCCCTCCTTCCTTCCTTCCCTTCCTCTTTCTCTCTCTTTCTTTTCTTTTCTTTTCTTTTTTCTTTTCTTTTCTTTTCTTTTCTTTTCTCCCCCTCTCCACTCTTCGCTCTCCCCTCTCCCCTTCCCCTCTCCCCTCTCCTTTCTCCTCCACTCTCCCCTTTCCTCTCTCCTCCCCTCTACTCTTTCTTCTTCTTTTTTCTTCTTTTGAGGCAGAGTTTCACTTTTGTTGCCCCAGGCTGGAGTACAATGGTGTGATTTTGGCTCACTGCAACCTCTGCCTCCTGGGTTCAAGGGATTCTCCTGCCTCAGCCTCCCAAGTAGCTGGGATTATAGGCATGCCTCACCACTCCTGGGTAATTTTGTATTTTTTAGTAGAGACGGGGTTTCTCCATGTTGGTCAGGCTGGTCTCGAACTCCCTACCTCATGTGATCCACCTGCCTCGACCTCCCAAAGTACTGGGATTACAGGCAAGAGCCACTGTGCCTGGCCCAATGTTTCTAAAGTAGGCTTCTCAGTATATTCTTTCATTTGTTTTCTTGTTTCTCTAATGATATTTTCACAATTTAGTCAGCCTTAAACATTGCTTTCTTTGTGTAACTTCCCTTTTCAAAACTTTTAGGAATCCCTCTTACTATATAGTAAGTTCAAACCACTTGAGGCTCACAAGAATTTGAGCTCAATTTTTCTGTCATTATCATTTTTGGTAAGGTTGATTTACTTATCATATATTTATTGTGTGCCTGTTTAGTGCCAAGGAATGTGCTGGATACTGCAGATCAGCAGTGAATACAGCTTACAAAGTGCCTGCTTCTGTGGTGTTTATTTTTTAAAGGGACTATAAATCAGTAAACATGGTCATACAGTAATTTCAACATTTAAGAGATACTGATAGCTGGGCTTCTTTCTGTTTGTTTCCTTCTTTTCCAGTAAGTTAAAAAAAAAATTATACATGGTATAATTATACATGGTATAACATGTTACCCAGGCTGGCCTTGAACTCCTCCTGAGCTTAAGTGATCCTCCCACCTCAGCTTCCCAAGTAACTGGGACTACAAGCACATGCTTTTTAATCACCATTTTTTATCATTTACAGGCTGGACAGCCTGGATTCAAATATGAGTTCATTGACTAGCTATGTGATTGTAGGCAAATTACTTACCCTCTGCATTTCTTAATTTATACTATTATAAGAGATATATTAGTAGAAAATAACTCACAGTGTTCTTGTAAAGATTAAATAAGTTTAATTCACAAGTACTTAACACAATCCTTGATATATAGTTAAGACTCAATAAAAAGAAGCTATTTTTAAAATTTTCCTGTTAAAATGTTCCCTCAACTCGAAGTTTACAAAGGTGAAATATGCTTAGCACAGAATCATGTGTAAGTCTTGTAGTCAGTTATCTAATAAGACACTTTTATTTTATGTTAAATTGAAGAAAAAATACATCTAAGGTAACCTAAATCTTATTTTCTACTTTGTACTTCTTTATGAAGTGTGTTAAGTATACATTAGTTTTTACCCATTTGGTTCCTAGAATCTCACTCTGTCACCCAGGCTGGAGTGCAGTGGCGTAACCTCAGCTTACTGCAACCTCTGCCTCCTGGGTACAAATGATTCTCCTGCCTCAGCCTCCCAAGTAGCTGAGATTACAGGCTCATGACACCACACCCACCTAATTTTTGTATTTTAGTAGAAATGGGGCTTTACCATGTTGGCCAGGCTGGTCTCAAACTCCTGACCTCCAGTGATCTGCCCACCTCAGCCTCCCAAAGTGCTGAGATTATAGGTGTGAGCCACTGCACCCAGCCAAATTGGACTTATTTTCTGACAATTTTAACTTCTGTCATATATTACTATAAAAATTGGCAAACCATGCTGATGAAATTAGGTACATATTTAGAGATTTCTCTGTTTACCCATCCCTGTAATAAAAAAATCAACTAAATTTACTTTTGAAGATTCTTCCAAGTCTGCAGTTCTATGATTGGCTGTCTGAATGTATTTCACGATTTCTCTCTTCCTACTGTCAGCTGCCCAAGTTACTCCTGTGTGTATTACTTAGGCAACCTCTTAATTTTATTTCCCTCTCACCAGTCTCCTTAGCCTTCCAGTCTGTCATACGCATTACTACTATACTATTAATAGTCTTAGTTATAATCCTTTCGTCATCTCCTTTACTCAAGAAACTATTTGCTCCCTCTTGCCCCAAAAATCAAATACAATCAGTAGCTTGCCCTCCTTCATAATTAGGCATCTTTATTTTTTTAAAATCACTATTGTTAGTATTAGACTCCACTTCTCAACAGTGCTCTTCTGTAATGTTAAGCAAGTGTTATTAAACAAGTTTGTCCTGATCTGTATGTCTCAGACTCATTCCTCTAGCCACTCTTGTTTTATTGCTGTACTGCTATTCTCTCTACATCCTTAATTGCTCTCATTTCCTGGATAAACATGTACTTGTTTTCTGGACAGGTTTAGCTCAAATTTCACCTCTTCCATGACTTGTTGATTACCTGCTGTCATAACTTTCCCTGAAATATATAGGTTGGTGTTTACATTTCTGTATTAATGATATAAACATTTATGAATACCATTAAAACATTGCTATTTTTAAAGTTTTTCCATATGTAATAGTGCTGATATAATTATGTGCTAAGTAATTTTTCATTTCCTTGGTAGGTTTTAAAGAAGAACCTCTTTATATATGACTTTTCCCGCACTTAATGGCTTTCCCTTTTGTTTTATAGAGGCTGCAAGTCGGGCCATCGTCCAGTTCCTAGAGATCAATCAGAGTGAAGAAGCCAGTAGAGGCTGGATGCTTCTGACGACGATTAATTTGTTAGCTTCCTCTGGTCAGGTAAGTTCTTAGTTTTCATGTTTGATAACTCAGCCTCTTTTTATACCTCTCGTGATTTTGTTATTAAATGTATCATAAATGAGATGATATGATGATCATTTGTATTCTTCTAACTCTTTTAAAACATATTATGCCTCTCACAACATCTCTGTGAGGATCTTGATGTTTTATGCATCTTACTCATAAGGAAAGGAATGGTTTAGAGCAGCCTTTTCCATCTTGATATGTTGTAACACACATAGGACATAACCATTTGTGACTGGGCTCAATGGCTCACACCTGTAATTGCAGCACTTTGAGAGGCCAGGCTGGGAGAATTGCTTGAGCCCAGAAGTTTGAGACCAGTCTGGGCAACATAGACCCCTATCTCTTTTTTTTAAAAAAATTAGCTGAGCATAGTGGCCTGTACCTGAAGCCCCAACTGTTCAGAGGCTGAGGCAAGAGGATTGCTTGAGCCTGAGAGGTCGAGGCTACAGTGAGCCATAATCGCACCACCGCACCCAGTCTCGGTGACAGAGTGAGACCTTTTCTCTAAAATGAACTTTTTTTAAATGATACCACTTGTAGAGCTTTCTGGGCAAAGGGGTAGATGACTACTAGCTGGAGGCAAGTAACCCAGGAGCTCTGGGCCTATCAGACCCAGCTTAACACTTTTGTCACCCATGTTAGGGAAACTCTGGCTCAGGAAAAATAAAGAAATCACTCTTTGTCTAAGGTCACTCAGCTAATAAAGAATAACTGACATGGAAAATAGTTTTAAATTTTTATGGAAAATAAGGAAACATTGACATTTTTAGAATAATATATATTTTCTTCTCATTTGATTTATTCTGCAGATTGCTTTTTATTTCCTCTAAATCAGCTCTAAGTACCTGTCATGAAATATGTTGTATGTACTCATTAATGAGCTATTTTGATACCTGATTTTTGGCTTTTGATATTTTTGGGATGAAGGAGGTTTATTCAGCCTTCTAAAATCCAGAGTATAATTACCTACCAAAGCCAGTACCAGTCTTGGGAATGTCTGTTGTCTTAAGTTACAGTGGACTTTCAAACACCTCCCATCATTTAATAATGGACCTAGGTAACTGTATCATCTTTGTACCATCTGACTGGCCACAGCAGATACAGTGCATATGTCTTTTTAACTATATCCTGAAACCTGTCAGTAACCCAAAGTCATTATCTCTTATTTTCTCCTTGGAATGATCTGTTTTCTTCTTATGTCTTTGCTGTGTTTTTTCTTTTTCTTTTTCCTTTTTTTTTTGAAACAGAGTCTTGCTCTATCACTCAGGCTGGAGTGGAGTGCAATGGCGTGATCTTGGTTCACTGAACCTCTTGGTTCACCATGCCTCCCAAGTTCAGGTGATTCTCCTGCCTTAGCATCCCAAGTAGCTGGGATTACAGGTGTGAGCCACTGCACCTGGGCCTCTTTTTTTTTTAAAGTCAGGGAATAGTGTGGCCAACGTGTCCTGGAGTTCCTGGGATTTTCCAGGTTTTAGGAAAGGAAGGCCTGCATCTCAGGAGACTGCACAGCCTCAGGCAAATGGAGATGGTTGGTTACCCTAAGAATCTTCAAATGGTCCCAGAGTAGACCATTGATTGTTTTCATGTATCTGACTATACTGGATAAATAACAAAATCTCAATTTTGTTTGCTGTTCATGGTAGCTATAAATGTCCATATGTTCCTATACCAAAATTTGGTTTAGAATAGCGTATCTTTATTTGCTATTAAAACTTTACATAATGTAAATATTTACTATTGATATTTAATATAAAATTAAATTTTAATATAGTTTTCTACATTTATTCATATTTTCTATAAAAACCTAATCATTTAAAAACTTACAAGTTTAGATGCCAAGCTGTATGTTCAGTCTGTCCACAATAAAGATGTAAATGAAACATTATACCACTTTGCTTAGTGGCAAGCTAATGCTAGTAATAATCTATCTGGAAATAGATACGTTTGAAAAGCAAATTCAGTGTTATGTTTGGAGCTGCCTTTTTTGTTTGAGTGCTGTTTTCTGCTGCTAGCAGCGATATACAGAGTTGACCAAAACATGGTCCCGACTCGTGTAGATGACAGAGATGACGCAGAGAACGATAATGCCATAGTATTTAATAATGGGACATATATAGTAGTATTGAAAATAGAAATGTGAGAGTTAAACATTTTGAAGGTGAGGGTAGCAGGGTAGGAAGAAAGATGAGTTCAGTAAATGTTGAGGCATAGCAGGTGTTTAAACTGAACATTAAATGTATGGTAACATAAGTCTCTTAAGAGATAATAAGTTGCAGGTGAATAGCATGAAGGGTTTAGAGTATTTGAGACAAGAAATGGTATGTTGAGTATATAGAAAGGGGCCACACCTTCAAGGGGTAGTCTTGAAGCTCTCTATTCTTCGTCACCTGCTACTGCTTTAGTCGTGGCCCCATCTTTCATGTGGTTTGGAGGGTTGGTTTCCTAATTACACTTGCCTTCTCGGTCTCTATATTTAATTGATGATCTGTATTGCCACCAGCTAATTTTCTGAAATCTAGTTCTTTTATATTTTTACTTTTTTGTTTGGAGCACTTCATTGGGTCATCATGGCCAACAAAATAAAATGTGAGACCTTTTTCTTTTCTTTTTTTCTTTTTTTTTTTTTTGAGATGGAGTCTTACTCTGTTAGGCAGACTGGAGTGCAGTGGTGCAATCTCGGCTCACTGCAGCCTCCACAACCTCCATCTCCTGGTTCAAGCGATTCTCCTGCCTCAGCCTTCTGAGTAGCTGGTACTACAGGCATATGCCACAATGCCTGGCTAATTTTTTATATTTTTAGTAGAGACGAGGTTTCACCGTGTTAGCCAAGATGGTCTTGATCTCCTAACCTCGTGATCCGCCCACCCTTGACCTCCCAAAGTGTTGGGATTACAGGCGTGAGCCACCACCCCCTGCCATGACTGTTTTTGTAAGTCATTGAGCATACACACTTTGTAGGCCACTTAACCAGCCCTCCGACCTCAAGCAGGGTATGTAACTAACAAACCTCAGCTCAAAAATGATCCTTATTTCAGAAATGAAGTGTCTGCCTCATGGGTTGACTTAAGGAATAGATCAGATGATGTATGTAAAGTGCTTATTAGTCTTATGCCTGTTATATAGTAAACACTAATTCAAGGTTAGTCATTATTGTGGCTCTTTAGGAGTCAGCATTTTTGGACTCTGTGGTTCCTCAAAAATACTGTACCGTATGACCAGACCTCCTATGTCTCTTCCAGGTGATCTTTCCCTTTTTATTTTAATTCCTCATATTTTTTAATACCATTCCTGGCCATGTTGGTCAATCCTTTTTATGTTAGTCTGTATGTACTACCATGGTTAGACTGAAATTTTAAGAGATTAAGTCATAGTTACTTAGGACTCTACAAATTCCAGTCAACTGTGATCTTTTGAAGGACAAAGGTGCTTTGTCTTTGCATGCCCAGCACCCAGCTCCCAGCACACAGCCTGATATTCCCTGGACACTCCATAAATGTTTTATGAGAAAGTAAATAAACTAATCAACAGATTATGCCAGTCTATTGATCTCTAATTCAGTTAAACTTTTTGTTCCAAACGGCACCGTGGAAAATTTTGATAAATATTGTATCATACTTAATAATGTTGAAATATTTACTGTAAGAAGGTCTTCTCTGGATATCTTTGAAAATAATATGGAGATGAATTTGTGTCAGTGACTGCTTTATCTCTCAAGTGTCTTTCCAGCCTCAAAAATCTACAGTGAGAATAAAGATAAAAATAATAGTAAAGTAACAATTAATATACAATTTAGAGCTTAAGGTACCTTTGTATTTGTTATCTTACATAATTCTCATGTTAACCCTGAGAAGCCTATATAATTTTCTTTTTTTTTTTCTTCTTTTTTTTTTTTTTGAGATGGAGTTTTGCTCTTGTTCCCAGGCTGGAGTGCAGTGGTGCAGCCTCAACTCACTGCAACCTCCGCCTCCTGGGTTCAAGCAGTCCTCCTGCCTTAGCCTCCCAAGTAGCTGGGATTTTGTGTCCGCCACCACACCTAGCCAATTTTTGTATTTTTAGTAGAGATGGAGTTTCACCATGTTGGCCAGGCTGGTCTTGAAGTCCTGACCTCAGGTGACCTGCCCACCTCGGCCACCCAAGTCCTGGTATTACAGGCATGAGCCACCGTGCCTGGCCCATGGTGTATAATTCTATGTATTTTTATAAAAAAGGAAAGTGAGGCTAGGCGCGGTGGCTCATGCCTATAATCCCAGCACTTTGGGAGGCCAAGGCAGGCGGATCACAAGGTTAAGAGATCGAGACAATCCTGGCCATCATGGTGAAACCCCGTCTCTACTAAAAATACAAAAATCAGCTAGACTTGGTGGTGTACGCCTGTAATCTCAGCTATTAGGTAGGCTGAGGCAGGAGAATCGCTTGAACCCAGGAGGCAGAGGTTGCAGTGAGCCTAGATCACACCACTGCACTCAAGCCTGGCAACAGAGCAAGACTGTCTCAATTTAAAAAAAAAAAAAAGAAAGAAAGGAAAGTGAATCTCAGCAGAATTAAGTAGTTTGCTGAAGTTCATAGTTATTAAGAGCCTGTTTTTCTAAATCCTAATGCTTATGCTTCTTAAAACATGATGCTTTTTTATTAAATAAATATTAAATTTAGTTGATAATTTACTATATAACAAACTTATTCTCACTATTTGGTTAAAGCAAAATTGTCCAAATGCAAAGATGTGTATTTCTTCACTTCTAGTCAATTTTAAATTCTTCACATGCATTTAAAAAGTTATGTTAATACATAATTTTCTGGGTTAACATTTATGAATTATTTGGCTGTACCAATTATAGTTGTGTCTATCTATTCACTTATTTATTGGTTTGTTTTCCAGAAAACCGTGGACTGCATGACAACAATGTCAGTGCCTTCCACCCTGGTTAAATGTTTATATCTGTTTTTTGACCTTCCACATGTGCCTGAGGCAGTTGGAGGTGCACAGAATGAGCTACCTCTAGCAGAACGTCGAGGACTACTCCAGAAAGTCTTTGTACAGGTAGGGAAGGTGCTATTCGCCTGGACATCTACCCTATCCAAAATGAAGTGGGTGCACTTCCTAAATAGATGTTCTACATATTCCATTTTTTAAGATCGTATTTCATTTTATTTATGATAGTATGACTTTATCTCATATAATTGTTACATTTTTTTAATCTGCAGGAATATTTGAGTGAGGCATTAGCAAGTTTGTTTTTCTGAGCAGATGCAGCCATTAAGATTACATTTGATATATCGGCAATGTCTCTAAAATGAACTAAGCAAGGAAAACTCTTAAAAATTATATAAAGATTTGGGTAATATTTCTTATGTCTGGAAATTCTATCTAGTTGCTGTTTATATACAGGAAGTCCCTAGCCTATAAATATTTCACTTGTAAAGATAGTTTCCTTTAGTGTTGGCTGCCTCCTTCTCTGCCCTGCTAGTAAAGTTCTTCTTTTCCACTGTTAGCACTGTTCTTGTGAGTTAATAAGTGTGTGATAGGCCTTTATTAGCTAGCCTGGAATATAGTCATCATGTATGATATCCTTTCTTGGGAGAAAATTGTCAAAAGAAGCAACTGACAAACATCTAGAATATAACTGTCCATTGGTCTAATATAGTATTAAAAAAACATTTGACACAAAAAGACAAATGCTGCATGATTCCACTTATATGATGTATCTAAAGTAGTTATATAGGTAGAAGAAAGTAGAATACTGGTGGCTAGGAACTAAGGGAAAGAAGAAAAGTTAATTATTTTTCTATAGGAATAGAGTTTCAGTTTTGCAAGATGAAGAACAGTTTTGCAGAACAGTGTACATATAGTTTCAGTTTTGCACAACAGTGTACATATAGTTAACACTACTGTACGACACACTTAAAACAGTTAAGATGGTATATTTTACATGTTTTTTTAACCTAATCAACAGTTGGAAAACAATAACATGTTTGGATTTAGTTCTCTATAGCTAGTTCATCTGAGATACAGATTTTGCACCTGTAAAATGAAAATGGTATCTACCTAAAAGGTTTTTTGAGGCTTAAATGAAATAATATGTAAAGGCAGTTTTCAGCTTAGCACACAGTAAATCTGAAGGAGAAGTAACTGATTACTGCTGCCGCCACCATCGCCACAATTAAGAGTAGAAGAGAACAGAACAGTGGATTGGGGTAGAAAAGATAGAGCTGTGTAGAGTAATGGTTGCACCTCATGTTACTGGGCTCTACTGTAAGAATGACTCTGCTTTGTAGAGGTGATAGTTATGAAAGGACAGGAGCGAGTGAGACAAAGACAGTTTTAGAAAGTAAAAGAATGAGATTATCAAGTAAAATACTAAATTAATGTTTATTGAACACTTGACCTGTTAGATACTGTTGTGCTTGTGGTTAACATCTCTCATCTCACGTCTCAATTTGCAAGATAACCCCACAACTTCAGAGCTTTTGTTTTTCCCCAAAATGATTACATGAGCAAATGGCAGAAATGGGATTAGAAATAAGATCTGTCTGACTCCTGAAATAGATTGAGTGAGAAAAGCAATGGGAATAAATGAAGGAGTAAATCGCATAGGAATTAAAGCTGCTTGAAGATACTCCCTATGAATATAGTGGGTTAGTCTTTTCGAATTAGAATAGCAGCCTCATTTCAATAAACTCCTTTTAAAGAACTACCTAATTCCTTAGGTAATAAATGGAATCTGCATTTTATACTATTAATACATAAGTAAGCATAGCAGGTTTTAAAAAAAATTATTTCTATTTGAAAACCAGGTGCTGACTTTCAATCATGTGGGAGTCATTTCAGCATACTGAAGTCATTGCATATTAAGGCCAAAATGGACTCAAAAGATAATTTAAATCAAACTCCTTATTTACAGTTGTGGAAACTAATATTCTGGTTTATGATCCACAGTAGGCAAGTGACAGTGATAAAAACCTAGTTCTTCCAACTCCTAGTTCAGTGCTCCTTTTAGTGTATCCCTTTCTTTGTTTTAGTTCCTCATCGCAGGCTAGTTAATGTTTTCATCATTGTGTCTAGGAAACCAATTGAGACAAGCTTATTAAATGTTTTAAAATAGGTGAAATCCTTACGTTTGTATTACGTGACAGATGGTTTCCTGGGACTTTAGCATTTGGTAATGCTTCATGCAGGCATTCAGTTTTTTTGTTGTTATTGATGTGACCAATTATTGCTCTGCTACACTTGGTTGGACTTTTGTAACAGAGTTCTTACAAATATAAGTGGTTATTGTAGAGGTAGAGAGGAATGAGAAATGTTTTTTGGAGAGAGTCTTGCTCTGTCTCCCAGGCTGGAATGCAGTGGCACAACCTTGGTTCACGGCAACCTCCGCCTCTTGGGTTCATGTGATTCCCGTGCTTCAGCCATCCAAGTAGCTGGGATTACAAGCTGCACTACAATGTCTGGCTAATTTTTTTGTTTTTAGTAGATACAATGTTTCACCATATTGGCCAGGTTGGTCTCGAACTCCTGGGCTTAAGTGTTCCTCCTGCCTCAGCCTCTCAAAGTACTGGGATTATTTTGGGGTTGCAGGCGTGAACTACCATGCCTGACCAGGAATGAGAAATTGACTTTACAGTTTTCTGTTCTGTAAAATGAAAGGATTGTGAGGTATTTGCAAGAATCCTTCGCCTATGAAGATGAACCAATTATCTTAGGAGTCAATAAATTAAACGAATCCTTGCATCCATGTTGAGAACAGTGATTTCATTTGTAAAAATGTATTTTGTTATTTTTGGGTTTGTTTTCTATGTTCCAAATTAGAAAACTGGCATCTGTCCCTCCAATCACATAAGGCAGTGTCAGAACCAACAAAAAATATAATCAGTAATACACCCCTCTGAGAATATACCTTTTTGTTGCATTTAACTATCTGTATTCACATGTGGTAAAAGATGGTGACATATTATACATATTAATGGACATTTGGTATCCAGCAGTTTCTCCAGGCATTTGGTGTGAAGGGTGCCATATTTAGTGATTTTTTAAATATTTTATTGTTTTTATGAATTCTTTTTTCCTTTCTGATACTTGACAGCTATGGATTAGAAAGTTTTTACATCTAAGCAAGTTTTTGCATTTGAAGAAAATAGGAAAACGAAGACCTAGTTTTCTCAGATAAAATGTGATATTTCAAATACCTCTTTCTATTGAGCATGTTTTTTTCTTTTCTTTTCTTTTTTGAGATAGGGCCTCACTCTGTCACCCAGACTCAAGTGCAGTGGCATGATCACAGCTCACTGCAGCCTCAGCCTCCTGGGCTCAGGTGTTCCTTCTGTTTCAGCCTCCTAAGTAGGTAGGACTACAGGCACATGCCACTATGCCTAGCTAATTTTTTGTAGAGATGGACTTTTACCATGTTGCCCAGATGGATCTCAAAATCCTGAACTCAAGCAATCTGCCTCTCTTGGGCCTCCCAAAGTATTGGGATTACAGGCGTGAGCCACCACTCCTGGCTGCGATTTTCCCACTGATGCTGAAATACCAAACTTTCATGAAGCATTCTTTTTCAAGAAAATAAAATGATGTCATAAATTATATTTTATTCATAATATATATTTTAAAAAATATTTAGATGAAAAAATTTAGCAAAGAGAAGAAAAGTTAACTTTTCCTAACTTGAACTTGTATTAGAAAGAAGAGCCCATCGAGGGGCAGAAACCATTGCTGAATTCCCCAAGTGGCAGACTCTTAATGCTGTGTGCCCTTGTGTAGCGTGCATTCTGCAAATCACAGTTAAAACATAAGTTCTCATTCCGGAATTTAAGAAGTCTTGAGTCTTCTTTGAACACCAGACTTTAGGTTTTAGATGTAATTTTAAAATACTTTGAAATGAAGATTATTTGTATTATTCTAATATCTCCTATTACTTGTATAGAAAAGTGAAACAATTTCAAAATATCTTTACACTTAAAGATCTATTTTTATTTTCTTTTTTTCCTAAAACTCTCCTTTTTGGAGAAGAAAATTACATTTCACCTGTGGCACACTAAAAATTAAAGAACTATGTGAGAAAAATAAAATGTTGACTTGGAAAGGCAGTGCTGTTTTATCATATTTCAAGCCAAGGTATGCAAAAATATTAGGGGGAAGATAGGATAGTATATGCTTTCTAAAAAATAAGCTGATATAAGTAGGACTAGTTTACTGTCATCACATAATTACCCATTTATTTACTTACATGCACTTAGATGTTTTTTAACTTTGATTATTTTAATTGACGAATAATAATTGCACATATTTATAGGTCACAGGGTAATAATTTTTATGCATACAATGTGTAATGATTAAATCAGGGTAACTAGCATAATATATCCATCACCTCGAACATTTATCATTTCTTCACATTGGGAACATTCAAAATTCATTCTTCTAGCTATTTAAAAATATATAATAAATTGTTTTTTTAAATAGTATCACCCTATAGTGCTATAGAACACTGGAACTTACTCCTGTCTGACTGTACTTTAGTCTTCCCTTAACCAGCCTTTGGCTAACCCCCCTCCCCTTCCCTTATTCCCTTCCCTTATCCACCAAAGAGTAGAATTTGGTAACCAAATTTCTCCTCTTTTCTATTATGAGATCAACGTTTTAAGCTTCTACATATGAATGAAAGCATTCAATACTCATCTTTCTGTGCCTGAATTATTTTTCTTAGCATAATGTCCTCTGAGCTTATCCATGTTGCCTTGAATGACAAAATTTCATTCTTTTTTATGGCTGAATACTATTAGATTGTGTTTATATTCCATGTTTTCTTTATCCATTGATCTGTTGGATACTTAGGGTGATTCCATATTTTGGCTATTGGGAATAGCACTGCATTAAATACAGAAATGCAGTTATCTCCTCTACGTAGTCATATCATTTCCTTTCTATACATACCCTGTAGTGGGATTGCTAGATCATATGGTAGTTCTCTTTTACTTTTATGAGGATGCTCCACACTGTTTTCATGATGGCTGTACTAATTTATATTCTCACCACCAGTATGTAGTAGTCCCTTTCCCTGCATCCTCACCAGCATCTGTTTTTTTTTTGAGAATAGCCATTCTAACTGGCTTGAGGTGGTACCTTATTGTGGTTTTAATTTTCATTTCCCTGATGATTAGTGATGTTGAGCATTTTTTCATATACCTGTTGGCCATTTCTGTGTCTTCTTTTGAGAGAAGTCCATTCAGCTCATCTGCCCATTTTTAAATCAGATTTGATTTTTGCTTATACACTCTTGTTTTGTTTTGTTTTTTAGATCTTAGTGAAACTGTGCAGTTTTGTTTCCCCTGCGGAGGAGCTGGCTCAGAAAGATGATCTCCAGCTTCTATTCAGTGCAATAACCTCTTGGTGCCCTCCCTATAACCTGCCTTGGAGAAAGAGTGCTGGAGAAGTCCTCATGACCATATCTCGTCATGGTCTTAGTGTCAATGTAGTGAAGTATATTCATGGTGAATATCTCTTTGTATATTTAAGTGTTCTAAATTTCTTCCACCTTTCTACATTTAATGATAGATTTATTTTCATCTTTCAGTTTTCTAAAGCTTGTTCTTTAAAATAAAAAATAAATTTGCCAAGAGAAAAGACTTTTTTTTTTTTTTTTTTTTTTTTTTTTTTTTTGAGATAGAGTCTTACTCTGTCACCCAGGCTGGAGTGCAGTGGTGCAATCTCGTCTCACTGCAAACCCTGCCTTCCAGGTTCAATCACTTCTCTGCATCAGCCTCCCAAGTAGTTGGGATTACAGGCACCCGCCAGCACACCTGGCTGATTTTTGTATTTTTAGTAGAGACGGGGTTTCACCATCTTGGCCAGGCTGGTCTTGAACTCCTGACCTCGTGATCTACCCTCCTCGGCCTCCCAACATTCTAGGATTCCAGGTGTGAGCCACTGCGCCTGGCCAACAATGGATATTTCTAAGAGTTAAAAAAAATTTCATTGTTGTGTAAATTTAGTCATAATATAATCAAAGTTCTATGTCACAGCCTAATCTTCTCTCTTCTTTTACTGAATAAGAGAAGTTTTTTTGATTTCCTGTAACCAGTCTTTCTGAAGATATTGCATAAGTCACTAGGTAATAATCTGTCTGATGTGGTATAGATGGATTTAGGTGGATTCTTTATCAGCAATAAGAAGACACTGTCAGTTTAACGTATATGTAATAATCAACTATCTTTTAAAATGTCTGTTTGAAGACAGTTGCCTTAGCATCTCAAGCAATCTATTCATTTGGTGTACACATAGACATTCCTTGATTTATGATGGGGTCATGTCCCAATAAATGCATCATAATTTGAAAATAGCATAAGTTGAAAACACATTTAATACACCTAACCTACCGAATGTCGTAAGTTAGCCTAGCCTACCCGGAAGGTAGCTAGAACACTTATGTTAGCCTATAGTTGGGTAAGATCATCTAACACAAAATCAACTTTATTATAAAGTATTAAATATCTCATGTAATTTCTTGAATACTATTCTGAAAGTGGAAAACAATGGGTACATGAAGTGTAGTTTCTACTGAATGCATGTTGTTTTCACACCATCATAAAGTAGAAAAATGTTGAGTCAAACCATCATTAAGTTGAGAACTACCTGATATTATTGTCCTGAAACTCTTTCAAAATAATTAATACACAAATTTGTTAACTTACACATATTAACTGATACATGTGAAAGCTGGTACCTAATATATGAGTCAGTTATTAAATGCGTATTTCCTCCCATTCCTCTATTAAATCTTAGCTTTTCTTGTGTAATGGTAAGTTTTTTTATACAAATAAATTTCTCTAAAGATAAGAAAGTGAAAGTCTTCCTTGAAATGCCACAAATCATCAGTCAGGGATAAGATATAACTGTGTTTTAAACTAGTAATATACAAGTAAAATTTAAAAAATTTGATTTCCTAAAGTATTTCTGTGTCTCATTGGTCTATATTCTCTCTAATTTTTATTTTATTTTATTTATTTTGAGATGGTCTCGCTCTGTCACCCAGGCTGTAATGCAGTACAGTGGTGTGATCTCGGCTCACTGCAATCTGTGACTCCTGGGTTCAAGCGATTCTCCTGCCTCAGCCTCCCGAGTAGCTGGGGCTGTAGGTATACTCCACCACACTTGGCTAATTTTTGTATTTTTAGTAGAGACGGGGTTTCACCATGTTGGCCAGGCTATATATTCTCTCTAACTTAAAGTTTTAAGTAATTACTAGATTTTTCTTCTTAAACTTAGAAAAAGAGTTTTTTGCTTTTTTCATCTTGTTACTGTATCAGTATAAAAGATCAAAAATATCATTTGGCAGTGGCTATTTTGTAATGATGTGAAAACATTACCTGTACATACATTGTATTATCTTTTGTTTACTACCTACAGGCAGTGCTTTCCCAGTGCATCTGACTCATATTGACTTTTAGAATGTGTAAGGTTTATCTCGTACTGTTTTACAGATATGTTAAAATTTAATGTTTCATTAAACAACAGTTAACAATTAAAAATTTTTAAGCAATTGTCAGAAGTAATACATATTTATTTAATTATCTGTTCTTACAGAGAAAGAATGTTTATCTACATGTGTTCAGAATATGCAGCAATCAGATGACCTGTCTCCCCTAGAAATTGTTGAAATGTTTGCTGGGCTTTCTTGTTTCCTCAAAGATTCCAGCGATGTTTCCCAAACACTTCTGGATGATTTTCGGATATGGCAAGGATATAATTTTCTTTGTGATCTCTTGCTTAGGTAAGATTGCACAATTTAATAATATGTTTTAAATGTCTACTCAGTCTTTTTTATGAAATACAACAAGTGATTTGGGGGTTATAAAAAAAAGCAAATTAATGAAACACTTATTTAATGTATACCTGGCTTTATTCCCTTCTTTTTCTGGTGTGATCATAGCTCACTGTAGCTTCATATTCCTGAGCTTAAATGGTCCTCCCACCTCAGCCTCCCAATTAGCTAAGACTACAGGCATGTGCCATCACACCCAGCCAATTTGTAAACATTTTTTACAGACACACGATCTCGCTATGTTGCCTAGGCTGGTCTCAAACTCTTGGCCTTAAGCGATCCTTCAGCCTCCCAAAGTTCTGAGATTATAGGCATGAGCCTACACCCTTCTTTTTACTCCTGTTCTGCTAACAGAGTGGAAAAGTGAATTTAGAATTAAACTACCAAATGCAGGCCACAAACATGGTGAAGTGAGAGGTTAAATATGAAGCATAAATCTACTCTTTGGTAGCTGAGGGAGAAGAATTTAGATGAACTAATTAACATCTTCTTAAAGTATAAACTCTTCTTAATTATATTTTTGGTTATCTTTATTTTATAGTACTTCTAATCTTTTTATTAATGTAGTTAATAACAATAATAATTATATAGACGGAATGAAACCTTACAATTGTGTATATGAAACAAATTAGTGATTTCAAAATATGTTACTAACCCCCTTTTCCATTTCAAATGGTTCGTGCATATACTTGGAAAGTGGTTTGTTACAGATTTTATTAAGAAGAAGATACTCATTAGTTTTCGGTAGCTATTCCTGGGCCATTGGTTATTTTTAAATCATTTGATCTATTGTAAGACACCACTGTTTCCTTCCTCCCCTCCCGCTTCCTTCCTCCCCTCCCCTCTCTTCTTTCCCCTGCTCCACTCTCTGCCTTTCGCCCTTCCTTTCCCTCCCTTTCCTGGTCTCATTGTGTTCCCAGCCTGGTGTGCATTGGCTAATCATAGCTCATGCACTTTCCTTTTTTTTTTTTTTTTTTTTTTTTTTTTTTGAGGCGGAGTTTCGCTCTTGTTACCCAGGCTGGAGTGCAATGGCACGTTCTCGGCTCACCGCAACCTCCGTCTCCTGGGTTCAGGCAATTCTCCTGCCTCAGCCTCCTGAGTAGCTGGGACTACAGGCACGCGCCACCATGCCCAGCTAATTTTTTGTAGTTTTAGTAGAGACGGGGTTTCACCATATTGACCAGGATTGTCTTGATCTCTTGACCTCGTGATCCACCCGCCTCAGCCTCACAAAGTGCTGGGATTACAGGCGTGAGCCACCGTGCCCGGCCGCTCATGTACTTTCAAACTCAAGACATCCTTCTACCTTAGTTTTCTTAGTAGTTACACCCAGCTATCTATCTATCTATCTATCTATCTATCTATCTATCTATCTATCTATCTATCTATCTATCTGTCTATCTGTCTGTCTGTCTGTCTGTCTGTCTGTCTGTCTGTCTATGTATCTATCTATCTAATCTGATCTATAAATCTATTTGGTAGAACCTGTGTTGCCGAGACTGGTGCCAAACTCCTAGCCTCAAGCATTCCTCCTGCCTTAGCCTCCTGAAGCCCCAGGATTATAGGCATAAGCCACCATGCCTGGCCAGAACTAGTTTTTTCTAACAGCAATTTAACCTAGTTGCTGCTAGTTAATATTAGATAACCCCTAGGAATGTCATTTTGTGTATATATGCAGATTTATAAAAGAGGATGTGTGAAAGTTGATGAAATAACCACTTCACATTACTACTGGAGTATTAATTGATTCATCCTTTGAGAACGTAGGCTGACAAGATATTAAGAACCTCAAAAATGTTGGTGATCTGATACAATAATTTCATTTATGTTTACTGATCCTAAAGATATAATTCTACATGTAGACAAAATTGTATTTGTTAGTGCTTTTGTATCTGCCAGCTGTTGCACCTCTCCCTCCCCAAATATGTGGTTGGTTCTGCATTGCAACTGAAAGCTTTCCTCTGAGAGCTTATACTAATGTGTGGAAGTACACATACAGCACTGGTAAAGCATAAAAAAAGGTTACAAAATTCTGTATATAATATGAGAATAAATATTGTAAACACTAATCTTTTCATATTAAAAGATAAGCTTAAGAAATATATCAGAATGTTAAATGTGTTTGTGAGGCTAATCATACTTTTTCTTCTTTCCTACTTTTTTGTATTATCCAAGCTTATTATTTATTTATTTATTTATTTTGAGAAGGAGTCTTGCTCTGTAGCCAGGCTGGAGTGCAGTGGCAAGATCTCAGCTCACCGTAGCCTCCACCACCCGGATTCAAGCGATTCTCCTACCTCAGCCTCCCGAGTAGCTGGGACTACAGGTGTGTGCTATCACACCTGGCGAATTTTCGTATTTTTAATAGAGATGGGGTTTCACCATGTTGGCCAGGATGGTCTCGATCTTTTGACCTCGTGATCCGCCCACCTCAGCCTCCCAAAGTGCTGGGATTACAGGCATGAGCCACCGTGCCAGGCTCTCCAAGTTTATTTTAATGAGAATGATTACTTCTTTTAAGCGGAAGTCCACAATAAGTTTTGTTGGTTTTTTTTTAAGATATTTGTTGCAACCCATTTTGTGTTCTCAGTAAAGCCATGGTTAAATGATAATTCTCTAATGACCCCAGTGTTCTTTCAGCACTTCTCAGAGTACTTAATGCATTTATTTACTGCATGTAAAATTGAAAAATACTTTCTATGTTAAATCTAAGAACACAGCCAAAAAGAAAAAATACTTTCTAAATCATACTTTTCTAGATTGGAACAAGCAAAAGAGGCAGAATCCAAAGATGCCTTGAAAGATCTGGTTAATCTGATAACTTCCCTAACAACATATGGTGTCAATGAACTAAAACCAGCTGGTATTACCACAGGGGCACCCTTTTTATTGCCTGGATTTGCAGTACCTCAGCCTGCAGGCAAAGGTGAGTCTTTGTTTTTTTTATTCTGTGATAACTGAGAGAAATAGAGAAAGAATGATTTGTCTTACTTTGGCATATTACTTTTTGTTTATGTTATATATTGTTTCCCTTAAAGCTTGTTTTTTTATGGTTTAAGTCCTTGTAAGTATTTCGTGAGTAATAATCTTTAATCTGACAGATCAAATACTTTAACATAATATTGTAAAAATATCATAAAATCAGGGAGATTTGTATTATAGTATTTCTTTTTTAACATTCAAACAATTTAATAATCAAAACGTCTTTCTTTTGAATGTTGGCACTTCATGCATTTCTACTTTACATGGATAGAGCTCAATTTTCAGTCCAGTCTCTGTACCTATATACAGTCATCCGTTAGTATCTGTAGGGGATTGGTTCCAGGACCCCCCACAGATACCAGAATTTACAGATACTCAAGTCCCTGATATCAGATGGCATAGTATTTGCATATAATCTACAATTTGCATATATACCTTACACGTGTCTTCCCATATACTTTAAGTAAATAGTCTCTAGATTACTTATAATACCAAATATAATAGAAATGCTATGTAGTTATTTTACTGATGTTATTTAGGAAATAATGACAAGGAAAAAAGTCTGTACATGTTCAGTACCGATGCAGCCACACCTTTGTTTTTCTTTAATATTTTTCATCTGTGGTTGGTTGAATCCACAGATGCAGAACCGATGGATACAGGGGCTGACTCTGCACAGCATGAAGCATAACTGCTTGTATTTTATTTAAAACTAAGCTACTTTAAGTACAGAGATTATATTATTTCATTCAGATCAGAGGATGAATTTTTATAAATTTTTATAGTCTAGTTTTCCAAACATTTGGATACTAAGAATATTTAATTACATAATTATGCAAGGTAGTTTTATTATGTATTTGGTTTTTTAAAAAATGCATAGTAATCATTTGAAAGTAACCTGAGCCCGGAGGCCTCTAATAGTTTTTATTCACATAACTGTCACTAAGTAATCAGTAGGATCATGATATTTCCATATAAAATTTAACTAGCCAAAAAATACCAACATGTCTTATTATTTAAATTTATAGTATGTATCTATGCATTTTATGACATAGAAGTCAACAGCCTGTAAATCAGTGAAAATAGATGGTGTCATCAAACAGTATGATACGATGTAGCCTTAGTGTGTAAGTTGTTTATAACATTTTAAATGAGTCTCTGCAATAAGTAGGGAGAAATACACATTTCCCTAAACAATTTAAGGTTTCATTTTATTTACTATTAAGAAAAACATGGAGTGGCAATTCACACCTGTAATTCCATTTACACAGGAGGATCTCTTGAGCCCAGGAGTTCAAAGCTGCAGTGAGCTATGATCACACCACTGTACTCCAGCCTGGGTGACAGAGCAAGACCCACTTTCTCTTAAAAGCAAAAGAAAAAAATAAGGGCTTCTCAGAAAACTTCTAATTTATAGATTCCAGCTTGACCATTCTACAGTTAACTCTTGCTATGAATTAACATAAAAATATCACAGCAATGTACTTCCTATTTTATACTTTATTGTTGTTTCATTTGATTAATCAATGTGATGTTGATATTGGCTTAATAGCTAGTTACAACAGTATAATTTTGTAGCAAAATTAATCTTTTGCATATATCATTGTCTGATTTTGTCTCATTTGTAACAGGGATAATAATTATATAACCTAGCACCTCCCAGGGTTATTGTAAGAATCCAGTGACATCATGTCTATGAAAGTAAGGTTATCTAGAAAGTATGTTGCCCTAAGAGTCAGAATTTATGTAATTATAAGTGACCTAACTTTTCTAAACATCATTTTCTTCTTCAGAAAAATTGATGTAATATTCTGTAAAGTGAATGGGTCAAGCTACATCATTTTGAGTTTCCTGTATAACTCAAAATTTTCTGTTTCTCATGTCCTACTTTTAGCATTATTGCAAGAATCAAAGGAGATAGCTGTATTCAATATAGAAAGAATGTAGAATAGATTGTCTTTTATATTTCTAGCAGTATTAAGATACAATTTGTTTACATTAAATGTATTCATTTGAGTTGAATTTGATGAATTTTGACAAGAGGATATGATTGTGTAATCACCACTGTTACCATGATGTGGAATATTCTCATCCCTCTAGAAAGTTTCCTTGTTCTCCTTGCAGTCAGTCCTTCCCAACTTAACCCTTGCCCTGGCAACCACTAATCTGTTTTAGTTTTGCCCTTTCTAGAACTTAATACACTGCAATCATACAGTATATAGTGTTTTTTTGTACCTGAATTCTATCACTTAAAGTATAGTAGTCCCCCCTTAACCGGGGGGAATGTGTTCCAAGGTCCCCAATGGATACCTGAAACCATAGATAGTACCAAACCCTACATATTCTCTGTTTTTCTTCCACATACATACATATGATAAAGTTGAATTTATAAATTTGTCACAGTAAGAGATTAACAATAATAAAATAGAACAATTATAGCAATATACAGTGATAAAAGTTATGTAAAGTTGTGCTATCTCTTAGGAGGATGAATGCTCTCTGTCTCACACAAAATATCTTATTGTATGTAATATTTTCAGACTGTGGTTAACCTCGGGTAACTGAAACCATGGCAAATAAAACCATGAATATGGGAGGAATATTGTAATACTTTGGAAAGTCACCCATGTTATTGCATGTATCAGAAGTTTGCTCCTTTTTAATGCTGGGTATTACTTCATTGTTTGGGTAGTTCACAGTTGTGTATATCTCTTCACCAGTTGATGGACGTTATTTGACTATCTGGAATAAAGCTACAGTGGACAGTTATATAAAACAAATCTTTCTGTGGACATACGTTTTCATTTCTTTTAGCTAATACAGAGCAGTGAAATTGCTAAATCATATGGTAAATACATGTTTAACTTTATAAGAAACTGCCAGCGTATTTTCTAAAGTGGCTGTCCATTTTTGCATTCACATCAGTAATGTAATGTATGAAAGTTCCAGTTGCTTTGCGTTGTCAGTAACATTTGGTATTGTTAGTCCTTTTAATTTTAGACATTCTACTAAGTATATAATAATATATAATTGTTATTTTAATTTTTAACTAATTCACATTTTATCTTTAAAATTCACATTTTATCTTTACATTTCATTTATCTAATTGACTAATTCACATTTTTTAAATGCTTTTCACTATTTGTTTCTCTACTTTGATTCAGATCTCTGTGTCCATTGTTTGATAGGGTTGTTTTATTGGAGTTAGAAGAGTTCTTTAGATATTCTATATAAGCCTTTTATCTCTTAATATGTATTTTGGAAGTGTGTTCTCTTAGTCTTGTCTTGCTGTTTTGTTTTTTTTTAAACGCATGTAATGAGAAATGGAAGTTTTTAATTTTGATGAAACCCAGTTTTTTATTTTAAGAATATTTTGTGGTTGTTTTACTCCTGTTGAAGAAATCTTTACTTCAGATTTACAGAGATTGCTAATGTTTTCTTCTGATTTTTTTCTTTATCCAGTGTTTCATATTTTAACCCTTAAATTAAGGTCCATGATACATTTTAAGTTATTATTATGTAGGATAGAAAGTAAGAGTTTCTTTTTTTAATGTAGATATCTGAATGTGCCAGAACACTTTGTTGAAAAGATCATATATGACTGCACGTATCTGAGACACTTTTTGAATTTTGTTTGATCCATATGTCTATCCTTAAGCCAATACCACACTGTCCTGATTACTGTAGCTTTATAATATACGTTAAAATCAGGTCACTTGTTTTGTTCTTTCTTCTCAGCATCATATTGGCTATTCTAAGTCTTTTGACTTAGAAGAATAATCTAATAATCATGCGAATAATTTTTTTGAAAGCTGCTGAGATGTTGGTTATTCTTTTGCAGACATCTTTACTTTTTATATTCTGTAGGTAACCAAAAAACAAACTTAGGTAGACTGATAGACACAGGATACAAAGATAAGTTTTTGGTATTTGCCATACATGTAATAAATGTGTATGTTATAAACAAGAATCCAGAAAATTGAAATCAGTTGGCTGGAGATTTTTTAAATTCTGTGTATTTTAAAGAAATGTCCAAGTAAGGATTTTTCAAAATTCTTTTTTCTTTGTTTATTTTACAGACAGTATTGCTTTCTGTCACCCAGGCTGCAGTTCAGTGGTATGATCATAGCTCACTGCAACCTCAAACTCCTGGGCTCAAGCAATCCTCCTGCCTCAGCCTCCTGAGTAGTTAGACCTACAGGCACATGCCCCCATTAGCAGCTAAATTTTTTTTTTTTTTTAATTTCCTGTAGAAATGGAGGTGGTCTTGCTATGTTACTCAGGCTGGTCTAGAGCTCCTGGCCTCAGACAATCTTCCCAAAGTGCTGGGACTACTGGCATGAGCTACTGCCCCCAGCCCTGAGCATTATTTCTACTCCATTTAATAATTTTTGTAGTTCTCTGGTTTATCCTCTTTCTAAAATCCATCTTATTCTGTGGGGCACTATGTTAATTTTTTGGTCACACTTGCAAATGCTGTATACCCCTAATAGCTGTTGTTCTGGGGACTACTTTTAGAGGCAAGCTGCTTATTTTCATGTATCGCAAATATAACTTTCTGTCTTAATTTCTTTATGATTAATGTCACTAATTTGCTTCACCAGAGCCATGTATAAAGATTTTTTTTTTCATTTGATATGTTTGAATAGCTGGCCATAAATTGCTTTAACAAATGTCTATATGAAGAAATTGTACTTTTAGCTAGAAAACAAACTTTCAGCTTAAAATTTATAAAAATCATAGTGTTGCAATTATAAAGAAAAACTGGAATTTAGAGAATTTTTTCCCTCCTATTCTCCTGCTTCATTCTTGCTGCTCTCAGGCCTGTAACATCTTTAGCCTGAAAGCCTTTTTAAATTGAGAGACAACTGTCCTTATAGTCAAGGTCAATCTCATAGATAATAAAATGCTATACTACCACACATTTCCAAACTCTGAAGCATGGATGTTTATAATATGCTTTTATTCCCTCTAAAACAATCTAACTTTTCGACATACACTGTTTTTGCATTGAAATAGTCATAATGCATTAAAATTTTAATCAGTGTTGTTTATTTTTAATTAAATGATTTGAACAAAACAATTACTTTGAGATGCTGGAGTTTGTTGTTTTTATGTTCTTAGTAAATAATTAATAAATGTTATAATTGATGATGTGTTTAAACAGACTAGCCTGCCATTATTAAAATATCACATGGTACCTACTTTTATCTTTTTCTTTTCTGTTTTAGGTCACAGTGTGAGAAACATCCAGGCCTTTGCAGTTCTTCAGAATGCATTTTTAAAAGCAAAATCCAGCTTTCTTGCCCAAATCATCCTTGATGCTATCACAAATATTTACATGGCTGACAATGCCAATTATTTCATCCTAGAGCCACAGCACACATTGTCACAGTTTGCAGAGAAGATTTCTAAACTCCCAGAAGTACAAAACAAGTACTTTGAGATGCTGGAGTTTGTCGTTTTTAGCTTAAATTATATTCCTTGTAAAGAACTTATTAGTGTCAGTATCCTCTTAAAATCTAGCTCTTCTTACCACTGTAGCATTATTGCAATGAAAACGCTTCTTAAGTTTACAAGACATGACTACATATTTAAAGATGTGTTCAGGGAGGTTGGCCTTTTGGAGGTCATGGTGAACCTTTTGCATAAATACGCTGCCCTCTTGAAGGATCCAACTCAGGCGCTAAATGAACAAGGTAAAGTAGTATCTGTAATTTTATTTTTATTTGAAAAGGGTTTTTCATTCTTGTTCCCATTGTTTGGTTATTGATTTCAATGACTTCCTAATGAAACCTAACTTTACTAAATATTTTGTTTAGTTTTGGTCTCAATTTCTCTTATATCCTTTTCTGTCATTAACAGATAGTCCAACTATATTTATAAAATATTACTCTTGCTTTTTAAAAAAGATTACTTGAAATTTTAGTTAACATCAAAAAGCTCTTAGGCAACAATGTGTATTATTATGACATATTATAAACTGTATTTCCCAAAGCTAACAGGTTCATTTAACCTCTGTTGGGGAATTGGGGAGGAGGAAGCTAGAATTATGTCAGTGTGTTGGAGAGAGCTTAAAGGAAGATAGAAACTAAGGAAAAACATGTATGATCTATATGACTGGTATCTACTACCTTCTGCTTCCAAAAGGGAGTTTTAAAAGCTTCTGAAAATAATTAGATTTATTATTAATTGTAATTATTAAATATAGTTAAATGTATAGTTACTTCAGTGTGTTTTTATTGTACAGAGCAAATAAACATATTTAATGATGTTATATACACAAATGTATTATCATGGGGTACCTTTCTGATAAATCTGATAAAAGTACAGTAGTATCTGGCAATTAGTAAGTATTAAATGTGAATTAATACAGGTTGAATAGGTAGCTTTATTCATGAACTTTTCTTTCTTTTTTGTGTATCAAAATGTAGCATTCTCCTATTGACCTCCTTTATTACGAAAACCCTCTGTGAAGAGGATATATTTAACTTCCGCATTTTCTTTTTTAATATCTTTTAGATAACTGCAAAGCATACCAAAATAAAATCTGTTAATACTGATTTTGAGCCTGCTTTCGCCAAATGTTGAACATAGGCACCATTTTAAAGATTATATCTGTTGTATTAGTGGTAAAAATGAATACTGAAGAAATAAATTATTACAATAAAACTGAATCAAGAAAAAATAAGCTTATCCTTTGTAATTTGGACCTTTGAACCTTTTTTTAGGGGACTCAAGAAATAATAGTTCTGTTGAAGACCAAAAACACCTGGCTTTGTTGGTTATGGAGACCTTGACAGTGCTTCTTCAAGGATCAAACACAAATGCAGGTAATTAAAAAACCCACAAGCAAGTACTTTGGGAGATTGCCACTGTTACATCTTCTGTGGTGATTCTTGCTCCTGAAATCTTCCTGTCACTTAAAAGAAAAAACTATTGATTCAGTGATGTACAATCATGTCCCTAAAAATGCAGTACTTTTACCGTCAGGAGTAACTTGATGACAAAACATATAGCATTGTTTCTATTTCAAAATGATGTTTTAATTCCTTTTTATAGTGTCTTAAGGTATTCTTCTAATTTTTGACTGATACGATCTTAGTCAAATAAGTTGCTATTTAAATTATTTCTAAAATATTTCTTTACACATTGACTTTAGAAAACATTTTTAGTACTGCATGTTAGAGTATTATAATGTTACAACCTTCAGGAAATACTGAAAAATGATTATCTAATAAAACTTCACCTCTTTCAGGTCATTAACTTTACTGAATATTTTGTTTAATTTTGGTCTCAATTTCTCTTTTAGCCCTTCTACCTGTCATTACGAGATAGTCTAACTGTATTTATAAAATACCATTCTTGCTTCTTAGAAAAGATAACTTGAAATTTTAGTGAACATCAAAAAACTCTCAGACAACAAGAAAGTGAGTTCAGATTAGTAGGCTGGGCCCAAATCAGAGAGAGCTTTTTAGGCCATGGTAAGGAGCTTGAATTATATTTTAAGTGTTAGGGGAAGCCATGGATGAATGAACCCCATGCACAAATGCGTGACTGTTTGCCTGAATGCAGAGAAACTCAGCATTCATCATATTTAAAATATATTGTGTATTGCAGGTGTAATGCTAGCTAGGTGTTATTCTAACACCTAGATGCCAAGGTAAGATCATTCTTGCTCCCCAGGAATTAGAATCTAATGAAGAAAAATGTAGATACATAATTATAGAAGTCATTAGTTAAATACAACTTTGGCAAATACTAAGATAGACTTGAATGAGTTTAATAGGCAACTGAAATAATGAGTATGATGACATTTAATGGATGCTATAGTAACATTTTATCTATGGCATAATGCATAATCTTATTTCCACTAACTAGATTTAGTTAACTGAGATACTCAGAAACATAATAAAGATCCACTAACAGGAATTTACTTAGCAAATTAGCTTTGGGTGAGATGACCTAGAAGTTGCACAGGAAGAGATTAGTCAATTGGAGAGCTTACTCTGTATGACTAAAAGTCACTTAATACATCTCCCAATGTGCCAAACAATTCATACAATTCTTTTCAGTCTTTCTTTTCCTAGTATGAAAGATGTTACCAGCTGTGTGATGTTAGGCATTTAAAACAGTGCTTTGCTCATAGTTTAAGTATTTAAATAATAATAGCCATTATGATTATCTAGTGGGTCCTAACTGACAACCAGGGTCTAACTAAACAGGCCTCAGGTAATGAAAGGATGTCACAAATTTCATGTGCTGAATCTCAAGCACACAACTTAGACTGACTTCACGATCATATAATTATTATAAAGTTAGCAAATAGCCACTAAATAGAGAGGCCAGTGGCTGCTTTAGCAGAATATACTGTTTTAATAAATGTTTATTGAAACACAAATCAGGAGAAAATTCAATAGTCATGAGAGACCAAACATAAGCAATAATAGTAAGACTGTTTGTTATAAACCATAATAAAGATGCAAACAAGATGTTCTAAAAGCATAAGGGGTGGAAGAGTTACTTAGAGGAAATATTAATTCCTGATTTCAATCACTGGGCCCGTTTTTTTTAATACTGGAGGTTGGTATTAATATTTGATGCAAGAACAGTATCAATTGCAAGCAGGAGCACAGGCTTGCAGAGCTGGGCTGTGTAGGCATAATCCTGCTCTGTTGCTTACTAGCCGTATGACTTTGACCCCATTACTTAACTTCTGTGTGGTAGGGGATGAGTATTAAGTAAGTCAATCTGTGTAAAGACTTTGGAGCAGTAACAATGACACATGGTTTCTATTATAGAATTTGTCACTTTTTGTTCTTATTTCTACCTATGTAACAAAAAGTGTTGGTACCTTGTAATTTTTCCCATGGTGGAATAATTTATTCCATTTCCTTCTTGCTACTATTTTGGAAGACGTGTTCATTTAAACCTCATTTATTTAGGGTATTGTTCTTCTGAAAGCCTTTTACATAAGTTGATTACAATATTGGGTCTCCTGTGGTTTACCTAAGAGACTTCTGAATGTTGCAGATTTTGAGAGCTTGGACATGGTGAACATATCACAGCATTAATCTTGCATTAAGGAAATGTAGAAAAAATCTGCATATGCTTTTGCTGGCAACCCGCAGTGGAAATTTGTATTGTAATTTAAAAGGTGAAATAGTTGGGTCGGTCTTATTTACGCTATTTTGAGTTACTGTACCTACAAAAAATAATTGAATATTAATTCATCTGACTTGTCTCAGAATATTTTAAAGTAGCCATTGTTGGACTTTTTCTCCTTTTCTCAAGGAATTTTTCGAGAATTTGGAGGTGCAAGATGTGCACATAACATAGTAAAGTACCCTCAATGCCGGCAGCATGCCCTGATGACTATCCAGCAGCTGGTGCTCTCTCCAAATGGGGACGATGACATGGGCACTCTCCTGGGGCTAATGCATTCAGCCCCACCGACGGAATTGCAGTTGAAGACTGATATTTTAAGGGTAAGTTTGATAAATGTGTTTCTCTTCTTTTACTACTAAAATCTGTGGTTATTTTTAAATGATCTATATTTAGCTTAGAGACAGGGAAATTTAAAAAATCCAAATTACCCAAAAAACCTCTCAACTTTATACACATTAGGGATTTGGAAAAACTCAAGTCATTTATGTCTTTTAGTATGTATTTAACTTACTGCTGATAAACCTTTGCAGTAATTATCTTGACTTATCGGAATTATCTCTTAAGAAGTATAGGATCTTAATAAATACTAAATATATATATTATCTATTCAATTAAATTCACTCATAGTGTTATGCATCTGTGTAATGAAATGTTAGATTTGGCATTATATACACATACCTGCTTGTATGTGTGTAAGTAATGGATATTCTGGTAGATATCAAACAATATACCAGAAGTTTTACATATGCTTTTATCATTTACGCCTTAGCAATACTATAAAGTAAGTAGTACCCTGTTTTGCAAATGAGAAAGCTTAGGTTTAGAGAAATCATATAACTTGGCTATTGTTGTTTACATATATGACTTTTAATTCGTAGAACTGACCCCAGATTTCAATACCCATATAGCTTCCATAGTACCGTTATGTTTTATACAGATTTATACACACACACTCTCTCATATTACTGAAGTCACTGATATTATAAGAAATGATATGTAAGAAATTTTAGAATCAGAATATAATCAAATGTTTCAGTTTCATTTACAAGTGAATTTAGTAATGTAAGATGTAATGGAAAATGGAAAAGTAAAGACTATTAAATATTAAATAATATATTTAAAAAATTTCCAAGTTACAGATATATTATAACAGCTTTATTGACTGCTTTAACTTAAGTGTTGCAAATAATAGTTGTTTTAATCAAAAGAAACATAACCTTCTCTTTTTGTGGCTAAAAGCCTGCTCTTATATTTAAATAATATGAGTAAAGTGAAAGAAGTCCATTAAAATTTATGTTCTTTAATTTATTGATAGGTGCAAGGTTTCTAAATACAGTTTTCCATCATAAGAATTCAGGCCTCCTTGGTGAAATGATTGATTCTAGTACTAGGGCAGAGAAAGAAACAAAATGAACTTAAAACATTTCAGTTACCCTTTAAAAAGTAAAGAAGTGATAAGATAATAAGAAATTAAGTAAATACAACCAAACAAATAAATGAGAGAAGAGGAAAAGCTCTTATTTACAGTCAAAAGTCAAAGAAAATCACCATTTATAAACTATCATAGTAATAATTGCTTCTGGTAGGATTCATCACTGGCTACAAAAGATAGTGGATGAAAGTTTTAGAAATGATGGGATTTTTGCATAGTTTTAAATTGTATCCTCAAAGATACATTTTAATTTTGAGTGGTAAAATACTAGCTTTACAGTGGACCCTACGTTAGCTAAATGATCAGCATTAATTTTGCCACTGATGGACAGATGAACAGGATATATCTCCTGATATGAAGCACTCAGAAAAATTCAGCTCATTTTTATAGTTTTTCCTCCCAAAAGTGTATAATCTGAATCTAATTATTAGAAAACATCGGATAAATCCTAATTGGAAGACTTTCTATTACATAACTGGCCTGAACTCTTTAAAAAAAGTTAAATGAAATGAAAAATGACTTAAGAACTATTCTGAAGGAAAGAGATTGAAGTGACTACTGAATGTAGTACCTGAACTTGAATTTTCCTTTGCTATAGAGGATATTATTGGGATTTGGAAAAAACACAAGGTCTGTAGATAAAATAATTGTATTGTTTCAACATTAATTTTCTCATTTTGATCATTGTACTGTGAGTATTAAGAGAATTCCTTTTTTTTTTTTTTTTTTTTTTTGAGATGGAGTTTCGCTCTTGTTACCCAGGCTGGAGTGCAATGGCACGATCTCGGCTCACCACAACCTCCGCCTCCTGGGTTCAGGCAATTCTCCTGCCTCAGCCTCCTGAGTAGCTGGGACTACAGGCACGCGCCACCATGCCCAGCTAATTTTTTGTAGTTTTAGTAGAGACGGGGTTTCCCCATATTGACCAGGATTGTCTTGATCTCTTGACCTCGTGATCCACCCGCCTCGGCCTCCCAAAGTGCTGGGATTACAGGCTTGAGCCACCGTGCCCGGCCGAGAATTCCTTTTTTTGAAAAATACACTGAAGCTTTTAGGGGTAAAGGGAAATGGAGAGAGAAATTAAGTAAATCGCTATTTTTCGAAGAATCTGAATGAAGGATATCTGTGAATTCTTTGAACTATTTGTGCAGTTTTTCTTCAAGTCTAAAATGGCATTAAAATAGTAACAGACAAAAAAACCAGTGTGTTTAATCTTGCTTCCAAGGCCCTTGTGACTCGATCTCCCTCTCCTCTGACCTCCTCTACTATTATTCCTTCACCTGTAGATGAGGAAAACATAATTTTTCCTCTACCTGCCAAATTCTTAGCTAGGACACACCGGTGTTGCAAAAGACAGATTAACAGGAGAAAAACAAACGGGAGTTGATTAACATGTGAACCTCATATGCGCATAGGAGGCAGCCAGGGAAAGATGACTAATTCTCAAAGACGTGGCTTAGAATTCCACTTTATACAGTAGTCCCCCCATATCTTTGGGGGAATACATTCTAAGACCCCCGGAAAGGTCTGAAACTGCAGATAGTATGGAACCCTATATATAGTATGTTTTTTCCTATGTATATACATACCTGTGATAATGTTTAATTTATAAATTAAGTACAGTAAGAGATTAACAACGATAACCAATAATAAGGTAGAATAATTGTAACAATATGCCAGTGTCATTACTCTTGTGCTTTGGGGCCACTATTAAGTAAAATAAGGGTTGCTTGAAGCACTGTGAAACCCCCACAGTTGCTCTGATAACTGAGACTGCTGCTAAGTGACTCATGGGCAGGTAGCTTTGCAGCATGTGTACACTGGACACAGGGATGAGTCACAGTAGTGTGGGGCGGTGTGAGATTTCATTATGTTACTCTGAACAATACACAGTTTAAGGCTTTTGAATTGTTTGTTTCTGGTATTTTTCATTCAGTATTTCCAGACCAAGTTTGAGCACAGGTAACTAGATCAAAGGAAAGCAAAACTACAGTGAATGGGGATCACTACATAGCATCTTCAATAGACAACAGTAAATTTTTAGAGAAATGAAGACATAAAGGGAAAGGACTCTAGGGATATCAAAATTGTGGGAAGGCAAATAAATGGTAGATAGAAGAGTTAGTAGTTTGCTATGTGCATTCCTTTGCCGTCTCCAGTCTGGGAAGGGTCTTTCTTCATCAAATATATCTACTTCTTCCCAGTTGCCGTCAACTGAAAATAATCCTTATACCATAGTGGCATATTTTGGGGTGGCATATTCTAGTTTACTACTTAACACCATTCTAGCCACAGACATTACAGGAATTATTGTTTCTATTCTCTTTTACTTTTATTCAATTAAATTTTTCATCGATAATGAAAAATTGGCGTTTCTTTCTTTATGCTGTTATGTATTTCATCATGTTTTGATAGTGTATAATGACAATTTTGAATATGCATTTTAAAAGCAAAATTAACCTCACCACAATATATGTTTTAAACCAAAAGGATATCCACATGAATGTCAATTTTTGAAGAACATTTTATATTTGAAGGAATTGTTGGGAGAATATAGATGATTTTAAAACATGCTAAGGTTGCCAACTTTTTTTAACCAGAATTTTCTCCTCTTTGGGTACCTTATTAATTGGATTTTAAAGATTTTGGTAGGTAAAGCCAGCAAGAAGTAATTGGCTGACTCCGTAATATTGAGGCAGTGTTCTGGTTAATGTTAGTAATTGGTTCTCAGGCTGGAGGAGGGCAGGAGACGGTCATGATATTTTGCGTCTACTGATTTCCAGGGTATAAATATTCCCATTGTGGCCTATTCAATCAACTAATTTGCACTGAATGTGGATTGAGAAGAGATGCACAGTAGGACACCATTATATAGCATATTCTTATGCAGATATACAAAAGCGTAGATAATAGTAAAATTCAGAAAATAATTAGAAACTGATGAATTTTCAGTATTATTTTGTTTTTTAAATTTATTTAGATGTAAATTTATTAATTTTTAATTGTGATTGTGTGTTTAACAACTGACTTATAAAATTTCTGAAAATATGGCACTTGAACTCTTGAGGGCTGGTGTGAGCTAGCCCAGGCATTCTGCTTTGAAGGGATAAAGTAGCGTGAAGAGCCAGTAGGGAAAATTTGGGTTCTCAGTTTCAATTTCCATTTTTGCTTCATTCAGAATTGCCTCTTAGTGCCTCCATTCAACTAATATATACCACAAACCTATGTAATTTAACTTGTAATCATTTATACACAAACCTGACATTCCATGACATGTCATGGAAATTCTGCCAATGCATAAATTTGAATTGTATAAATTGTATTTGTGCAAATATAAGTAGTATATAGCTGATTTTGTCTAATTAACCAAGCAGCCTCCAGATCTCATTGCACCTTTGGGGTTTGCCACTCATCATCATTTATTGATGTAAGTGGGATGTTACATTATTCATGGTATTTGAAATTTTTCAAATACTGAAATAGTGCTGGGATAATATCAGAGTGCCAACAGAAAACAGTTTTGAGGATGTAGGAGGTGAGCCTGTCCAGAAGGACATAATATAAATTATTGGACTAAGGATTCATAAGCCGCACTTTTTCTAACCTCAGTCATAATTCTAACCAGTAATAGCATTTTGTATATGTTACTTCACCTTTGAACTCACCCCTCCTCATCTATAAAATAATACTTGTCATATTTTTCTCCCAGTATGTTTTGAAAATTGATATTTTGGCTTATATGCCTAGCACTTCTCTAAGGTTTTTACTGTATTTCCTTTGAGGTAAGTTACTGTTGTTTCCATTTTATGTAAGAGGAAACTGTGACACAGAAAGGTTAAGCAACTGGTGTAGTTAAATACTTTTTAATGTTGGAGTCAGAATATGACCCCAGGCATTTTGAGTCCAGCTATCTTTAGGCTATGTTATAAGGAGTGTGTGTATGTGTGTGTGTGTGTGTGTGTGTGTGTGTGTGTGTGTGTGTGTACACCTATGCACATATGAGTGTGTGTGTTTAAAAAGTCTTTTGTTAATATGAGATATTATAAGGATTAATCCAGTTTATTAATAATTTGACAAGATAGGGAAACTATATTGTTACCAAATACTAAAATGGAAATTTATTGATTGAAGACTGTTGGGAGGAATACATTGTTTTTATATTTTATTTGCATACAGATTGTATATTTTCTGTCATTTAAAATATTAAGGCATAGGTATGAACAATGAAATCTTCATAATTTCTGAAGTAGTATATTTCAAAAGGTGATTAATATATTAATACAGGTTGAGCATCTCTTATCCAAAACCCTGAAATTCAAAATGCTGCAATCTTTTTGAGTGCTGACAAGTAGAAAATTCCACACCTGACCTCATGTGAATGGTAAAGTTGCATGAGCAAAACAATTTAAAGTATTGTATAAAATTACCTTCAGGCCATATGTATAAGGTATATATGAAACAGACATATATGAATTTTGTGTTTAGATTTGGCTTCTATCCCCAAGATAACTTATTGTGTATATGCAAATATTCCAAAATCTGAAACTTTTTTGGTCCTGAATACTTTAAATAATGGGTACTCAACCTGTATGTAGCCTTTTCATTCTTCAGATACTATTAGAAATGTCTGAGATTTTTTAATAAAATGACTTTTTCAAATGCCATGTTTGGACAGATTAGAAACTGTATCTTAAGTAATAGTAGATACTATTTGTGCTACAATTAATGAAACAGGGCAAAGGAGTCCACTGTATTCATAAAAAAGATTTCAGATTGTTGTTTGGGGCATAATGTCATGATTAAGTGCAAGAGTAGGGTCATTAGACTGCCTGGGTTTAAATTCTATCTTTGCTGTTGTGTAAGTTGTATAGTCTTTGGAGAGTTATTTTACCCATTGGGACTTAATTCCTTATCTATAAAGTGGAAATAATAATCGTTTCTTGCACATAGGATTGTTGAAAGGATTAAATAAATTAGTGCATAAAAGCATCTAGAATGCCTAGTACGTGGTAAGTGCCTGATAAAATATTAGGTGATTTTGTAGTGTATTTTTTTAAAATCATAAGCTGGCCAGGGGTGGTGGCTCATGCCTAAAATCCCAGCACTTTGGGAGGCCAAGGTGGACAGATCATTTGAGGCCAGGAGTTCGAGATCTGCCTGGCCAATATGGCGAAACTTCATCTCTACTAAAATTACAAAAAATTAACCAAGGATGGTGGCATATGTCTGTAATCCTAGCTACTCAGGAGACTGAGGCAGGAGAATCACTTGAACCCAGGAGGTGGAGGTTGCAGTCAACTGAGATTGTGCCACAGCATTCCAACCTGGGTGACAGAGCATGCCTCTGTGTTTTTTTTTTCTCGTAAAAAAAATCATAAAAGTATGACAGTTCAGAAAGTAAATGTTTGATTTGCTTATTTACTACAGGTTTTCTTTTTTAAAGATTATAGCTGTTTTGACAAAGGGCAAACTTTTAGCCCTTAGGCTTCAGTTCATTTTGCAAAATAGAATGTTTAATAAGTCTTCTAAAGTGAATACTCTTTCTAAGTTTGAGAAATATGGTCACTTTATACGAGACAAAAGACCTCAGATCTTGGCTGCCCTGACCATCTCTCTGATCCCTTCTGGAATTAATCAGTTTGTATATACACAGTCATAAGTTTTCATGATTGTATAAAACTAGATTATAAGATGTATTTTACTTACTTTGTAAAGTCACTGAAATAATTGATGTCATAATCAATTAAAGACTCTGGAAAAGCTTTTCAGCCAATATTTGGATGTAGCTTTATTCTATCAAAGAAATATGTGCTAGTGTTTCCTAAAATTACCTTCAGCCTTTAATGTGGCATTTTTTAATTAGCAAAACTGTTTATGGAGTAAATGACAAAAACATGTTGAAAATTCACAGAGAGTACAACCTTCATATATAGGCATAGTGGTTTTTTTTTAATTTTGTATATTTTCATTTGTTTTTTTCTTTTGTTTCCTGTAGGCCCTCCTGGCGGTCCTTCGAGAGAGCCATCGATCAAGAACCGTTTTTAGAAAAGTTGGAGGATTTGTGTACATTACGTCCTTGCTTGTTGCTATGGAAAGATCTTTGAGCTGTCCACCCAAGAATGGCTGGGAGAAAGTGAACCAGAATCAAGTGTTTGAACTTCTTCACACTGTGTTCTGCACGTTGACTGCAGCCATGCGCTATGAGCCAGCCAATTCTCATTTCTTCAAAACAGAGATTCAGTATGAGAAGTTGGCAGATGCTGTTAGATTTCTTGGCTGCTTCTCAGACCTAAGAAAAATAAGCGCCATGAATGTCTTCCCCTCAAATACACAGCCATTTCAAAGACTTTTAGAGGAAGATGTAGTCTCAATGGAATCAGTGTCACCCACATTACGACACTGCAGTAAACTTTTTATTTATCTATACAAAGTAGCCACAGATTCTTTTGACAGGTATGGCTCTGCTTTGTCCTCTGAATTAAAGGGTGTATACTAAGCATGACATCAACATTAAGACTTGAATTATGAGTTAATCCAAAAGAATATGAAAATAGATGACTCTTCTCTCCTGTTTGCTTGATGTGTATCACTTTATTTTGAACATTACTCTTACTCTGATATTGTTTTTTTTAGCACGGAAGCCTGTGTATTATTTGTAAATTCAGGTTCAATTAGTTCTCATTGCAGTTATTGGAACAATTTCTATGAAGTTTCCTTTAATTATAGTGTTTACTATTGTCTTTATTCTTTTTAGCCTCAAAAACCTTAGGTGCATCTGGACTTACTGATATGTGTTATCAACAGAACGTCGTTATGATTATTCTTATTTCCAGACACATACTCCATCATTCTCCACATTTCGTATTCCTCAAAAAATGATATAGCTCCCAAAGAGAGATGTCAGTGTCTTGAACCATCAGGTTCAAGAGGCCATCAGACTCAGTATTTACTCATTCCTTCGTTAAGTACTTCATGAAAACCTGCTGCATGACAAGTCACTGTGCTAGGCATTGAGGATTCAGCTCTGCACAAGGCAGTCTTGGTCCTTGCTATCTTTTAGCTAAAATATAGACACATAAATAAACAATTACTTATATTGTGACAGATTCTGTGATGGGGAAATCCAGGGTTCTAAGGGAGATCATAGGAGAGCCACTTCATCGAGATTACTTATTTTCAGTGCTTCAGCTGTTTTCAATGAAAATGTCACTTTGAAAATAACACTGCTAATTTATGTCCCAAGCATTATTGCTTTTAACAGTTACCATAGTTTTACTTCATAAAATAAACGAACTTTCCTCATAAATCAAGTAACTCCATTGAATAGAACTTACAATAGGTTTTTGTCCTTTTCTGTGGAGCATCTGCTTTGAAGTATCAACTGAGATATTTCCTGCTTCTTAACAAGATTTCTTAGTCCTCAGTATTTACAATTAAAAATCCAAACAACTGCAACAAAAATTGTAAAAAAAAAAAATTTTAACTTCTGTTTTTCCCTATCTTGAAATAAAATACATATATATTGTTAACTTATAGGAAATAAAGGAAAGTGTAGTGTTCTAGGAATGAGCTATGTAAATTTGTGTATTCAAATTCAATCTCTTTTTCCTTGATTTCTACTTATCCTAGTTAGCATATGTCACTTTTAGTCACTTTGTTAAAAATAGGGCTTATAGCACCCTGTTTAACAGATGTGTTAAATGTTAACATGAATGGAATAAGCATCTGCCATGAGCATGCTTTTCTTGTTTCATTCAGTGCATGTGTTGTAGTCGTGTTCCTTGTTCCTGCTGAATATGGAAGATGTTCCTTATTAAACTTTTGCTGGCATTTCTTGTGAAACTAACCAACTGCCAACCTGGTGTTCTCTTCTTCTAACCTCTCTAAACCACCCTGTCTGTTTTGTTGTCTGTAGTCGTGCAGAACAGATCCCTCCTTGCCTGACAAGTGAGTCTTCTCTCCCCTCTCCTTGGGGTACACCAGCTTTGTCCAGGAAAAGGTACTGATCATATAAGAGAAATCCATCTCTGTTTGTGTGGGGTTTCTTTATTTCTGTGCTTATTTATGTTAACATGGTGATTGTGTTTTGTGATTTCAGTTTTTTTCTTCTTTTTTTTTTTTTTAATATGCTTTTGGGGTTTGGGGGTAGGTTTTTAAAATATCAATTTTTCTTATATACCTGAGAGTAAAATGTGTTGAAGCTATGAAGGGCATGTATAATTTTGTCATCCAACTATTTTTGATGACATATTTTGGTTGTAGAAAAAGCATGTCTTTTATTAAAAATAAGTTAGAAATGTGGACTTAATGTCTCTTTAAATAGAATACTTTTCTACTTTTTTTATTTTTTATTTTTATTTTTTACTTTAAACATTGTTGGGATCATTCATTGGTTTTTACTGTTATTCCAAAATGAGTATCATAGCACTGTGTATGAAGGAAGTGTATATTTTCTCCGACAGGTTCAACCAATTGAAGTATGTTGCTGTTATGAAAAATGCTCACAGCTAAACTTAGGAAAAGTAAATACAGAACCCACTCCAGTATTTACTTTGATCAGTTCTCTGTAAATCTCTAAGCTGATCTAGTTGATCTTTTTAAAATTACCTTTAAAAAAATTCTCAAATTTTTAAAAACTGCAGTTGATTGACAGAAGTATAATTAAGATCCATTTAAGATTACATTTGCAACCTGCACATAAAATGATCACAGCCTGCAGTTGGCCCCAAACACTTCATTCCTTCTCCTGTTTTCCTCATAACCAAAAATAAGTCCTTAACTCTTACATTAATATTATTTCATTGCTGCTTTTAAAACATGAATCTCAATATAGTTCTGCTATATTGTTGTTTTAATCTTATTACTGTTATTCAGATTTTGAAACTTGAAGATAGTTGGAGTTAGTACATCAAAAGTATTTGTTACAGATTTTGTATTTCAGCATATTTGCATAGTAATATTAGGTATAGGAAAAGACATAATTTCCTTCTCTTAAATTTACACTTATAGCTTACTTTGCATAGCAAACCATGACATGATTCAGAATAGTCTTAAATGAATATAGGATTGTTCAGAATATTCATGCTTAAAAAACTGCAATTTCTTTTTTAAAAAAGAGCTGTTCCTAATTCAAGGAATGAGAAACTAGATAAATTTGATTTGATATCGTGTATTTTTCTGTTGCAAAAATGAAGGAGGTAAAAAATATGTGTGTTTGAAAATTTGTGTGTTCTCATGATCCCAAGGCATTACTGAATGTTAGAGAAATAATTTCAATTAGTAAATAGTTTAAATTACTATAAAATCACAATTTAAAAATATGGTGATTATATTATAAATGAGTAAAGCCTTAAGATTTGCTGTTATGAACATTTAGTCCTTTTTAAGTATTAACCAAATGCCACAAAATAGAAATACACAGATTAAAATGATACTTAAAAAAATGCATCAGGGCCAGGCACAGTGGCTCACACCTGTAATCCTAGCGCTTTGGGAAGCCGAGTTGTTGTGCGCCTGTAATGCCAGCTACTCAGGAGGCTGAGGCAGGAGAATTGTATGAACCCAGGAGGCAGAGATTTCAGTGAGCTGAGATCACACCACTGCACTCCAGCCTGGGGGACAGAGTGAGACTCCATCTCCAAAAATACATCAGAACTTTCTGTTTATTTAAATAGTAATTTGACAAAGCGAAAACAGCATTTTCTTTCTATTCTTAAAGAGTTACTTATGGCCTTAAATCAAAAACATTTTGTCATCATTTACAGTGCAGCTACATGTAGAGATACCAAGTCTTTTACTTAAGGAAAAACTGTCACTAAATCAGTAAATCTAGTTGATTGAGCCCTAATCCATGTGAATTCTCCATGAGTCTTACAGGTTGACATTACCTCAAGGACAGAAAGCCCCAATACTGTTCATGCTAATGCTAAGGTCATGTTGACATTTTCAGGTTGCCATTCTATTCAGCCTGCATACATTTTGCTCAGTGGTAAGAATCATAAGCTAGTGAAGAATATAATGTTTTTACTTTACAAATTCAAGTTTAGTAACTTAGAATTAGAATTTAAGTCACACTATTTCTAGAACCTCTCAACAAATGACATCAGCTCATAGACATCTTTTTCTTGTAGAAAAACATACTGGCTTTGTTGGCAAAAGGAGAAACCAGAACTTACTGTGTTTTTATGGCTTGTGGAACACTCAGATGCTAAGGATGTTTTGAGCTTGTGATACTTGTCTGACACGTAGTATCCAGGAAATTCTTCTCTAATTATTTCAAGAATTCGTGGAAAATTAACTAGCTAACCTTATATTTGGAAAAGTAAAACTCATAACCCTTTTCATTGTTCAGAAAGAATAATAAAACAGAATTATAGCTGAACAGTGTTCAAAGTTAGAAGTGAATACAAAATAATAATTAGAATTACACAGAATATAACTGCAGTGGAGCAAAAGGCGGCAAATAATTGTTATCATTCAAACATGGGATCTATTACTCAGTGCTTCTACACACCTGATGATAATTTAAGCAAAGCAGATTCAGAATTTAAATATTTAATTATGTATTCCCAAAAGAGATAGATGAGTCTTAAATATACATGAGAATTTAGGTCAAAATATTAAATAGCAACCAAATTATGAAATGTGATTTTATCCTATATTTGCAAATGGTTAGTTCTTACTTGGGAACTAACCATTTAATGAGCTTACCATAATTCTAAAATTTAAAAAGTGATACTTGTAGTGATACCTAGGTGACTTAATCAGAATTAATTTTGTATAATACCTATTGTAATACACCTAATTTTAGTTAATAAATAGCATGTTTTAGATATCAGCAATGTTTGCAATATTTTTCTGGTTTGAAAACAATGAATGTAATTTCTTTTTTAGAATATTGTTTTCCGATATAAGATTTAAAAATTTTATTACTGTCATAGTTACATGCAGGTTGAGTATTTCTTATTCAAAATACATGGGACCAGAAGTGTTTTGATTTCAGGTTCTTTGGAGTTTGAAATATTTACAATATGTATAATGAGATATCTTAAATATGGGACCCAGTCTGGACACAGAATTTATTTATGTTTCATATACATCTTATACAAGTAGCCGGAAGATAACTTTATGTAATATTTTTAATAATTTTGTACATGAAACAAAATTTTGACTATGTTTTGACTGTGATCCGTCATATGAGGTCAGATGTGAAATTTTCTACTTGCGGTGCCGTGTGGGTGCTTAAAAAGTTTTGGATTTAGGAGCATTTCGATTTCAGATTTTTGGATTAGGGATACTCAACCTGTGTTAGTAAACTCTTTACAGGTTGTTCAATGTCCAAAGATGTAAAGATTTCTTCCTGAGTGTATCAGTAATTTAAATCCAAATCTCATTTAATCTGTCAATTTAGAAATTATTTTTTAAGGCCTAAACTAAAATATATAGTTAGAATCTATGCATATATGTGTATGCAGTGAAAACATTTTTAATGAAATTTTGGAATTTAGTGGTTATTTCTGATACATACTAGATAAATTATCAATCTTTTTTCTAGATGTATCAAAATATTTAAAAGAAGGGAGCAGTATAGGAGGAGGATGACTGTTGGTAATACACATTTTGAAATATTTTTCTTAGTAAGTTTAGAGATTAAATCTTTCTGAATGAAAAATGGCGGAATATAAGGAGCGAAAACATGAATGGGTAGAGGACATGCTGACTTTTAAATAAACTAGGAGAGCCCATGTGCCTTTTTATAAGTAAAGCTGAACACTTTCCTAGAATCTCTGTTAAAAAGAGAATGGTATTTTTTTAAAACCATGGCAGTGCCAATTCTTTGCTACTAAATCACTGACGTAAAGCATCTGTTTCCCAAGCTGCTCTTGTCCCAGAGAGCTGAAACTGCATTGCTCTCTGTGACAGAGCTCAGCATTAGGCAAATTATGCTGAGACCAACTCATTGGAACAAAGAGTTCCCATAGGCTGAAGCCACAAGCATCTGTTTCTTAGTGCCAAGATGCAAAATGTGCAAAATTCATGAATTGTAGATGAGTAGTATGAAATAGAAAGTAGACATCATTGATGAGAAGAAATGTGTACATTCAGGACATGGCTAGGCTTTTTAATTCATAGAAACTTGTTCTGTAAATTGCTTCAAGTTTTAAAAAGTTGCAATGAATATTTTCAGTAGTAGTGACGATAGATGCAAAAGGTGTAGGTATTCCAAATACGCTAAAGTAAAACTCCCATAATGCCTAATATATTTATTCTTGGATAGCCTAGACTCTGAGCCAATCCTGACTCAGTCGACCCAGTTAGTTCTTGATTGTGTTACCCTACCCATGCACTAAGGAAAGGTTAAAACACATATAGGTAATTTCAAAAGATGAAATCTCATTGAGGGAATTAATTTAACGTGATCTCTCAGCACATATTGTTGGAACTGTCTTCTTCCTAGAGTTTTGAATCACTATGATTTTACGTGTTTATATCTTCTAATACAGGTGTTATCTTTTAATCAAACAATCCAAGTAGTAAATCAGTAAAGGTAAAAATCATATAAAGGCTATGAATAATTGTTAGTTACATGGTCTGCAGACACACACACACACACACACACACACACACGAAGTCGAGTTGATAATCTATTGCTTTTTTCCTGTCCCAACCTTAAGGTGTTTTGTAACAAGGCTTTTTGGTTATCAGTGGATGAATATAACCGAAGAAGAAGAAAATGAAAAGAGAATGTGATTGGAATTCAATAGCAAATTTGCTCTTCTTTATTTTTTTATAGGCATGCATATCATTCTGTTTCAACTCCCCCTGTTTACCCTCCTAAAAATGTTGCTGACCTGAAACTGCATGTGACAACTTCATCTCTCCAGAGTTCTGATGCAGTCATCATTCATCCTGGAGCCATGCTTGCCATGCTGGACCTGCTAGCCTCTGTTGGATCAGTGACACAGCCAGAAGTAAGCTTGGATATGTTAGTTTCTTTCCGTCTTTAATGAAATGAATCAAAGGATGTGAGTGTGATTATATGTGCTGGGGGTTGAGGAAGAAAGAAAGTTAATATTACATACTAAAGTAGGTGAAGGAAAAAAAAATAGGATTTTTCTATTTGAGTCTTACGTTTCATAATGAATGCTAGAATAGATATGTTTTAGAATCCAATTCATTGGTTACAAAGACAACCAAAATGGTTACTTCTGGTGCTAGAATAATTCTGTCTCTTTGTAAATCCTACTCAGCACTGGACATTGCTAATGAATAATACAGAAGGAAAAATGACTGAAGATACTACATTGAGGCTACTTGTCTGTTTTGACTTGTGGCACTCAAATGTTTGGATGAACTGAAGTTTGGGTGACGATTAAGAAGACTTAATCCCCACTATTTCTATAAAAATAGAACTACTTTTAGTCGTATTGTCATGTAATACAAAAGTCTTGGAAGAGAATAGAGTCCAGCTGCGTGTACTTCTAGCAAAATTAAATAGGACATGTTTGCCTAACCTGTTTTGGTATTGCTATATTGCTCTAAGCCAGTTACTTATTTTATCTGAGTGTATTTGGAAGCAAAAGGTATACTTTGGCCGGACGTGGTGGCTCATGCCTGTAACACCAGCACTTTGGGAGACCGAGGTGGGTAGGTCGCCTGAGGTCAGGAGTTTGAAAGCAACCTGGCCAACATCGTGAAACCCCGTCTCTACTGAAAATACAAAAGTTAGTTGGGAGTGGTCGTGGACACCTGTAATCCCAGTTACTTGAAAGGCTGAGACAGGAGAATCACTGGAACCCAGGAGGCGGAGGTTGCAGTGGGCCCAGACCATGCCATTGCATTCCAGCCTAGGCAACAAGAGTGAAACTCCATCTCAAAAAAGAAAAGAGAAAGGGATGCTTCATGTGAAAAGAATTGTCACCTGTCTCACTAAGAATAACTGTGTGGATTTCTTTCTTGATTTTAGCATGCTTTGGACCTTCAGCTTGCCGTGGCAAATATTTTACAATCCCTGGTGCACACAGAAAGGAACCAGCAAGTCATGTGTGAAGCTGGTCTTCATGCGCGACTGCTGCAGAGGTGCAGTGCTGCTTTGGCTGATGAGGACCACTCACTGCACCCACCCCTGCAGCGGATGTTTGAACGATTAGCCTCTCAGGCCCTGGAACCCATGGTGTTGAGGTAAGTTCTCTTTCATATTCAAACCGTCCGCAATTAGTAGTGTCAGTTTCTAGAGTCCCTATGAGTCCAGAGTTCCCGCTTTAATGGATAATATTCAGCTGTCTATGGGCAAAATATAACAAAAATGGACAAAATACTCAAAATACAGCAATTAGAAACAAATCTAGTTATTATCATTTGATATTTCTGTCCAGTTATTTCTTTCATTTGAATCTGGCAAGCTCTCACTTTCCTTTAAGAATAAAGTCATGCATTTACTTCATATTTAATAACCTTTCATATGTAAGAACTTTCTAAAGAAATACTTTTTTAACTTTTTAATTTTGAAATAATAATAGATTCACCGTAAGTTGTGCCTGTAGATCCAAGAGTTTTCCTGTGTCCTTTGCCTATTTTCCTCCAGTAGTTACACCTTGCATAACTATATTATAGTATCTAAACCAAGAAATTGATATTGGTATGATGTATTCATGTGCACATACAGTTATCTGTTATTGTATCACATGTGTAGATTCATGTAATCACCACACAATTACGATGCCACAAAGATTTCTCTAGTGCCATCTTTATTGTCATACCTACTCCCCTAATTTCAACATCCTTAGTCCATGGAAACCACTGATCTGTTCTCCATCTTCATAGTTTTGTCATTATGAGAAGGGGTCCCCAGCCTCCGAGCCATGGTCTAGTACTGGTTCACATCCTGTTAGGGACTGGGCCACACAGCAGTAGGTGAGCTGCGGTTGAGCCAGCATTACCGCCTATGCTCCACCTCCTGTCAAATCAGTGGTGGCATTAGATTCTCATGGGAACGTGCACCCTATCATGAACTGTGAATGCAAAAGATCTTGGTTGGGCAGTCCGTATGAGAATCTGACAGATATACCTGATGATCTGATGTGGAACAGTTTTATCCCAAAACCAACCCCCACAACCCATCTGTGAAAAAAATTGTCTTCCACAAAACCTGTCCCTGATGATAAAAAAGTTTGGGAACTACTAATTTTGAGAATGTTATATAAATGAAGTTATACAGTATGTGATCTTTTGAGATTGTCTCCTCACTAATCATAATGCTCTTGGGCTGCATACAAGTTGTCACATGTATCAATAGATTTTCCTTTTTATTACCGAATAGTACTCCATAGTATGGAGGTATAACAGTTTGTGAATCATTAAAGAAATATGGCCAGGCGCTGTGGCTCACGCCTGTAATCCCAGCACTTTGGGAGGCCGAGGCAGGTGGATCATGAGGTCAAGAGATGGAGACCATCCTGGTCAACATGGTGAAACCCCGTCTCTACTAAAAATACAAAAAATTAGCTGGGTCTGGTGGTGCGTGCCTGTAGTCCCAGCTACTCGGGAGGCTGAGGGAGAGAATTGCTTGAACCCAGGAGGTGGAGGTTGCAGTGAGCCAAGATCACACCACTGCACTCTAGCCTGGGTAACAAGAGCGAAACTCTGTCTCAAAAAAAAAAAATAAAGAAAAGAAAAAGGAAATATATACTTATATATATTTTTTTCTTGAATAATTCATATATATATATATCTGTCATTTCCTCCAGGAAGCCTGCTTTGAGCCACCCTTCCAAAAGTCTGGGTAGGCTGCCCCTATATAAACTATAACACTGCTAGTACAGAGCTTATTTTATATATTTATGTATACACATATGTATAATCTGTTTTAAATACAAGAGAAACAATGCTGTATGTTTTAGGAGTGAAATTTGCCATGCTTATTTTTTTTTTATTTTTATTTTGAGACAGAGTCTCGCACTGTCGCCACTGGAGTGCAGTGGCAAGATCTCAGCTCACTGCAACCTCCACCTCCTGGGTTCAAGTGATTCTCCTGCTGCAGTCTCCCAAGTGGCTGCATTACAGTGCCCCCCACCACACCCAACTAATTTTTTGTACTTTTTTTAGTAGAGATGGGGTTGCACTATGTTGGCCAGGCTGATGTCAAACTCCTGACATCGTGATCCACCCGCCTCAGCATCCCAAAGTGCTGGGATTACAGGCATGAGTCACTGCGCCAGCCTGCTGTGTGCCTAATTTTAAACACTTTTTCCTGTATTTTCCTTTATATTACCTAATCAGACAAATTTAATGTATAAATCATCTTGTTCCTCCTTACAAAAATATACTTGCGTATCTTGTTACTCTGGGAATATAAGCAGATCTCTGTATTCAGTTTTGTTTTGTTTTTTTTTTTTCTACTGTTAGAGTACTCCTCTTTTATAAAACTTTTAGGAGCTTTCTTAAAAATTGTTGAAATTTATTTGTAAGTTTTAAAACTGACTCCAAACTGATTGTTGATTAAGAAACTTTTATGCAGTAAACGTTTGTTAAATGGTGTTGAATCAGGCAGTTCACGACTTTTATAATGCCAAGATGAGTGAGATGGACCTACTCACTTCATCCATCATCTTATGGATGTGCACACAGTCCTAAAGTTTTGAAAATAGCATTGAGATTTTCCCCTGATCTTTTTTGGCAATCTGCCACATTAAAAGTAGACACAAACACACACACACACACACGCACACGCACACGCACACACACAGAGAGACAGAGAGAGAGAGAGAGAGAAACAGACAGAGACAGAGAGAGAGAAGAGAAGAGAGGGGAACACAAAGAGGGAGAGAGAGAGAGAGGAGAGGAGAGAGAGAGCAACACACTGTCCCACACCTAATGCTACTATTTTACTATATTGCATAGTTAAATAGAATAGGCAATGAAAATCAGTCACTGGATATGTTCTGTTTTCACAGTGAGTATATTCTCATAAAAAAAATGTCAAGTGATGGTACAAGTACTTTGCTACTTAAGAGCTGTAGATTATAAACTAATTGTGTATGACGTTCTACATGAAAAACTGGCAAACCTAACTTTTAAGCCTTTTTTTTTTTTCCTGCTATAGGGAATTGAAAATTTAGAGAGGTATTCTACTTTTTTTTTTTTTTACATGATGTTATAAATGACAGGATATGGATGGTTCATGCTCTTAAAAAATGTATAGTTTAGTAATAGTTTAATAAGGAATGTGTGTAGACAAGTAGGAAATTTTTATTAGTAAGTTCTGTAATAGCAGTGTTACAGAGTTTATTTAGGGACAGCCTACACTTTTGGAAGGGTGGCTCAAAGAAGGCTTCCTGGAGGAAATGACAGTTAATGAAATAAAGTATGAGGTCGGGCAGTGTGGCTCACACCTATAATCCCAACACTTTGGGAGGTCAAAGCAGGTCAGGAATTTGAAATAAGCCTGAGTAACATAGTGAGACCCTGTTTCTACAATTTTTTTTTTAAGCTAGCATGGTGGTGTGTGCCTGTAGTCCTTGTTACGTGGGAGATTGAGGAAAAGAATTTCTTGGGCCCAAAAGTTTGAGATTACACTGAGCTGTGATCACACCACTGCACTCCAGCCTGGGTAACAGGGCAAGAGCCTGGCTCACCAAGAAAAAAAAAAAAAAAAAAAAAAAAAATTTAAGTAAGAAAGTTAAAGTATGGAAGAGAGTTAATCAGGTAGAAAAAGTAAGGCAAAGAATTTTTTTCCCCAACAAGAAAGCAAATATGGTGATCCAGGGTGAGGAAGGAGTACAGCATTCTTAAGCAGTCAGAATTTTTAGGTATGTCTTTAATGGAATTTATGATTGGGGGGAAAAATGACAGCAATGAAGCTGGAGTTTACACTAGAAATCATCTCATATATGGTACTGAATTCTAGCTGTTTTGGGTTTTCATCTACCAGAAATGGACAGCCATCGCAGTGTCTTAAGCAATAGAGTGACACTGTAGATTTCAGTTCTGAGAGATAATGACTGTAGTGAAGAATGGATTGAGTTGGGTCAACATTATTGTCTCAGGAGATAATTAAGACTTGGTTTTAGGAATAATAAAATAATGTGGTCTGGGTGGTAGAAGCAAGAATGAGAGAAGAGAGCAGATCCCGTATTTTTAGAGAGTAGAAATAACAAGATTTTCTGATTTTCTGAATGTGGAAAGTTAAAGGAGAAGGAACAAAATTACATTTCAGTGAGGTATAGAACATAAGAAAAACTCTGGGTTTGGATATAGGTGATGAGTTTGGTTTTAGAAGTACTTGAATTGGGGTTCTTCTTAAATATTATTAACTTCTAAAACATGAATTTTAAAAAAATGTGTAGCAGATATATAGCTATATGGTGATTAAATGTAAAACTAACACTATATGTTTTATTATACTTTGCATTTTTTGTATTGTAATTAGTCTGTTATAATTTATTAAATTCCTTTTTTGAATGTTTGGTGTATGAATTATAATATTCTCAAGCAAGAAATAACTGTCTAAAAATAAATTTTAAAAAATGTAGCAGATATATAGGTATACGGTGATTAAATGTAAAACTAACACTATATATTATTTTATTATACTTGGCATTTTTTGTATTGTAATTAGCCTGTAGGAATTTATTAAATTTATTTTCTGAATATTTGGTTTATGAATTATGTAATATTCTCAGTCAAGGAATAACTTTGCTTTGTCTCTTTCTTAGGGAGTTTTTACGTTTGGCAAGTCCTTTAAATTGTGGTGCCTGGGACAAAAAACTACTAAAACAATATAGGGTCCACAAACCAAGTTCACTGAGTTATGAACCAGAGATGAGAAGTAAGCTGACTTTTAAAATTCCTCTTTTTGATTTATTTTATGAATGAAAATCATGTAGGGGCTGAACATTATTTCAAGAAGTTTGTGAAAGCAAAGAGAGAAGGGCTTGTTATTTAAATAGAGAAACAAAAGATTGGGTTGATTGACAAAGGGGACAGCTGGAGAGAGGAAGAAATCAGTATTTTAAGGATCCAGAAGAGGTAGGAATTATGGGTAGAACAACCCTTGACTTGGAAGGGAGATACCTCTTTCTCAGAGGATTTGTAATTTCTCTGCCTTCCTCGAGTAGCCTTTGCCGCCTGCACTGAAGAGTAGTTGATTAGATTATTGTTGACAGGTGGTGGATTTGCAGGACAACTACTGCAGGAACACGTGGAGGATAGGAAATTTTAAATACTGATAAAAGTAGTTGAACTGATACATTAATCCAGCATATAGGCTGGATAAGGAAAGAAGTAAAGCCAAGTAGCGAGTGATAGTCTGAGAGAAAAGAAGGGTTAGATGGCCACGTTGGAAGGAAGTAGTGATCATATACTTCAGCTCTTTCGTTTTTCAGGTGACAGTTCTGAAGTCAGATTAAACAAACTTCACCCATTATTTCAGTCTTATTTTTTCTTCATACAGATGATTGTCAGTGATTAGCAAATACTGTGCTTGTGTTTTGGAAACTTTAAGATATTCTGACTTCCAACACTGTTACATTAGAGAACAGAAAGGATTGCAGTTTTTCATGTTAACTAATGTACAGCTTCTGGAGTATTTTTTGTTATCGTCATTTTTTTGTTATTATTTTTGTACTTTACACAGTTTCTTAGAATTGAGTTGTGATTTTCTTGCTAAGAGTAGAAACAAAAATTGTTCCTTTCCCTAAGAGAATATTGAAATATTTTTATAGTTGCCTGAATATCTGGCACATTTAGGAGGAAAACAGTTACCTACGCTCATGTAGTTTACCTCGAGAGAGAATATTTTTTTCATTATATTTGTAATGTGTCCCTGGAAAGATAATGACAATTTGTTTAGAATTTATCTTTTCATTCTTGAAATTGTTACCCTTTCTATAAAAATGGAAGTCTTTAAATTAAAGTACTTTATGATCATGCATTTAGTTCTAATAATTGTAAGGAAAGAATTAATAATGGGGAGAAAATAGAAGAATCAAGTTTCTGCCGTTTATCTGTAATTTTTTAAATAAAGATGACCTATTTCCTTTCTTTTTAATGCTTCTAAAATTGTTTACTTTTCCCTCAAAGATAATTAATAAAACATAGTTTTATGAAATAAATGTATTACGTGATTTGTAAACTATTAACTGAGATTTATAATTAAATTACATTGTATCATGTACATGACAATTATTTGAGATTTTTATTTTTATTTATACTCTAGTTTCCAACATTTCTGCAATGGTGCATATTGCTTTAGGGAAACACATGCTGTTAAGTTTAAAAATAAAGTACATTAGCCGGGCGCGGTGGCTCAAGCCTGTAATCCCAGCACTGTGGGAGGCCGAGGCGGGTGGATCACGAGGTCAAGAGATCGAGACCATCCTGGTCAACATGGTGAAACCCCGTCTCTACTAAAAATACAAAAAATTAGCTGGGCATGGTGGCGCGTGCCTGTAATCCCAGCTACTCAGGGGGCTGGGGGAGGAGAATTGCCTGAACCCAGGAGGCGGAGGTTGCGGTGAGCCAAGATCGCGCCATTGCACTCCAGCCTGGGTAACAAGAGCGAAACTCCGTCTCAAAAAAAAAATAAAATAAAATAAAAAAAATAATAAAGTACATTAAAACTGGATAATGATCTTGGTACTTAAAATTATTGTATAGTGAAACTGAAGTGGTATTTAAAAATAAATCCGCCTTGTAAACTTACTTTAAAATTCCATATGACATTTTCACAAGAGATTTCTTTGACTTACAGGTAGTATGATCACATCTCTGGAAGGTCTGGGTACTGATAATGTTTTTAGCTTACATGAAGATAACCATTACCGGATAAGCAAGAGCCTGGTCAAATCTGCGGAAGGAAGTACTGTACCCCTAACCAGGGTGAAATGTCTGGTCTCCATGACAACCCCACATGACATCAGACTTCATGGGTCATCAGTTACTCCAGCTTTTGTTGAATTTGACACATCGCTTGAAGGGTTTGGGTAAGGAATTTGCAAGGAAGCCAAGCTTTGTTATTTTATGCCTCATACTTGCCTTTACAAATAGATCTTTGGTTTTAAATATACTTGATTAAAATATATTTTACCATACTTAATATTTTTTAATGATTGAGTATTTTGAGCATGCTATTTTAAGATTACTATATTTGATTATTTTTGTTTATTATACTAAATAAATTGACATGACATAGGAATCTAAAATCTTAGGCCCACGAACCAAATCTGTTTTGTCAGTAAAGCTTTTGCAAACTGTGTCTTTATTTATTTATTTTTTTTGTAAATGAAGTTTTATTGGAACACAGCTACACTCATTTATATATATATTTCCTATGGTCATTCTTGTGCTGGAGTGTCAGAGTTGAGTAGTCAGATGGAGACTGCCTGGTTTACAAATAATAAAATATTTATGACTTGGCCCTTCCCAGAAAAGTCTGCCGACTTCTGATGTAATAAATATAAATGTATAGATAATATATAAATTAAAATTAGATTGAAAATTATTTAGGTTTTATCATCATCTTTCCTTCAAATTACCTAGCATAATAATTTATACATTATAAATATTCAATGACTGTCACTTCAAATGAGTAAATTATTTCAAGTAGCAGAAAAGATTATGGTAGTAGAAATGCCAGTAATGAATCTATAAACAATCTAAAAGAGTTCATGAAGTCCAGCAGCCTTAAAATAGACACAAATGTTAATAGACCTAATAGCTAGATCTGTTTGCTATTAGAGGTTTTTTTTTTTTCCTTTTGAGACAGTCTTGCTCTGTCACCCAGGCTGGAGTGCAGTGGCACTCTCTCAGCTCACTGTAACTTCCGCTGCCTGGGTTCCAAGTGATTCTCCTGTCTCATCCTCTCAAGTAGTTGGGATTACAGGCTTATGCCACCACACCTGACTATTTTAGTATTTTTAGTAGAGACGTGGTTTTGCCATGTTGGCCAGGCTGCTCTCAAACTCCTGACCTCAGGTGATCCACCCACCTCAGCTTTCCAATGTGCTAGGATTACAGGCGTGAGCCACTGCGCCCAGCCTTAGAATGTTAATTCATAATTTTTGTCTATACTAGTTGTTTGTGGTATTCTTATATTGATGGAAACCTTTGTGTTTTAAGAATATTATCATGGGTCATTATCAAACAATTAAAACATGATTGGGAATAGTCAAAAACGATCACTGATAACAAGAGAGTGACTAGAAAGAGGCACAGGGGAATTTTCCTGCAGTGATGAAATCGATCTAATGTCTTGATTGGGTTTATACATTAGAGTATGTTGCCATGTGCATATTACTCCTTAATTTTTTAAAAATTTAAATAAAAAATGTTATTTTTGGAGATTTGACAATTATATCTCTTGATATCCTTACATAATTGAAAGAAGGGAAGGGCTTCCAGATTTATTCCATGATCTTGTCTCTAGTTACCATTAAATACTGGCAGTTATTTCACTGTTGTAAGTGCATAGTGTTAAGGGGTAAAGTCATGATCTCTAATATGTATGTTGTCTTTTCTTTAATAGCTGTCTGTTTCTGCCTAGTTTGGCCCCTCATAATGCTCCTACAAATAATGCCGTCACAACAGGTCTTAATGATGGGGCTGTCGTCAGTGGTATTGGTTATGGTAAGTAATGTTTTCTTTGTGCTTATGATATTTTTTTTCCAGTACATTATATTTAATTTAGAGTTTATATGCTTTTGTGGGCATCTTTAAAAATACAAATATTAATCAACACAAACTTTTTTTGTTATTATAGGGGAAAGATTATTCCCTCCTCCATCTGGCTTAAGCTACTCTAGCTGGTTTTGTATTGAACATTTTAGTTCTCCTCCAAATAGCCACCCTGTCAGACTTCTTACCGTTGTGCGCCGAGCAAATTCTTCTGAGCAACATTACGTTTGCCTTGCCGTAGTTCTGTCAGCAAAAGACCGATCTCTGATTGTTTCCACTAAAGAGGAACTTCTCCAAAATTATGGTCAGTATTTGCATTTCCTGTTTTTTCTTTTGATTCTAGAAGTATTAAACTTCATTTTTGTATTTATTTTAAAAGTCCAACTAATAACTTTTCAGCTTAAATTATCATAGCGTAGAACAAGTTATATGAAATATTGAATATCGGTTACCAGTGAATTTTAAGACACTTTCAAAAGAGACATACAAAACAGTGGAGAGACTGAGTACCTAAAAGGACTTATCTCTACTTGCCAAGAAATCATAGCTTTTGCTAGGAAAGCAGGTTGCTTGTTTGAGTATTTTGGTAAGGATTATCATTGGCTGTGAATTCTGCTTAACTAATTAATATTCATTGAGCACCTGCCCGCCATATGTGCCACACTGTGCTAGACACAATAACATTTCAATTACCTTATCCATGACTTACCTTTAAGATGTAATACATATGATTTTATAATTCCAATTCCCTAGTTTTCTCCAATATGCCATGACTTTACAGTGCTATACAATGGAACTCCAAACTCAAGGCATTCATGAAGATCTTGCTAAATGATGTAAATAGCTTAAAATGTAAAACTCAATTTACTCTATTTTCTTGCTGAAGAATATAACCATTTTTATATAAATGTGATTTTTGTCATCTAATTTTGTTCTTTTAACTGAATAAGTAAAATAATACATATTAATTGACGTGTGGTTGGTATTCAATAAATAGTAATTTAATATAATTATTAATCTTTTATTAGATTGTAAGGCTTCTTGACTTAGTATTCTTCATGGTACCTAGCACAGAACTATCAATATAGTTAGTACTTCAAAATTCTTGTTGTGATGCTTTATTTACCCCTTAGTAGCATTTGGTCCTGTTGACTAATTCCTCTTAATTAAAACTACCTTCAATCTTGCTTTCTAGAATACTCACTATTTCTCTGATCTTTGTTTTGCAATTTCCTTCAATCGCTATCTCTTCCATCTTCTCCTCAAAATTAGTATTCTCCAGGGTTTCACCTTTGATCTTTGTACTTGACCAACTCTTAATGGGAAAAAAAAATCATAAATTAGTATTCCTTTAAGTCTTTTTTATTTCAAGGACTGTGAAGTCAAATTTTTATTTCATTTGTCTATATCCCAAGCTATGTCCTCATATTTCCAGCTGCATATTAGACATCCAGTTAGACAGTATTCCAATAAACATCTCAGATTCTAATATTTCTTCTTTATAAAACCTACATCTCCTTTAGAAGAGACCAAGGTTGCAGGATTGCTGAAGCACATGAGTTTGAGGTTGCAGTGAACTATGAAGAGGCCACAGAACTCCAGCCTAGAGAGACCCCATTTCAAACAAAAACAAAAATCCTACATCTCCTTCTGCTTTCCTATGTTGGTAAATGACACTACCACTGCCAGTTGGCCCAGCTAGAAATCTTGAGTCAACTTGAAAATACCACCCCTTCCACTAAGTCTTACTGCAATATGCCTCCCTAATATTTCTAAAATTGTCCCTTCTTCCCTATGCTCACTTCCATAGCACTTTTTTAATAATCTTCATCTCTTATCTAGACTTCATAGATTTTAATTTTTAATTTTCTTTTTGTCTGCTTATTCCATTAGAACCTCCCACAAACAAGATTATTAATCTTCGTAATCTAGGCAGCCCTGTTGTCTGACATAGTACCTAGAATGTATATTGTATAAACATATAAATGCATGAATAGAGGAAATGAATGGCCTGAGGAGGAAACAATGAGAAAAGTGAATAATAGTGGGGAATTTGAAAACACCCGGGAATTTAATGGAAAAGTTAAGTACTGGATCTGGAGACAAATCTGTAAACTAGGAAAATATTGTCTAACTCTATCTCATTTTTATTACTAAATGTAATTTGCCAGGCTGCTACAGTCCATATATGATTAGAAATGATGGTAACGTATGCATTAGTATTGCCAGGATACGTTCTCCCAACAGCTGTAACCCATTAAGATGCCTAGAAAATTAAGAGTTGTCATAAGCCAGTTGGCTTACTGAGATACCCTGACACACCACTCAGTGCTGGAAATGTCTTAGTTCAAACCTAAGTCAGAAAATGAAATGCTCACAAATTTTTATAAGGAATATATTCTTCAATACTTGAGAAGACTTACAGTCTATGAACCAGGGAAGGAAAAGGGACAAGTTTCTTGTTTCACCCATATGTTCATCTTTACTTTCACCTCCATTGGTCCATGACATGAGACCTATCAAGGCTTTAGGATCCTGCTTTCTGCCTAGTTTAGTCAGTTCCTATATCAAGTCACCTCATAGATAAGATTTTTGCCTGTGTAATAGTCTTGTCAACAGACATATATTCTGAATTGACATTCTAAAATATCTTTTTTTTTTTTTTTTTTGGTGGCGGGTAGGGATTTTTATTCTTTTTAACCAGGCTAGAGTGCAATGGCGCGATCTCGGCTCACCGCAACCTCCGCCCCCTGGGTTCAGGCAATTCTCCTGCCTCAGCCTCCTGAGTAGCTGGGATTACAGGCACGCGCCACCATGCCCAGCTAATTTTTTGTATTTTTAGTAGAGACGGGGTTTCACCATGTTGACCAGGATGGTCTCGATCTCTCGACCTCGTGATCCACCCGCCTCGGCCTCCCAAAGTGCTGGGATTACAGGCTTGAGCCACCGCGCCCGGCCCATTCTAAAATATCTTGGCAGTTAAGTATGTGCAGATATTTTAAGATTCCAAAATTAGAAATTAATATTTTATTTGCATTTTCTATTTCATATCTCATAAATTTTACTTTCATATGTTTGTTTGAACATGCTGTGAAAAATACTAGATCTGCATTAAATTGTGTGGTTACAGATTAGCTCTTTTCTTAATTAAAAAAAAACGAGTATTTAAAATCTGGCTTTCCACTGCTGTCTTGTCACTTGTTAAGTACTGATAAAAGGTAAATTAATTTTTATTTAGCTAAATATTAAAATTAATATGAAACCATTATTTCTTAGCATGGTTTGGTAATATACAGGGTAGCAAAGAGGAGCCAGATTAGAGTCAAGAAGTAATTGTAGAATGGTAGCAAATCAGAATATATTTATGTACATGGGACACAGTTTTCTGATGAAGCCGGAAACTTGGATCAACAAATACCTATTCTATACTGTAAATCATCTCCTTTTTACTAGCTGTTATTATGGACAGTACGGCCACTAACTAATAATAGATAGTTGTTCCCTTGTATCATTGAGTATAGCATATAGCAAGAATGAACTTTACATTTTTCTTGGTTGTTTTTCTAACCCATACTGTAACCAAATCAATGTCAAAAAGTCACAGCACATTATCATTGACTATAGATGCAGTGTTGTACAGCAGATCTCAAACTTTTTGTCTTTTGCTTCACTGAAACTTCATGCCATTTGTTTAGAAACTCCCCATTTGCCCCTCCCTCGAGACCTTGGCATCCAACATTTCATTCGTTGTTTCTCTGAATTTGACTATTTTAAATACCTCATATAAGTGGAGTCATGCAGTATTTGTCGTTCTATAACTGGCTATTTCATTTAGCATAATGTCCTTAAGCTTCCTATGTTGTCAGATATTGCAGAATTTCCTTCTAAATATTATTCCATTGTATGTATATACCGCATTTTCTTTACCTACTCATCTGTCCAGGGGAGTACTGATGCCTCTTTGAAGTCCTGATTTCAGTGATTTTAGGTAAGTGCCTAGATATGGTATTGCTGGATTATATGTTAGTTCTATTTTCAGTGTTTTGAGGAACCTCCATACTGTTTTCCATAGCAGCTGCAGTACTTTGCATTCCCACCAACAGTGCACAAGAGTTTCAGTTTCTCCACATTCTTGCCAAAGTTTGTGTTTTGTATTTTGATAATAGCCATTCTGATAGGTGTAAGGTGTGATTATATCATTGAGCTTATGGTTTGCATATCCCTGATGATTAGTAATACTGAGCATTTTTTATATACCTGTCTGCCATTTATGTGCCTTCTTTGGAGAAGTGTCTATTCAAGTTCTTAGCTCATTTTTAATTGATTAATAGTTTCTTTACTATTGAGTTCTAGTAGTTCTTTATGTATTTTTGACATTGATCCTTTATAAAATACACAGTTAGCAAATATTTTCCTCTGATTCCATAGATTGCCTTTTCACTCTGTTGTTTCCTTTGCTATTCAAAAGCTTTTTAGTTTGCAGTAGTTCCACCTGCTTATTTTTGTTTTGGGTGTCAACTAGTCTCTTTTTTATTGTTTATCATAACTTTATTGTCTGTTTATTTATTTATTTTTACTTCATGAGCTAACTCCTGTTCATTATAACTTTATTTGACTGTACCTATATTTCTTGAGCAGACAAGAGCAAAAATATATTCTAGGTTTCACTTCTTACTGCAGGTAAGGGTATTTGCATGAATAGGGTATCTTCAGTTTGCATTATCTTTTTATTTTTATTTTATTTCTTTTTGAAATGGAGTCTTGCTCTGTTGCTCAGGCTGGAGTACAGTGGTGCAGTCTCAGCTCACTGCAACCTCTGCCTTTCAGGTTCAAGCAATTCTCCTGTCTCAGTCTCTCGAGTAGCTGGGACTACAGGCACACACCACCATTCCTGGCTAATTTTTGTATTTTTAGTGGAGATGGGGTTTCCCCATGTTGGCCAGGCTGGTCTCGAACTCCTGACCTCAGGTGATTCACCCTCTTCTGCCTCCCAAAGTACTGAGATTACAGGCATGAACCACCACACCCAGACAGCATTACGATTTTTTTTTTTTCTGGAGTTTTATAATTACTCAAATCAGTCTGCATCATCATTTTGTTTTAACATAAAGTCAAAACATGCTGATCTAGATATGAATAATTGTTTGAATAGGGATGGTATTGGGAAAGGTTTTTTATGGCTTCCCCCCTTTATTTCAGTTGATGATTTTAGTGAAGAGTCCTCATTTTATGAGATTCTCCCATGCTGTGCTCGCTTTCGATGTGGAGAGCTTATCATTGAGGGACAGTGGCATCATTTGGTCCTGGTAATGAGCAAAGGCATGTTGAAAAACAGTACTGCAGCCCTCTATATTGATGGACAGCTTGTTAACACTGTAAAGGTAAGCATACATGCACTTGTAAATCTGCCTGCTTTAAAGGTAGTAGTTTCCGGGTGTGGGGAAGTTTTTGTGTATGTGTGTGTTTTACTGGAATATTTTTACGATTACTATCTTAATTTTAAGTTGATATTCAGTACCCATTTGAAAAATAGATTAGACTCACTTGGCTAATTCCTAACATTTTATTAGAGAAGAATAGAAATGAGGGCTTATAGGTACTAAAGAAGTTTCTGAATATGCAAGAGCTTAAGCAAGATTGCCGGGTGCTTTTTCATAAAAGAGGAACCAGTTGAAGGATTCCTAAATAACAGTGAATACACTATTTTGTCACTTCATTGCTGTTGTTGTATTTTAGTCCAGTAGACTTATATTCTTTAGAGATAGAATTGTTTATTTTTTCTTTGTTTTCAGATCACCCAGATTAGTCCTGATAATGATAATAGTATTCAATTTATTGTTTCTGAAATGAATAAGTATATAAACATTACTCTAGATTGCTATGGCATTTAGAAGAGAGAAAAACGAGTTGATGCAGCAAGTAAACAGACGAAACTTCCTTTTTCTGAATGAGAATAAATCTTGCTAGTTACTTTCTATAGAACTCAGTTCATAAGCTCCGAAAATTCTTTAACTTCTAAAACATAGTATCCATTTTATTTTGCTTTGCTTTGCTTTTTTTGTTTTGTTTTTTTTTTCTTTTTTTAAGACAGTGTCTTGCTCTGTCACCCAGCTGGAGTGCAGTGGCGCAATCTCAGCTCACCACAACTTCCACTTCCTGGGTTTGAGCGATTCTCCTGCCTTATCCTCCCAAGTAGCTGGGACTATAGGCGTGTGCCACCACGCCTGGCTAATTTTTGTATTTTTAGTAGAGATGGGGTTTCCCTTTGTTGACCAGGCTGGTCTCGAACTCCACCTCAGGTGATCCGCCCGCCTCGGCCTCCTAAACTGCTAGCATTACAAGCGGGTATCCATTTTAGAGCAACATCACTTGAAAGACGTAACAAAGACAAAGTTTGTACTTGTGTGTGAATTAAAGTTTAAAAAGCACTGAAACCAGTAGCTTCTTTGAATAGATTTACTTCCTTGATGATAATATTTTATTGTGACATTGTGTTTCAGTATGATAAACCCTAAAATGCACCTTGTGGAATAGTCATTGATTTCTTTGTATACATGATTGTATTGGAAACGGGCTTGGAGATTCTCTAGTATATTGCTCCTTCATTAATTTTAGTGATGTTAAAAATAAAAATGCCCTCAGCTGCTAGAATTGAGCTGTAGGAAGGAACTTTATTGTCGATTTATTTATATCATCATCATCACTGTCCCTGTCAGTAGTCACAGTACTGTGAAATCAACTGTGGCTCACATGTTGGTCTTCACAGTTTTACTATTAACATCACCAAGAACTTTTGTTTAATATACAGAGTAATAAATAGGATCTGAAGCTAAGATGTTACTGTGACAAAACAATTAATGGAAATTTCCTTCATCCATCAAGTTGTTTCAGCAGGAAAAAGCAACTTAATTTCCTTATCTTTTACATGGTACTTAATTGTATATTTATTATAGTATTTTATCCCTATAAAACACTTTTTATCAGTAATTTTAGTTAGCAGACTTGCATTGAGGGTAGCATACCTAATTTCAAGACTACTTTAATTACATAGTGGAAAGCTCTCTATTTCAGCACAAAAATTTCAGAGAAGCATCATTAACTTGATATGAAACCAGCCAGTGACAGTATCCCTATATTTGGTTATTGTCATTAGCATTAAAGAGTTTATCTGTATTACAGAGTTGGATAAAAGTTTTAGCTGCTATATCTGGTCCTCATTTACAGATCCCAGTATCATCCCTTGCCCTTCCTGTTTCTCAGCGCCAAATGTTTTCGTGCATTTGTAAAGTTGTGTTACTTAGGGATAATGAAAATACATATGCTGAAGTAGCTATTTTCCTGGGGAAAGTGTTCACATCTCACACATTTGCTTTTGTCTTCCTTACAGCTTCATTATGTTCACAGTACTCCAGGGGGTTCAGGTTCTGCAAATCCACCAGTGGTGAGCACAGTCTATGCCTACATTGGTACTCCACCTGCCCAACGCCAAATCGCTTCATTGGTTTGGCGCCTGGGACCCACACATTTTCTAGAAGAAGTTTTACCTTCTTCAAATGTTACTACCATTTATGAACTTGGACCAAATTATGTTGGAAGCTTTCAGGCTGTATGTATGCCATGTAAGTAACTTATTTTTAGTTCTTGAAGTTTTATGAAACTTAACTGCTGCAGTATAGATGCATCTGTGTGTACGAAGTTATACATATTGTTTATCTAGGAAAAGAGCCTTCTCCTTCTCTAATCTTCTTTAGCAGGATACTCATTCCTATTTAAAATATTTTCCTCCACTGATCATACTGCACTTTCTGGATTCTTTGTCTTTATGTCTGATCACTCATTATCTAGTTTCTCTTATTGGCTCCAAGATGTAGGCCTATGCCCTCTAGGAGTCTAACTGTGACCATCTTCTCTTTTTGTGATTTCTCCTATTACATGAAGCAGTTTAATGTACAGCCACTACTGTTAAAGAAAGAACAGATGAGTTTAATAAACACACACATATATTCTCCAGATTAGAAGAGTTAACATTATTTTTCTTCATGTCTTTACTCCAAGTCTACTTTTTGTTATCCTTTCTCCCAAAAGAAATTTAGACTCAAAGGAACTGACGTTAAGCTGGCAGTTCCTTGGTAGTACTCCTTGCAAATGATGGCTTCCACTCCCTTGTTCTGATTCTACTAAGAATCTCAGACATGTTAGGACAAGTATATTTTAAGTGGTAATAATCATATGATTTAGTAATTTATCTTTTCACTTTATCTTAATTTAGATGGTATCTCATAACAGCCCACACTTCTTGGGAACTTGTTGTGTGCTAAATAAGTCGATACACATGAAGGATGTAGCTGTTCTGAGCGCTTCACATGTATTTATTCATCTCAAAACACTGTCAATTCAATACTGTCATTATCATTCCCATTTCACAGAAGAGGAAACTGAAGCAAAAAGACATATAGGTCACACAGCTTTTAAATGATAAAGCAAGATTCAAATTCAGGCCATGTGGCTTTAAAACACATGCCTTTATTAATGACTGCTCTGCTCTGCTGTGTTGTCTAGAAGAATACAGGCAGGCATATCTGAGTGCTCTTTTTAGGGAGGAGACATAATGGTATACAGCTGATAGGGACATTACTCATTTTCATTCCTTTTTCCTTTGAATCTAGGGGGACGTTCTATAATTTGTCAGATAACAGTTAAAACTTTCCCTCTTCCTTTACATTGTGCTATATGTTAAACATGCTTTAAGAGTAGCACTTACAATGTAGAACTCTATGACTGGATATCCTTTTCCATTTTTTAATTAAAGAAATGAAGAGCTGAGAATTAAGTAAAATATTTTTTAAATTTACCTCTCTTATTCTGCTTTAAGATTTTCAAGCCTCTTCATTTAAAAATGGTAATAAGAATAAGAAACTTGTTTTAAGATGAGAATCACTGATGATTTTGAAAAGAATTATTATTCTTTTGAAGGTAAAGATGCAAAATCCGAAGGGGTAGTTCCATCCCCTGTGTCCTTAGTACCAGAGGAGAAGGTGTCATTTGGCCTCTATGCACTCTCTGTGTCTTCCCTAACAGTGGCAAGAATCCGGAAAGTGTATAACAAATTGGATAGCAAAGCCATTGCTAAGCAGGTAAGCAGAATGATTTCTTGGTGAAATACCTCAGAGCCTTATATGGATACTACCCAATTATGAGTGATTGCTGAATATCATACCTTTCATGTACTGCTTATGTTTGGTTAATTTGACTTCAAATGTAGGCCAAAACACATGTAGATATGTAACTTAATTTGGAAAAGTGACAGTTTCTGTTGTGAGTACATAATTCATATTAACTTTTTACTTATATTGGCAGTTAAAAAATTTAACTTTAGAAAAACTAATGAAAACAATTACTGTTTTTAAGGCTACAACTCAACTTTTTAATGAATGGCCTATGATATGCCAGGCAACATTTAGTTCATGACATAGCAGCAGATAAAATGAAAATTTCTGCTTTTATGTTTTCTACATTCTAGTAGAAGAGACAGATGATAATACATAAAGAAATAACCTAATCATGAAGTATGTTGGAAGGTGATGAGTGCTATGCAGTAAAATAAAGCAGGGAAGGGGAAAGAGAGAAGCTTCAAGTTTTAAATATGGTGGTTCAAGGAGGCATTACTGAGAAGGTGAATTTTGAGCAAAGACTTGACAGGGATGAGGTAACAAACCACAGAATAGAGAGCTTGGGATATACATATGAGGGTGGAGTGTTTTGTACTCCAGGAATACAGGTGTAAAGGCCTGGAGAAAAGTACTGTACATGCCTGCCATGGAGACAAATGTGGCTGGAGTAAAATTAGAGAAGGCCTGGGCAGTAGGAGAGGAGCCCAGAGAGATGATGGGCTGTCGGTTGTTTAGGATTCCGGGGGCAATTGTAAAGACACTGGCTTTGATGAAGTAAGATAGGAGGCATTATGAGGTTCCAGACACAGGAGGGAAATGTTATAACTTACATTTTATCACCACAAAGGTAGTAGTGGGGAGACAAGTTATGAGGCCAATACGATAAATAATTCCTATGAGAGATTATGGTGATTTTAACTTGGGCAATAGCAGTGGTGTTGATAAGAAGTGATCAGATTCAAGATGTCTGTGTATATATATATATACATATACATACATATATATATATACACACATATACATACTTTTTTTTTTTTTTAATGAATGAGAGGTTCTTACGTTGCCCAGGTTGGCCTCGAATGCATAGCCTCGCCTCGGTGCCAGGACAACTGGCCTGAGCCACCACAGCTCCCTTTTTTTTCTTTGAGATGGAGTTTCACTCTTATTGTCCAGGCTGAAGTGCAATGGTGCAATCTTGACTCACTGCAACCTCCACCTCCTGGGTTCAAGCAATTCTCCTGTCTCAGCCTCCTGAGTAGCACCACCACACCCAGCTAATTTTTGTATTTTTAGTAGAGATGGAGTTTCACCATGTTGGCCAGGCTGGTCTCGAACTCTTGACCTCAGGTGATCCACCCACCTCAGCTTCCCAAAGCGCTAAGATTACAAGTGTGAGCCACCCCACTTGCCTCAAGGAATATGTTAAAGGTAGACCTAACAGTTTTTGGTGATGGAATTGAAATGGGTGTGGAAGGTGAGAGAGTTAAGGAGTCCAGGGTTTTTTTTTGAACAGCTAGGAAAATGGAGTCACATTTTCTGATTTTGAGAAAACTACGAAAAGTACGGTTGGGGGAAATATTGAGAATTCTGTTTTGGAACTTTGAGAAGTGTATTAGACATCACAGCAGAGATTTCAAGGTCGTTGGAAATGTGAATCTGGATTTCATTTATACAGGTGGTGGTTAAAGCCATGAGTCTACATGTATTCACCAAAGCCTAGATGTAGATAGGGAACTGGAAGGGTTTAAAGACTGAACCCTGGGACATTCCAGTGTTATGGAGTTGGGGAGATCAAGAAGAACCAGAAAAGACTGAGAAGTATCAATCAGTGAGAAGGGAGAAAAAGCAGGAGGGCCTAATGTTGTAAGATCAAGGATTCACTTTGGAAACGTGTTAAGTGGTCATAGTAAGATGAGAAGTGAGGACTGACTATGGGGTTTAGCAAGGTGATCTCATCAGTGAATTTGATAAACTGTTTGGCTGATTATCAAAGGCAAAGTCCAAGGGGAAGGAAATCAAGAGACCAGGAACTTTAAGTATTGACCACTCTTAGGCAGAGTTTTGTCTGTATATATGTGTGGTATGTGTGTGTGTGTGTCTGTGTGTGTGTGTGTGTGTGTGTGTGTGTGTGTAGATATGTGTGTGTATATATATATATATGATACATATACATATCTTCTTCTAAGGAACATAAACTGTACATTAGTCTATAGTGAACAACAAAATTAAAGTTATATTTTCCTTGAAAATAGATCTTGTATATTTATGAATGTACAAAATGTAAGATTCCTTTATGTAGGCATGTTTTATCTATAAAATATTGAATAATTTATATAGAGTTTACTTGGATGTGGAATAAAGCTAATATGTTCACTGATCTGAAATACTGTTAGGCAATTGGTGAAGACAACCTTTCCACTACCATAGAACTTTAGTCAGAAAGACCCCTGAAGCTGTGTCTCAAGATCTTCTTGCCATCTTTATCTTAGTAAATTGTATTTAACGTAACTGCTATGAGTTTCCATACTTTGGAGGTGTTTGTACATTTCCAAAAGGTAAATGCAGCCAGGCTGGAGTGTAGAGTGCCCGTGGCACGATCTCCACTTACTGTAGCCTCCACCTCCTGGGCTCAGGTGTCTCTCTCCCTTCTTTGCCTCCTGAGTAATGTACCATCATGCCTGACTAATTTTTTGCATTTTAGTAGAAATGAGGTCTCGCCATGTTACCCAAGCTGGTCTCGAACTCCTGGGCTTGAGTGATCCCCTTGCCTCTATCTTGCAAAGTGTTGGGATTATAGGTAGGAGTCACTAGGCTGAACATAAATGTTCATTTTTCAGTATTCTGATAAGGGAGGAGAGAAAGATATGTTATCATTCATGTGTTTGATTTCTTTTCCAATCAAAACATTGCAATTGTTCTTATATAATTACATTGTTTTCCTTTCCTATTTTTCAGTTAGGCATTTCCTCACATGAGAATGCCACTCCTGTGAAGTTGATACACAATTCAGCAGGACATCTTAATGGATCTGCACGGACAATTGGGGCTGCTCTGATCGGATACTTGGGTAAGTGGACTTTGTTATTTCAAATCTCTTTATTTGCCTTCAAGTTTGCATTCACTTTCCTCACTTGAGGGACAGTATTTAAGTTCATATTTTATAGCACTGACCTATAGTGTACATGCAATATTTAGGGATGAAATGTAACAATCTCAAATTCCAGTCAACTTAAAATAATAACCTTTCATAAAATCCCATTAACTTATACATATATACCATGGAATACTATGCAGCCATAAAAAGAAATGAGATCATGTCCTTTGCAGGGACATGGATAAAGCTGGAAATCATCATCCTCAGCAAACTAACACAAGAACAGAAAACCAAACATCACATATTCTCACTCATAGGTGGGGGCTGATCAATGAGAACACGTGGACACAGGGAGGGGAACACCACACACTGGGGCCTGTCAAGGAAGGTGGGCTAAGGGAGAGAGAGCATCAGGACAAATAGCTAAAGCATACGGGGCTTAATACCTAGGTGATGGTTGATAGGTGGAGCAAACACCATGACACATGTTTACCTATGTAACAAACCTGCACGTCCTGTGCGTGTATCCCAGAACTTAAAATAAAATAAAAAATCTCACTCACTTTTTTCCTGTTGTCAGTAATGATGAGCACTGACTATATAATTTCATGTAATTTTTAGGTAGATTTCAAACTACATTTAGTGACAGGTATCAAAATTCAGAACTATTATTGATTGTTTCATGGTTTGGTATAGCTCATGAGTTTTTCTGTTAATTTAGAAATGAGCTAGAAATAAGAGCTTCTAAGTATAAACACTATGACTCAAACTATAATAAAAGTTTAGAGAGTAGACATTCTATATAGCCTTGTACATGTCTGCTTAAAACTTTTGTTGTTGTTAGATAGGATCTTGAGACGTAAACCAATCAGGCCATCCAAAATTCAGAACCATTGATTGTGCCTTTTAATGTGTAAATCAGTATATAATACTGGTCCCTTTTTAGATTAATAAAAAGTTAGCATGCTGGTCAGAATTCAATTTATTTATCAGTCATTGGCAATATTTGTTGTCCCAGTGAATTGCATAAATCTTTTTTTTAATAATATCGCATTGAGGCCGGGCGCGGTGGCTCACGCCTGTAATCCCAGCACTTTGGGAGGCCGAGGCGGGTGGATCACGAGGTCAAGAGATCAGGACCATCCTGGTCAACATGGTGAAACCCCGTCTCTACTAAAACTACAAAAAATTAGCTGGGCATGGTGGCGCGTGCCTGTAATCCCAGCTACTCAGGAGGCTGAGGCAGGAGAATTGCCTGAACCCAGGAGGCGGAGGTTGCGGTGAGCCGAGATCGCGCCATTGCACTCCAGCCTGGGTAACAAGAGCGAAACTCCGTCTCAAAAAAAAAAAATAATAATAATAATATCGCATTGATAAAAGTTTTCTTTAAAGCACATGATATAGTGTTCTTTAATTCAAAAACTACTTACTGAGAACTGTGGTATGTCCTTTTCTAAAGTATAGCAGCCCTGTGGTACAATGGAAAGAGCAGGAGCAGTGAATAAAGAGTTCAGAGACAGGTTCTAGCCCCTCTTGTCTCACTGTGTGACATTATGCTATACAGTTAAGCTCTGTGAACTTAAGTTTTCTTATCTATAAACTAGTTATACTGGCCCTAATTATCTTAGGAGCTAGTTTTCAAAATCCAGCACCATAATATATGAAGGTATTGTGGGTTGGGCATAGTGGTTCACACCATGTAATCCCAGCACTTTGGGAGGCCTAGACAGGAGGATTGTTTGAGCCCAGGAGTTCAAGGCTTCAATGAATGTAACTGAGCCACTGCACTCCAGCCGAGGTGACAACAAGACCCTCTCTCAAAAAACAAAAAGGAAAGAAGGAATGAAAGTCTTATGAATACAGAGCACATAGAAATATAATATGCATGTTAGTTTTATTTTTTAAAACTCAATCTTGATCAGTAGGTAAGTGACATTCAAATAATGCCTCTTTAAAATGTTAGGATTGTAGGTGTGATTTTTTTTTTTAATTGGCACACAGTTCCAGGACTGTGTTTCTATAAACTTATGCTCTACTAAAGTCACTGATGTACTGTTACTCAGATTACTTAACCAAGAGAAGCTTTGGGTAATGGTCAGTAATGTGCATTGCTTGGCTTATCTATAGGAAATGTATCATCCCTGCCATGATGACTTCTCCAGGCCTTTCCCCAGTTCACAGAGTTAAAGTGATTTTTATTCTCCCCAAGTTTATTCCCCAACAGAAGCTAGTAAAGCTAGTAAGGCACTCTCACTTACTTAGGAATGCATTCTCAAGACCTCCATACTTTTGAGTGCAGCCCAAAGCTACACAGTAGAAACATTTGTGCTTGCTGTAAAGCCCAGCTCTTCTCTGCCCACTCGTCTACTCCCAATCTCCTGTGACAGAATGTAGATTAGCAGTTTTTATTGCCTTCTTTCAAATTCTACCTGCAGTGCTTTCCCTAGAATTTGCATTTTAGACAGAAGATATTTTTAAAATAATACTAATTAAAAACTTGTCAAGATGATATATACATCTCTTGTTCACTTGGGGAATTTATCATAATTATTTTTTACTGTCTTTTTAATCAGGAGTAAGAACATTTGTCCCTAAGCCTGTTGCCACTACTTTGCAGTATATTGGTGGAGCTGCAGCCATCCTGGGCCTGGTGGCCATGGCCTCTGATGTGGAAGGCTTATATGCAGCAGTCAAGGCCCTGGTTTGTGTGGTCAAGAGTAACCCACTAGCCAGCAAAGAAATGGAAAGAATCAAGGGCTACCAGGTTTGTAACTGTAAAACTGCCGTCACTTCACCTGGCACCAAAAATACTCTGCTTTTCATTATGTTGTTTCAAACTCTGGAAGAATTATGTTGTCCAAGTAAACTTAAAAAGCCAGTTGTTTTATGAAAACTAATGTATGTCAAATGAAAATATGTATTGTTTCTTTATTTTGCTTTATCCTTTTTCTCCTATCTTATCAAATCTTACTAAACACTTTAGTTAGGCTACATTATTTCAATATAGCTTTAATACATTGAATATATTTTCAGAACAAAGTTTGGCTGGTTTGAATGTTGTTTTTCTCTGTGGAAGTAGGAATGAAATGAAATGGGGTCCTATTCCCCCTTCCTCAAAAGATTGCCAGATTCATGGTAGATCCAAGGCTTTTCCTGTTTTGTTGTCTCTCCCCTCTACCTCACACCCTTTTATCTCTGTTACTTACTCAGGAGATGTGAAAGCCCCTACATAGTAAGTGCACCATTGCTATTCCTGAAACCTAAAAATGCAAAAATTGGCCAGGCATTGTGGCATGTACATAGAATCTGAGCTCATCGGAAGCTGAGGCAGGAGATTCGCTTGAACCTGGGAGGTGGAGGCTGCAGTAAGCCAAGATTGCCCACTGCATTCCAGCCTGGGTGACAGAGCAAGACTCTGTCTCAAAAAAAGAAAAATGGGAAATATTCATGTATCCACAGTCTATACCAGAATTGACAAAAAGTTGCTTATAAGAAGAGGAACAAATGTTTGAAGCAAGATTAAAACCTTCTATCACAGATGAAGTATAAATGCCTTCCACAAGTTTAGCCATTAGTTTATTGATAATGAATGATAATGAATATACTATTTACTGTATTGTATAGATTTAATTACACTATTTTGATAAGTGTTTTATTTTTCAAAACTTTCAAAATGATTATTGAAGTACTGTTTATCATGAAAAACTAGAACAATCTAAATATACCATTCATAAGAGAACGACTAAGTATACTCTAAGCATTCCATAGACTATCATCATTTAGCCTTTTAAAAATTGTAATAATGAAGACTATGTTGCAAAAGAAAAAACATACTTTATGTAGAGAAAAAGTGTGTATTTAAGTAGTTACTATCATGTGCATACAATTTTATGCATACAGTTTTATGCACATGATGACTATTTAAATATTTATATTGGAATCAAAAGGGTAAATGTAAAAGTGAATATTTTAACAACAGAGTGTTAGGATTCCTTTGTTTTTCAGATTTTACCTAATGTTATATTGTCATAATAAAAATTTAGAAGGTAACTTAGAAATCTCAGGAATTCATCTGCATAGGATTCTTGAGTGTTGTGTGTGTGTGTGTGTGTGTGTGTGTAATGAATATATATGATGATTTATCAACCAGCATTTGATATTACTTTCTTGTAGTTACTGGCAATGCTTCTTAAGAAGAAACGTTCCCTTCTTAATAGCCACATCCTGCATCTAACTTTTTCTTTGGTGGGAACTGTTGATAGTGGACATGAGACCTCCATTATTCCAAATTCAACTGCTTTCCAGGACCTCCTTTGTGATTTTGAAGTATGTATATAAGCATAATTGGCAATATATAATCAATGAATGCATTTCTTACTTCATATGATTATAAACTGTTTTTAATCTCTAAAATGTGTTTAAAGTCCTATAATTTTATGATGTTCATGTTTAATATAAAAATAATTTAGTAAAATATAAAACGTAGAATGTTAGGGTTCTTTTTCTCCAAAGATATTCCATTTTGCAAACATTTTAGAAGTGAAATGGTGCAGTGCATATACCTAACTAGCTAATTTGCTGCTACCAGTGGCATTGCATGACTCAAACATAGTTTTATCAGACGATTCTGATAGAAACTTTTCCTTGATAAATAGGACCTAGACCTGTAATTTTGGTTACAGCTGCATTGTAAAATATCATTCATTTTATGGTGACATGTTATAGACTTCCTTTTCTGCCTCTACTGCTATCTCCTAATTCAAGTCTTAATCAGTTCTTCTCTTAATCATACTAGGATAACTATCACTTCTTTATCTCCTTTGCTCAGGCTGTCCTACATACTATTGGAACCCCATTCTTTCAAAGGCATTTTCATTTCTACTTATTACCATAACAGCTTACGCTCTGTCCTCTCAAGACAACACTTAATCACTCATATCCTTTTTTCATTTAATTTCTTGTTTACAGCACTTTGCATGTTAGCCACTATATGCTAAACTTATGTAATATATGCCTGTGAAACTCTAGGATCTATGGGCTTTATGATTGCGGAGATCATGTTTATCTTCTTTGTCTTCGTGTTGCTATCACCCAGATTAATGCCTAGCACTTAATGCTTGCTAACTCTTACGTCTAGGCCCTAACTCTTCTTCCTCACCACTACTGTAAGCTCTGTTTTGTGACTTATTGAATCCTTCACAATGTGTCTTGATACTGTATTTTCAAAGATCTTACTAGAAGCTTCCCTCTAAATAAAAATCTATGGCCTGTACTTGGTTTTCAGTATCCCCAGCTCTCAGTAGTATTGGTTATAGTCTGTTTTTCTTATATTCTTTCAAGTTATACTTCCTATGCTGGCTCATGTGTTAATATCCTGGTTTTTATGTCTTTCTACTATTTTTTCTATTATTTTCTTGCTGTGATGTTTTCATTATTTGATGTGAAGATGTCCGTCTTTACTTTTTTATATTTTCCTTTATTTGTTGTTTTCCTTCCTTTAAACTCTTCACCGAGGCTGACTGCCTCATCTCCATGGAGTTGATCTTCAAATCTAAATCTCTAACCTTGACACCTGAATTCCAGACTTATTTCTACTTCTTGCTCAACATTTCCATTTTTATGTCCCAGCAGCACTTTAACTGAACTTAGCATCCCTCCCCAAATTAGTTCTTCCTTCTAACTTCTCTGTTTCTATTAATAACACCATTATTCCCCTGGTCACCAAGGCTTGAAATTGAAAACATCGGCTTCCTTCTTCCCTGTCTATAAACAGTCTGATATTGTCATACAGGTTCTACTTTCACATTTCATAGTCTGCCTTTTCTGCTTCTACTGCTGTATCCTAATTCAAGCCCTAATCAATTCTTCTCCTTCTCCTATTCATACTAGGATAACTATCACTTCTTTTTCTTCTTTGCTCAGGCTGTCCTACATACAAACCCTTGGGACCTCATTCTTTCAAAGGCATAGTCATATCATTTATTCAAGGACTTCCAGTGATTTTCCTTTTCTACACTAATAAAGTACACATTCACATTTCTCAGTCTAGTATTCAAAGTTCTAATACCTAAACCTCCTATTCTTTTAAAAAGCACTTGCTGAGTATTTTTGAGGCAAGTACTATATTAGTTACTAAGGATGTGAAAAGAAAAGTCAAAGAGTCCACGGCTGAAGGCATTTAGTCCATTAGAAGAAAAAGACAAAGAAATAGATGATATAACTTGTGAAAGCCCAGAGATAAAGGGAGACAGAATTATGGGAACACTAGGAACCTACCTAACCCAGCCTGACCTTATTTTCCTATGTTAACTGAAACATTTAAATCAAGGATTATTTTCACTTTCAGATTTCTGATTAAGACTCAATACACAAACATCAGAAATTTAGTTGCTTAATACATGTTTGGTTTATTTTATGGTACATTGCTCACTTTACAGCCTCATATAGCATCCCTAATTACCCCAAACCACAAGTAATCTATAAATATCTAATTTACCAAATTTTTAGAATAGTATTTGACAAATGTAAGTAAAATAATTGCAATAATATATAGAATTTTTTAGTGATTGTTTTAGAATTTATTATATGCATCTAAAATAATTTCATCTTTGAAGAATATTATACCTTATAAATACTTAGCAATAAGAGACTTTCATTTCTCCCTTTCCATCCTTATGCTATTGCTGTATACATTTACTTCTATGTGTTTATAATCCTTACAGTAGTTTAGATTATTTTTGCTTTAAATGATCAGTTATTTTCAAAAGACATTTTATAATTATTTTCTATTTGACCCCATGTATATCATTCTTTATTCCTTTGCATAATCTACATTCTATCTTGGGCTATTTTTCTGCCTAGAGATATTCTTTTAACATTTCTATATTACAGAAATTTTGACAGTAAATTTTCTCATCTGGAAAAGGCTTCTGTTTTTTTCTTCTATTTGGAAGAATTTTTTGCGTGTAATAGAATTCTAATTGACTGTTTTTATTCTTTTCACACATTAAAGATGTCAGTCATTTCATTGTCCCCTTTGTCTACTTTGTGTTTCTTCTGCTTGGGTTTATTGATCTGTGAATTTGTCATTTTCATCACATTTGAAATTTTTAGCCATTATTTCTTCAGTGATTTTTCCTGGCACCGCCTTCCCTTTTCTGGACACCAATTACGCATATCTTAGGTTGCTTGATACTGTCTCAAATTACTAATACACTAGATCTGGTCATTCCTTTTTAGTGTTTTTTCTTATGCTTCATGCTGAATAATTTCTGTTGTTAGGTATTCAAGTTTATTGAATTGTTTTTCTGAAGTATCTCGTCTGCTATTAATGCCATACAGTATATTTTTCATTTTAAATATTTTATTTGTCATGTCCAGAGGTTTGTTTTGGGGTTTTAGTTCTCTTTCATTTGGCTCCTCATCATTTCATGCTTTTCATTACATTCTTTAGCATATGGAGGATATTTGTAATAGCTTTTAGAAGTGTGATAATTCCATCATTTTGGCCATTTTTTTGGCCAATTTATAATGATTTTTTCCTGCATGTAAATGATTTTATAGAGGTTTACAAAATAATAATTATGTAAGTGAAATAAGTTCCATGTGCTGTATTGGTGTTTGTTGGTTTGGCATTTGGGGTATTTTTTTTAACCTTAAATACACTACTGTTTTTATTTATTATAGGTCTGGCTCCATGCACCATATGAACTTCATCTTTCCTTATTTGAACACTTTATTGAACTACTCACAGAGTCCAGGTATTAGTTAATATCTATGCAGTTAGTTATTCAGCTATAGAAAAGGTGATAGTACAGTGTATAAAACCTTCTTTCTATTATAGTGAAGCTTCGAAGAATGCCAAATTAATGAGAGAATTCCAGTTAATCCCAAAGCTGCTCCTGACTCTTCGAGATATGTCTTTATCCCAGCCTACTATTGCTGCTATCAGTAATGTGCTGAGCTTCTTATTGCAAGGTTTTCCCAACAGCAATGATCTGCTCAGGTAGGGAAAACTTGTCTTTGTCTTTGTCTTTTTATTAACTAAAAGTACCAATGAGGTTAAGATGGATGAGATGAATGTAATTGGTTTTTATGGCTGTGTAATAACACCTGTAATGTTAATACTATTGACAATATTTGTGAGGCATGGAAAACATCAGTGAGACAGTATCGTGCCTTGATGGAGCAAAGCTAATTGTTGCCGCTAGTGAATAATAGAATCTTGGTGAGAAAAGATGCAGGAATTAGCTCAGTGAAATTGGCCTGGGTATAAAGTGTTCAGTCTAGGAATTCTTGGTTCCTAATCCTATTTCCTAAGCCTTGCTAATTTTTAAGTGTATATGCACAAGCATGCACACACACTTCTAACTGATGAGTGTCCCACTTCTGTTTTTTATTCTCTGTTACTCAAACAGATTGTGGTATTTTACTATTGCATATTCACAATTTTTATATGTTGTAAATATTATTTTACAGACAATGTGGTTTAAGACATTGATGGCATGTCTGTAGAAATGTTCTTATATTCACATGAGAATGCCCATTTTGGAAAATTTGGGGATTATAGAAGGAATACAAGAAAAGCAAACTACACAATTGAGTATTTTTCAAGTAGAGAATTGCTTAAACTGGACTTGTTCAGTACTGTTCATGTGATCTACCAAGTATCTTAGGTGAAATCATACTTATTTATTCAGTTATTCTCATAGACTAATCTCTAATTTATATAGTTTGTAAATCACTCACTTTTTTTATTCATTTGCCTTCAAAACATGTTTTTAAACCTGGTGACTTAAGAATTATTTTGGAGAATTATAATTATTATTATGTCAAGAATGTATATTTAAAGCAATTCCTAGCATTGCAGTGGTCACTTTGCTGAAATTATTACCTAAACCTGTAATTTTTTTTTTTTTTTGCTTTTTTTCCTACTTTATAAATAAACAAAGCCCCAGGTCACATAGTTAGAAAGTGATAGAGTCAGGATGTTTTTTCTCCTTCTGTTCCCTTGACTCTAGGATTTTAATCATATACCTAAACCCAAGTTTCTTAACCTCTAGGGTACAATAGATCCATCCAGGCAATGTTAGGACACTCAAATATGTATGTTGTTTGGTTTTTAAAACCATTTGCATGTTAGTGTATTAAAGAGTTGGTATTTCTGAAGAACTGTATTTTCCCCATATTTTGAAAGCATTATTTTATATAATATTACTTGGGATGGTACAAGAGGAAGCAAACTAAATATTATCACCTAACGGTCCTTAAAAGGCTGGTTAAGATAAGTACTGTTTGGTTTTTATTTCTTGGTATTTTGTTTCTTTGTACTTTGTTGTTTGTTTTGGGAAGAGGAAAAAGAAGATCCATAACCTTGTTTTCCTTTGTTTAAAGATTTGGCCAGTTTATTTCTTCTACTTTGCCAACCTTTGCAGTTTGTGAGAAATTTGTAGTAATGGAAATAAATAATGAAGAGAAGCTTGACACTGGTAAGTTGATTCTGGAGCTTGGAGAAGATAGTGGTGAATTGTAAATATTATGCCTCTTTTTTCTTCTGGCCCAATTAGAACTGAATTATATGTGGTTGTATATAATATATGCATAACTTTTCTCCTTACATTTTTTGGCCTTTTTCTAATGTATTTTTCTTATATCAAGCCTATACAATATGCAGAATTACAGTATTGCCTACAAAATTTAATAGGGTATGAATTTTACTTTAAAAATAAAATCTTTTCTATTTTTAGAGTATTCATAGCAATGTTGGTTTAAATAGTAAACTCTTCCAGTGTAATTTGGACATTATTTGATTTTTTAATGTATGTATTTCTCTTCAGAAACATACTTGCTAAATTATATTCGTATATCTATCTGTATTATTATTATTTTCACTTCCCTGTTAAATCTGTAGTATTCACTGGGAAAAAGTGTATATAGCTATAATATAAAAATAATTTCATGTGTTGTAAGTTCCTGGATCCATCACAAGCACTGTTTCTGGTAACCTTTCCTCATTTAGTACATATTTTCCCCTCTTGGTTCCCATATGTTTTTCTTGTTGTATATGCTAGGATAGGAGAGTTGCTTGGAAAACATTGAAAGGACCTTTGTTTAGATTGACCTCTGTTATTAAATTCACAGAATCTTACATTTGTTCAGCCTATTTACATTATCACCCTATAACATTATTCCCAAATCATATCATATAGATTGTTTCACTTAAACCCATACCACCCCATCCACCTAGAGGGTGGAGAAGAACTACTGTTGTAGTATCACATCTTCCAAAGGAGTTCTCCATGTTGTCTGTCCTTCCCGAGCACAGCCTCTCCTGTGCTTCATTAGTAAGAGAAAGTGGTGTGATCACGATTTTCAAAGGAAAGATGGAGAGATTTGAAAAACTAAGTGACTTGCTGCAAATTACACAGTATGTTAGTGACAGGTTTGGGACCCTGACAGTTACCTACTGCCAATTCATTTAGAATGATCCTGATATTTCTCTGGTGAAACAAATTAGGAGTGGATGAGATGTATAAAGATCAGATCAATGAATAACACTTACTGAATACTTGAAACAAATTAGCAGTGAATGAGACGTATAAAGATCAGATCAATGAATAACACTTACTGAATACTTACTAAGTGCTCTATATAATTTTGTAATAACCATATGAAATAGGTACTATTATTCCAATTATACTTGTAATAATATAATTATTGTTATAGGAGGAAACTATTACAATTATTATCATAGGGAGGAAACTGCAGCCCAGAAAGATAATAAATAAAAGAAACTTATCCAAGATCATACCATTGACTATATTGGAACCCAGGTAGTCCAAACCAGCATTCTAAGCTTTTAACTACTACATTATCCAACCAAATGCAAAGATTATTTCTAAGTTCTAAATTAATATAGGCTGATTCATTATAATTAGGTAGTAAAAGTACTTTAAAGATTGCTGAAATATATAATGTATTTATTTCAAGTATAAAAAATATGTGGGCTGAGCGTGGTAGCTCATGCCTATAATCCCAACATTTTAGGAGGCTGAAGCAAGTAAATCACTTGAGCCCAGGAATTCAAGACCAGCCTGGGCAACATGGCAAAGCTCCATCTCTACAAAAAGTAACTAGGTGTGGTGGTGTGCACCTATAGACCCAGCTACTCAGAGGTGAGAAGATCCCCTGAGCCTGAGGAGGTTGAGGCTGTAGTGAACTTTGATTGTGCCACTGCACTTTAGCCTGAGTGACAGAGTAAGACTCTCTCTCTTTCAAGAAAAAAAAGAAAAAGTAGGAAAAAAATTTCTCTGGTTTCTATATTTATTAGCTGTCCATTGAATTCAATAGCCATAGTAGTATTGTAAATTTTACTTTCATATAGGAACATTGAAGTAGGGATGTATAAATTCATAAATTTTTCTATTGATGCACCAAGTTGATTAGACTGGTATGCTCATCATCACTTTATGGCCATTTGAAATAATAAAGTCAGAAGCAAATTGCTAGTCTTATTAGTATATGACATTTATTATTTATTTGATATGCCCTGAAGACTTGAGTATAATATGGTGTTCCAAAAAATGAAAACCATGACAGTGAGAAAAGGAGACATAAAAGTTAAATAAATTTTTAAATTTCTGTGTAGATTATTACTTTATTGTAGAAAAATTAAAAGGAAGTAGCTCTTAGAGTAATAACAGTTTTATGATATTCTTTCGATAAGGCAGTTTGCAAATTACCAGCCTCTATCCCTTAAAGAGGTGGAGATCTTGAGTTCTTGGTAGCTTGAAGTATCCATAATGGTTAAGGCACTAAGTTAGCATTTTAAAGGACAGTTTAAAGGTACATTGCCCCCAAACAAGTAAAAGTATATAACCATGAAAGTTTAGCCTGAGCCTTAGTTCTAGAATGAAGGAAAGTGTTAGGAATACTTCAGAAATATTGCAAGTTTAGTTCCACACCACTGCAGTGAAGCTAACATCACAATAAAGTGAGTCACATAAACTTTTTGGTTTCCCAGTGTTGTAAAAGTTACGTTTACACTATACTGTAGCCTACTATGTGTGCAGTAGCATTGTGTCTTTAAAAAAAATGTATATAACTCAATTTAAAAGTTTTTTTTTAATTGCTAAAAAATGCTAATGATCATCTGAGCCTTCAGCAAACGTAATTTTTGCTGATGATGGGTGTTGTCTGGATATTGTTGGCTGCTGATTGACTAGGATGGTGGCTGTGGCAATTTCTTAAAATAAGACAACAGTGGTTTCAGGTGATGGACATGCTAATTATTCTGATTTGGTCATTACACATGGTACACATGTATTGAAATATACTGTTCCCCATAAATGTATACAATTATGTCAATTAAAAATAATAATAAAAGCAAAGATAGGAGAATGTAGTTTGCTATAACAGTGAACTCTTCCTTTCACAAAAATTTTCTGTGTAGAATGCAATATTGTTTGATGAATTTTACCTATGGTAAAACTTCTTTAAAAATTGGAGTCAATCCTTTCAAAACTGTCACTGCTATATCAATTAAGTTTATGTAATATTCTGAATCCTTTGTTATTATTTGAACAATGTTCAAATAATTTTGACCAGGAGTAGATTCCATCTCAAGAAACAACTTTCTTTGTTCATCCATAAGAAGCAGCTTTTCATCTGTTAAAGTTATGTCATGAAATTGCAGTAATTAGTCACATCTTTAGGCTTCACTTCTAATTCTAGTTCTCTTGTTATTTCTGCCACAGCTCTTCCCATGAATCATGATTATTCTTAATGGCATCTAAAATGGTGAATTTTATCCAAAAGATTGTTAATTTACTTTGCCAAGATCCATCAGATAAATCAGTCTATGGCAGCTATAACCTCATGAAATGTATTTCTTAAATAATAAAACTTTAAAGTCAGAATTACTCCTTGATCCATGGGTTGCAGAATGGATGTTGTCTTAGCAGGCAAGAAAACAACATTAATTTTTTTGTGCATCTCCATCAGAGCTCTTGGATGACTAGGTGCATTGTCAATGCGCTGGTAGTATCTTGAGAGGAACCTTTTTTTCTGAGCAGTAGGCCTGAACAATGGGCTTAAAATATTTAGTAAACCATACTGCAAGCAGGTTTGCTGTCATCCAGAATCTGTTATTTCATTTAGAGACCACAGGCAAAGTACATTGAGCTTTATTCTTGGGACCCTAGGATTTTCAAGATGATGAATGAGCATTGGCTTCCACTTAAAGTCACCAACTACATTAACCTTTAACAAGAGAGTCAACCCTGTTCTTTGGAACTTTAAAGCCAGGCATTGACTTCTCCCCTCTAGCAATGAAAGTCCTAGATGGCATCTTCTTCCAATAGGAAGCTGTTGAAAAAATCTGTTCAGAAGTCCGTTGGAGAAATCTGTTGTTTAGTGTAGCCATGTTTATTAATAATCTACTAGATCCTCTGATAACTTGCTGCAGCTTCTGCAACAGCACTTGCTGCTTCATCTTGCACTTTTGTTATGGAGGTGGCTTCTTTCCTTAAGCCTCATGAACCATTCTCTGCTAGCTTCCAGCCTTTCTTTGTTTTTTCTTTTTGTTTGTTTGTTTGCTTGTTTTCAAGACAGGATCTGACTTTGTCACCCATGCTAGAATGCAGTGGCACATCGTGGCTCACTGCAGCCTCGACCTCCTGGGCTCTAGAGATCCTGACATGTCAGCCTCCTGAGTAGCTGGGACCATAGATCTGTTCATTTTGTTGTTTTTTTAGAGACCAGGTCCCACTATGTTGCCCAGGTTGGTCTCAAACTCCTGGGTTCAGGAGATTCTCCCACCTCAGCCTCCCTCATGTTTTGTTACAGTCATGAGCCAGTGTACCTGGCCCCCAACTTTTCTGCTGCAGCTTTCTCACCTCTCTCAGCCTTCATAGAGTTGAGGAGAGTTCAGGCTTTGCTCAGGATTATGTTTTAGCTTAAGGGACTGTTGTAGATGATTTAATCTTCTATCTAGACCTGTAAAACTTTCTGTCAGCAATAAGGCTGTTTTTTTTTATTTATTTTGTAATCATTTGTGTGTTCACTGGAGTACCATTTTCAGTTCTCTTTAAGAATTTTTTCTTTGTATTCACAACTTAGCTAACTTTTTAGCACAAGAGGCCAGCTTTGGGCTTGTTTCATCTTTCAACATGCCTTCCTCACTCAACTTAATTATTTCTTGTTTTTGATTTAAAGTGAGAAATACATGACTCTTCCTTTCACTCCAACATCTGGGTGCCATTTTAGGACTATTAATTAGTCTAATTTCAATATTATTATGTCTCAGGGAATAGTGAGGCCTGAGAAGAGTGAGATAGGGAAATGGCCAGTTGGTAGAGCTGTCAAAACACACATTTTTGATTCAGTTCACTGTCTTATAAGAGTACAGTTTGTCGCACCTGTAAACTATTACTATAGTAACATCAAAGATCACCATAACAGATATTATAATAATGAAGAAGTTTGAAACATTGTAAGAGTTACCAAATAAGACAGAGTCATGAAGTGAGCACATGCTTTTGGAAAAAATAAAAATAAAAATGGCCGCATTAGGTTTGCTGTATGTACGGTTGCCACAACCCTTTAATTTGTAAGAAACACAGTATCTACAAAGTACATGAAAAGAAGGTGTGCCTCTGTAAGGCCTGTGACTCAGTAACTTACAGCTCTGCTGGACTAGAGCTGGGCTTGGAACTCTGGGTTGTCGATACCCAGTTCTGTGTACTTCCAGCACTATCTGAGAACCTCTGAGCTCTGTTTCTTCCTTTTTTTTCTAATTTCTCTTTTATGCATTTATGCAACCTTGCCTTTCTTCTGCACTATTTAATTCTAACTTTCCTTTATGTATTACATTTTTTGGGTAAATCTGTGCTTCCTATTTTCAGTGTTTAAATTTGGTAGATTTAACTGTATCTCTCAAAAAAGAAACAAAAAATTAAGGATTTGAGAGGTTGAGAGTCAGTGGTCATTATTATTATCATTATTATTATTTGCATGGTCTTCATTTGATGACTTTCCCCCTATTGGGAAGGCGAGGGGAATATTAATGTAAAAAAGGTCTCATAGCCTTAGTATCACTAGTTTAGGAAATGTCAAATGTAAATGAACAATTTTCAGAGTTCTGAAGAGAAATATTTAGCTGACCTTTTTTCTTGTCCATGTTGGTGGAAAGCAGTCCTGGAGAAAATGCTTTCTAAAAGATATATTTTTCAGTAAGATTTCAAAGAACTACATTGGATACTTTATTTTAGCTTATCTACTAGAGAGGTTTAATGTATTTATTTTTATTTTAGGAACTGAAGAGGAATTTGGAGGTCTTGTATGTGCTAATCTTATACTTTTGAGGAATAGACTTCTGGATATCTTGCTAAAACTAATTTATACATCTAAAGAAAAGACAAGCATTAATTTGCAGTAAGTAATCTCTTTAAAAGTGATTATACCACTTGCTACTACAGTACTAGTTAATTCATATTAGTCAAAAAAAGAAATTGTCATTGACTTTAAATATATTTTTTAACCCCGAAATTCATAATGTCTCAAGAATGAAACTCAGTCTTCTTTTTCCTTTTTGATTTGAAATCTAATTTCTGAAGTTAATTTTGTTTCTTGTTTTTTAAATCCATCTGTCTTTCAATAGAGCTTGTGAAGAACTGGTGAAGACACTGGGTTTTGACTGGATCATGATGTTTATGGAGGAACACTTACATTCCACCACAGTTACAGCAGCCATGAGGATTCTTGTTGTCCTACTAAGTAATCAGTCTATTCTTATCAAGTTTAAAGAAGGACTCAGTGGTGGAGGATGGCTTGAACAGACAGATTCTGTCTTAACTAATAAGATTGGAACTGTATTAGGTATGGGACTTTTCTAGTCAGCTGCTTGAAAATGAGCTGGTGCGTTGTGTTTTATTTTTAAATTTATGGAAACTTATCCTCTCCAGTTTAATCACCATTAAAAAGATACTAATTTTAATTAATGATAGAATAAAAAACTTAGAAGATTTCAAATTGGACTTTTTAAATGGCAAATCAAACTGAAGACAGAGATAAGATACTAAAGTTTGAAAACTCAGGGAATTCCTCAGGATCTTTTTGTATTATAGGCTTTACTGATCTGTAAGTAGACAACTGCTAGATTATCAATAGAACTAAATTAATAATAATAATCATAAATATTTATTTGGGGTACTTACTGTGTGCCAGTTCTTAAACACTTGCCAGGTAATAACATTTCATCACAATAACTCTGTGAGATGCAAATACTATCATACCTATTTTACAGATTGGAAAACCAAATTCATTTCACTCAGTTCAAAAGCCTATGCTTTTAACATTATGTTATATTGCCACACAAGGATGTTAGCTCACTATTATCATGGCTATTTTCAACATATAACTGAGCATTTACTTAATGTTAGAAAATTGCAGTTTCCTATGCTAGATTTATTTGAACTCCTATATTTCCATTCATATTAGTAATATTACTTTGGAAAATATGTATTTGAAGATAGTGTTTTTATTTAAAGGCAAAGTCATTTAGTTCTTAAATATTTTTAAAGGTATATTTGTTATGTAACATTCCCTTGTAAATCATAGCTAATTGTCAGATGTTTGACCTTAAGAAGCTTGTATTGAGAATATCTATTTACCTTAGTCCAATGGGAAAATTAGGGATTAGAAGTTAATATATAATTTAATTATAGAACAAAATGTAAATATCAATGTCTAGGCACTGCCTCTACTACTTCAGACATCAAAGCAAATGTTAGGAAGACAGATCTTTCAAAATAGTACTGTTGTATTGTTATTTCATATGTGAAGAAGGTCTGAAGAAACTTTGTATGTGATAAAGGAAAAGAGGTGTCATTTCCATTTCACTGTGAAATGATTTCTAAAGAAAATTTTATGCTTTACAATATACATTTTAAGTGATCATCATAGGTAGTTTTGTGCTTAAAAATAGATCACTATTTTGCATGAACTCTGGGAAAAGATTTAATCTACAGATGTAATTGTTTTGAACAGTTTGGTAGTAAGAAGTTCAGCTTACTGGCTTTAATATTTACTGGAGAATAAACAATGAAAGGCACAATTGAATGTGAGTTCTGTTGAATATGCTAGGTTTAAATGCTAATTGACAGCAATGTTTATTTTGAAGACAAGCGGCAGCAGTAGTAATAACACCTGAGATTTATAATAATACATTGTGGTTGGCAAAATTCTTTCACATATATCATCTCATTTGTCCTTCATGATTCTGGAAACAGGTATATATTTTATAGCATATAAGTTTTATTTTCTAGAAAATAAGCCTAATGAATATAAAGTAAGGATTAATTTCTCTAATTAGGAAATTAAGACTATTAACTACATAAGGTTAGTTGGCTAGGCAGTAATAATACTGTCTAAGAATCTGTCTTCTGTTAGTCCTGTGCCTTCTCTGTCCTATGTCACTTAAGTAATATTAGAAAGAGATGCTTTCACTGTATCTGACCTACCTGATTTCATGCCTTAGAACCTTTTTGTCATTCATTGGTACTTGCATGCATATGCATATGCTGTTTTGATTTCGAAGAAGAAATCTAGGCATTCAATTTAAATTTAATTTCAATTTGACCCCACTTAATTTAATTTTCCCTGAATGCCTATCTGACACATACACATATTTGTGTGTATAAACAGGTATACATATCAGCTCATTTGATTCTATTTCTCCTTGACCTGAATAGCAACCTAATTTTTTTAACTTTTTTATTCACATTTATTAGTTTTTGTCAAATTTTTCTTCATAAAAATATCTTATTAAAAACATTTTACTTTAAGTTCTGGGATACATGTGCAGAACATGCAGGTTTGTTACATAGGTATACATGCGCCATGGTGGTTTGCTGCACCTATTAACAAGTCATCTAGGTTTTAAGCACCACATTCATCAGGTATTTATTTGTCCTAATTTGCTCCTTCTCCTTGACGTCCACCCTCCACAGGCCCCAGTGTGTGATGTTCCCCTCCATGTATCCATGTGTTCTCATTGTTCAACTCCCACTTGTGAGTGAGAACATGTGGTGTTTGGTTTTCTGTTCCTGTGTTAGTTTGCTGAGGATGATGGTTTGTGGCTTCATCCATGTCCCTGCAAAAGACATGAACTCATTCTTTTATATGGCAGCCCTAAAAATAGATTTCATGTAGTGTAACTACTTGTATCTAAATTAATGCTCAATCATAGTTTCATTAATAAGGGCAAAGAAAACAATAATTTTACAGACTCTAAAATAGAGAAATGAGTTTTCAAATCCTAGTGCCTCTACTTATGCCACATTGTGACATTGAACAAATCATGTTTTCTATGTTGTAAAAATGATAATACTACTTTTTTACTCACATGTTCATTGTGATTAAGAAATTATATGGGAAAGAGCTTGTAAATTGCTATATATTTTTTATTAGAAGAGCATACTTTGGAAGTTAATTCACATCACGCTGAGCAATTGATTAGGATTAAATATTTTAAAAACCACCTAGACATAAATTTTTCCTTTATTAAGTAAAGTAATAGTTGTAATATGTACTTTACTGCATTTCAGAAAAAAGTTAAGTTGAAAAAAATATGGTATCTGTGCTGAATGCAGTCACTTTACCTGTAATCATAGTGCTTTGGGACGCCAAGTCTGGAGGATCACTTGAGGTTTGGAGTTTGAGACCAGCCTGAGCAACATAGCAAGACCCTGTCTCCCACAAAAAATTTTTTAATTAGCCAGGCATGGTTGCATGTGCCTGTAGTCCTAGCCACTGGGGAGGATGAGGCAGGAGGATCCTTTGAGTCCAGGAGTTTGAGGTCAAGTGAGTTATGATCACATCACTGTACTCCAGCCTGGGCAGCAGAGTGAACCCTCATCTCTTAGAATAATAAATAACAAATGTGAATATCTATTTGAAATACAAGTTGCTTCAGACTGAAATCAGTTCTTTATCTATTGGTTGCTATTCACAGAAGTTTCCGTTGAAAATTTGACCAACATTCACTGTGTACTGAGTACTTCTGTAGGTATGGGGTGAACCAAATGTTCAGGGTGTATCCTGAATTTCTTGATAAAACAGAGGAAACAAGATTGATAGAAACACTGATGCCACAAGCAATATTAATAAGAACTGACCAGCTCCTAAAAAAAAAAAGCTGGGTTTCTAGACAGAATTCTGAATGTTCAGCTCAGCCAGTGGATAGCTGCAGCCACAACGGGCTTGGATTTGCCATCCCGCTGCTCAGCAGCTTTCCAACAGATAACAGATCATGTTGAATAAAGATTGTTTCACTTATTCATTTAGTCTTGTCTCTAAATTCATAGATAATTTAAGGTTCACTAGTTTATCATGATTTTCAGGACAAATGAAATATATAAACTATATTATAACAAGTTACAAAACTTAGCTGGGCATGGTAGCTCATGCCAGTAGTCCCTCAGGAGGCTGAGGTGGGAGGATTGCTTTGAGCCCAGGAAGTGGAGATTACAGTGAGCCAAGGTCACTCTAGCCTGGGCAACACAGCAAGGCTGTGTCTCAAAAAAATAAAAATATAGCAAGGATATTTTTAAGTTATATTTTGTGTGGCATCCTAAATTTTGACTGTATTTTGCGTTTCAGTGTTTTCTTAGGGAAATACAAGCCAACAACACTAGAGTTCATCTGAGATCTTTCTTTAATAAGAACTTACATCCCCTTAAGAAGTATTTTCAAACTCTTGTATCTGATTGTCTCAACTGTGTTTCAAAACCAATATCCTAACAGACAGGCTTGCTAAAATCAAACAAATGGTAAAGTAAAACTTTTGACTGAAGATTAATTTATCAAATATTTAATTGCCTATAGTAATATGAATGTTCTGGATAGAAATGTTACACATGCCGAATTACTTCCTTCTTTGTTAATAGAGCATGTTTATCAGTTACTAATTTTGCACTTACTGTTATTTTTCCACTTCTCTTAGGATTCAATGTGGGCAGAAGTGCTGGTGGAAGATCGACAGTCAGGGAGATTAACCGAGATGCTTGTCATTTTCCTGGTTTTCCAGTCCTTCAGTCATTCCTTCCTAAACACACTAATGTCCCTGCCCTCTATTTTCTCCTCATGGCTTTGTTTCTGCAGCAGCCAGTTAGTGAGCTGCCTGAGAACCTGCAGGTCAGTGTGCCTGTCATCAGCTGCCGGAGTAAGCAGGGTTGCCAGGTAGGAATTATCTAGTAAGGGGTACATGAAATTGTGTATTCCAAAGAATCACCGTAGGATAATGGATAATCACTGTAAAACCAACTGTCAATTCCATCACTTTTCCCACGTTTAAGGTTTGATTTGGGACAGAAAAATCTGAAAATACCACAGAAAATTTTCCCAAAAAGAAATCCTTTGTCCCTGTTTATATTTTTTACCTATATGATTACTCTATATATTATATATGCATAAAGACTTTGGATGATATTTAATGGTAATCTAAATAACTCTTTTGTTATGTGATTTATTTTTATTTTGTTTTTGAGACAGAGTCTCACTTCGTCACCTGTAGTGCAGTGGCATGATTTCAGCTAACTGAAAATTCTGCCTTCTGGGTTGAAGTGCTTCTCCCACCTCAGCCTCCTGAGTAGCTGGGACTAAGGCATGCACCACCACATCAGGCTAATTTTTGTATTTTTAGTAAAGACAAGGTCTCACCATGTTGGCCAAGCTGGCCTTGATCTCCTGATCTCAGGTGATCCTTCTGCCTCAGCCTCCCAAAGTGCTGGGATTGTAGGCATGAGTCATAGTACCTGGCCTGCTATGTGATTTATTTCTGCAGAATTAAAAATGAAAGGAGTAGCTTATATACAATAAATTACCACTCCTCAAGTCAGTGTGACAGGATTCTCAGTGCAAATTCTGATCAGGAAAAAAAAATTAACTTGATGATAGATACCATCCACATTAGGTAAACAGTAAGCCTTTACTTCTAATTGAAGACTAGTAAAGATATCTATATATAGCTTATGTTTGTGGCACTGCAAAGACTTAGGAATTTAGCTTTTAAACTCAACTGTGCTTCTGTCCTAATGCCAAATGCTATTTAAATCAATTCTAGAAGTTGACAAAATATTTTAAGTGTAAACACTTGAGTCTGTGCCCTTACATTAAATCAAGATACAGACTCATGCTTAGCACAGTTGTGTTGGTTATGCAATTTTTCAATATACATGGCACCATAGTCATAAAGTTTATATGTAAAACAGCTATGAATAAGTCTCAAATTAATTTTTATTTTATCAGATCTTATCTGTAAGTAATTCTAAAATGGAATTAAAATATTGCTGAGAATGGGAAAGAAGTGAGCTTAATATGCTTTATTTAAAAGATTTTGCTTAAATGTGTTCTATAATTTTATCTCTTGACTAACTAACATGTATTTTATTTTTATTTTCTTTAGGGAAAAGTAGAAAGCAATATTTTTAACATAGGTACCTAAGGCAGGATACAGAATGATACATAGTATTCAATTTTTTTATAACTATAAAAATGAGTTTTAAAATGCAGGATAGAAGGGTACTAGTTCTTTATGTCTATATCGTTTACTTACTTTTAAAAAAAACCACAAACTAGTTTCAGAGAAGTTTTAGAGTATTAGAACTTATGAGGGTCTCTACTGAAAAACATTAGTGGTGGCTAATATTTGATCAATTTTGGCTCTGTAGTTTGATTTGGATTCCATTTGGACATTTATCTTTGGAGTTCCTGCCTCCAGTGGAACTGTGGTCTCTTCTATCCATAACGTATGCACAGAAGCTGTTTTTTTATTATTGGGAATGCTCCGCAGCATGCTGAATTCAGTAAGTTCACTCTGATACTCAGACCTATTGAGAGTTCCGACTGCCTGTGATACTTTTTATAAATAAAGGAATTTTTTGTTAATATAGCTACTTATTTACTGTATGATCTCTGGAACTTCAGATGCATTTGTTAGACAAAGTTATGTCTAATATAAGAGCAGACTATGTAGTTGTTAAGACCATGGACCCTGGAGCCCTGCCTGGGTTAAAATCCCTCCTCTGGTACTTCAGATCTATTATCCTCAGTTATGTGCCTCAGTTTCCTGGTATTTAAAATGTCAGTAATAATAGAATGTATCTCTTTGGGTTTTTGTGAGGAATTAATAAGATACCATATACACATAAAGCACTTATAAACATGCTTGATACATAATGTCTCGTAAGTATTAACTTATTAATGTAATAAAAATATATTATAATGAGTACATATATAATGAGCATATATTTGCAGCATATGTTATTACAATAATATATTATTTGAACTTTTAAAATCACTTTCATTTAGAGGTCAGAAATGTTAACAATACAAGTTTCATTTGATTTTGTTTTTGCTTTTTTTCTGCTCTGATTATGTCTAACTTAGAGATGAAGAATTGAAAGCGTAAAAGACAAAATTGATGTTCCCATCAATCTGACAGGAATACTGTGAATGATTGCCAGATTTATTTATACAATTTAGGATTGTGTTGTAACAAGAAATATTAACTCAACTCCTTGAATTACATGTACCTGACAAATCTAATTTCAGTCAAAACTATTGTTGTGTCATCTAAGAACAAAACATCACCATTAAATGTATTAATTTAGAATGTTTTAGGAGTCTTGCTTTGCTGCCTATTTAAAAATCTAAGAAATGTTTTTAAAAACCCGCTCTCTGAGCAGGTATCAGAAGATATACATTGTTCAAGTGTACAGTATTCATGTTATTTTTTTAATTATCATCATTATTGTTGTTGTATTACATAATGCTTAAGAGCGAGGCTCAGAAAGGTGAAGTACCTTCCCAGCCTTTATCTTACTCCTAACTCCCTGGCATGATGCATGATGAGGCAACATTGATGGGAATACAGCTACCTTGTTACCACCAACACTCATGGTAATAATAGTGAATAATCAAAACCACTGATTCTGGTTAGCAGAACTGTGAGAGATCCAACGATTAGACAATGATCCCATCAGTTTCTAAGGGGATTGTTTTTGTTTTAGATTTATTTGCATGTGTGTGTGTACATGTGTGTTTGCTCATATGTGTGGTTTACAGAGGAGTTCTAGACCATCAGTATATCCAGTTTCATAAGAATACTGAGTAATGGATTTTTAAAATAATTTATAGCAGTGTCAATTACTCTTAACAGTGTAATTGTGTCCCCATGACAGCCTTGGCAATCAGAAGAAGAGGGATCTTGGCTCCGAGAATATCCTGTGACCCTGATGCAGTTCTTCAGATATTTGTATCACAACGTTCCAGACCTTGCCTCCATGTGGATGAGCCCTGACTTCCTGTGTGCATTAGCAGCCACGGTCTTCCCCTTCAATATTCGCCCTTACTCAGAGATGGTAGGAAAGGGGGAGGAAAATGTCAGAACTGGAATTAGTCTGTTCTAATGGTTAGCAGATTTTTTTTTTGACAATCTTTTAAGCTTCTGATCAAGTTAACAGTTTCATAACTTTATACATCACCTCTTGCATCATTGTCTGGTGTCCCCAGCTCCCCACACTTTCCTTCTGCTTTCCCCTAAAATCACAGTGAACTCAATTTCCTTTTCTCATTCACTGTCTTCTTCTAACTCTCTTGTTAGTAATTTCCCTTTTCAAGAAATTGATTCATTTCTTATTATACGTGACGCTAGCTGTGTACTTGTAAAATTTTCTTTTCCGCTAAGAGAACTCTAATCCAACCAAATTCATTTACTTTTTATTTTAGGAAATAGGTATTAGCTGGATTTAACTTTTACAAATAAAGTATAGGTTTGAAAGTATATGTTGGTCCTTTCTTCCACTCAACTTTTCTTTTTCCATTAAACTTTTCTTATTTTTCTTATTTTGTACTAACTAAATAAAACTATTAGATTATAATCATATTTAGTATAGATACTTACTTGTCCTTTAAAATAAGCCCAAAAATTGTGTTAGCATGTATAATATCTCATCTTTCATATGCCACCTTGTTTCCTGCTTTGAAAATGTATTTATATAGAAATTCACTAAACCACGTTTTTGCAGAGGCCTTGCAGGATGGTTTCATAACTTTAGAGTCTAAATACTATTCATTACAGAAGCTAATAGTTCAGTTGATGTAAATACTGATGACTTTGCAAAACAAATGAACCATTGTAGTTTACACAAAACCATATTGCAGGGGCTTGTACTTATCACTTACTTTTATATGTTGATGTTGATTAGCTAAGAAACTGTAAACATAAAACAGGTTTAAAAATAAATAGATAAAATGCACCCAAAAAATAGTTATTCCTTCATAGTACTTCAAAATTTCATGATGTTTCTTCTGATTTCCACCATGTACTTTAGGACCTGGGATAAATGACCTTCTTTGTACTCATGTTTCTCAATGTAAAACGATGCATACTTATTCTAAAATTGTGGGGATTTTTAGGAGAAAGGCAAATATAACACATGGCCTTCATACCCTGGCTTGTTTATAATTTTAGAATCCTTATTTTTGGTTTAAAAAAAGAGACCTTTATCTTTTTTTTTTTTTTTTTTTTTTTTTTTTTTTGAGACGAAGTTTCACTCTTGTTACCCAGGCTGGAGTGCAATGGCGTGATCTCGGCTCACCGCAACCTCCGCCTCTCGGGTTCAGGCAATTCTCCTGCCTCAGCCTCCTGAGTAGCTGGGATTACAGGCACGCGCCACCATGCCCAGCTAATTTTTTTTTGTATTTTTAGTAGAGACGGAGTTTCACCATGTTGACCAGGATGGTCTCGATCTCTTGACCTCGTGATCCACCCGCCTCAGCCTCCCAAAGTGCTGGGATTACAGGCATGAGCCACCGCACCCGGCTATCTTTGTTTTTTGAGACAGAGTTTCACTCTTGTCATCCAGGCTGGAGTGCAATGGTGGCATGATCTCGGCACACTGCAACCTCTGCCTACCAAGTTCAAGCAATTCTCTTGCCTCAGCCTCCCAGGTAGCTGGGATTACACACATGTACCACCATGCCCAGCTAATTTTTTTTGTATTTTTAGTATAGTTGGGGTCTGGCCATGCTGACCAAGCTGGTCTCCAACTCATGACCTCAGGTGATCCATCTGCCTCAGCCTCCCAAAGTGCTGGGATTATAGGCATGAGTCATCGTGCCCAGCCGTCAGCATCTTGTAATCTGTTTACTAGTCTCGTGTGTGCTCGTGCTCTCTCTCCCCCTCTCTGTCACTTGGTTCAAAATTGGCACTAAAGTTGTTTTTTTTTTAATTTATTATTTTTTTAACCTATAAAAAATGGATCAGCCCTTACATGCTATCATTATGCCAGATTTTTATGTGAAATTCTGTGACATTTGACTTCACCGTGGGGGTAGAGTTTAAATATGAAAATACAGTTATCCTGATTTTATTATTCCATATTTTTTAAGTGCAGTTGACCACAATAGACATATAATTCAACATAAAGGTAATATATTGTTAGTAGTCAGTCAGAAACACTATGTTGTGCAACCATGACATATGGTGCTAGATTACTACCTTGAAAGCAAAAGCCAAGTAAAGCAGAGCAAAATAATGTGCTGAATAGCTTAGTAGGTGGAAAATGCTGCTGCTACAGTTTTATTTTTAGGAAACACAGAAGTAAAAATGTCAGAGCCTAATGTTATTACCTTATCTTTCCATTTGATTTTACTAGGTGACTGACCTTGATGATGAAGTTGGATCTCCAGCAGAAGAGTTTAAAGCATTTGCAACAGATACAGGGATGAACAGGAGCCAATCAGAGTACTGCAATGTGGGCACCAAGACATATCTGACCAATCACCCGGCTAAAAAGTTTGTTTTTGACTTCATGCGGGTCTTAATCATAGACAACCTCTGTCTTACCCCTGCCAGCAAGCAAACTCCATTAATTGATCTTTTGTTGGAGGTAAAGACAAAGAAATGGGTATCTCGTTTGCATTACTTTTTAAATTAGAACATTAGTAACCAAGCAAGTTCTGTGCCAAAGATTTCTAATTCCTCTTAGTTATGTGTAGGCAGAACTTGTCATGAGCTATGGAAAGTTCTTAATCCCATATGTGCTTTAGACCCTATCAATTTGTTCTTCTTTCCCTTCCCTCAAGGATGTCTCTACGTTAGTCCTTTATCATCCTTTCCCTAGCAGCTGGCAAACTTCTTCTGTAAAAAGCCAAATAGTAAATATGTTAAGCTCGTGGGCCATACAGTCTCTGTCACAACTGCTCAACTACATTGTTGTAGCTAGAAAGCAGCCATGGACAGTGCATAAGAGACTGAGCATGGCAGTGTTCTAATAAAACTTTGTCTACAAAAACAAACACAGGCTAGATTTGGCCCACAGGCCATAGTGTGCCAGCCCCTTCTCTGGACACTAACAGTGCCTAGTGGCATTGTCTTCTTACCTCATAACTTCCTACATTGATTTCTCCTACCTATCATTGCCAGGTGTTACTGTTGTCAGTGTCGTGTGCAGCTTAAGACATGATGCATTGTACAGAATAGGTGCCTACTATGCACTTGTTAAATTCCCCAAGGCAGCAAACTTCTAGGGTGCCTGCCTCCCCATTCTCCTGACAATTGATGTCAATCAACTGATGTATCGGAAAATAAGAGTGGCTCTAAGCCTTTAAGTGGCCTCATTGCTGGCTCTAGAAATTAGCTATCCCAGAAAAGCATTAAAAAATGTTTAGCTAGAAAAGTCTGAAGATACCTCTGAGAGAACATTTAATACAGTATAATTAGTTGCATATACATTCATGTTCCTTTGACCAATTAACATAAATAAGGTCAAACAGTACATGCCAGGGGCTCTGAAAATAACTTGTGTTAGGAAAGAGTAGATCTGTGGAGAAGACTGTTTTTCTGTGAGTAACTTCTGTCTCTCCGCAGTTTGACAGCTGAACCTGACTTTTTTTGTGCTCCCTCTAGTGGCTAATACAGTTAACTTTTAAATAGCAATCTGAAAACCACAGGTTTTTCTTATTTATGTGAAAATACCTCAATTTGGTCAATTTTTTAAAAATCACTAATGTAATTTGGGTACCAGTTATGCTAAGCATTTAACTAGGACTACAATGTTTAATAATGGCAAGAGAATAATTGGTTTCCTCACTAATGCATGTGGTAGAATTAAAAAGCAGACCCAGTAGAACTTGTCTGTTTTGGAAACTTTAAAAAGCTATCAGAATAGTTGGCCAGTATCTTACTGTATAGGGTAAAAATTTGAAGCATTTTGTGAAAAAGTTAAATAGTTTATCAGAAAATAATAGAATGAAGTCCAGAAGAGATGTGTGCAAGAAAGCATAACTGATCAAAAAAGGAAAATACACACATGAAAGATACAAAATGACTGGAAATATCCAGTGATAGCATTTTCAGACTTGTGGGAACCCGAATAGCTAATTAATTAACCATATATGAATCATATAATTGCCCCTTATTTTTGTTTTTCTATATTTTTTAGTAGAAAGAATTTGATATGTAATAACATATATTAACCTTGAAGTGAGGCCCTCTTTGTTGTGGGCATGAATTTACCCTGCCATGGAATTGTGCTTCATTATACTAGGGAGTAGGACTATAGTTCAGGGAGAAGCAGGGAGTGTCAGGATTGAAACTGTCAGATAGATTGTAAACGGCTTAGAGACCAACTTTCATGTGTTCCTTCATCTCTCACAACAGTTAGCACAGTGCCTTGGTGTATTCTGTCAATACAGTAAGTTCTCACTTAATGTCATTGATAAGTTCCTGGTAGCTGCAACTTTAAGCAAAATGATGTATAACAATTCTAAATTTTTTTCTCCATTAACCTTAGAATAAAACTACGTTGAAGGAAATGATGTTCATTTGAGGATCTACTGTACGTTGTTTCACTTAAAGTTGCAGTTGCCAAGAGCCTGTCAGTTACATGAAGTGAGGCTTACTGTATTTTTGAATCATTTAACTATTACCCTGGAAATTCCCAAACAGAAAGATTAGGATACCATCTATTGAAAAGAATAGAAATTTGCTTTTAAATATTTTGAGGATCTTTAAGTTTAATATACACATGCAGAATACATATACCAAAAAATTTATATTAATGAAATATTAATATTGCATGTCTTCCTATGGTGTAATAGAATAAATTATAAACAGTTGATTTTGAAAATTATTATTATGAAGTCCTTATCAATGAAGAGATTTAAAAAGAGAATTAGATCGAGCATGGTGGCTTATGCCTGTAATCCCAACACTTTCTTTGGAGGTCACGGCAGGAGGACTGCTTAAGGCCAGAAGTTCAAGATCAACCTGGGCAACATAGTGAAATCTCATCTTTACAAAAAAATTAGTCATAACCAGTGTTGTGGTGTGTACCCGTTTCCTACCTACTCAGGAGGCTAAGGTGGAAGGATCACTTGAGCCCAGGAGTTCAAAGTTACAGTAAGCCATGATTGGACCAGTGCATTCCAGCCTGGGTTGCGGAGTGAGACCCTGTCTCCAAAAAAAAAAAAGACAGAGAGAATTATCTTATATATTTATCATTTACCTTTGTGAAGGAAGGGGCTTGAACCAGCTGAGTCTAGTAAATGTGAACCAGAACATTCAGTCTTATGAGTGTTAGAATTTCATCATAAAAGTATCTGCTTACTTGTTTATATCTACAAAAGAACATGTAAAATTATCTTCATCAGCAGTAAAATTCATTAGCATAAAAGTAAGAGATTCACATTGATATAGACTGGCTTTAGTATGACTGAGACCAAATACAAGGGAGGTGGTATGGTGTGGCAGAAAGCTAGAGCATGGGTTTGAGAAGAAGTACCTGGCTTTAAATTTTGGCCCATTTTAAATTCATCTTCCCAAGCTAAATTCATTCTCTAGAGAATGATATTATTTACTATCTCTCTTCTGAGATTATTGTGTGGGTTAAATATATGTATATCACCCAGCAAAAAGTATTTTGAGGCGTTACATGTGTGCTGAATATAGCTGTGAGACCTTGACCAAGTCCAATTTTCTTTACATCTATACAATTTACATATCTATAAAATGGTATAAAAGTGGAACCTGTCTGAGAATTATTGTGAAAACTAAATAAGATACCATTTAATATTCATAACACAGTGCCTGACACTTAAACTCAAAAAATTGACTAAGTGACCTGTGTTGGCTTCTATAAGGGTGTTTAGAAACTCTTCTAGCTCTTGTGACCTCCGCTATCACCACCAGACTTCTCATGGAGAGCCAAATGAATCCGCTGCAAATAAATACTGTGGCAGTGCGAAGAAATTGCATGAGAACAGATCAAACAGATTTGTGCATACCTGGAGGTAAAGATAATGAAACTGAGAGGGTGTGCACTAATCCAGTCTCACGCTGCTAGTGAAGACATACCCAAGACTGGGTAATTTATAAAGGAAAGAGATTTAATTGACTCATAGTTCAGCATGGCTGGGGAGGCCTCAGGAAACTTACAATCATGGCAGAAGGGGAAGCAAACACATCCTTCTTCACATGGTGGCAGCAAGGAGAAGTACAGAGTGAAGTGAGGGGAAAACCCCTTATAAAACGATCAGATCATGAAAACTGAGTGAGTTTTTATGAGTTGTTCTTCTATCACAAGAACAACATGAGAGTAACCACCCCTATGATTCAATTACCTTCCACTGGGTCCCTCCTATGACTTGGGGGGATTATGAGAGCTACATTTCAAGGTGAGATTTGGGAAGGGACACAGCCAAACCATATCAGAGTGAGTGCTTTTCTGACACCATAAGCACCTCACTGTTGTCTAAGGAATTCACTGGACTCTATTCCAGCCATCTTCTACAAGAGCTCCCGTTGTCATGTATCAAAGCAAAACCCACCCTGAGTGACTGCAGGGAAACAAACAGAAAACAGTGGCAAAGTGGACAAAGAGAGTACCACAGAATAACTCAGAGAGAAAAAATCAGTCAGTAGGAAGACTACAGTCAGAATCAGAAGATTCAAAATCCTCTCCATTAGAGGCTTCCATCTCATTACAGAAACAGGACAGAATTCCAAAGGCCTTCCGGAGCCACAGTGCTATCTACCATGGGCAGCAGACACATATGGTTTGTCTGGACTGAGTGTGGGACACAGATTCTGAGTAGTGTCCCCAAGACCTCAAAAAGGATAATGAAACTGAGAGGGATTGTTTGAAGATGCATATGTTGACGCTGGCTTTGCTGTTTTCACCAGGAAAACAGATCTCACCACCAGAGTCCAGAGCAGATCACCATGCCTGTCCTGCCTTCATTCTGGTTGTCTTGTGGGCCAACTGTTCTTATCTAAAAGAGTGATGAAGAGATTGTACCCCACAGTCTGCAGCTTTGCTCTTGTGCAAACTTTGATAAGGAGATTTTTGTAGAGTGGGGAGAGTATGATATGACTGGTGAAGCCATGGGCTTTGGCTTCACAGAAACTGAGATTTGAATCCTAGTTGTGACTTGATCGAGTGGCTTACTCTCTAAGCCTCAATTATTTTGAAAGTGGGGATGTTAGTATCTACTTCAAGGGGTATTTTGCTGATTAAGTGAGATAATGTATATATATAAACCCTGTGTCTGCTACAAAACAGAGTCTAGTGAATTGTTTAAAAAGCAAAAGAACACCTCAGAGACAACAACGTATGCTTTCATAAAATGTTAAGTCCTTTAAAAGTTAAGACTGCTATACATCTCAGCAAGAACATCAGAACTAGGCCATTAGGACCAGTAACAAGTGTAAAATCTGGGTCCTCATCATTCATGTAACAGTTTTTTTGAGACAAATCAGAAAATTAAATGTTTGTTGATGACTAAGCCAGTCTTATTAAATCCTTCTGGAATAAGAAAGAATATTATTTTAATAAAAATAAATATCATTCACCAAGCACTTCTCTTTGTTTTGCAGACTTCAAAATTTTTCTAGTTAAGATTTGATAAACCCTACTAATTACTGCTTATCTCATTAACCACTTTGAGTTGATCATGAGCCTAAAAGAGTAGCTTTCTTTTTTTGAGACAGGGTCTTGGTCTGCTGCATCGTCTGGAATGCAGTGGCGCATCCTTGACCTGCCGGGCTCAATCATTCTTCCCATCTCAGCCTCCTGAGTAGCTGGAACTACCAGCACACACCACCACGCCAGCCTTTCTTTTGTTGTGGGAGTTAGAGACAGGGTTTCATCATGTCGCCCAGGCTGGTCTTGAACTCCTGGGCTCAAGTGATCCACCTGCATTAGCCTCCCAAAGTACTGGGATTACAGGCATGAGCCACTGTGCCCAGCCAGGAGTACTGTTTTCTTCTAAATATTTATGTCCTTCGTGACTGGAGAGCTTTATTCCTTAGCAAATTATGATGACTCAAGCTATTGGATAAAATGGTCTCTTATCTAATTACAAGGAAAACCTCCAGGAACTGTCAGTCTGCTGTTAATCAATTAAAAGTCCTCACTTCTCTTCTCTGCCCACTGAATCATCTGCTGGAAAGTTATGCACCTGGATTTTCTTACTCTAATTACAAGTAGAATTGTCAGTAGGCTACAGTTTAACTTTATGCCCTACACTTTAACTTAAGAAAATTTTCAAAATCATTTTTGTACATTATAAAACTTAACAAAGATACCGCCTATAGGGTTGTTCACTATTCTCCTTATAAAAACCCACAGAGAACATTCCTCTCAGAACAATTTTAGGAAAACATTTGTCTTTGCTGACAATCTATTGTGTTTTTCTTTTTTTATTTCTTCTCTTAATATAAGGGTCTTGCTATATTGCACAGGCTGGACTCAAACTCAAGCGATCCTCCCACCTCAGCCTCCCCTGTAGCTAAGACTATAGGTACTTGCCACTGTATGTTTCTTTTTATAGACAATAAAAAGTTTGTAAACCATTTTTTTTCTTGACACCTATGAAGCCCACAGCTAAATTGTGTGCTTAATTAGTTTTTTTTTATAAATATATTTTCCCTCTTCATTGGCATGCCCTCTCGATTACTAGATTCTTGGGTTTTTGTATTTGTTTTAATGGCTTTAAAATTCATTTATTATTTATCTGTATTTCATTATAAACTGCCATATCTCTTTTGGAAGTGAGGTGTGATAATAGTCAAATATTTATTAAATACTTAGAATGTTTAGAATACTATGTTTTAAGGAATGGAGTCAAAAGAAGATGATGTTTCACCTTTTGCTTTAATTTTTTTTAATTCCATAGTCAGAAAATATGTGAAAAGACTATAAGCATGTATACTATCTCTCATGTCATTAAAAAAAATTTATCAGTAGGATTTTTTAATCTTTTTAATACATTAGGTAATGTGAATATGGTTGAGCTCATATTTTTGTTTTAGTTGGTTCTGTTTTTAATTCTAAATTTTCTTTATTAGGCTTCCCCTGAAAGGTCTACAAGAACTCAGCAAAAAGAATTTCAAACTTACATTTTAGATAGTGTGATGGACCATTTGCTTGCAGCTGATGTGTTATTAGGTAATTCTGTGTTTTTATTTTATGAAAATAAATCACTTTCCTCTCTAAACCCCAAGTAAAACTACTTTTTAACATCAGCTTTTCACTTTCCTTTTTTGTCTAGCTTCTCATACTCAATATTATATTTGTAAGATTTGTCTATTTTGTTGCATGTAGCAGGAGGCCACTATTTTCATTACTGTATAGTATTTCATGTGAATATATAAATTTATTACTTTACTCTTAATAGACATACGAAAGTTTTCAGCTTGAGATAATTATTTCAAAAGCTGCTATACACATATTCATATGGGCTACATATACGTAGAATACTTACACATATCTGTTGAGTATATACCTATGAATGGAATATTGGATTATAGGTATGTATGTGTTATCTTTTTAGGATGGCCTCTAGGACATAGAGTCAAAACACATTGAAATGTGTTTTTTCTATATGTCTATATCTAATTACAATAAAAATATAAAACTTAGTACATTTATAGTGAATCCAACATTTATGTATAAAACAAAGTAAATTAGAAGGAAACATAATGGCTTAATATACTATATGTGCTACTTTTGAATTCCTAGTGATAATACTAATCATATAACCTCTGTGCTATATAATTACCATTTTTTTCCAGAAGTAAACTTGCCAGGAAAATCTTTAGTATTGTCTTAACATGCAACTGTGCGCTCTCAAAGTCAAGTCACACTTTCGTACTTATTCCTATCGGTTTAGAGCAGTCATACTACACAAAGACATAACATGAATAATTTTGCTTAATGGGGCAATTTAGCATTAGGTGAGAATAATAAAAATCAAATTCAATGGCGCCTCCAGAATTTCTATGGAGAAAGAGCTTAAAGCAGTGGTCCTCAACCTTTTTTGGCACTGGGGACCAGTTTCATGGAAAACAATTTTTCCACAGACCAAGTGAGGGGATTAGGGGTTTGAAATGATTCAAGCATTATATTTATAAGCATTACATTTGATTCTCGGAAGTATTGTACAATCCTAGATCCCTTGCATGCACAATTCAAAATGGGGTTTGCACTCACATTAGAATTTAATGCCACTACTGATCTGACAGGAGCAGCTCAGGTGGTAATGTTGCACACCCAACACACACTTCCTGCTGTGTGGCCTGGTCCATGGCCTGGGAGTTGGGGACCCCTGGCTTAGGGGAAACATTCTAGTTAGGAGGAGGACCTAGGAGGATTACTCTGAAAACAATATGTATATATATGGTAAGCACACTGAAAACGCTCAGATAGCTTTAGAAAGAGAGAGCCAATGGTAATAATGGAGGGGCTAAACAGCACACCTCAACATTGGTGATACTTTATTTTTCACAATTTTCTTGAAGCTCTCTTCTGCCTATGTTACTTAATTGCTGTTAGAGGTATACTCTAAAATAGTTTTGTTTCACAATTTTACCCTTTCTTACTTACACAAAACTAATTAAGAGCCAATAAACTGACCCTTTTTCTCTCAAATGGAGAATACCTGTGACTGGCAGTTTATGCTGAGGAACTCTGTGTTTATCACAGACTGTCTTTAGGCAATAGGAGACTCCACAGGTAGTTTCATTCCATAACACTATCCTGCTGAAATTATTTCTTCCCATATTTATCCTGATTTCTGGCCATTGAATATCATTTTCTTCAAGTAGTGCATAAGAGCTAGTGGTCATATTTCTACATGTTGAAGATAAAATTATTTTTCCTTAGCCTGGTTTATTTGAGGATCTGGTCTTGTGTTGGTAGATATCAATTTTCTTAGACATTTTTTTCCTACTGGAATTTAGGGGAAGACGCATCTCTGCCTATTACCAGTGGAGGAAGCTACCAGGTATTGGTGAACAATGTGTTTTATTTCACACAGCGTGTGGTGGACAAGCTTTGGCAAGGCATGTTCAACAAAGAATCTAAACTTCTTATAGATTTTATAATTCAACTAATTGCACAGGTAATTCGTTGTCACTATTAGTTGTAGAGCACATGTTTTCCTATTGAAAACTTTGTCAAAATTGTTGAAATTAAATGTAACTAATAAGATAATGAATGTCAACATTTAATATAAAGCTAAGTTTATTAAAAGTGAATAGAGATAGACTGGGCATGGTGGCTCATGCCACCATATCATATCAATACTTTGGGAGGCCGAGGCGGGTGGATCACTTGAGGTCAGGAGTTCAAGACCAGCCTGGCCAACATGGTGCAATTCTGTCTCTACTGAAAATACAAAAATTAGCCAGGCATGGTGATGTAATCCCAGCTACTTGGGAGGCAGAGGCAGGAGAATCACTTGAACCTGGAAGGCAGAGGTTGCAGTGAGCCAGGATCACACTACTGCACACCAGCCTGGGTGACAGAGCGAGACTCTGTCTCAAAAAAAAAGTGAATAGAGATACAGACTTTGAACCCCTCCGCTATTACCAATTGCCTGGTGCCAGTGAGTCTTTTGTAAAGTTGCCTAGTTCTCAAGCTGCGATCTCTCAGTGACCTCCCAGCTGGTATTATTATTTGCTACCCAGATAGATTTAAATGTCTTAAGTTAATAGAGTTTGATATGTTTGTACTGTATACTGCATCCATGTGTAGAGGCTTACAGAGTATGAAGAGATGATAGTAAAAGAATATTCTCTTACCAACTAAATCTTTACAAATTTCCTTATACTTTATATTCTCTTGAAGTTGTTACTTTTTGTGCATGTTTACAGTACTTTTAGTTAAGGGTTTGGCTTTGTTTGTCACAATTGATTAATCTTATTCAATACTTAATGTAGAAAGTAGGAAATAATTGTTACATATTTTATTAGCATATGGTACCCAGATACATAGGCTCTCTCATGTCACCTAAGACTTTCTAAAATGATATATTTGTATTTAAGCCAAAGAGAAAAATTCTCAAATAAGGGGATGAAACTAGAATGTTAAAAAAAAAACATGATTTTAGTAACATCTTAAGCAAATTTTTTTCAGTACTTTTGAGTAGACACCGTTTATCTTAACAATGTATTTGTGAGGAGACTCCCCTAGATGTCACGTCCTTGTGTTCTCAGGGGGACTGCTCTGCCACATAGCAGCATTAATGGCTCTCCTCCCTGGGAGCTCTTTTTTTATGTAGCCCTCATATCATTCATTAAATTGCATTGATGTGTTTCATGGGTTCTGAAATCCATAATAGCAAGAGCTTTGTATCTTTTAACTTAACACTCTCATACTTAGCATGGCATTTGGTATATAATAAAAGTTCATGTGTGAATGATTAACAGGTGTTTTACTTTTGTCTGTTGTACTGAAAACGTATCTTTCATGTGTTTAGTCAAAGAGAAGATCACAGGGATTGTCACTGGATGCAGTCTATCACTGCCTCAATAGGACCATCTTGTATCAGTTCTCACGGGCACACAAAACCGTTCCTCAGCAAGTAGCTCTGCTTGATTCACTCAGGGTCCTCACTGTAAACAGAAACTTGATTCTGGGACCTGGCAACCATGACCAAGAATTCATTAGCTGTCTGGCCCACTGTTTGATAAATCTACATGTTGGAAGGTAAATCCTTTACATTCAGTTTGCCATGTTAAATTTGGCTTTGATATTATTCCAAAAAAAAAAAAATCTTTTTTTTTTTTTATAGTAACATGTCTTTTACCCTTTATTCTATTTTATTTAAACCTTTATGCAAAAAGGTAAAGGGCAAGTGTTGCATTTTTGCAGAGAAATAATGGGTATTTTTTTTTCTTTAACTTAGTTTTCTATAACTTTTAAATTTTCTATTATCACCATATGTCACTTATATAAGGAAGCTTTCTTTTAAAGCAAATGAAATACATACCATTGAAGTCTAAGAGAAGTAAAAAGTAAAACTCAATGCAATGTCATATGTTAAACGAGTAAAATTAGTATTTTTCAGTTGATTGCTTTGACAGATATTTCATTAGTGTCTGCCAGGGGCCAAGCATTGAATCAGGGGCTGAGACAAAATGTGAGTAAGATTGACCCTGCGGCAGCCTTCTTGAGGGGAAACAGCTAAGCAAAACCAGTCAACTGTATTGAGTGATCTGTTAGGAAAAGCCCAGTGTTTTGGAGGCATATAAGAGGGGCCCCTAACCTGAAAGAGATGCCTGCTGAGCTGCAACTTGAGAGCTGGTTAGGGAGGACGAGAATGGAGACAGCTGCTACTAGAAAGAGCAGTATGTGTGAATGCCCAGAGGTAAGAAAGAGTGTGGCACCTGAGGGGAACTGCAGCTATTTCACTGCTACAGGAGCAGAGTAGTGAGATATAGCACTGGAGAGAGGATACAGGCATATTAGAAAAATGCTCCTAGTCGAATGAACATTTTGTCATTTTTAGGTAAAAATGTTCACAATAATCAAAAGGCATGTTAAATATTAAGGTAATAATCTTGATGCTATAGATTAGTCTAATTACATTTAGTCAAGTGGATTTATTTGCTCACATCTTAAAAATGGCATTTTCCTGGTAAAGTAGAGTTCTATTCTGTGCATCTGCTGAGTAGACATTCAGTAATATCTGTTGGTAAGGGAAATAGAGTAATTCTTAGTTATTGTAGTCTTTAGCTAATCATTTCTTCATAGAGTTTAATCTGACTGGAATTTTTCAGCAATGTGGATGGATTTGGACTGGAAGCAGAAGCCCGTATGACTACATGGCACATTATGATCCCCTCTGACATTGAACCAGATGGTAGTTACAGCCAAGATATTAGTGAAGGTAATTGCTTCGACCTGGGATGTTTTAAATTGTTGTTGTGGTTGTTTTATCTCCAGTTTTTAAGACATAACCAAAAAATCGGCTTCAGAAACTGCCAACATTGATAGCAGCTCTCCCAGTAGGGCAACCTATACATAGACAAAGAGTCTCCTCATGCCATTAAGAGTAAAGCTACCAGTAATACTGCAAAGCTCATCATTTCTTAATAATGCTGTGAGACTTGGTGGTGGTATTAATATTTACATTGACTTAAGTAGAAGTACAAATATTAAATTGGCATTACCTAACTGCCCAGTGGTAATGTCAGGCATATCACATTAGAGTAAGCAAATATTGCTTGAGACAGGTTATCAGTATTGCCATTTTTATTCTTCTTTATACTCCCCTTTTTTTTTTCTTTTTTTGGAGACAGAATCTTGCTCTGTCACCCAGGCTGGAGTGCAATGGCACAATCTCAGCTCACTACAACCTCCACTTTTCGGGTTATGTTCTGCTATTCTCATGCCTCAGCGTCTCAGCCTCTTGAGTAACTGACTACAGGCACACATCACAACGCCTGGCTAATTTTTTGTATTTTTAGTGAGACAGGGTTTCACCATGTTGGCCAGGCTGGTCTCAAACTCCCACCCTCAAGTGATCCGCCTGCCTTGGCCTCCCAAAGTGCTGGGATTATAGCTGTGAGCCACCACGCCTGGCCCTTTTTTTGTTTTAATCTGGTTGTCCCTCTGATCCTGTAAGCATTGCACATTGAAGTCTTGTATGGATTGATTCATTTCCACATGCTCAGTGATAAATAAAAGTCACTCTTCATAGTGTTTGTCTCCCCAGAAATACTGTGATAGTTTTACATGTGGTTTCATTGTTTGGAAGCCCAGCACTCATTTTAATTTCAGTCCTTCATTTAAACCATGAATTTATTTATTCTTTGTTCTTTTACCAAAATGTTTTCAACCCTAAACACCAAGGATGTAGTGATTATTTTCACCTTGCTATGGTTCTTATAGCAAGGTCCTCAGAATAGCAACATCAATATCATTTGGGAACTTGGGAGAAAAGCAGATTCTGTTGCTCTACTCTGATCTACTGAATCAGAAACCCTGGGGTTAGGGACTAGCAGCTTGTTATCACAGGTCCTCAGGTGATTGTTGAGGGCTGACAGGTCTAGAGGAGGAGTCAGGCATACAAATAAGGAGTCCAAAGCAAGAATGAATTTCATAGTAAAATTCTTTTCAAAATATTTCTTTATTTGTGTAAAATACTAACTTAGTTTTGAATTCACCTTAAACATTCAGATCTAAAAATTACTTTTAAATGAGGGATAAGTTTTTATCTAGAAAAAGTTAGATAATTACATATATATAATTTCCAATTTTATAAATAAAAATGTTATTTTGTGTGCATATAAAGATTTTTTTAGTATCTTCTAAATAGGCAACCACAGTTTTAGTTATCTGAATAACCTTTTCACTGGGCTAGATACAATATGAGCATCGTTTTTTACAATTAAATACTGTAGTCAAAATTTTTACCTGTAAGCATGAAGAAAAATAAAAACTAAACCTATACTGTGCTTTGATCATTTGCTTGCTTTGTTTGTTTACTAGGGCGTCAGCTTCTCATAAAAGCTGTCAACAGAGTTTGGACTGAACTGATACATAGTAAGAAACAAGTCTTGGAAGAGCTTTTCAAAGTAACTCTGCCTGTGAATGAAAGGGGCCACGTGGACATAGCTATAGCCAGGCCACTCATTGAAGAAGCTGGCTTGAAGTGCTGGCAGAACCATCTGGGTAAGGCCTACAGAGATCATGTGACCACGAGACTTACATGTGGCTATTATATATAGGTGTACTTTAAATATGTAATTACAGCATTGCCAAAAAGATACTATAAAGTCAATAGAAATGAAAATCAATATAACGTAACCATTCTAGAATGATTATACTGAGATCTTACTTTTCTTGGATTTATTTTTTTTTATATTTGAGGTATGTTATACATCAGGCATTTATGCATTCAGAATATCATACATTGCAAAGAGCTCTAGTATAGTCACTGTCATGGCAACAGATCCACAATCCCTTAACTATAATTTTGAAATTCGAAATGCTGTGAAAACCCAATGTTTTCATTAATTTGGTGTCAAAACTGACTTCATAGCAGAACCTAACTTATCTTTCTTTGTCCTACTTGGTATGGGAATATTCATATATTTTGCTGCAGTAATATTAATGTATTAAAAGTATAGCTTATTACTGTAGATTCTCAGGTGTCATTATATAATCTACAGTGTATAAGCTATATCGCCTTTTAAAAATCCCAAACATTCTAAGTTTTGAAGTATACCCAACACCAAAGATTTTAATTAGGTGATTATGAATTGTTTTTAATTCAGAAACTCATTATTATTTGGATAAAATTGGATATTATTACAGAGCTGTGAGGTTTCAACCAACTATAAGTTCAGCTAATACAATAGTTTGTGAGCAATCATCCTTAAACAAGACTATCAATAAATTAATTTGTGATATCTAAACGTAATATCTGCATCTGTAATATGTGCTGCTTTTGTTCACTGCAGGATTGTAGCTTATAACCAGATATGAAAGTTTTAAAAGTAAGACTCATAAATACATGGAGAAATTATAAAATAATCTAATTTAAATTTTTCATAGCCCATGAAAAGAAATGCATAAGTCGGGGAGAAGCTTTAGTGCCCACCACACAATCTAAATTATCCCGTGTCAGCAGTGGCTTTGGTCTTTCTAAGTTAACAGGATCAAGAAGAAATCGAAAAGAAAGTGGTCTTAATAAACACAGTCTTTCCACCCAGGTACTTTTTCAGTTTTATAGATGGTATTATTAGAAATTTATATTCCAAGGTTTAGTTGTAGTATTTGATATAATATACTTACCATGTACAAGCAATTGATTAGAAATGAAACTTTTCTGTATTTTTGCTTTAAAATAGAGATAGAAGTAATCCAGACTATGGGAATTTCTCTCATTTTATCATGATAAAATTATATGTGAGTGCTATGTCATTATACCCATTTTATAACTGGATACACGATGAGATTTAGAGATTGATATATGATCAGACTATCAATAATTTTCTCTCAATTTTTCCAGCTTTCAATATTGTTGTTACTGATAATTATATAAATTTTAAGGCAATAGCCAAACACGCCTTTTTTAATTTTTACAAACTTGTTGTGTATGCCTGTGATTGATGGTTTTTAAAAAGCTCATCTGCCTCCAGCATTAACTTCATCATCCTACTTCCTTCACCATCCCAGATTTGAAGTGGCAGCTATGAAAAGGGTCTGAGAGAAATAGTGTTTGTCAGCCATCTCATGCATCAGGTCAGGTTTCCTATGAAGCAAACTCTGAGATGGAGTTTAGTGTGCATAATGCATATTGGGGGTGCCCTTGGGATCAATACCTGTGGAAGGGAAAAGGGCAGGACTGGATATAGGGAAAAGTCAGGCTGCAGTGCTAGTCTAGTGACAGCCTCAGCCCAACTAAGTGGAGCTTTGAGGACAGAATATCCACTTAGAGTTGACCTTCATTAAGCTGAAATGTGTGAGTCTTGTTACCCCTAGATCAGGTAGTAGTTGGATGTGGAGCACCCTGTCAGCCCTCTGCAGCAAAGGCAATCTGTGAGGGTGTTGACAGCAGCCTAGAAATGTGGGCAGCAAGCCCTTCTGTGAAGGGGTTTGGGGAGTGGGAGAGCTTGCAGATCTGTGTCCATCACGCAGGCCTCCATTAGATTCATCATGTAATTCATTCCAAATTTTTTGATTTTGTTTTCTGTTTGGGTGCTTTTGGCAGAATTTTAACCAATTGTTTAGCATTAATTTCAAGAGTAACTTTTTTTTTTCAAAAATCTGTGAAATATTAAGACTCTTTTTCCACCCATTGTTAGGAGATTTCGCAGTGGATGTTTACTCACATTGCTGTTGTTCGTGACTTAGTAGATACACAATATAAGGAATATCAGGAGGTAAGGATATATAATCATCATAATGGTTTGTTTTACATTTTTTATATGTGAAAGGTCTCTGTTTGTCCCGGTATCTTTCTGCCCATTTTAAGGTACTGGCTGGAGTGCATTCATCATCAGATGATGGTTTTAATTATCCCTGCTATCAGCTACTTTGGCTACTAACTTTAGGATAGAAAATTTTAATCTTTTGTCAACAAACTGCATTTCAAAAAGCAACAAACTGAAAATGAGCAAAGCTGAATTCTCTTAACATTCACTACTGACATGTTACATGTCTTTGTTCCTAATAAAAATAGAAATGTAAGAATGAGCCTTCTTTTTCAGACTTTTAACAAGGGGATTGCAAAAACATGCATCAAAGTCTCTGAGAAGTCTCTTAAAATTGTAAAAAATTGCAAGATTAAATGAAATTATTTTTTACCGCACTACAAGTGCTTGGCGATTATGTCAGTGAAAAATTCATTGAAATTCTCTTGGTGATTTCATAATTATTCAAAAGCTTATCTTAAATATTTTATTCCCAGAGTAGCTATTTTGGATCTATTAAAGGTTTCTGAATGATTAACTGCTAGTATTTTATGGCTGTGACACTAGATCCTTAGTTTCCCAACCAAAGAACATATAAGTACTACTGTGATAGGTAATATTATAATTACTCACTCAGTAATCTTTACTGTCAGTTATATTTTAGAAGTCTTTATTTTTAGATTTAAATTATGTATACTTACGTTCCATGAATCGTTGGGCAAGTTAGTTATCACTGTCTACTATTGAAATGTTACATATTTGTCATTTGATAAGAAGAATTGTACTGTGTCATAATTTTCATTTAAGTAAAATGGTTTGGATCTGTCTCAGATGCCAGAAGAAAATGTTTTCTCTTTGATTTTTATATGAACATCAAGTTCCCTGTTAGTGCTGGATGTTTATATTCTTCATCTAAAATCTTTGGAAATGTTTACCTTGCTCACCAGTAATCAAGTCTGTTGGCACTATTTCTTTATCTGATTTCCTAGAATATCCCCTATTCATGTTTTGGTAGCTATTTTCCAGTTCGGTGTATCCTTAAATTACCGTATGTATTTATTAACTCACATAGAGCTAACCGTTTCAATATATTTTCATAGTAATATTATCATCTTTTCTGTGCCAGAAAAACAAGCTTTTTTCAACTCTCTGTTCCACCATATTGCATACTCTAACCTATACACGTCTGTCATTTACTTGGTGCTGTAAGAAGTCCACCTTCTGCAACAAAGCTGCTTACTTTAACCATAAACAAATGTAATTTTACTTTTATAATGTTAACTGAAATGGTGTGGATTGTGTTTGTTTCCAAATAATAACTTGATTTTCAGTGACTTGTAGACTTGTTACTGTTACTCCTGCTTTTGCTTGAAAACCGACCTGGACTCTTTCCTGTCAGCGTCAGCAGAATGCCCTGAAGTACGTGACAGAAGAGTGGTGCCAGATCGAGTGCGAGCTGCTGCGGGAGCGGGGCCTGTGGGGCCCTCCCATCGGCTCCCACCTCGACAAGTGGATGCTGGAGATGACAGAAGGGCCCTGCAGGATGAGGAAAAAGATGGTGCGAAACGATATGTTTTATAACCATTACCCTTACATGCCAGAAACTGAACAAGAGACAAATGTGGCGGTGAGTATGCAGAATTCGGCGATCACAGTGGCTCTTTCAAGTTTTTATTTTCCTTTGTAAGCATTTTCTTCTCTGTTAGGTCGATTACCTCAAATAGCTAATTTTAAAAATTCAAACTCTTTTAAATTGATAACTTCAGAGTGGAGGTGGAATGAAAAGATGCAACAGTGTAACAAGGAGACATCATAATGAAGTGGTTTAGATCACAGACACCAAAGCCTGACTGCCCAAATTTAAAACCTGGCTCTGCCACTTTGCTATTGTAGCTGGGTTACGGGGTATTAAACCTCTCTGGGTTTTCATTTTGTTATGCCTGAATTGGAGCAAATAATAGTTCTACCTCATAGGACTGTTAGGAGGATTTAGTTCATTAAAATTAGTTAAGTACTTAGAATAGTGTCTGGTCCAGAATAAGCCTTATGAACACGTGAACTTTCTAAGTAGCTCTGATCATATAAGTTGAGGCAGCTTGAATTGTTCCAATGCCTCTTGTTTCTCTGCCAAACACCCTGGCTCCATTTATCTTGCACTGATTAGCTTAACCTCAGTCCTGATGCTAACACAGATTAGCATCAACCTAAGCGTCCATCAGCAGAGTAATAGATGAAGAAAATGTGTTGTGTATACATAGTGGAATAGTATTCAGCCTTAAAAAAAAAAAAAAAGAAGGAAAGCCTGCCTGTGGCAACATGCATAAACCTGGAGGACATTATGTTACATGAAATAAGCCAGGTACAGAAGGACAAATACTACTTGACCTATCTCACTTGTATGTGGCATCTAACACAATCAGACTCAGAAACAAAGAGTAGAATGATGGTTACCAGAGGCTGAGAAGCAAGGAGAATAAGAGAGATGTTGGTCAAAGGGTACAGTTTCAGATAAATAGGAGGAATACATTTTTTGAGATCTGTTGCTTTCCATAGTGACTATGATTTATAGTAATGTATAGTTCATTTCAAAATTGCTAAGAGAGTAAATTTTAAGTATTCTTGGCACAAAAATTTTTAAGTATTTGGGGTGTTGAATATGTTAATTAATTTGTCAATTAACAGAAAAATTTTTTAAATAATAATATAGGTGAGTCTTAGCTCCTTCTAATAATGATTAAGATTTTAGAAGATAGCTCTCTAAAGTTCTACTTTTCTCAAAGCTATTCAGTTCTGTCAAGAATGCCATATTTGATGCAACTGTGCCTTAAAGCACTGTAATTTCTAATCCTGGAGCACTGTGTAAAAAAGGTAATCCACCCATATTTTTGCAGCCTGTTACTAGCACTTACTTTTATAAGAGCAAATTAACAGTATGATCTTTTAATTCTTAATCTTTTAGTCTATTGAGAATTTAAGCCATTAGCAATTTGATAAAATATTTCTTATCGAGTCAATGCTTATTTAAACTGAATCCATTCAAGAATACTAAAATATAAATATTCTCTCCCAAACACATGACCAACTTACTGTTTGAATTTAACTGAGGCATATACTTCTGAATTATTTTTACAATAATCATGATAATTTTTATCTGTACTCCTTTCCTTCCTTGTAATAATGTCATTTGTTTACAAAAGTATATTTAAACTTCTGTATCAGATAAAAGCAAAGTACCCTATTAAGCGTTCACACCTACAACCTTGTATCATCAGCATTTTACCTAGGCAAAGGAATTCACCAGCCTGTGAAATCAAAACAGACGCTCTCATAAATAAGTATACACGAGATGGAACTTATTTTTTTAACAGATGGGTTACATGTTGGAAAATATAAGACAGTTAAGAAATGTTGGAGATACTTTCACATAAAAGGAAAAAGCAGCCAGGAAGGAGAGACAGTTACAGAATGTAGAATTCATGCTGCGTAGTTCATGCACAAGTCAAGGTCAAGGTCAGTCTGCTATGATGAAATTTGCTGAAATAATTCTTCTGTTTTTAGTAGTTTACATCTTTTGTAAATTTGGAATGCCATTAAATGTCCACTTGTATCTTTTGGAATATGCATTCTGGCAATGTTAAAAACAAATTTTCAAAAAGCAGTAGTATCTATTATCCCACTGAATTCTACCATCAAGTCAAAAAAGAGGAGCTGATATTTATAAAACACAGTAAGCCAGATCAAGCTTGTCCAATCCTAGGCCCATGGGTCACATGCGGCCCAGGATGGCTTTGGATGCAACCTAACACAAATTCGTCAACTTTTTAAAAACAATGAGACTTTTTTTGCCTTTTTTTTTTGTAGGTCATCAGCTATTGTTAGTCTTAGTGTATTTTATCTGTGGCCCAAGACAGTTCTTCTAATATGGCCCAGGAAGCTAAAAGATTGGACACTCCGGAGCTAGATTCTTTACAGAGCAGTTTGCATGTGTTTTGTTTCAGTCTCCTAACAGCCCTCTGAAGTACAGTTAATATTGTTTCCCAGTTTTACAGATGAGGAACTGAAACCTAGAGTAGGTAAGAAACCTCCTTTTTGGCTGCAGCTACTAAGTAGCGTAGTAAGGTGGGAATACAGTTCAACAGTCTCTTAGTAGTTGAATCACTTTGAAAAATAAAAGATTCTAATGTTTGCCCATTTTGTGACATTATCCATTGACAGTGAATATATTCCATATTAGGTTTTGTCTCTCTAGGGCTAATGAAGTACCTAATACTTAATGAATATTGAGTGAATAAACTGGCAGCACTCTGTTACAGACTTTTTTCCATTGTTTTCTCTTTAACATTACATAGAATTTTCCTCACTCTAAAACTTCTTCACTATAATGGCCTCAAATCCATTTTATGGCCGTGTAGTTTATACAGTTTAGGAGAGGCCTCTATAAGAAAAAAAGTACAAAATTATGAATATAAAATTAATAGGGCTTTGTTTCCAAGGTTTTGAAAGTGGCTCATGGAAGTGAAGGCCACTAAAGTTTAAGCTACCTTAGCTTCATAGTAAATCCACCTCTGCCGTGATCTACATTAAAAAATATTGGCTCCTAGAGTTAGAGACCAATCAGTTCTTTCCTTTAAACTTCCATAAATTTGTTGTCTTCCTTGCATGCATGTTTAATATAGTAAGTACTTTTTGTGACATAATAGGTTTGTGTCAACCTAAAAGTTGCTTTTGAAGCCTCTTGATGGTTAAAAGACTTGACCTGGTGGAAGGGCAAATGATTTAATCTTTTGTTTATTGATTAAAATGATTATCGTTTCTCAGTAACATTTCCGTTTTTTGTCCTGTCGCTTAAGCTGAAGAATACAGTGATGATTTAAAAGTTAATTTCTTGTTTAAAAATATTTGATTTGTTAGAAATAAATCAGGTGTTTTTTTTTGTTTTACTCATTAAAGTTGTATTTCTTAAACTTTGATAATCTTACATACTGTATAGCAAATAGCTTACCTAGTCTAAGTTTTGAATTTTATTTCTTGATTTTAAGTTGGATGTTTGTGTATAGAATATGGAACATTCTCAGACTTTAAAGCATTGAAAGTTTATCAACTAAAATTATTGTAATAAAAATAGTAATAATAATTACTAATATCCTGAGAAAAATTAAGTACATATGGAAAATTCTATATTCTCAAATAAAAATGATTTATCCTCTACACACAGTGACCTTCCTCGGGGACTAATTTTCATAATTAAAACAGCTATAATGAGTTCTACTATAATTGTGTATTTTAAACAGAAATAGATAGTGTAAGATGTAAGTCTGGGATTTACTGCAAATTCAAAATCCGATTGTTCTTCTGAATTCTAAGGGAGGAAAATAATGCATATTTTGCCATTTAAAAAATATTTAAATATTAGGCTTTAATTTTGTAATTCCCTTATTTTTACAGAATAATAATCTCATACACATTTACTATTCTTTGCAAAGTTCATTAGGGTGAAGGTCTACCTATTAATTTGGGGTTACTCAGGGGCAGGAAGCTAATGAACTTTTCAGTTCCTTTTCTAACTAGGGGAGTTTCTTGTGGCTGCCTCAACATATATTTTTATATGTTGTATGCATGTCACAAGACTCATAGAAACTAATCAGATCAGTTAGGAAATTTCATTGCCAGCATTATAGGAAAATTTGAAATAAAAGAACTATAGGGCCGGGCGCGGTGGCTCACGCCTGTAATCCCAGCAGTTTGGGAGGCTGAGGCGGGTGGATCACGACGTCAAGAAATCGAGACCATCCTGGTCAACATGGTGAAACCCCGTCTCTACTAAAAATACAAAAAATCAGCTGGGCATGGTGGCGCGTGCCTGTAATCCCAGCTACTCAGGAGGCTGAGGCAGGAGAATTGCCTGAACCCAGGAGGCGGAGGTTGCGGTGAGCCGAGATCCTGCCATTGCACTCCAGCCTGGGTAACAAGAACGAAACTCCATCTCAAAAAAAAAGAACTATAAAATTATTTTCTACAAATTCTGACTTTGAAAAATATAAGTTTCTATGTAAACAATTATAGTAATAATTTAATGCTTTTTTAAGTAAAAGGAAATCAAAATATTGCTGAAATTACTGGTATAACATATTTACTATTGAATGCTGGGCTTTTTAGTAAAATAAGAACCAGTTAATCAATCAGTGAGCAAATATGTATTAAATCAGCACTGTACCATATGCTGCCAGGAAAAATATGGGGGTATGCTTGGTAGATGCTGCCTGCATCCTGGCTGGGAGTATATATAGTGAATGTCACAGTTAGCTGTGACATTAGTAATTGGTCTGTTTTGTTGTATTGATTTGTTGCATATTTATCCAATAGTCTTTCTTGGTTTTTTGTTTGTTTAAGACAAGATCTTGCTCGGTTGCCCAGGCTGGAGTGCAGTGACACAGTCTTGGCTTATTGCAGCCTCGACCTTCTGGGCTCAAGCAGTCCTCTTACCTGAGCCTCAAGTAGCTGGGATTACCGGCATGCACTACCACGCCAGGCTACTTTTTTATTTTTTTGTAGAGATGGGGCTTTCACTATATTGCCCAGGCTGGTCTTGAACTCCTGAGCTCAAGCAATCCATCTGCCTCGGCCTCTCAAAGTACTGGGATTACAGGTGTGAGCCCCCACTCCCGGTCCTATATATATATATATATATATATATATATATATATAGACACACACACATGTATATATATGACACATGTATATACATGTGTGTGTGTCAATATATATATACATATTTGTATATTTTTTCAACTTCAGAGTGGGTTGAGGAATCAGTTTTCTTCACTTTCATGTGCACATTATGAGTTTAATATGTGTTTACAAGTATTATTTTTTTTTTTTTACCGAAGGAAATTTTATATACATTGAAATATACAAATCTTAAGTGTACCATTCAGTGATTTTTTTTTTCTTTTTTTAATGTTGGATTTCCTGATCTGTTTTTGTCACTAAAATTCTTTTATTATGGCCTAGTCAGTGAGTTTTAACAAATATATACATTACACTTTTACCATCTAAATCCGTACCAATATAAAGAACTTTGATTAGAAGTTAAAGATTATTTTTCAATATAAGATACACTTTTACAAGTTTTCTTTTAAAAAGAAAGATTCACTAAAACCTTGTGAAGTATCCGAAAGTATACCTAGTGGTCTGTTGTTTGTTTTGCCTTGGGAAGCAAACATTTGTGAAAACATTTTGCCTCCTCATGTTTATTATAGGGAAAGGTACTAGAAATCATCACCATATATAAACCGTGAACAGGAAGGAAATTTGGAAGCAGTTCTTGGTTGCATTATTGTCTGTAGCTATTTGTGTGCTTACATGAAGCCACAAGCTGCAGCTCAACAGAATTGCCTTCTTATTAATCAGGATTTTATTCTGAAAATAAAATATAAAGCCACTACCTAGTTCTTTTAAAAGTACTCTTTAGAAAAACTTATAACCTGGGGGCTGATGATGCAGTCTACCTTCCGCTTTCAGCCTTTCTGAGATGGTGAAAGTAGTGAAAGAAGTAAGCAAGTCCTTGTGTTTTTAAGGGAGGATTTTCTTTTCACTGGTTATGCCTTAGTGATGTCTGTGGTATGGAGTATTGTAAATGATAGTTTAAATTAGCCATTTGCTCCAGTTACAACACAGATTTGGGGATAACCCCAGGGAAAGGAAGATGGAAGATACTAGCTAGCATTAGGTTCTATTATCCTGATTTTAAGTTTGTTTCTTGGTTTTTGTGAAATGGTGTAAAGAGTTGCCTGTAAATCATCCAAGTCAATGGCAGCCTGTGCTGAAGTTTTGTCTGTGTGATTTGTAAGAGTTTGTCCTGTTCAATCCACTGAGACATTTGGCGTATTTAAGTTTTACTTAAAGCTGCTTTTGATCGGTGAGAAAGTAACCACAAGATGCTAAGTGATTATTTAAGCTGCTTAGGCTATCATATTAATTTTCTTTCAGTAACTACATCTTTCATATTTCATACAATCCTCAAAAAATTTTTATTTTTGTGTTCCTCATTATGTTTTTTTTTCTGATGTCTATACTTAATACCCTGTTTTCAGTCTGAGATCCCAAGTAAACAGCCTGAGACACCTGATGATATTCCTCAAAAGGTAAAACACAAATTACAGTAAAAGAATGTAAACTACTTATAGTTTTGTTTTTTTCTGATTTTTTAAGTGAATGGTAGACTAGACTAACTTAAAAGATTGGCTTTCAATTTGTTCTTCCTGTAAGTTTGTTAGAGTTGAACAGTTGGTTTCATTCGGGCTGAGAAATGTTCTACTCTTTCTCAGCTTTTTCTAATTATCTCTTTTTAGGGTTTGTATGCTGCTCACTAACAGGCTGAGTATTCACTGCTCTCACTAAAAAAACGTGTACTGCTTCACACGTAAACTAACAAATTATGAGGCATGTTAGTAATGGGCAACCTGGCATCTTCAACTTTTCTGTTACTCTTATTAATTCTTCTAAATACTGAAGTGTGTATTTTGAGAATTCAACAATGTCTCCTCTTTTAAAATTATTTCCTTCAATCAGAAAGAACTAATGGAAACTAAAAGTGTCTGATCACTTTTTAAAATAAAATTTTATTTTAATTAGTAGAAAAATTAATCATCGTTCTTATATTCCAGAAAGATGAAAGTATATAATTCAGTTTTTTAAAAATGTAGTTCTTTAGAACACAGAAATGTGCCTCAAAATATTTAGAGAAAAGTTCTCTTAGGTCAAGTTTAAATCTGTACATGAAGTCGGTAATTAAGTCCCACATCTATTAATTCATTGTCTTGCCCATCACTAACTATGCTTTTATCTTTTTAAATATTAGCAATTTTGAGTTGAAAATACTTGTCATACCTCATATAGAAGAATTTTTATGGTACAAAGTTTACTACCTTCATTTTCAAAAACAGTGCAGTGTTTTGTTTGTTTACCCATCAGATTGATCCTCCAAATTGTAATATTATTTTACATCATTTTAATACTTTCCTATGTCAAGTAGTATTTTCAGTCTCTATTTGCTATATGTCATTCCTCAGTTCACTGGCAACTCCCTTTATTTCCTTGCTCTGTACCTGACGTTAAAGAAGGTTAATGTGACTTCACTTAGTTATCTTTTTATATAAAATTTGGCTCAGTATCTCATTCTACATGTCCCATCCAAAGGACACTTGTTTACCACTTGAGTTGGAAATCACTTTAAAATATATATATATATATTGCTTGAAAAGGGCATTCTTGTAAATGATGCATATTGACTGAGTTTGAAGAGTGGACAGTAGAATTTTTAATGTTATATATTCTTGTTTATAGAAAAGTAAAGTCATATTTAGAACGGGGAAGGTTTTAAAGCATGTTTCAGATTTTATCTTTTTAAAATTATTAATCCATAGTCTGGGTCTAATTCTGATCTGAGGAACCTATATACATACAAACTTTTCCCTCTGAAATTTTATAGGCTATTTTACATGTTAGTTTCTCATTGTCTATGATTTTAGGGGGAAAACAATTTAAGTCAGTTGGAAAACCTGTTTTGAGAATAAAGGTTTATCAGGAAAGGAAACGTTCACGTATCATGTTCTAAAACATCAAATCCTTGTGTTTCTAAGTAATTAATTTATTCTTCAAAATGGACTGCTATATGATCTTACTCAACTCATTTAGTTGAGTTGGTTATGGATCATATTCCTTTACACAACAGACCATGAGAATGAGCAAATTGGAGATAGCAGCTTGCAATGGCAAGCTAACCAGACTGTCACCTGGCATAAAACTTTTTTATTCCGTTTTCGGTCAGGACTCTCAGACATATCTGAAGATGGTTTTGGCCATTCTCAGTGAAACCTGGGGATATAGGAAAGAATAGGGCAGTTGAGTCTCCAACTCCAAGTATCTGAACTACACACTCACACCAGTTATTCTGAATATATAAACCTTAAGGCCTGATCTAATTACTTCACTTGGGGTGGAAGCAACCGGGCTGCTCACAGACTAGATAGGCTCCTTGCAGCTTGATGCTCTTCAACAGTGAGCATTCTCTTTACTGGAGGGGGAGGTTTCCTCATACACCAAAGAAGACACACTGCACTAACACATAAACATTTTTTGTCTAGAGATTATTTCAGGAAGAACAAAACTGCTAATACTGTTGTTTTACATGTGTCTTTTAAAAACCTATGGTATTTTAAAATAAAGAAACTTAACCCAAAAGTGCAGATTTACTGTATATACATACAGTCTATGAAAAGCCCCTTTACAAAGGTAACACACCTTGACACCATACCTTTCCTCAAGAATATTATGTTTTAATCCTTGGTGATAGTTATCTGAGTCACTTTCTTTTGTCATTTCTTAGAAACCTGCTCGATACAGAAGAGCCGTAAGTTATGACAGTAAAGAGTACTACATGCGACTGGCCTCTGGCAATCCCGCCATTGTCCAGGACACCATTGTGGAGAGTTCAGAAGGCGAAGCTGCTCAGCAAGAACCAGAGCATGGCGAAGACACTATTGCTAAAGTCAAAGGTCAGCCTACCTTTTTGATTTTGATTAAAAGTGATTTTAGAAGATTCTTGCATTTGAATTCATACAAAAATTTGAGTAACTGTAAACAGTAGGACCAACTTCAAAAATATCCATACATATTTTACCGTCTCACCCTTCTTAAAGATTGATTTCTTTATCAGAACTAAAGAGACTTGCTCTTGTTTATTGCCTACAAATGAATGTCACATGCCCATTGGCTTAATGTTTTTTTTTAACTGTATTTTGCAGAATCCTCAATGGCACTTGATAGTTTTTTTTAATATCCATATGTATTTTTTCATGACACAGCCTCAGGAGGTCTTGAGAACATGTGTCTCAGCATTTGATATTTTAGGTTAATGGCTTAATAACTAAATAAATATTTATAAAATTAAAATAACTACTAAACTTGTCATTAGTGCATATTAGCCAGTAGTAAGGAATAATGTTTTTTTTCTATGGGTTGAGAGGGATTATCCCAAATCAAAACTTTAAGAGCCGAGTAGTTGCTGAATTGTACTACAGTGTCCATAGACTTTCAGATTTTGCATTTTTACACACGGTGCCTTCAGCCGGAAATGCTTTCTTCTTTTCTACAGCTTCTCCATTATCCCTATCTTAACACATCCTATTCAGTCTTAAACCCACTGGTCATATATGAAATCACCCTTCTCTAAAGTCTTCTGCAATTCCTCTGTTCACTGATAGTACATTGTTCATGTCTTTTATAGATGTTTCAGTGATTTTTCACTGTTGTATGTTTTCTCTAATTTCCAAGTTTTTCTCAAAGAGAGAGATTGTTTTTCTAACCTTAATAAATTTTGACACATGACTAGCACAGAATGAGGATTCAGTCAGTTCAACAGTGTAAATCAATCCATTGTTTTAATCTTTTTAAGCCTCTGATTCACACAAATTCAAAAGCCTGCATATTCTATAAAGGCCCAGAGCATAAATTAAGATTTTAATTAAAAGTTAGTTTTAAAATTCAAACATGGTAAATTAAACATCAGTTTTAATGATTTAATAAATAAAAATTAATTTCAAATTGTTTTAGAAACTGACAGCATATGACTGTGTCAACAAAAAACACTATTTAAATTGTGATCAGTTTCTCCTGTTGTTATAACATACCTGTTTTCTCATGTGATGACTATGACTTACTCAAAATTTCATAATTGATCCAACATTTTCATAAAAGCATTGAAACTTTTACGAGTTGAACAGAGATTAAAGCCTTCTAATTTTGTTGACATTGCACCAGCACAGTTACTGAATTTGGCCCAAAACTGTTGCTGAATATAAGGTAATATATAATCCACAGAGTTGATAGATAATTTGTGTTTGGGTCATTGGCTCTTAACTTCTCTGGCCTGATTTCCTAATCTCTAATTGAGCTAAAAGCACAAATACACAAGGTATTATGCTAGACATAGAAATGGAGGTTTTGATTCATTAAACTAAAAATAATACAGCTAAAATAATAATAATAATAATAATAATGCAGCTGTAAGCTTTCCCCCTTTGTGGATGTTCTCCGCAGGATTTGATCTCTCTTGCTTATTTATTATACTTGTTTGTATATGAAAACAATGCTCTTCTCAAGCCAAAGCAAAACCTCTGGTAAGTAATATTGAAAGAATAACACTCGGGCTGACTTGTGCTTTTCCAAAGTGCTTAGAGCAACTATAACAGGCAGGTATGATGTTACTTTGGATGGCACAAAGAATATTGATTTAATCAAAATATGTGATTTACAGTGTATTTTGAGGACTTCTCTTACCTTGGATCCTCACTGGTTACTGTCAACTGATTTTAATTATCCTACTGTGATTATTAAAAAGTTGTCAAAATGTAGGTAGTAAAATGTTTTCTTATTTTTATTTTTATTTATTTTATTTTATTTTGTTTTTTTTAATTGCATTTTAGGTTTTGGGGTACATGTGAAGAACATGCAAGATTGTTGCATAGGTACACACGTGACAGTGGGATTTGCTGCCTTCTTCCCCATCACCTATATCTGGCATTTCTCCCCATGCTATCTCTTCCCAACTCCCCACCCCCCACTGTCCCTCCCCTATTTTCCCCCAACAGACCCCAGTGTGTAGTGCTCCCCTCCCTGTGTCCATGTGTTCTCATTGTTCAACACCCGCCTATGAGTGAGAACATGTGGTGTTTGATTTTCTGCTCTTGTGTCAGTTTGCTGAGAATGATGGTTTCCAGGTTCATCCATGTCCCTACAAAGGACACAAACTCATCGCTTTTGATGGCTGCATAATATTCCATGGTGTATATATACCACATTTTCCCTGTCCAGTCTATCATCGATGGGCATTTGGGTTGGTTCCAGGCCTTTGCTATTGTAAACAGTGCTGCAATGAACATTCGTGTGCAAATGTCCTTATAGTAGAACAATTTATAATCCTTTGGATGTATACCCAGTAATGGGATTGCTGGGTCAAATGGAATTTCTATTTCTAGGTCCTTGAGGAATCGCCACACTGTCTTCCCATAGTGGTTGAACTAATTTACATTCCCACCAACAGTGTAAAAGTGCTCCTATTTCTCCACATCCTCTCCAGCATCTGTTGTCTCCAGATTTTTTAATGATCGCCATTCTAACTGGCGTGAGATGGTATCTCAATGTAGTTTTGATTTGCATTTCTCTGATGACCAGTGATGATAAGCATTTTTTTCATATGTTTGTTGGCCTCATGTATGTCTTCTTTTGTAAAGTATCTGTTCATATCCTTCGCCCACTTTTGAATGGGCTTGTTTCTATTTTTCTTGTAAACCTGTTTTAGTTCTTTGTAAATTCTGGATATCAGCCCTTGTCAGATAGGTAAACTGCAAAAATTTTTTCCCATTCTGTTGGTTGCCCATTGACTCTAATGACTGTTTCTTTTGCCGTGCAGAAGCTGTGGAGTTTGATTAGGTCCCATTTGTCTATTTTGTCTTTTGTTGCCAATGCTTTTGGTGTTTTTGTCATGAAGTCCTTGCCTACGCCTATGTCCTGAATGGTTTTGCCTAGATTTTCTTCTAGGGTTTTTATGGTATTAGGTCTTATGTTTAAGAATTTAATCCATCTGGAGTTAATTTTAGTGTAAGGTGTCAGGAAGGGGTCCAGTTTCTGCTTTCTGCACATGACTAGCCAGTTTTCCCAACACCATTTATTAAACAGGGAATCCTTTCCCCATTGCTTGTTTTTGTCAGGTTTTTCAAAGATCAGATGGTTGTAGATAAGTTGTGTTGCCTCCGAGGCTTCTGTTCTCTTCCATTGGTCTATGTCTCTGTTTTGGTACCAGTACCATGCTATTTTGATTACTGTAGCCTTGTAGTATAGTTGGAAGTCCAGTAGTGTGATGCCTCCTTCTTTGTTCTTTTTGCTTAGAATTGACTTGGCTATGCGGGCTCTTTTTTGGTCCCATATGAAGTTTAAGGTGTTTTTTTCCAGTTCTGTGAAGAAGGTCATTGGTATCTTGATGGGGATAGCGTTGAATCTGTAAATTACTTTGGGCAGTATGGCCATTTTCATGATGTTGATTCTTCCTAACCAGGAACATGGAATGTTTCTCCATCTGTTTGTGTCCTCTCTTATTTCATTGAGCAGTGACTTGTAGTTCTCCTTGAAGATGTCCTTTACGTTCCTTGTTACTTGTATTCCTAGGTATTTTATTCTCTTTGTAGCAATTGTGAATGGCAGTTCATTCTTGATTTGGGTCTCTTTAAGTCTGTTATTGGTGTACAGGAATGCTTGTGATTTTTGCCTGTTGATTTTGTATTCTGAGACTTTGCTGAACTTGCGTATCAGTTTCAGGAGATTTTGGGCTGAGACGATGGGGTCTTCTAGATATACAATCATGTCTTCTGCAAATAGAGACAATTTGACTTCCTCCTTTCCTATTTGAATACCCTTTATTTCTTTTTCTTGCCTGATTGCTATGGCTAGAACTTCCAGTATTATATTGAATAGGAGTGGTGAGAGAGGGCATCCTTTTCTAGTGCCAGATTTCAAAGGGAATACTTCCAGTTTTTGCCCATTCAGTATGATATTGGCTGTTGGTTTGTCATAAATAGCTTTTATTATTTTGAGATATGTTCCGTTAATACCTAGTTTATTGAGAGTTTTTAGCATAAAGGGCTGTTGAATTTTGTCAAATGCCTTCTCTGCATCAATTGAGATAATCATGTGGTTTTTTTCTTTGGTTCTGTTTATGTGGTGAATTATGTTTATAGACTTGCGTATGTTGAACCAGCCTTGTATCCCTGGAATGAAGCCTACTTGATCATGGTGGATAAGCTTTTTGATGTGCTGTTGCAATCGGTTTGTCAGTAGTTTATTGAAGATTTTTGCATCTATGTTCATCATGGATATTGGCCTGAAGTTTTCTTTTCTTGTTGAGTCTCTGCCGGGTTTGGGTATCGGGATGATGTTGGTGTCATAAAATGATTTGGGAAGGATTCCCTCTTTTTGGATTATTTGGAATAGTTTCAGAAGGAATGCTACCAGCTCCTCTTTGTATGTCTGGTAGAATTCAGCTGTGAACCCGTCTGGACCTGGGCCTTTTTTGGGTGGTAGGCTCTTAATTGTTGCCTCAACTTCAGACCTTGTTATGGGTCTGTTCAGGGTTTCGGCTTCTTCCTGGTTTAGGCTTTGGAGGAGGCAAGTGTCCAGGAATTCATCCATTTCTTCCAGGTTTACTAGTTTATGTGCCTAGAGTTGTTTGTAATAATCTCTGATGATGGTTTGAACTTCTGTGGAATCTGTGGTGATATCCCCTTTATCATTTTTTATTGCATCAATTTGGTTATTCTCTCTTTTCTTTTTTATTAATCTGACTAGTGGTCTATTTTGTTGATCTTTTCGAAAAACCAGCTCCTGGATTTATTGATTTTTTTGAAGGGTTTTTTGTGTCTCTATCTCCTTCAGTTCTGCTCTGATCTTAGCTATTTCTTGTCTTCTGCTAGGTTTTGAGTTTTTTTTATCTTGCTCCACTAGCTCTTTCAATTTTGACGATAGGGTGTCAATTTTTGATCTCTCCTTGCTTCTCATGTGGGCACTTATTGCTATATATTTTCCTCTAGAGACTGCTTTAAATGTATCCCAGAGATTCTGGTATGTTGTGTCTTTGTTCTCGTTGGTTTTGAAGAACATCTTTATTTCTGCCTTCATTTCATTGTTTATCCAGTCAACATTAAAGAGCAAGTTGTTCAGTTTCCATGAAGCTGTGCGGTTCTGAGTTAGGTTTTGAATTCTGAGTTCTAACTTGATTGCACTGTTGTCTGAGAGACTGTTTGTTATTATTTCCGTTCTTTTGTGTTTGCTGAGGAGTGATTTACTTCCAATTATGTGGTCAATTTTAGAGTAAGTGTGATGTGGTGCTGAGAAGAATGTATATTCTGTAGATTTGGGGTGGCGAGTTCTGTAAATGTCTATTAGGTTTGCTTGGTCCAGGTCTGAGTTCAAGTCCTGGATATCCTTGTTAATTTTGTGTCTGGTTGATCTGTCTAATATTGACAATGGAGTGTTAAAGTCTCCCACTATTATTGTTTGGGAGTCTTAGTCTCTTTGTAAGTCATTAAGAATTTGCCTTATGTATCTGGGTGCTCCTGTATTGGGTGTGTATATATTTAGGATCGTTAACTCTTCTTGTTGCATTGATCCTTTTACCATTACGTAATGTCCTTCTTTGTCTCTTTTGATCTTTGTTGCTTTAAAGTCTATTTTATCAGAGATGAGAATTGCAACTCCTGCTTTTTTTTGCTCTCCATTTGCTTGTTAAATCTTCCTCCATCCCTTCATTTTGAGCCTTTGTGTATCTTTGCATGTGAGATGGGTTTCCTGGATACAACACACCGATGGGTTTTGGCTTTTTATCCAATTTGCCAGTCTGTGTCTTTTGATTGGGGCATTTAGCCCATTTACATTTAGGGTTAATATTGTTATGTGTGAATTTGATACTACCATTTTGGTGCTAGCTGGCTGATTTGCCCATTAGTTGATGCAGATTCTTCATTGTGTTGATGCTCTTTACCATTTAGCATGTTTTTGGAGTGGCTGGTACTGGTTGTTCCTTTCTATGTGTAGACCCTCTTTCAGGAGCTCTTGTAAAGCAGGCCTGGTGGTGACCAAATCTCTGAGTACTTGCTTGGTGGCAAAAGATTTTATTTTTCCTTCACTTGTGAAGCTTAGTTTGGCTGGATATGCAATTCTGGGTTGAAAGTTCTTTTCTTTAAGGATGTTGAATATTGGCCCCCACTCTCTTCTGGCTTGTAGGGTTTCTGCTGAGATATCTTCTGTGAGTCTGATGAGGTTCCCTTTGTGGGTAACCTGACCTTTCTCTCTGGCTGCCCTTAGCATTTTCTCCTTCATATCAACCCTGGTGAATCTGATGATTATGTGCCTTGTGGTTGCTCTTCGTGAGGAATATCTTTGTGGTTCTCTGTATTTCCTGGACTTGAATATTGGCCTGCCTTGCTAGGTTGGGGAAGTTTTCCTGGATGATATCCTGAAGAGTATTTTCCAGCTTGGATTCATTCTCTTTGTCACATTCAGGTACCCCTATCAAACGTAGATTAGGTCGTTTCACCTAGTCCCACATTTCTTGGAGACTTTGTTCATTCCTTTTTCTGCTTTTTTCTCTAATCATGCCTTCCCATTTTATTTCATTGAGTTGATCTTCGACCTCTGATATCCTTTCTTCTGCTTGGTCAATGCAGCTGTTGAAACTTGTGCATGCTTCGTGAAGTTCTCGTGTTGTTTTTCAGCCCCATCAATTCACTTATATTCCTTTCTAAGTTGTCCATTCTCGTTAGCATTTTGTCAAATCTTTTTTCAACGTTCTTAGTTTCTTTGCATTGGGTTGGAACATGTTCTTTTAGCTCACAGAAGTTTCTTACTACCCACCTTCTGAAGCCTGATTCAGTCATTTCATCACACTCATTCTCCATCCAACCTTGTTCCCTTGCTGGTGAGTAGTTTGATCCCTTGTAGGGGGAGATGTGTTCTGGTTTTGGGTGTTTTCATCCTTTTGCGCTGGTTTCGTCCCATCTTTATGGATTTATCTATCTGTCGTCTTTGTAGTTGGTGACTTTCAGATTGGGTCTCTGAGTGGATGTTCTGTTTGTTGATGATGAAGTTATTTCTGTTTAGTTTTCCTTCTAACAGTCTGGCCCCTCTGCTGTAGGACTGCTGAGGTCCACTCCAAGCCCTGCTTGCCTGGGGATCACCTGCAGCAGCTGCAGAAAAGTAAGGGTTTCTATCAGTTTCTTCTTCTGCTATCTTTGTCCCAGAAGGAAACCTGCCAAATGTCAGTCTGATCTCTCCTTTATGAGGTGACTCTTTAGATATACAGGGGTCAGGGAGCTGCTTGAGGAGACAGTCTGTCCTTTATAGGAGCTCAAGTGCTGAGTTGTGAGCTCCATTTTTCATTCAGAGCTGCTGGGCAGGTACTTTTAGGTCTGCTGCAGCAGAACTCATAAACCACTTTTTGTTCCCAGGTGCTCTGTCCCAGGGAGTTAGGGCTTTATTCATGAGCTTCCATTGTGCTGATGCCTTTTTTCATTTTTTCAGGACTACCCTGCCCAGCAAGGTGGCAGCCTAGTCACTGTCTGCCTGCAGAGGCTTTGCTGAGCTGCTGTGGGCTCCGCCCAGCTGCTGTGTGAACTTCCTTGCAGTCCTGTTTATATGGGTGTGGTTAGAACTGCCTCGGCAATGGTGGCCTGCCTGTGTATTGGTGGACTCTCTCTGTAATGGCAGGTTGCCTTGGCAACAGCGGTTCCCTTGGCAACGGCAGGCAGCCTCAGCAATGGCGGACTACGTCCATAGTGGTGGAGTGCCTCGGTAATGGCAGATGCCCCTCACCCACAGAGCTGGACTATCCAGGGTTCAGCTGCGCTTGCTGTGAAACTCTCAATCCAGAGAGTTTCTGATTGCTTTCTTTTGCGGGGGTGGGGCCAGCCAAGCCTGATCACCTGGCTCCCTGCCTCAGAGCCTTTTTTATTCTTTTTTAGTTGAACAGTCGACTCTATCCCAGGTGTTCCAGTCGCCTGTTGAAAAAGTGCCCAGATCTGTGTGATTTCCGGTGCGGCGACTCACTGTGCCAGCGTAAACAGCTGCGCTGAGATTCGTGAAGCTTTTTTTTTTCCCAGGAATCTCCTGGCCTGGGTCCCTGTTCAGACCCCTCTTTAATCAGATGTATGGGTGACTTCGTGGGGCTCCAATCACCAGCCAAAAGGGCACCTGGACCAATGTATTTTGTGCAGAGAATCGCCGGCCGGGACAAAGCAGCCACAGAGGGCAAAGCAGCCGCGCCGACCTAAAGAACCGCGCCTTAACAGCCGCGCTGGTGACTCGTAGGGCTCCTCCACCTGGGAATCTCCTGATCCATGGACAATAAAAATGCGACGTCCGCTTACCCTCTGCGCTTTCACTGGGAGCTGCAACTCCAAGCTGTTCCTAAGTGGCCATCTTGGATCTTCCCCCTGTAAAATGTTTTCTTAATCTGCAAATTAAATTATGTCCTTGTATTATAAAGAATTCTTTTCTTTCTGACCTGTATTTTGATCAAATTCATGTATGAAAAACCATACTGCCCCTTGTGAAATAGTCTTCAAGAGCCCTCTAAGTATGTGGCATATCTTATAATCATGTTTATTTTTTACTTTTTTTGAGATAGAATCTGCTGTGTCAGCCAGGCTGGAGTGCAGTGGCATGATCTTGGCTCACTGCCACCTCTACCTCCCAGATTCAGGTGATTCTCCTACCTCAGCCTCCTGATTAGCTGGGACTTCAGGTGTGCACCACCACACCTGGCTAATTTTTGTACTTTTAGTAGCAATGGGGTTTTGCCATGTTGCCTAGGCTGGTCTTGAACTCCTGACCTCAGGTGATCTGCCCGCCTTGACCTCCCAAAGTGCTCGGATTATAGGCATGAACCACTGCACCCAGCCATAATCATGTTTATAATTTGCTATTTTTATTTTTATTTGTGACAATAGTTGATTATTTATTCATGGTGTACCCTTAATGACACCTACCTAAGCTACACCGTTCTTTCTATTATAGCTTTCTGTTATCATCATCACCTGACCCTTATTGAAAATGTATTATGTATTAAGCATAATGCTAAGCACTTTACATGAATTACCTAATTTAGTCCTCCAACAATCATCTAAGAAGTGTACTTGTACGAGATTTTTCTGTTTGTTGTTGTTGTTGTTGTTGTTTAAGACACAGAGTCTTGCTATGTTGCTCACACCTGGCTCTTGTCCCAGTTTTGTAAAGAAACTGAGGTTCAGAAAGGTGAATAATTTTCTAAGGTCGTTAACTCCAGAGGACAATGTTCTTAACCACTGAATGTGCTACTTCCCTATACCTTCCAGAATTGTCCCAAATTGGAAATCTGTAGAAGGAACTGCATGAGACTAAACTGCTTCCCTATGTGGTTCTTACAATGCCACATGGCCCTCTTGGTTATATTGTAGGTTTGGTCAAGCCTCCTCTAAAACGCTCCCGATCTGCACCTGATGGAGGAGATGAGGAGAACCAGGAACAGCTACAAGACCAGATTGCCGAGGGCAGCTCCATAGAAGAGGAGGAGAAAACAGATAATGCTACCTTACTGCGCCTGTTAGAGGAAGGAGAAAAGGTATTGTGCTTCTGAGAAGTAAGGATTGTAAATATTTCAGAACATATTATTAAGACAAGATGAGTTGATAGGGTAGTTGTGAAAAGTAAATGCTTTAGCCTCTTTAATAAAATACAGCTTTAAGCCTGCCTTTTGGGTTCAATACGTTACTTCTCTCATCTCTCACTTCTCTGAAACCTTAAATAGCATAAGGTTTCATCAGATACAGTATTAACAACTGGCACCTAATTCTCTGTCTTCCTCTATACCACAGATTTTGCCATAATTCTCTATTTCAAATCCATGCAGACAGCCCATTCAGTAATCTGGCCTTGTATTTTTCTACATCTCCATAATTCCAGCATCACCTACTGGTGGCTTCAGCCAATCTGGACTGTCACCTCCAGCCTTGGATTATTTAGCCCCTGCTCTCCTTCGCTTACAGAAGATATCACCTTCCTATTTCTCACTCAATCTCCAATAGCTGCCGACCTCTCCAGTCACATTCCACTGACTCTGTCATGTAGCCTGAGCCCCTGCAGCCTGGTACACCTTGGAGTTATTACACCACCATGTTGTGTTTTTCCACTCGGCACTTTACTCATCATGGTTGTCCATGTTGCATTGCTATTAAGGAATACTTATGGCTGGATAATTTATAAAGAAAACAGATTTATTTGACTCAACACTTCTGCAAGCTGTACAAGCATGGCACCAGCATCTGCTCAGCTTCTGGTGAGGCCTTAGAAAGCTTTAACTCATGGCAAAAGATGAAGGAGGAGCAGGCCTGTCACATGGTGAGAGAGGGAGCTCTTGTGTGAACAGATAGAGTGAGGACTCACCCATTACCCCCAGGACAACACCAAGCCATTTGTGAAGGTCCCATCCCCATGACACAGACACCTCCCATAAAGCCACACCTCCCACATTGGGGATCACATTTCAACATAAGATGAGGAGGTGACACGCATGCAAACATGTCACTCATATTGTTTTTTTCCTGCCAAAATGCTCCTCTTTCTTTTACTTGCGTAACCTTTATCCTATTAAATCCTGTGTATGATAATCACATTTATCTGGATGTTTGTAATAATCAAACATAGGAAGCTTTCTTTGACTTTGCTAGCTCAGGCTTGGTTAGATACCCTTCCTCTGTACTTTCATAATGCCTTATATGTATCACTCTGTATTATCATGTCATAATTACTTGTTCCAGTATCTTTCTCTTGTCCTAGATGTTGAGCTCCGTATAGAAAAGCTGTCTTATTCCTATCTCATTGTCTTACAGAGTTCCGGTTGCATAATAGACACCCAGTAAGCCTTTGAATGAAGTAATGATTGGTTGAATAAAAAGGGAAAGAATGATTTGAATGTGTCATGAATATCACCTTTTTAAAGGATGTTCTTTTGCCTATCATTTTAGATCTTGGTATAACCTTTGAGATCTTACCCACTAAGAAGTAGTCACTAAAAATTGGAGTATAATCAATCAAAGCAGTTCTGTTCAAATGTATGCCCTAATTAACATTGACTGACAATACATAAAGAAAAGATCATGTAACTGTAAAAGTACACCAGATATGAAAGGAGCACAAGAGAGGCTTCTAGGGACTCAGGAGCATTCTGTTTCTTGGTGTAGATGCTGGTCACACCAAATTTTTAGCATTTGAAAATTCATCCAGCCGTACACTTAGGAAACAAAATTTTTTCTGTGTGTGTATATATGTATATGTTTGTATATATATGTATGTATACCTGTATTGCATATAGATATGTATACTGCAATATAAATACTTTTAAAGTACATTAAGTACATTAGGATTAGGCCAGGCGCAGTGGCTCTTGGAGGCCAGCACTTTGGAAGGCAAGGCATGTGGATCAACTGAGGGCAGGAGTTCGAGACCAGCCTGGCTAACATGGTGAAACCCCGTCTCTACTAAAAATACAAAAATTAGCCCAGCATAGTGGCGTGCACCTGTAATCCCAGCTACTCAAGTGGCTGAGGTAGGAAAATCACTTGAACCCAGGAGGCAGAGATTTCAGTGAGCCGAGATCACACAACTGCACTCCAGCCTAGGCAATGAGCGAGACTCTGAGATCTCAAAAAAAATAAAAAATAAAGTACTTCAGGATTGATCAAATGTAGCAATGAAAATTGACTTATGTTTAGATATTTTAGAAAACCTATTATAATGCTTTCATTTTTTAAATTTTAATCTCATGAGTACATTTTTTGCTCTAGTTGCTTTAAGTTTTAATAGTGCAGGAAGTGTATTCAAACTGACATTTGTTGGACTCTGATTTGATAGCTGATTTTTGTCTTGACTCGTGTTGAACTATGTTTAAGTGAGGAAGAGTTTTTACAAAGAATTAGATACTACCCTTTGGAGAGAAAACAATACTTACATTGAGATATTTAGCAACCCTCCCCCCATGAGGAAAATATAACTTCTGCCAAGCTTGGCTTTTTGCAATAGCACAGTCTCCAGGGAGCAGAATCCAGGCGGAGAATGAATAGTAACAGATTCTACAGTTCCATTTCCAGGGGGTATTATGGAAAAAGAAGATAAACTGTATAGAAGAGAAATCCTGATTGTGTACATTATCTCACTTAATTCTAACAAGCCAATTAGAATTTACAAGAAGACATGGAGGCTCAGAGAAATTAAGAAACTTAACCCAGTCTTCAAAGTTGGCAGAACTGGAAATTTACCCTACATTAGCAGGCCCTGCAATTTTCACCCTGTGTCACCTTGCCTCACATAAAACACAATCCTATTCAAATCTCTTTACATGTATGCCTCAATTCCCTTTCCTGCCAGTCTTTCTGTGTCTGTTTCCCTTTATGAGGGCAGAGCCTTATCTAATGTTCTTTACTTTTAGAAGCTAGCACATATGTGCCTGGCCTGCATAAATTACACCCAGAATGTTGAGAGAGATGGAACCGGTGGATGAGTGGATGGGTAGGAGTGAATTGTTTAGTTTTACTCAGGTCAGTTTCAAATCAGACTGTAATCTAAGCTAATTCTTCTCAACATAATTAAACTCTGATTTAATATGCTTAGCTCCAGGGATACCATAATAGTGTAACAAATATTGATCATTACAAAAATACTATATTAATGAATGTTTATGGACTTCCTTATAGATCCAACACATGTACCGTTGTGCTCGAGTCCAGGGCCTGGATACCAGTGAGGGGCTCCTTCTTTTTGGTAAAGAGCATTTTTATGTGATTGATGGATTTACCATGACAGCAACCAGGGAAATAAGAGATATTGAAACCTTACCTCCAAAGTAAGTAAAGGAATGAAGAGACAAAGTGTATGGCTATCTTTAGAAGACAGAAAATATCTTTGCATAATTTTCTTTTTTATTCAAAAAATTGTGATATAGGCAATAATATCTTTCAGTTTGTGTATATTCACCATTATATATTCACAAAGATGGTATTCAGTTATTTTAAGGTAGTAATGAAAATGTTTGGCTTATTTGTCAAGATGAAAGCTAAATAAAATATATTTCTGTGCATTAATAGCATCAGACACCAAGTTATTTATATTATAATCTATGTATTACAAAATTTATTCTGAATTTATAAATTGTCCTTTTAAAAAATATATCAGCAGATAGAGAATCATGAAGAAAATGCAGATTACTGCACAATACTCTTAAAAATGAAAGAACATCACCAGGTACTCTGAGTACCCTAGAAACAGCATAACTAAAGCATCAGCAGAGATTCACTGGATGAGTTGTAGGCATCTTCCTTTTCTTCTGCCAGTCCTGTGATGGAAGTGGTAGTGGTAGTGGAAAACTCAGTAGACAGACGAAGCTAGAAGAAAGATAAGAGGCTTAAGGCTTAGAAGATCAAGACTGCTTCTCTTATTTTAACATTTTCCTAGCACCCTTGAATAAAGACATTGTTTCTGTAGTTTATTCCTACAAGATATTTCAAATAAATACTTTCAACAACAGTCAGGTCTCATGAAGACTTTCATGGGTCCTTTTTCCATACAAAAATTTTTTAAAGTATGTGTTGTGACTAATGATATAAATATAACCATATATTCAAACATTTTCTTCTGCCTAAAAGTTGATTTTTTTTCTGATTTTAAAATAAATTAAGATATTTTCTTGGGTACCAAAGTACGTGAGCTCAAGCACTATGCCACCCATGTCTTGTAGATAACTTGGTCCTGACAGTAACAAAGGGATTTTAAAAATTATGTTCATCAAAGGGAGTTCCTTGTATCTCAGGTAGCTAACAATTCTTCTTTTAAATGTAATTTTTTACTGAAAATTCTGATACATATTATTCCTCCATCCTGTTCATGTGTTTAAAATTAGCACACCCTTTGTGGAACAGTAAATTTATCTCTTAAACTGTGTTTTTGTTTACTTGCTTTTTCTCTTGGCTGCCTGTAGTATGCATGAGCCGATTATCCCTAGAGGAGCCAGGCAAGGCCCTAGTCAACTCAAGAGAACATGCAGCATTTTTGCATATGAAGATATCAAGGAAGTTCATAAAAGGAGATATCTCCTGCAGGTGAGTCATTTTAGTAGTACTGTTTTATCATGTTTCTTTATTCTGAAAATGTATTATTTGAAAATTGATATGTACCATGAAACCCCTCTGTAGGATTCGCATTACTCTTTAGAGTAATCCTTAGATTTGATTATAGACAGACTTAGGTCATATGGATGCAGAATTTTGTATAAAGCATTTCTCTTGTTTAAACACAGCCTAAAATTTAGGTGATTGTATTTGTTATCCATCTTTCCCTGTAGCTATCCAAATCAACATTTTAGTTTTCTTCTAATATAAAAATTACATCCTTACTATAATTTTATAAAATTACAATTTTATAATAATTATTTTTATTATTATTCTGTTATTAAAGACTTTAGAAATAAATTGAGCAGAGTAAGAAATATCAGTTTATTGTGTAACTTAATCTTCAGGGAATTCATGACTCTAAAAGTGTTAGCAAATTAGCTTCTTGAACATTGTAGAAATTTTTAGTGGAAAAGTTAATACATGATTTTATTTGTGAACTTCTGTTTTTTCTTAATGTTTTTCTCTCTGATCATTTCAGCCTATTGCTGTGGAAGTTTTCTCTGGAGATGGACGGAATTACCTCCTTGCCTTCCAGAAAGGAATTAGAAACAAAGTCTATCAAAGGTCTTGTTTATTGGGAACACTTTGTATACTATCATGGGAAGAGATGGAAGGGGAAATCTTTTCTGTTTAGCTAGTTTTTTTTTTCTTTTAATTTTTAATTTTTCTTGCCTGTGAATATACCAAGTAAAGTTTATCTAGTTTTTAAAAATGTAGAATTTAGATCAACAAGTCAACATCTTTGAAGAAAATAATTTGTATTATTTTTGCCAACCTCTTGAAACAATTCTTCTTCTAACTTTTAAAATGATGCAATTCTATTGTGACATATCATTTTTCATCCTCATAACTTATAATGGAGATGATCAAAAACTGCTTTTATCACTAAGTCCTGTGTCTAAATATAAAGGATAATGAAACTGTAGCTTTAAAAATAAAACTTTACTTTCAGAATAGGCTTTCTTTATGTTTACTAAATTGAAGCCAATGTGGTTTCTTGCTATTGAATGCAAGGACTGAGTTCCCTTAGAAATGTAATTTACATGGGACTTTTCTCTGGCTATGGAAGGGATGTTGGATACCTTCATCCTTGAAAAAGTAGTATAGACAAATCAGATAATCTAATCTAAGCCTATTTTTATCTTTAATAAACCATATTTAAAATTTACCATTTAAGTGAAAAACAGACCAAGCCATGCAATGGTTCACTCTCATGTTCTCAGCACTTTGGGAGGCCAAAGAGGGAGAATCACTTGAGTGTAGAAGTTCAAGACCAGCCTGGGCAACATAGTGAGACCCTGTCTCTATAAAACATAAAATAATTAGCCAGGCATGGTGGTGCATGCCTGTAATGAGAGGTTGAGGTGGAAAGATTGCTTAAGCCCAGGAGGTCAAGGTTACAGTAAGCCATGATTGCACCACTGCATTCTAGCCTGGGTGACAGAGCAAGATGCTGTTTCCCAAAGTAATATCAAAATTTTTTAAAAAGGAAAACACTCATCTCTGGTACTTAGAGATATTTCTCTTAAATATGTGGATAATAAGGCTATTCTGAAGTAACCATAGAGATGAGAGGCATTCTGTTTTTCTTTGAAGGGTGGTATATATCCTGGCAATCCCTCTATTACAGACAATTTTATATTTCAAATTATTTCCATGAGGAATAACTAAACCATGCAACATTGCTTCTCATTGCAGTACAGTAATATTACCTGTGAGCACCTGGGAAATGAGGGTAGTTCTTCAAATAATGCGCCTGTGGATGTTGATTGGTAACCCAAAACTCCTTTCACACATGGGAAGAGCTAAGTAAAGTGATTGAGGTTCACTTTTACTTACCTAATTTTTTTAATTTCTAAAGGTGCTGTTGTTTTCAGTGCTAAGAAAACAGTGTTTTGCTATTCAGAGAAGTCCAAAATAATAGATTTTGTTATGGGCCTTTATATTTGGCTTTGGACAGCGCCATCTTATTTTTTTTATAACCAAAAGGGTATTCTAATTATTATATATTCCTTTTGCCTGCCATTTAGTGGGTTATGGGAGGGTAGATGCAACTATGAACATCTAAACAAATCATCCTTTCTTAGGTGTCCCATTAGATCCCAACAGAAACTTCATTTGCAATTTTATGCTATTTTAAATTTTTCAGGTTTTTGGCTGTAGTGCCATCTCTAACAGACAGTTCAGAATCTGTATCTGGGCAACGACCAAACACGAGTGTGGAGCAGGGGTAGGTGGTTTGTTCCTTGCATACTATACTTTAGTAGTGAAATTGGGATGATTCATATCTGGACAGTATTATTTAACATTTTTAATGTGTTTTTCCCCAAGTGGTTGCAAAATCTTTTGTACATTTTCCTTTGAGATCTTATCAATTTGTATAGGATTTTTCTACCGTAAGGCATTAATTACTCCTTTGCTTGTCATATTTGTTGCAAATTTCCTAGTTTTCCTCTAAATTTTGCTTTTTGACATTTAAATTTAAACTTCTGTTTTTATGTATTCTGACCTATCAGTGCTTCCTTTATGCTCTTTACAGTTGTGTTTCATCTTAACAAGGCCTTCTAGATGACATAGCCATTTCAAGAATCCATTGACCCAGCTCCATTTATATCACTCAATAGCTGGTAGCCCTTCATAATCCACTGGAAAGAAGCAGTGCTTTGGGGCTGTAAATTAATTATTAGAGCATGCAAGAAAATGACTTTTAAAAGTACTAGAGATTCTATAATTTGTAAATAAAATTCGATTCCAGTCTGTGTGCATCTAAATATATTGTGTATTTCCCTTTAAGTTTTGTTTTTATTTTTCTATGCCAATCCTTAGCAAATACAATGCTAAATATATGCTTTTGTTAAACCCAGAAACATATTCTGCTCCTCGTAATTGTGTTGTTGTTAACATAAATACAGGAAGTGAAAGATTTCCTTAAAAACATAAGCCTTTTTTCTAATTGTAAGCAAATTGCTACTACTTTTACCTCCCTAGATAATCTTAAACTTGCTATTTCTTTGTTCTTGCTACTGTCTGTGCTGAGTTAGCTATTCTTTTTTTTTTTTTTGAGACGGAGTTTCGCTCTTGTTACCCAGGCTGGAGTGCAATGGCATGATCTCGACTCACCGCAACCTCCGCCTCCTGGGTTCAGGCAATTCTCCTGCCTCAGCCTCCTGAGTAGCTGGGATTACAGGCACGCGCCACCATGCCCGGATAATTTTTTGTAGCTTTTAGTAGAGACGGGGTTTCACCATGTTGACCAGGATGGGCTTGGTCTCTTGACCTTGTGATCCATCCGCCTCAGCCTCCCAAAGTGCTGGGATTACAGGCGTGAGCCACCGCGCCCGGCCTGAGTTAGCTATTCTTAAAGAACTTGTAAGAGTTCAGAGGCAAGAAACAGAAATTTGTTTCCAACTTTAATCTTCTATTTCATGTGTCCCCTTTCTTACAATGTTGAAGAATGATCATGGATATTTTTCCAAAGAATATCTTGTACATTCAGTTTGCCTGATGGAAAGACTATCTAGATGTGGAAAATAGTATCATCATGCTGAATGTTTTTAGGACCTAAGGTTTATAAATGTATTAATTTACTTTCACAAAAGAAAATATGTAGTTAAATACTTTCTCCTGGTTCCGTGACCAATTATTAATTATTGGTATTATAAAGCTGTTAAACCTTAAATAGGATTTTGTAACATTCTAAGGAAGTATTTTATCCCCAAAAAAGTAATGTATAAGTTTTAAATAACCTGGACAGCAATGACTTTCCTGTTACACAATAATCATATTTTCATTAACTTATTTAATGTACTATGTACCTGCTATGTACAGAATATTATATAATATTTCAGTTATTCCAATTAAGTATCCTTGGATTTGTTTACTTAGTAATTATAGTAAAAATAAAAAAGACTATGGTTAGAGTATGGCTCATGCCTATAGTCCCAATATTTTGGGAGGCCGAGTTAGGAGGATTGCTTGAGGCCGGGATCTTCAGACCTACCTGGGCAACATAGCAAGATCCCATCTCTACAAAAAAATTAATTATAAAATATTTTTTAAAAAGAAAAAGAAGGCCAGGCACTGTGCCTCACGCCTGTAAACCTAGCACTTTGGGAGGCTGAGGCAGGCGGATCACCTGAGGCCAGGAGTTCAAGACCAGCCTGGTCAACAAGGTGAAACCCTGCCTCTACTAAAAATAGAAAAATTTGATGAGCATGGTGGTGAGTACCTATAATCCCAGCTACTAGGGAGGCTGAAGTAGGAGAATCGCTAGAACCCCGGAGGCGGATGCTGCAGTGAGCCAAAAAGAAAACAAAAGTTTAACTAGATCAGTGTTCTTCCAACTCTTTTGAATATGACCTAGAGTAAAAAATATATTACATCCCAGGACATATAAATGGAATCATAAACACTCAACAAACAAAATTCACGCACAAAAAAAATACTTTCCCTTATTATTTGTGATGCCTTCTGATGTCCTTCCTCTGTTTTCTTCAGTGCAGTTCAGTGTTACTTCATATTTCAAAGCGCTGATCACAACCCACTAAACTGATTTTATGACCCACTAATAGATCCTTCATAGTTTGAAAAATTCCTGGACCATGTGACTTAAATTTTTCAACTGCATAATCTCTCAGATTTAAAATTTTATTGCCTAAATTTATTGTATTATGTATTGCTTTTAGATCTGGGTTGCTTAGCACCTTGGTTGGAGAGAAGTCTGTGACTCAGAGATGGGAGGTAAGTTTAACGAATATATAAGCGTTCTCAGAAGTTTGTAGTTAGAGTAGAAATCATACAGTTAAAAGCACTTTAATTATCCATAAAATGTATACCATAGAGAAAATGTTTTATTTTCATTCTTTTTAGGAAAAAAAAAGTATTTCATTGTTCTGAAATCTGTTAAAAAAGAAACTGTCCTTTATATCATTTTGCATATAAAATTTTAAAAGCTGAACGTAGTGGAAATAATTGATTGCTCAAAAATGAATATTGATCTTTCCCCAGAGAGGTGAAATCAGCAACTTCCAATATTTGATGCATTTGAACACTTTGGCTGGCAGATCGTATAATGATCTCATGCAGTATCCTGTCTTTCCCTGGATCCTTGCAGATTATGACTCAGAGGTATATCTTAAGTTTTTTTGCCTACATAGAACACATTTTCAAAAATAATTTTAAAATACTACAATTGAAGCGGGGTGCAGTAGCTCATGCCTATAATCCCAGCACCTTGGGAGGCAGAGGCAGGCACAAATCACTTGATCCCAGGATTTCGAGACCAGCCAGGGCAGCATGGCAAAACCCTGTCTCCACTTAAAATACAGAAATTAGCCAGGTGTGGTGGTGGACCCCTGTTGTCCCAGCTATTCTGGAGGCTGAGGTGGGAAGATTGCTTTAGCCGAGGAGGTGGAGGCTCCAGTGAGCCAAGATTGCACCACTGCACTCCAGACTGGGTGACCAAGCAAGACTGTGTCTCCTAAAAGAAAAGAAAAAAAACTACAGTTGCCTAAGTATTTGATTTGCTTTGTAGTTTAGTGTTCTGAATAGGCACAGGCACTTAATTCAAATAGATGAGAAGCATTTAGCACAGACATATGAAAAGTTTGGATAATTGACCCATTTACTGAGTACTGGACGTAATTCATGTCTATTCAGTTTCTTTAAGTGCTGATTAATTTGCATCTATTGGTGGATGTCCGAATCCATCTGTGTAGTTTGAAGGGTTTGTTAGAAAAACGTAAAGTAACTCCTCTACAAAATATTCCTGCCACATAAAAGAAATTTGTTATACTATTCCAAGAAGCCTTGGGAGAAGACTTCCAACAGGTCAACAGGTAAATGACTTTAGACTCAAAATTAAGAGCAGATAGATGCATATGAATGTTATCATTCCTCTCTTCCTTTGCCTCCTGTCTGATATAGGTCTGATTAGTTCAGAAATGAACATAACAGGCAAAAGAAAAGACACTTAGTCCTAGGTAAACAAGCAAAAAGATTGTTTTTAAAATTTAGAAATTAGTTGGACCTTCTCATTCACTAGAATCATGTCTGCTTATCCTTTCAGAAATTTTATATATCAGCATATTAAGGAGAAGGATATAGCTTATATCCTCAGAAAATTTTGGTCTAACAAAAGAATGAAAGGAAATCCACCCTATGTGCATGGGTGTACATTAGTGTATTTGATGTGTGAATCTATATATTTGCTTGTTGGTTAATATGCATACCAATGCACAATAAATAAATGTAATAGAAGGAAAAGAGGAGATCAGGAGTAAAAATTGATAAAATGAAAATATCTTTTACTTCAGTTAATTAGGGAAAGTTAGAAAGAAAACGTAGATTTTTAAAGAGACAGGAAGTCCAAAAGAAATGCAGTTTTCTGAGAAGGAAGTGGAGTACTTTGTCAACCCATAATTGAATATGTATCTCATGGGAACATGACAGGTCCCATTACTGAACCTTCAATTCTCTATGTTTTTCTCTCAATGCAATTGTGACCCTCACTATGTATTCCCCATATCAGGAAATGGCACCATCATCCATGCTGTCTTACAGGCTGGAAATTATACTTTTCCTACTGTCCATGTCTGCTCAGTGGCCAACACATATCTACCTTTATCTCCATCAGCGTACCTAGTGTCTCATTTCTGGCCCTCCACATCTTTTATTGGACCATTGCAGCAGCCTCGTAACTGGATTTAATGCTCTAGTCTCTCCTTCCTTCACTGTGCCCTCTACACTGCAGCCAGTTTCAGGAACACATATCTAATTGAGTCATCCTCCTGTTTAAAATCATTCAGTGACCAGGTGACATGGCTCACACCTATAATCCCAGAACTTTGGGAGACCAATGAGGGTTGATTGCTTGAGTCCAGGAGTTCAAGACCAGCCTGGGCAACATGACGAAATCCCATCTCTACAAAAAATTAGCCAAGCATGGTGGCATGCATCTTTAGTCCCAACTACTCAGGAGGCTGAAAATGGGAGGATCACTTGAGTCAGTGAGGTGAGGTTGCTGTGAGCCAAGAGCATGCCACTGCACTCCAGCCTGGGCGACAGAGCAAGAAGCTGTCTCAAAAAAATAAAATAATGAAGTAAAAATAAATAAATAATAAAATTATTAAGTGAACCATCATCATAATTTGGGAGCGTTGAAAAACCTCACTGTAGCAACCTTTTCAGTGTAGCTCCTGCATATATATTCCTCATGTATTCCCAGAACTGCTGTCGTGGGCACCCTGGTTCCCTCTGTTGTAACTTAGTGGCTTTTCACACACAGCCTGACCTGCCCGGTGCCCATCATGCATTTCTTCTTTCCATCAACTAACTCAACTGATCAGCTCCACTTCATCCTTCAGGAAACCCTCAAGTACCAGCCCTGTGATGGGGAGCCTTCTGTCTTTCTGTTCTCTGTCTTCTGTTCCCACACTACCCTGTAGCTGTATAACATGGTACTTTTTTTTTTTTTCACCATTGTAGTCTTGGAGCTTTTTTTTACAGCATAGTCCTGCTATTTGTTTAACCCTACTCAATTGTAGGGTCAAGGTCCTTGAGCACACGGACCATTTTATGTCTCTCTCAACTCCCAGCCCTTAGAACGATGCCTGGTAGTTTGTACATAGTTTAACATTGTTGAATTAACCAGCAAATACAAGTGAGGTACTTTGCATATAAACTTCAAGAGAATAGATGTACTAACTTGACTTACTTTCATAAATGTAGATCAGTTATCTTTTTCAAAATACAAGTTTGGCAAAATTGGCTATTCGTAATGCCCTGTAAAAAGGACGAAAACATGCCACAGGCACATGTTTCAAATTTCTACTTTTAAAACCCTCAGGGAGTAAATTTTTGTTTCCTTTTAAATATATGAATTAGGTCAGCTCATCAGCTTTTAAAATAATCTCTGGTAAACCGGAAGAATCCATCTCATTGAGAAGTTACTTGATCTGGTGTGATGTTATATTTTAGAGGTGATTGAGTTACAGTGTTCTAATTTATATCACTTCCAGATCACCTCTGAGAAGAAAATGCTCAGAAGTAAAGTTAGAGGGAGACAGGGTCAGGGTGGAGGGAGATCTGATCCTTCAATTATGTGAGTGATGAGGTTAACGATGAATTGGAGCTATTGTGTCCACAATCTCCTGCTGGGTTCCTTGCCAAGACTTGGAGGCATTTTCCCTCTTATTCCTCATCCCCTAAACCTAGATCCTAAGTGGCTTCCTCTGTGAAACACATAATTTCCAAAGCAGTTGTCTTCCAACTGAATCAGTTAACAAACTGCCACAAGCCTGTCTGTAAAGAGTGGATAAATAGTACGTACAGTACATAGCATTATTTTGGAGTCCAGTTATGACAGTTTGACCTCACAGATACTAGTGCATTTATAAATCATCATTGTCCACTACAGCCACTATATCTACATTAGTGAGGCTAGAGAGTGTATAGTGACATGGAATTGAGTTACATTTTGTATTTTAGGAGGTGGATCTTACTAATCCCAAGACGTTTAGAAACCTGGCTAAGCCAATGGGAGCACAAACAGATGAACGATTAGCTCAGTATAAGAAGCGGTTTAAAGACTGGGAGGATCCTAATGGTAAGCAACTTTTTCTGTCATTGGACTTTGTACCCAGGTTTCAAAAGTAAGCCATTATGTAGCAGTTGACATTCTTAACATTTTCCTTCAAATTGCTTATATATCATATCTATATGTATTATATGTCCACACATATATGCAGATTATTATAGTAGAAGAATCAGGTTTGGATGCCAACTTATGGCCATGCTTAGAAGGCATTTTAAATAGCTTATCAGAGTACTAGTGGAAAACTCAGTATGCCTGCTTTGCATAGGGCAGAAATTTTCCATCATAATCTGCTTCTGTCTCTAATCATATTTAGTCCAGGAACCACACTTTCATTTATTGGCTCTCTTTTAATTTTATTGAGGCAATTTTTGGAACCTTTTTGCATTAAAAAAATGGCTATATTCTAAAACTATATTATTTACTTGTTATTTATGATGTTTAATGTTTATTGTGTTTCTCCCTCAAAAAGGCAAAACAAAGGAGAAAGAAAGCCTCAGCTTGTAGTGCTGTGTGAACTCTTTTATTCTCCTCCCTCTGCCAAGGAGAACCTGTAGTAAAAATACATAAAATTGCTTAATATTTATAAACAACAATTTAGAGAAATGCATAAATGCAAAGCCAGAACCTAATAAAAAGTAACTATAAGTTAATTTCCTGCTTTAGTGGAAGGTGGTCTACCATTTAGGATTAACTATTATAGTAAGCCTCAAAACATGAAATTGGCAGACATACTAAATTTGTGGGAATAGGTCATTGAGCTATACTTAATTTGGATTACTGTCAAATATAGAAGAGAGCGATTGTGATGTCATCATGAAGCTTTCCTACTACAAGTGCCAGTACTGACTGCATTTAGTATCACAGTTACCACACATATGCTAGCATTTTCAAATATAAATTAATACTAATTTTATTTTTCGTATTTCTTTTTGTTTTAATTATGCTTTAATTTTTCTAAACAGGAGAAACTCCTGCATACCATTATGGGACCCACTATTCATCTGCAATGATCGTGGCCTCATATCTTGTAAGGATGGAGCCTTTCACACAGATATTCTTAAGGCTACAGGTAAAACTTTAAATTTAAGGTTTTCTATTTTATACAAGCTTACTTCTATGTAAAATGTCACCTTTTTAAAATATCATTATCTTGCATTACAAGGAGCTCTGTGAAGTTTTAATGACAAAGTAGTCACATAACTAAAGTAGAATTTTGTTGGACCAAAATTGATTGGTGAACTAGAATTCACTTAGAACAAACAAGTGCCAGCCTCCTTTAATCAAATACGTAAGTAGCATACACTTTCCAAGCAGCCCTAACTGATTGAATTAAACAATTTTTGATTTTTACAAAAACGTGATATATTCCAGCTCTTTCTCTGTTTTCTCTATTACAATTGCTTTTCCGTACATTCATTTATTCAGCAAATATTTAATAAATACCTATTGTGTGCCAGGCACTGTTCCAGGCACTTGGGAGGACATCAATTAATAAAGACAAAAGCCTGACCTGTGCAGTTTATGTATTTCAGTTGAAGGAGACAGCCAAATATCACAAATAAGAAAATCGTAAAGTATTTTAGAATGTGATAAAAGCTATCAGAAAAATATAGGTCCAGAAAGGGGGATGGAAGGTGGAGAGAACAGGAGGTTGGGCAGGGTGGGATGCAGTTTTAAGTAGAGTGGTCAGAGTAGGTCTCTTGTAAACAAAAGTGGAAAGGAGGTAAGGGTATTGCTTCTGCAGACATCTGGAGATACGTGCTGCAGGCAGAGGGAAGATCTTCAAGGGCTCTAAGGCAGGCCTGTACCTGATGTGTTTGAGGAGCAGCCTGGGGCCAGTGTGTCCAGAATAGAGTAAGTAAGAAGGAAAGTTGTAGGGGAAGAGGTCAAAAAGGAAACGGGGGCCAGTTTGTATGGCAGGCCTTGGCAGCCATGGGATGGCCTTTGGCATTTTCCACAGTGAGCATCGTAAGACAGGTACACCATGTTCACTTAAAACACAGCATGAGGGGTTTCACTGAAGAAGATGGGTAGTGTACCTATCAGACTGCATAGTCAAAAATACCCTTTTCTATTTGAATTTGCTTTATCAGTCTGTAACTGATCACCTTTTCTAATTTCCCATTTAATCCTCATTGGTGTGAGAACTTGCATATCATGTTAATTTATAAAATTAGCCAAACATAATTTGAATGTTTCCAACTGTGGATGATTTACATTAGAATCTTTTATTGGGATGGCATCATCAGACTGTGGAAGAACTCTTATTTCTTACAGCCTTGTCCTCTCTTTAAAATCTATTCTTTGAATGACTTTTTATAATCTTTACATTTGGATATCAGTTTGATTATAAAACAAATGCATACAGAACCCTCTGTAAGGATTACCCCAAAAAGAATTAGATTTTTTATGATTATTAAAAAAATTTTGTGTATTTAATGTAGGATAATGGGAAATTGAAATGTCACCAAATATAGTTTGAGTTTTCAAGCTCTTGAACTTGACAGAAGCTGTCAGGTGAGAATGGTTCTCTAATAGAGAGGTGCTTTCTCATTCTGTCCACAGGGTGGCCACTTTGACCTGGCTGACCGGATGTTTCACAGTGTGCGTGAGGCCTGGTATTCAGCATCAAAACACAACATGGCAGATGTAAAAGAACTTATCCCAGAGTTCTTTTACTTACCAGAATTCCTGTTCAATTCCAACAACTTTGATCTAGGTACGTATAGCTATGGTACTGTCTTAGGAATGTTAGCCAGGAAAAGCCCAACAGAAATAAGTCACTTCTCTGAAGATTGTCTGCAACACACATTAACAAGTATAATTTTGTTATAGTTTCTTGCAGTCACTTGCTATAATTGGGTGTAGTTACATGTGAAAGAAAAGCATACTTATGTCCCAAAAGCGCTGTTTCAAACGTAGAGTCTGGAAGACATTTAAAAATTGACATAGGCTGGGTTCAGTGGCTCACACCTATAATCCCAGCTCTTTGGGAGGCCAAGGTAGGCAGATTACTTGAATTCAGGAGTTCTAGACCAGCCTGGCCAGCATGGCAAAACCCCATCTCTATTAAAAATACAAAAATTAGCCGGGCGTGGTGGTGGGCACCTGTAATTCCAGCTAGTTGGGAGGCTGAGGCAGGAAAATTGCTTGAAACTGGGTGGTGGAGGTTGCAGTGAGCTGAGATTGTGAACTGCACTCCAGCCTGGGCAACAGAGTGAGACTCCATGTTTAAATAAATAAATATTGACACAGATTACTTCCAACATTTAGAATTTTATTGTTTTGATGAAAACAAAGATGAAGTGAAAATTTATTTGAAAAGTATTACTATTGAAACCCATTGATAGCTAAGAGCGGTATACCCAAATTTTTCACATATTGTTTTAATCCCGTGTATTACCTAAGACATTCTCGGTTTATATGCTAATGTGTTTTAAAATTAGAATTTCAGAATAACTTTAAGTAAGTCCCTTTTCTTTATCCTGTAAGGGCTCTATTTTCTAGAAAAACAGGACCAAATCAGCAATTATAAAAAGGAGAAAAACTTTATCAGTGCTGTTTTTATATTATCCGGCAGTTAGAGGAAGTGGAGTTGACTTTGGTTACAGTTTCTTGGAACACAGCTTGCTGATCTATGCTTCTGAGTATTTCTTTTAAAGCATATCAAAATTCCATTGTTTCCATGTTAGAATACTCTTGCCAGATATTTGTCATTTTGTATTTTTTTCGCTTCCTGTATTTTCCACTGTCTTATAAGAGTTCAGCACATAAATTATAACTGTACTACCTCTAATTTTTCATGAACAGAAAATACAGAGAATTATTTGTATCCCATACATATGAAAGATATTTCTATTTGAAGTTTTCTAAAGATGATTTTTATGTATTTAATTGTCCATCAGCAACTCCACCTTTATGAAATGGGATCTAATAGGAGAGATAACATGACTCTCTCCACAGCCCTAGCAAAATTCCTGAAATCGAGTTTCATTACCTCCAATTATGCCTAGAGCTCACCCTTGAGCAGCTAAAGACACAACTTTAGAACTTAAGAGTTAGAGAAAGTGATGGGTTTTCCCAAAAGAATAGAGTAGATAGTCAACAAGAACAGTCAACAAATATGTGCTATAGCCTTTGACTATGAATGCGTGTTAGCATTTTCTTTTTCTTTTTTTTTTTTTTTTAAAGACAGAGTCTTGCTCTGTTGCCCAGGCTGGAATGCAGTAGTATAATCTCTGCTCACTGCAACACCCACCTTACAGGTTCAAGCGATTCTCATACCTCAGCCTCCCAAGTAGTTGGGATTACATGTACCACCATGCCTGGCTAATTCTTTTTGTATTTTTAGTGGAGATGGGGTTTCTCCATATTGGCCAGGCTGGTTTCAAACTCCTGACCTCAAGTGATCCACCTGCCTTGGCTTCCCAAAGTGCTGGGTTCACAGGCGTGAGCCACCATGCATGGCCACATTAGTGTTTTCTTATGTCCATTATAATTCACCTTTGGAGAATGTTGCTGCCTTCCCTAGGCAGACCACTGTCAAAGAGACAAATATGGGAGAGGTGCAGGAAGAAAGAGATAGCTCATAATCTTCCAGAAATGTCTATCAGTTACAATAATCCATGTTACAAAGGTGTTCCGGACAGACCACTTACAAACCCAACCAACCAATCCACTTTTAAAATAACTAAATAAAAAAGGAGGATGTACCTTTGTCACGTTCACCCTCATAACAAATTATCTTCCCTCTTTGAAATAACATACTTTAAAAAACAGTGGTTGGGCTGGGCATGGTAGCTCATGCCTGTGATCCTAGCACTTTGGGAGACCAATGTGGGTGGATCACTTGAGCTCAGGAGTTCAAGACCAACCTATGCAATATGACAAAACCTCATTTCTACAAAAAATACAAAAATTAGCCGGCATGGTGATGTGCACCTGTAGTCCCAGCTACTCAGGAGGCTCAGGTAGGAGAATCACTTTAGCCCAGGAGGCTGAGGCTGCAGTGAGCCGTGTTCATGCCACTACACGCCAGCCGGAGTGATAAAGTGACACCCTGTCTCAAAAACAAAACAAGACAAAACACTGTTTGCATATAAAACCTAAAATCATAAGATTCTTATAAGAAAACATAGGGGTAAATCTTCATGATCTTGAATTTGGCCATGGATTCTTAAATATGATAAATGCCTATAGAATGGAAGATAACATTTGCAAATAATGTATCTAATAAGGATCTAGTATCCAGAATATAAACAACCCTTATATTTCAACAACAAAAAGACCAACAACCCAGTTGGAAAATGGGCAAAGGACTTGAATAGACAATTTTCCAAATAAGTTATACAAATGGCCAGTAAACTCATGAAAAGATGCCCAACGTCGTTAGTTATTGGGGGAATGCAAATCAAAACCACAATGAGATACCACTTCATATTTACTAGGATGGCCATAGGTGGGGTGAACTGAAAAATAACAAGGGCTGGCAAAGATGTAGAAAAATTAGAACCTTCAGGCTGTGCACAGTGGCTCACACCTGTAACCTCAGCACTTTGGGAGGCTGAGGCGGGTGGATCACCTGAGGTCAGGAATTCGAGACCAGCCTGACCAAAATGGTGAAACCCTGTCCCTACTAAAATATAAAAATTAGCTGGATGTGGTAGGGTGCGCCTATAGTCCCACCTACTCGGGAGGCTGAGACAGGAGAATTGCTTGAACCTGGGCAGCGGAATGTTGCAGTGAGCCAAGATCCCACCACTGCACTCCAGCCTGGGCAACACAGCAAGACTCTGTCTCAAGAAATAAAAAATAAAAAAAATTATAACACTTATGCATTGCTAGTGGGAGCATAAAATGGTTTAGCCACTATGGGAAGCAGTTTGGCAGTTCTTCAAAGAGTTAAACAGAATTACCATATGACCCAGCAGTTCCACTCCTTGGTATATAGAATTGAAAATGCAACTCAAGTATGTGTATGAGCATGTTCATAGTAGCATTATTCAGAATAACCAAATGGTAGAAACAGCCCAGATGTCTATCAAGTGATGGGTGGTTAAACCAGTTGTAGTATATACATACAATGAAATATTGTTCATCCATGAAAGTCAATAAGACATTAAATACTACAGTGTGGCTAAACCTCAAAAACATTATGCAAAGTGAAAGAAGCCAGACAATAAAAGTCACATATTGTACATTTCCATTTATAGGAAATACTCAGCTAAGTCCACAGAGACAGGACACAGATTGGTGTTCTGGGGCCTGTGGTGATAGTAATATGGGCAGCTACTGATTAACAAGTACAAGATTACTTTTGGGGTGATAAAAATGCTTTGGGACAAGATAGAAATCATGATTGCATAACATTGTACCTGAACTAAATGCCACTGAATTGTTCACTTTAAATGGTTGACCTTATGTGAATTTCACCCAAATAGGAAAAAAAAAAAAAATGTTTGCCTCTTCACACAGAAAAGATAGTAAATGTTGAAAAAGAAAACGCACTTGGGGCTGGTCACAGTGGCTCACTCCTATAATCCCAGCACTTTGGGAAGCTGTGGTGGGCAGATCACCTGAGACCGAGTGTTCGAGACCAGCCTGGCTAATATGGTAAAAAGTCATCTCTACTAAAAATACAAAAATTAGCCAGGCATTGTCATGTGTGCCTGTAATTCCAGCTACTCAGAAGGCTGAGGCACAAGAATCACCCAGGAGACAGAGGTTGCAGTGAGCCAAGATCACGCCACTGCACTCCACCCTAGGCAACATAGCAAGATTCTGTCTCAAAAGATAAAAAGAAAGAAAAAGCACTTGGACTTTTTTTCCTTTGCTGTGAGATAAATAATATTCACCTTGGGATCGTGTTGTTCTTACATTCTTGAATACACATGGAAGAGAGCTTCAGAAGAGCAAAAATAAGGGCCAGACATTATGGCTCTTGCCTATAATTCAAGCCCTTTGGGAGGCCAAGGTGGGAGGATCACTTGAGGCCAGGAGTTCAAGATTAGCTTGAGCAACAGAGCAACACCTCATCTCTTCAAAATAAAATAATTAGCCAGACATGGTGGCATGTGCCTGTAGTCCTAGCTACTTGGGAGACTGCCTGGGAGGATTGCTTGAGGCCAGGAGCTCAAGGCTGAAGTGAGCCATGATTATACCACTGCACTCCAGCCTGGGCAGCAGAGCAAGACCCTATCTCAAAAAACAAAAAAAAGCAGAATTAGACAAAGGCTTTTCTATATACTATGTTACCTTTATGTGTCATTGTAAAATTGCATATAGTGCTCATAAAATAAAATTCTATCACATAAATATTCAAGAATTACGGCAAAATTTTGAAAAGTAATTTCTATCTCAAGTAGCTTTTACCTGCTTATTATTACCAAAAAGTTAGGCCGGGGGCATTTCAGGAGGATTCAACACAGAGTGTGAAGTGTGTATGGTTTAGGAGGAAGGGTTGTAATAATTTATTTTTGTCTTAAATCATATGGTAACTTTTCCAGCCAAGTCAAGACATTCCTTTAAACAATAAACTGATTTATACCGCTTAATATCACATTGTAAATAAACCATCAACTAGCAATGATAAAGGCAAGATTGTTTCAAAGGGAAATATTTTACTTGCTTTCACTTGAAATTGGCTTCGTGTTCTAAAATTTGAACAATTGCACTTCTTTATGAAAATTTCCAATACAGGTATTTATCTAACCAACTGCTGTTAAACTAGTGAGTCAATATTGTTGTTTATAGACTCATTTTTTTACAGTGATAATCTGATTTGAACCTACGAAAACTCTGTAAGCTAAAGGGATATTTTTGGTATATTTCAAAAAATGAAAAACAACTTTTTTCCTTAGATGCAGCCAAATTTAATATATTTTGTTGTGGATAGATTTCATAGTGAATATTTTCTTTTATATTTTAGAAATTAGCTATTACTTAAAATAAGTTTATGTTGAATAAATATTATTTATGTGCCTATCACACCATATTTTTTGTTGTTGACAGGTAGCCCTATAGTTTTTCCAAATATTTTTTTTCTGCTGAATGATGCAATAACAGCAAAAAGTTATGTTATTTCAGATTTCACTTTTTAAATAAGAATGCTTACTGCAAAATACATGCCAGTTCTGCAGAGCTCTTTTGAGAACCTAAGAGTCAGCAATACGAGAAACCTCTTGTGTTACAGATATCTCCAGGAGACTGTTTCCAGGAAATTCAAAACAGTACCCCCACAAAATGTTTTGCTGAAAAGGAGTCCTGTGGTCAATTAAATTTTAGACATTTTGTGTTTGATATCCCTCTTAGAGAAGGGCAGTGCATGTTAGCATATTAAACCTCTGAGGAGTCCTGCTCTGAAGACTGCAGAAAGAAGCATGTCTCACTTTGTATAACTCAGCATTTCCTGAAGACATTGGCAGTGAGGGCCTCAGTTTTGCTGACTTAGTAACTCTTTCTGCTGGAGTGCTCTGAGGAGCAGTTTTGGGGGATGCTAGAAGTCAGTGATCTCTGAGGTCCTTTTAGAGTTCTGGTAATGAATCTAACTCACCATTTCTCTGTCAGATTAATGTAAAGTTACCATTTATCCCATTTTTTTTTTTTAATTTATCCAATTGCACAGGCTGTAAACAAAATGGCACCAAGCTTGGAGATGTTATCCTTCCACCCTGGGCAAAAGGGGATCCACGAGAATTCATCAGAGTCCACCGAGAGGTAACGGAAGTACACTTTGCAGTTGAAGTTGAATTTCATTTGGTCACTGAACATAATACAAAGAAAGGACCTCTAACAGAGTATCACTCATTTGTTACTAATACAACCAGGCCCCATTATCTACAGAGGACACATCCCAAGAACCCTATTAGGTGCCCAAAACCAGGAATAGTACCAAACCATATATATGTCAACTATTTATTTTCCTATACATATATAGCTCTGATAAAATTTAATTTATATATTAGGCACAGTAAGAAATTAAGAATAATAACTAACAATAGATCAATCATAATGATTTACTAAGAGCTATGTCAATATGGTCGATCTCTCTGTCATAAACACAATAATATTTTCACACCATGATTTACTGCAGGTAACTGAAATCTCAGAAAGGGAAACCTCAAATGAGAGGGGACTACTATGTTGTTTTTATGATTTTTGGTTATTTTAGTTCCTGTTGACAACTTACCAAGGTTTTTCTAGTCTCTGAGCAAGTAATAAAAGTCAGCCAGTGACTGAACCTGTGTTTGAAATTACAGGCTTTGGAGTGTGATTACGTGAGTGCCCATCTCCATGAGTGGATTGACTTAATCTTCGGCTATAAACAGCAAGGCCCTGCTGCAGTAGAAGCTGTAAATGTCTTCCATCATCTTTTTTATGAGGGTCAAGTGGATATCTACAACATCAATGACCCACTAAAGGAGACAGCCACAATTGGGTTCATTAATAACTTTGGTCAGATCCCTAAACAGGTATGGATGTTCTTTTCTTAGCATTGATGTACTCTGTTTCACTTTGCAAATTTTGTGACATTTCTGTAGATTATAGATGACCACAAAATAATCAAGTTTAGATTAACTTAATAAAGAGCCATAAATATTACATAGTGTTTCAATAGATTCCTAGATTGTTGCTTTTTTCTCACTTTCATAGTCTAATTAAATAAAAATTTTGTTTGAAGAGAATGAATTTTCCCTTATAGACTAATGCAGAATGTGCTTTCTTAAGCCTGCATAAGATGTAACAGGAGGGGCCTTATAGGCCACATACAGAGGGGGTGTTGTCTGGAGGCCAGTGGGAAACCAGTGCTGATTTTAGGCAGAGAAATGACATGGTCACATTTAAACTTCAGAAGTTCATTCTGGCCTCTGTCAGAATAAACTACTGTATGCCTCTCTCTCTTTCTTTCTATCTGTTTCTATCACACAGACATACCACACACATACTCTCTCTCTTGCTCGCTCACTCGTTCTCTCTCTCTCTCTCTTCTGGGGAGGCAAATGGGGAGTAGAAAACCACTTGGAAAGCTATTGTACTAGTTCAGGGAACAAATGACAATGGATTGGGTTAAATTATTGACATAGGCATAATAAGTGCGTCTCTGTGAGAGCACATGCCATAGGAATACCTAGGACATGCAATAGCTGCCCTCACCACCTTCTGGAATTTGGAGAGGAAGACCAAGATTTAAACCTCTCAGCACCCAGATACTGTAGGTCTGTTTCATGTTCAGCGATGAGCAAACCTCCATGAAGAGACCTCATCCCTACTCTCATCCCCATTGTCCGAGGTATGGCAGGAGGGCCACATGCACCAGGAGCAACTGCAGCACAGTGTGGAGAAGGCACACTTTGATGAGCTGGTCAGACCACCCACCTTTACTAAGGACCAGTGGCTCATACTTTGATCCTGGCTACCTTCTCTGCTCCTGCTTTAGATGTCTCTACGGACCCCCTTTTCGTAGGTTAACCTTTTTGAGGTTTCCAGGACTGACACTTGAGAACACACGAAACAGTGGCACATCTCTGTATGTAGAAAAGCCATGATTGATAGCAGGACATGCTTTAACTGTATCATTCACAGTGCAGTCTGATCCCCTAATAAAAGAAGCATGTTTACTTTTATTTTATAGAGAAAGGTCTCATTATGTTGCCAGAGATGGCCATGAACTCCTAAACCCAAGCAGTCCTCCCACCTTAGCTACCAAAGTGCTGAGGCTACAGGCATGATACGGCACCTGACCATGTTTACTTTTAAAGCAAAATGTTTGCTGATAAATTCTATTTACAGTTGAAGGATATTAGCTGTACCTATATTTAGTTAATATCTTTTTCCTGAGAGTTAGAAGGACTGGAGCCATCTTTCATACCCTAGGGGAAATATATACTGTGAACATAAAAATCAAAGACACTTGCACTGTTGCAGGATTTTTGTGCTACTTTGAAGTAGAAGAGGCCTGAAGTCTGGGAAGTATCATTTGGATGCCAACATATTTCTGGGACATACACTCAGTAATAGAGAGTACTTTCAAGTAAAACCATCCTCAAAAATGTAGGCTTTATGGTAGTCATCTCCATATGTCATTAATATACCCTCAGCCTGGTATAGCACTCTATCCTTAGGTCCTCACATAAAAGTGCTTCAGTAAATGCACATTCATGAATGTGCCTTCAAAGTATGTATCTTTACAGAAGCCTGATCTCATGGTCCTGTATGTAGATAAAATAGGAACAAGACGCTTAAAGGTTTGGGAGCCTGGAATGTGTATATTCCTCTGAACAAAGAATTTTTTCTGTTTTTTTTCTCCTGGAAACCCAAAATGTCTAATTCACAAAGTGTGATGGTATTATATTCATCTTAAATCTCATTTCATTTAAAGCTTTTCACATCTCCTCAAATACAAGTTTTCCGACAGAAACTACTCTCTACCTGTCTCAAAGATTTATAATAATTGAAAAATAGTCATCTTAAATCGACATTAATTTTTTTTTTTTTTAAGACGGAGTGTTTCTCTGTCACTCCAGGTTGGAGTGCAGTGGCACAATCTCGGCTCACCGCAACCTCTACCTCCTGGGTTCAAGCGATTCTCCTGCCTTAGCCTCCCAAGTAGCTGGGACTACAAGCACGCACCACCACACCCAGCTATTTTTTTATTTTTAATAGAGACAGAGTTTCACCACATTGGCCAGGCTGGTCTTGAACTCCTGACCTCGTGATCCATCCACCTTGGCCTCCCAAAGTGCTGGGATTACAGGCATGAGCCACCATGCCCAGCCATTAATATTTTTAATCCTATAGAAATACTGAATGATGTTGTAACACTTTTTTTTTTCTTTTTTCCCTTTGCAACATAGCAAAGTACAAAGAAGTTGGTAATGTTCACACTTTCAGCAAATCAGTAGCATCTTTTTAGGACACCAAAATGACATTTCTAAATCACATAAAGGCCACATTGAAACCAAAAATAATCCAATTAGATAGAATGTCTGCCTGCCTTCAATGGCACAGAATGGTATATTGGGCTGCAACGAGTCAACTTTGAATGTCATTGGAAAATAATTGTCAATCAACTGTAGATTAACTTTCTTTTGTAAAGTTATTGTGAATTCAGCTTAGCATAAAACAGAATACCCACACCTTAGTATCATTGTTCTGTCCCTGCTTATTCAGGTGTGAGTTCCTGGCCACCTTCACAGCCTTTTTGAATTTCTTTTCTCAGGTGTAAAATGGGCATAATATAGCACCTAATGGTTCTTCTGAACCTTACGTGAAATAAGAACACAATGCCTGGCATATAAAAGGGCTTATATGTGTTGTCTTTCATTATAAAGTGTGTCATCTTCTTTCATACCAGTTATTTAAAAAACCTCATCCACCAAAGCGAGTGAGAAGTCGACTCAATGGAGACAATGCAGGAATCTCTGTCCTACCAGGATCTACAAGTGACAAGATCTTTTTTCATCATCTAGACAACTTGAGGCCTTCTCTAACACCTGTAAAAGGTAAGATAATGAGAAATAAAGTTTTGATTTATGATTTAATGGGACTGTTTCATAATCCCAGTTTAACAATAACAAATTTGCTTTTTGACGGCAGCATAATTTGTTTAATAAATGCCATACATTTTGTGTTAAATTACTAAATACCTACTAGTATTTATATTTTTTCTTTTTCCTTCTTTTTTCTCTTTCTTTTTTTGGCTTGTTGGACTTTGTATCAGAAAGAACGAAACAGGCTTCTCTCTCCTCTTTAAGATAGTCAAAACTCTAAAATACCAAAGTCTTGTGACTTCAACTTTATAGGTAGAAAAAAGTTTGTCTTCATAACTTCATTCTCATTGAAGTATATTTTGCCTATCCGAAATACTAGTAAAAGAACGTATTTTTAATCTGCCAGTGAAATGACATCTATCTTTATTTAATGATATAATTGAATATCTAAAAATATTTTTTCAAATAGGTTTTTCCCCTTAGAATGAAAAAAATAGAGTTTTGCCAAATCTTGAAATTGTGGCTTAAAATAAAGTCTCCCTAACTGGTATGCCATTCTATGCCATTTGGCCTCATTACACAGACTCTGTTCTGTGCCAGCGTCAGTCACTGCTGGCGATTCTTCTGGAGTAGTAATGTGTTCAGCAGAGTGCTGGTGTGGAACAGAGTCCATGCCTCTTGGGGAATGCCATGACCTTCCGTAAGGGAAGTCTAAGGGCTGGCTATAACTTGGGAGAGATTAAAGACATAGATTCGTTGATGATCTGTGTCCCTATGACATTCTGGGGAGCATCCCAGATTACTCTGTACAACCCTATGGAGGCAGACCTAATTGTTAGTAACCAAAGCAGAGCGTGCCTGGAAATAGGACAGCTGGAGGGAAATCCTGCAGAGGACCTGTTAAGATCAACATTCCACCCAGCAGGTCTTATAGGAGATTCAAAACCTCAGCTCTATTTCTGAGTTCATTTTGTTTCAATGTAGGTGTCATGATGCTTGATTTGTATGAATATTTGAAATTACTTTATCATCCCTATGAGATAATGATATCACTTTTTCCTGTTCCTGTCCTAATGTCATGATTTCTTTTATCTAGAACTCAAAGAACCTGTGGGACAAATTGTATGTACAGATAAAGGTATTCTTGCTGTGGAACAAAATAAGGTTCTTATCCCACCAGCCTGGAATAAAACTTTCGCTTGGGGCTATGCAGACCTCAGTTGCAGACTGGGAACCTATGAGTCAGACAAGGTTTGCATTATTCCCTGCCTACCCATTTAACCTTGCTCTTTCGTAGTTTGGATATCCTATCTGACTAATAGGGTTGGGAAGAACCCATTCCAAGAGCTTGTCAGTTGTTCCTCCAAACCCCAAAGAAAGGTGAGCTTTCCCTGTTGGGGAAAGGAGAGCTTCACTGAATGAGAGCAGGATAAAAGAGCTCACAGAGACGTCATGTTTTCTGCAGAACAAGCCTCTTTTGGAAAGTTGTGTAATCGGGGCTAACAGTTTCCTTCTTGCTCAAAGAATTCCTCCGAGAGATCCTAGCCAGCAAGGTGCTCAGCATTTCTGTCAACCAGAATAGCCTCCTTTTGATGAGTCACCATCTGCCCCACTTTTCATTTTAGTGCTCCAAACAAGCTGGCAGAAAACCCGTTGCCCCATCCCACAAGAAGCAACAGCAACTTTTTTAAGTCCCATAAGTTCCTCTTGGAGAGACAATCTGTAGTGATCCTCTAGTACCCTGTGTTTGCCTTCTAACAGTCCCCTCCCAAATGCAAGACAAAAAGAATCTGCACAGTCTGTTATGTTGCTTTGTAACACAATTTCATTTTGTTGATTTTCTCCTTAAACAGCAGTAGTCACACTCTCTTTTTACATTCTGTTACAGCAAATGCATCCTTTTTCCACACTTTCCATAGGTCATACAACTTGAGCATCATTTTCCCAATCTGGAGAAACCAGAGACACCTATTATGAAAAAGCCCTTTTTGATTATGGCTTTCAGCAGCAACAATAGTTGGGAGGTGGTGGGGTAGTTTAGGGTAGAGATTCAGTGGATATGCTGCTGAACTAAAGCTAGCACAGAACGTGAGCTACTATTTGCCGGTGGGGTGCCGGCACCTTCACTCAGCTTCTGCTCCTTGAATTTCAAAAATTCATAGCACTTAATGGCATGTGTGTCTCACATCCGTTTTACTTTACAGGCTGTGACTGTTTATGAATGCTTGTCTGAGTGGGGCCAGATTCTCTGTGCAATCTGCCCCAACCCCAAGCTGGTCATCACAGGTGGAACAAGCACAGTTGTGTGTGTGTGGGAGATGGGCACCTCCAAAGAAAAGGCCAAGACCCTCACCCTCAAACAGGTAACAGAGAACGTAGAACATGCCAAGAGGGACATATTCCATCTCCCGTGCCTACACCCTGTAGGAACTAAAAAGCTTCCTTAATTATGAGGTACTTCAGGTATAATTGACAAAACCAAAGTTAGGTTCTGTTGCTAGAAATACTTTTTTTAAAAAAAAAAAAAAGGAAATCAGTATAGGCTGTTTCTAACAATGATCTAAGCCAGTTACTTTGTTAAAATCTGAAGAAAGTTATCTTTAGGTACATATACTTCAGTGTATTTAAGTAATATAAATGCAAAAATCTAAATTGAATTTTTGCAAACTGAATTATGTTTGCTGTTGACTCATATCAGTTTCCTTCCAGAGTGATTTCCATTTATCTGCCACTAAATTCCTAATTCTTTGTTTTTCTCTTTTCTCACTTGTCATATCCTTAAGGACATGCCAAACCCATGAATGTATTCAGTAGAGCCCTTGATGTTTTAATTAACAAGTATTTTTGATTGCCTGTTACATACATGATTCTATTATTAATTTTTACGTAAAGCAAGAGTCCTTTTATAATTAAGCCATTTCTTAACATTGGATTTGTGAGACAACTTACCATAAGGTAGTTTTTAAATAAGGAGCACATATCTAGGTATTTTTAATGATACAAATTTGAAAAATAATGTAACAATACCACTAATCATTTATTGAGCACCTGCTATTTCAGGGGATTGTGTTGAGTATTCTACAAATACAAAAGTCCAGCCCACACAATTCTGCAAGACAGTTATTAGCCCCATTTTACCCCTGAAAAAGACACAGGTTAGAGAGGTCAAGACATAAGTCTAAAGTCACACCTAGCAGTAAAGGTATAATTTAAATTAAGTTCTGTCTGACTTCAAAGCTATTTGAAAGCCAGACTCAAACAGTGATGTCATAAATATCTCTGGAAAAAATTGAACCCCTGTTCAGTGTAAAACTGAATCATGTATATAGGCCAGAAACTTCACAGAGTTGCTGGGTCCTGAGGCAAGCATATAAAGAGAGAGAAAGTCTTGAACAGAATACAGGGTTAATAGTACATTTTGCTGATCCAAATTCTGCTTACAAATATTTTCCATTTAGAAAATGCACTTTGAGAGTAATGTGCCGGTAAAAAAGGACTTCCTACTTAAAATAGTCTCCTGGGGTTTGCCAAGCATGCAGTAAAATTGTCTATATGACCAAAATTTAAGCCAACTCATTTTTTTGTATTATACATACGTATATATAGATGTGTGTGTATATATATATATATGTATATATATATATTATGCGTATACACAGATAGTTCTCTCTTGAAAGTATTAAAAAATTGATCAACCTTCAATCTATAAAAAAATACCTACTCTACGTGATAGAAAAGTCTCTCCTCCAAGTTTACACTGATTTACACCCAAGGCTTTCCCCAAATGTACACTAGGAGGCAACCTCTTACAACCCAGTGTGTGGAAGGCAGCGGATGAAGCCAAGTCATTATTAAGCAGACATATTTTTCTGTCAGGGCAGGTGGCCCATTGTAAATACTCAGGAACTACTAACAGTAATCCGAATCTTTTTATTACGAATATTTGCTTATTTTCACACATTGCCATTTCTGAGGGTCCTGTTTCTCTTCATATTCCAGCAAAAGAGGGAAGTTCTTATTCTAGCTTGAAGAAGGAATTTCTCGCAGGCATAGATATTCAGATATCTCCCACTGGCAGCAGGACTTCAGCATGTTGTCGCCTCAGGACCACATTCTCCCTTTGTCTGTTGTAGACCAAGTGCTACAACCATGTGGTTCTCACAGTTTATGCATTTTTGTAAAAAATTCATTCTATTGTAATTTCTTAGAATGGACCGAACGGGAGTTTGTGGCATAAAAGAATAGATATAGATTTTAAATTCTGTATTTTTTATGCCCATAATCAATACATCTCTATATAAAAATGGTATCAAGAAATTCAAGCTGGCTTGCAGTTGTCATTCCCCCTTCCTTCTAAGATCCTAGCCCAACTCCAGGAAAGAAGTAATGTGAAAACAAAGAGCCTCCAGAATGCTCCAGGCTTCTGTCTTCCCCCGTGGGCTGAGACAAGGGCAGTCAGCAGGAGGAGAGAAGAGGTCTGCCTTCCACACTCTCCAGACACCACTGCTCGACTCACTCACTGCCCAGCCTGCATGCCACTGTTTCCTGAGGGATCTAGGAGCTTCTGGAGTCACTGTGGAACCCTGCCACTGAGATCAGTCTGATTTTGTTTGTTTGTTCTCATTTGTAGGCCTTACTGGGCCACACTGATACTGTCACCTGTGCCACAGCATCATTAGCCTATCACATAATTGTCAGTGGGTCCCGTGATCGAACCTGTATCATTTGGGATTTGAACAAACTGTCATTTTTAACCCAGCTTCGAGGGCATCGAGCTCCAGTTTCTGCTCTTTGTATCAATGAATTAACAGTAAGTAGTAAATTGCCCACAGTAAGTAATAAATTGCCCACTTCATTTATGTTTAGGTAAACAAGTAGTCTTGGCCAAACCAAATTAAAAATGGTGGGGCTCAGGGGAACATGTCTGTAGTTGCAGCTACTTGGGAGGCTAAGGCAGGAGGATTGCTTCAGCCCAGCACTTCTGTGCTATAGGGCACTATACTCATCAGGTGTCTGCACTAAGGTCAGCATCAATACGGTGACCTGAAAGCCAGAGACCACCAGGTTGCCTAAGGAGGAGTGAACCAGCTCAGGTTGGAAATGGAACAGGTGAAAATTCCTGTGCTGATCAGTAATGGGCTGTACGTGTGATAGCCATTGCACTCCAGCCTGGGAAACATAGCAAAACACCATCTCTTAAAAAAAAACATTTTTTTTTCTGAGAGATGGTTAATTGTTTTTGAAGTTGATAGACATTCATTTTATAAAAGTTACTACATTTTCTTTGATTTAGTGTGGTTTGGAAACCAAAAAAAGTTTGTAATCCAGAGAGCAGTTTTGTCTTAAAATCCATTCACTGCTGCATACATTAGAGAGAACAAGATTCAGTTAAAACAAAGCTTTCTAGCGTATGTTTTTTAAAATATAAGAAATTTGTAGGACTTGTTAAGAATGTTAGAAATTGGCCGGGCACTGTGGCTCACACCTGTAATCCCAGCACTCTGGGAGGCCAAGGCAGACGGATCACAAGGTCAGGAGTTTGAGATCATGCCACTGCACTGCAGCCTGGGCAACAGAGCAAGACTGTGTCTCAAAAAAAAAAAAAAAGAAAGTTAGAAATTGGCCGGACGTGGTGGCTCATGCCTGTAATCCCAGCACTTTGGGAGGCCAGGGCTGGTGGATCATTTGAGGTCAGGAGTTCAAGACCAGCCTGGCCAACATGGTGAAACCATGTCTCTACTAAAAGTACAAAAATTAGCTAAGCATGCTGGTGGATGCCAGTAATCCCAGCTACCTGGGAGACTGAGACAGGAGAATTACTTGAACCCAGGAGGAGGAGATTGCAGTGAGTTGAGATCGTTCCACTGTACTCCAGCCTAGGCAATACAGTACTAATGAGTTTCAAAAAGGAATGAATGTTAGAAATTTGTTGAAATTTTCAATAAAATATATTCAGAGTAAGGAAAGTAAAAATGGCAACATTTTGGTACCCAAGCAAGTGAAAAATTCTTACAGAGCTATTTTCAAAACAGATCCGAAAATTAACAAAAAGATACTTTCTCTTTTCAGAAATAAGTATCTCATATACAAATAAATGAAATAATTCAAATACAATAAATAACCTCATCTAGGAGCTTTCTACACAAACCAAGGAAGTAGACAAGAGGGGATTCATTGCTAAGATGGTCTGTAAACAGGGGAAGTTTGAGGGCAGGTTTACAGAGACTGAGGCCCCACGAGCTTATCACATTAGTAGGTAAATGATGTATGTCAGTGTGTAGGCAATGCCCCATACGGAAATCCATCCTGGGAGTCAACAGGAACCCACCCAACCCTCATTACTTCTTAGCTATACATATTCATTGCCACCTTACCCTCACCCCTACCACAGGGCCATCCTTCATGACACAGAACAGTTCTAGCCATGTCATTGCGTGATGTTTACACCGTCACCTACACAGACAGCTTTACTCTTACAGGATGCTGCATCTTTAATTTCCACCAAAAGTTACTCAGTATTATGCTTTTAGTCAGCTATCTTGTAGTCACTTATTAAAACAGGAAAAAGAAAGGAATTCAGTTGTAATTGTCAATCACTTAGAGTGTCTGATTAGTAATGGCAGGTGTAATCAGGTTGAGAATAAGTGGGGGACGTGCAAGGGTAGAAGAGTCAGATTTGTTTTTTGTGTCTGAAAGGTTTAAGAGGTTTTCAGAACAACACGTTGGGTTGGTCCTGCAAACATTTGAACCTTTTATGAAAATGTGGCTGCTGCAGAACTGCCCTAATGCAGCAGTGTTGCTGAGTCAGATGCTTAATCCATTATTTGGGGCACTTCATTTTGGGGTTGTTCTTAATGACTGATAATTTTATTATAGCCAATTGTTATTTGAGCCAGTGTACACCTACTGGATTGAAATACTTGCTTCAAATACTACAAAAGCAGTCTTTTCTTTTTAAGATGCTTTTGTAATCTCTTAATAACTCATAGGGCCAGGTGCAGTGGCTCACGCCTGTAATCCAAGCACTTTGGGAGGCTGAGGTGGGAGGATCACCTGAGGTCAGGGCCAAGATTGAACCACTGCACTCCAGCTTGGGCAACAACAGCAAAACCCTGTTTCAAAAAAAAAAAAACTCATGAAAAGATTTCTATTTCTGTTATGTTTCTCCAACCAATATCAAGTCTGCTTTACTTCAGTTTACATTTTAGGCCAAAGCCACTTTGTCTTTCATTATTCTTCTTATGTCTCAGCCCTCATAATGACAGGATTTACTCTAATCAACTCTAATTAAGGCCCCAGAGTAACTGAAGAATGTCTTGCCCAGTGCAGAATGGAGCAGTTGTCACTAATTAAAACTTAACTGCTGACACTCATAGTCAGAAATGGTTCAGTGACTGATGCAGAAGTAGACACAGCAGTGCTTTGCTAAGTATTATTTTGGTTTGGGTTTTGGTTTATTTCTTGCCATTTTGGCAGAAGAGCTGGGGGATGGGAGGAGTAAGGAGGAGCAGTAGCAAGACCAGCACAGACTGTGGACGGAACAGGCCCAGTCCTTCTCACCCTACCCCAGCCTCCTCCACCTTACCTTCTTTCTTACCTTGGTGCTGCTTTGCATCTTCTAGTTCTCCACTGTTTTTGCTGACCATCTTCAGACTTAGGTAGGTTCTTATGTATCTCCTGAGGGTACTGAACTTTACCAGTTCTTATCTAAAGCTAATATTCAGCATCATGACAACCAGGCTATCTTAGGAATGAGAGAGGCAGCACAGTATGATATATAAGCTTTGGGGCTATAGAAAGCTGACTTCAAATCTCTGGTGATAAAAATGTTACTTAAGCTCTTTGCCCCTCAGTTTCATCCTTTAAAGCAGGGCTAGTGATAATCTCATAATGTTGCTCTAAGGGTTAACTAGAACATCTAAAGTCTCCACCCTGGTGACTGGCACACATGAGATGCTTCAGAAAGCATCCTTCTTTCTTTAGCTTTAGTGGGTTATGTTCTCACCAGGTTGGGTAGAGCCCAGCTTGGTGGAATTTGAGAAAATATGTTGTTCTTTTCTATCTTTGGGACTCATAAAAACGTAAGTTATCAGCTCAGGGAGTCTTGGGGTTTATTAAGTTTGCCAAGAAGTGACCCGTGAACCAGTGTCCCTTTCTCCGCCCACATTTCCCCACCCCTATTTTGAATACAGATTTTAAAATAGGATATTACAGCATTACTAAGATTGTACCTTTTGACTTATTGAAGAGAGAAACACAACTATATCTGGACTGAAAAATGCCTCTTTTACCTCGTGGTTTTGGTGGTTGGACTCATTTTGTAAAAGTAGAGGTGGATTCCTGCCTCTAGATGAAAGGTATAATAGATTTTGTTAACAATGGGAGGAAGAAGAGCAGTTCATCATCTCCTCAGATGACAGGGAGCTTTGTTGTGTCGCCAGACCTTGCTCAGCAGTGTGCCAGGGACATGAACCTGCCCTTTGTCTCCCATCTGTGGTCCCTTTGGCCACTGCATCCACTCAACTGTGAATTCTTAAAGAAGCCTCTGTTCAAGGTATTTTTTTAAGTCAGCAAGCACTGAATTTCAGGTTACCTAAGAAATTAGCTGCTAATCTTAGGACTGAAAGGCTTTTTGAGAGCTAGGCCAGGGATTCAATTTGCTTCAGAAACCAGAATGTAATAGGAAGGGAGCGAAGACAATGATGTGTTTTTCTCTCTCTTCCCAGGGGGACATTGTGTCCTGTGCTGGCACATACATCCATGTGTGGAGCATCAATGGGAACCCTATCGTGAGTGTCAACACGTTCACAGGTAGGAGCCAGCAGATCATCTGCTGCTGCGTGTCGGAGATGAACGAATGGGACACACAGAACGTCATAGTGACAGGACACTCAGATGGAGTGGTTCGGGTAAGTGAGCTGAGAGAAAAACTCATTAGGATATTTGTTGTCCTAGTTTACCTGAAACTTGTTATTTATGGGTTAAGAACACGTGAACAGGCTGTAATGTTTAGCGAACTCTCGCCCCAGTTCAGACAAGCCTTGGCCTCTGCATTATCAGACATGAGGAACACCGGTGTCTTCGCCTCTTTCTAGTAATGCTACTGGCCATTTGACAGCTTGACACAATGAGGTCACTTGAACATGATTGCCATGTCACACTGGGATTGCTAAAAATGCTAACTGCAGAAGTACTGGGTTTTCAGCCTGTCAAATGGCTTTATAGGGAAATTAGTGAGCAGGGATAAGTCTCTTCCCTACAGAGACTCACAGTGCTGGAAAATTGGGATCCCAGATGATTGCACCTGAAGCCTAGATGGAGTTTATCCTATTCTTAGTTGCTTTATGCTGGGCCTCTACAGAAAATAGAGGTAATGGAGTATTCACCTTTGTAGTCTGTGCTTGTTTTTCTTTAATTGTGCTGTTTGTAAAAGCAGAGAGCAGATGATTACCACTCTCTTTTGTCAGAGTCACATGCAGAGAGACAATGAGGCCATTAGGCCACTCCCATATCATACCCTGTGCCTCATAGGATACACATCTATGCACACACACAAACCCCCACACACACACACCCTGGAGTCCGCTTCCTCGAGAGTGGCGTTTTCACCCTGCTCAATCTGTGAAGGAGCATAAAACGGCTCCCTAGCCAGGCACCTGGGGATTCTGCTTACTGTGTGCCTTCTAGGAGGTCTATAATGTATATTACCATGTATAAGATTCTGAGAGTTTTTTGTAGGAAACAAAAAAGTTTACTTAGTTAAGTCGTGTTTTTGTTTTGTTTTTGAGACAGAGTGAGTCTCTCTCTGTCACCCAGGCTGGAGTGTAGGGGCAAAATCTAGGCTCACTGAAGCCTCCAACCTCACCTTCTGTGTTCAAGCGATTCTCCTGCCTCGGCTCCCAAGTAGCTGGAATTACAAGCATGCCCTGCTATGCTTGGCTAATTTTTGTACTTATAGTAGAGACAAAGTTTCATAATGTTAGGCTGGATGGTCTCAAACTCCTGACCTCAAGTGATTCACCTGCCTTGGCCTCCCAAAGTGCTGCGAGATTATAGGCATGAGCCACTGTGCCTGGCCTGAACCATGTTTTTAAACTTATTTGACTGTAATCTTTTCCCTCTGCTTTGAAAGAGCCATTGTTCGTAGGCAGCCCCCTGCCACATCTTCCAAGATACAGAGAAATCTAACTGTATAACATAATGGAAGTTATCTGTTAACCCTGAGAGTTTATCTTCATTGAGTAAAATGTAAATTGGCTCCTTAATCTGTTTCTTAACTTTTTTATTTTTGTACTTATTTAAATTTAGTTTTGGAGAATGGAATTTTTGCAAGTTCCTGAAACACCAGCTCCTGAGCCTGCTGAAGTCCTAGAAATGCAGGAAGACTGTCCAGAAGCACAAATAGGTAAAAATGACTCAGTCATTTTCACATTTCTTTTAAGTCACTGTGGATAAACTTAACACTGAACAACATAAAGAGGAGCCCGAGGTTGGGCACTGCTTGGAGAAGCATGGTTGCTGCCTGTTATGTAATTCCCTTGAGCAGACATGCAAGCTTTTCTCTACTTCACTGGGTAACATTTGGTGTCGTGGTGTCTTGTACTTAACTTCCACATTCCATACTAAATGTAGCACTCAGTTCCTGGAGTACCAAAGGCTTGGGCTTTCACTTCTGAAAACACAGAACAAACCTAGAGGACGGGCTGTTGTATAAGTCAGACAAGCTCTGCTACGCCCTAGTCCCACATTTGTTCTGCCCACCATGGGGCTGGCTCAGTGTGGATGACAGGTACATTCATGTATGTAAACAATTAACAGAGGCAGACCAGAGTCCACAGTCAGACTTGCTCACATTAGGGCATTAATTCTTACTGAAACCTGTAAGTCACACTGAAGCCTAACACTGGTTTCCTATCTAGTCCATTATCTATTGTTTGTGAAGCAATTTAAAATTTTCCAGTGAAATATAGAGATAATTGATTTCCACCCAGAATAACTGAAAGCAATGCCATAATGCCAGGGTGAGATCTGCTTTGTGTGGCAGTCACTGGAGAAGCTGCCCCTGTGGTGTAGAGCAGTGGGTACAAGGGACAGAGTTCTGGAAAGGAACAGAGTTATAAGTTTGACCTTCAGATTGTTTCTCCATGATTGGCTGTGTACACTGAGAATTCAGTGTGACTTTGATGATATGAGGAAGTTAATAAAGAAAATTTAGCAGAAGGACACAAGTCACTTCTCGATATAAGCTGAAAGTAGCTTTTACTTTCCGTGCCAGAGAAGAGAAAAGATCCCTTGAGCAGGACATTTTTAATGCTGGTAATATATTAGTACATGTAAATTTCTAATTACAGCCCCACCAAAAAGGTCATCTGGGTGTTTGGGGACATAAAAATTCAGTTTAATTCAGTAAGTATTTGGGGGTTACCTATTATATGTCAGATATTGAATTAAGGGGTCCAATGAGAAGTGGGTCATTTTCCCTTCCCTTAAAAACCTTTTAAGTAAACAACAGTGGAAGATGAGATGAATGAGTGAGAGAGAAGGGGTCAAATTCAGGGTGGAAATATATATATATATATATATATGTCTTGATTGTGGGCAGTCTGGCGGAAGTGGCAGAGAGGGAGAGAGCCCACAAGAAGGACTGACTCTGGACAATGTAGAAGTGGTGAGACTTGTGGGCACTTGCTGGGGTGAAAGGTAAACAAGCTAGGGGTTCACTGGAAATTAAAGCCGCTTCCAAAGCTGTTTGTTTGTGGACCTCAGAACTCATCATAAGCCGTTGGGGTGAAAACTTTATTCATGTTAGTCCTATAGACTCCTACTTAGTAGGAAACAGACAAAGTACTTATCTTGTTAAAAAAAAAATAACTGTGTGGTGGACTCAGTATCCCTCTGTGTCCTGGGGAGTTGGTTCTAAGACCTCCCTTAGATACCAAAATCCGAGAATGCTCAAGTCCCTGATAAAAAATGGTTTATGGACTGTTTTCATAAAACCTACTAACACCCTCCTGTATACCTTAAATCATCTCCAGATTACTAGTAATACAGTATAAATGCTGTATAAATAGTTGTGATGTTGTATTGTTTAGGGACTAATGACAGTGAAAAAAAATGTGCACATGTTCAATAACAGATACAGTTTTCTTTCCCCAAATATATTCCATCTGAGGTTAGTTGTATCCATAGATGTGGAACCCAGAGAAAGGGAGGGCCAGGTATACTTGTTTCTCATACATTTTCCCTCCAGTAGACTTTATTGCAAGGGAATAGAGAGTTGATATGAGGAAATACAAAATAACAGTGAAAAGAGGAAGAAGAACAAAATTCTAAATTAAAGTTGTCATCAATAATTCACTAATCTTTAGCCAGATTAGTAAATCTGGCTAAATGCTGTGGCATGTGTCTGTGGTCCCAGCTATTCAGAAGGCTGAGGTGGGCAGATTCCCTGAACTCAGGAGGTTGAGGCTGCGGTGAGCTATGATCACTCCACTGCACTGCAGCCTGGGGGACAGAGCAAGATCCATGTCTGTAAAAATAAATCCAAAAATAAAAATTGACTCAATCTGTGAGTCATTGACTGCTGTATACAGTGGCCCTTCTCTCTACCATCTTGTAGAAAGAATATCCAAAAGTAATAGTTTAGGATGACAGTTTGAAGAACTCAGGAGGCACAGAACTGTTAAAGGAGTCCCAAAAAGGGGGAGAATACTTTGACCTGAAGGAATTGGATGACTTAGAAATAGGAACGTTTAAGCTGTGCCTTGAATTCAAGCTAGGTGACGTCGGAACACTCAGAGATTGGGAAAATGGATCTAGGTGGCATCAGCAGCATGTGAGGAAGCTCGCCCTTGGAGGAGCAGGTCTGCAGGGAGACAGCTAGAGTGACACCATCTAGCTGCACCACAGCAGGCAGTGTGAGGCAAAGGCAGGTTCTGGCCAGATTGTGAGAGGCTGAATGCCAAGCCAAGGATTTTGGCCAAAGTTTTTTATAAACTCTTTCAGAAATTCTACCTTGTTTTTTCTTTGCTCTCTGTACTCTAGCCAAAAATCCTGGCACACACTTTCTTTTTTGTTACACTTAGCTTAAAATGTTATGTCTATAGAGGCTTATAACTGGAAGCAAAAATGCTAGTAGAACAAAGCTGGGTGTAACTTTGATGGTTCTGTATGTTCCAACTCTCTCAATGCTTCACCCAGGGCAGGAAGCCCAAGACGAGGACAGCAGCGATTCAGAAGCAGATGAGCAGAGCGTCAGCCAGGACCCAAAGGACACTCCAAGCCAGCCCAGCAGCACCAGCCACAGGCCCCGGGCAGCCTCCTGCCGCGCAACAGCCGCCTGGTGTACTGACAGTGGCTCCGACGACTCCAGACGCTGGTCTGACCAGCTCAGCCTAGATGAGAAAGACGGCTTCATATTTGTGAATTATTCAGAGGGCCAGACCAGAGCCCATCTGCAGGGCCCCCTTAGCCACCCCCACCCCAATCCCATTGAGGTGCGGAATTACAGCAGATTGAAACCTGGTAACTTGAAGTCTGGTATCTATTTCTCACTCCTTGTATGTGGTGTGAGGGTTGGTGAATGGAGGCAGTGGGGTCTTGCTCTCCCTGGTCCCCACCCTGGATGTGCTCTGTGAATTCAGTTTCTTCTAGTGTAAAGTGGACTTAAAGTTTCTGTCTTACAATGATATTTGCAATATGCTGGGCATCTTTCAAAGAAAAATACCTCAAACCAAAAACTGCATTTATTCACAACTCACGAAATCATGAAAGCTAATTTAAAATGAATAAATAAAACTGCATTCCTAGGTAACTTTGCCCAGAATAGAGTTAGAGGCAAGGTCCTCAGTTGGAGAAATTGGATGCATCTTCTTGCATTGAAAATTTCCCCTTCTCATTAGTCTCCTTCAACGAGAGGTTTCCCCAGCCTGGCCCATGTTAATGTTAAGCTAGATAGCTTTACTTTCAACCAAGGCAGCAGCTGCCGAGAGCTGGAAAAGCGGCTCTAACTTCATGTTGAGGTACCCTAGGTTTAAGGCCACAGTCTTGGAGCACATCTCCCCAGGGCTGGCTTCCTTCAGTTGAGTAGGTCATGTCCTCCACTTCTCCACTTCAGGGTACCGGTGGGAACGGCAGCTGGTGTTCAGGAGTAAGCTGACTATGCACACAGCCTTTGATCGAAAGGACAACGCACACCCAGCTGAGGTCACTGCCTTGGGCGTCTCCAAGTAAGTGTCAGGCTTTTTACAGCTCCTCATCCCATCTGAGTCATTTGCTTAGCCAAGGGCCATATACTCCAGCCCAGTCTTTGGGGAAAACAGATTTCATCTGTATTATCATACATAGTTCAGAGATAAATTTGAAGAAAAACCTGTCAGTGTGTGGATATTTTTCTTTTCTTTCTTTTTTTTTTTTTTTTTGAGACAGGGTCTTGCTCCGTCACTTAGGCTAGAGTGCAGGGCCACGATCACAGCTCACTGCAGCATCAACCTCCCAGGCTCAAGCATTCCTCCCACCTCAGCCCCTCAAATAACTGAGACTATAGGGATGTACCATCATACCCAGCTAATTTTTGTATTTTTCATGGAGTCAAGGTTTCACCATATTGACCAGGCTGGTCTCAAACTCCTGGGCTCAATTGATCCATCCACCTTGGCCTCCCAGAGTGATGGGATTACAGGTGTGAGCCACTGTGCCTATACACTGGATTTTAATTCTGAATTTTTTTTTTAAGTGAAAAAAACTGCCTTTTTTATTCTTCAGAGATACAGCAAGGGTGATCCAAAGAAAGTTGAAATGGAAGTATAAATTTGGGTTCAGTTTGGTTTTTGTCTACTTCCCTGGGTGAATCAAGCTGTCTCTCTGGCACCCTTATCAGCCCCGACCCCAAAACACACATCCACCAAAAACCAGAGAGCATCAAGGAGATCACAGACAACAGAGGCCTTCCATGCAGTGATCTTCTTTGTCGTGTGTCCTGCAGGGATCACAGTAGGATCCTCGTTGGTGACAGTCGAGGCCGAGTTTTCAGCTGGTCTGTAAGTGACCAGCCAGGCCGTTCTGCTGCTGATCACTGGGTGAAGGATGAAGGCGGCGACAGCTGCTCGGGCTGCGCGGTGAGATTTTCACTCACAGAAAGACGACACCATTGCAGGAACTGTGGTCAGCTCTTCTGCCAGAAGTAAGACAAGATACGTGCTTTTTGAATTTGTTTTGATTAAGCTCTAAGGATGTTAATTATTCCCTGCACACAGGTTCTAATTTGCCCTGGAGTCCCCACTACAGTATGCTGTGTTAGGATGAACCAGTCTTCACTTTCTCTGTTCTTCTTTATTACTACAATTAGGAAATTTTTCTATGATACAAGTCACAAATACCTTGTCATCCATGACGCAGAATGCACATATGCTAATAATTCATCATATATAATTTAGAGGCCTGTACGTGAAATGTCTCTATAAATACTATAGATGCATGTTAAGTATCCTCTTTGTACCCTTCACCAATCACACCCCTTCTCCATGATTTTATGCTTTCCAGGAGCATGTGTTGCTTCTGTAAACATTACATAATACTGTTTTGTTTTCAGCTTCACTTTTCAGCTTTACGTAGTATACTGTTTTTACCGTTCTATAACTTTCTTACTCAACATTGTTTTTGAAATCCACTTATATAGATAACTTATTCTAATATACTCACTTTAACTACTGTCAGTTATTTTATTATGTGAATTATCAGCCTTTATTTCCCTTTTGATGCCCTCTCAGGGTTTTTTACACACAAGTTGGAATTTTTATCAATACTATAAATAATGCTACAGTGTACATCCATGTAAATGCCCTTCTAATACACAAGCTGGAATTCCTCTAGAGATGGAGTAAAATTGATAGAACACAGCTTTATTCTTGATCTTAATTAGATATTGCCAAATTACTCTCCAAAACAGTAGTGCTAGTTAATACTACTTCCAACAGGACATGGAAGTTCTCCAAATTCTTAGTGCTACTGCCAAACTTTTTCCGCTTTTGCCAATCTGATAGCTAAAAAATAGTGCTTTGTTGTTTTAACTTCCACTGCTAGTAGATAACATCTTTTTTTCTTTCTTTTTTTTTTTTTTTTTTTTGAGACAGTCTTGCACTGTCGCCCAGGCTAGAGTGCAATGGCACAATCTTGGCTTACTGCAACCTCCGCCTCCTGCCTCAGCCTCCCAAGTAGCTGGGATTACAGGCGTCCGCCACCATCCACAGCTAATTTTTTGTGTTTTTATTAGAAACAGGGTTTCACTATGTTGGCCAGGCTGGTCTTGAACGCCTGACCTCATGATCCGCCCACCTCAGCCTCCCAAAGAGCTGGAATAACAGGTGTGAGCCACCACGCCTGGCCGAGACATCTTTTTATGTTTGTTGGCTATTTGGGTTTCCTCTTGGGTACTTTGCCTTTTTTTTTTTTTTTTTTTTTTTTTTTGAGAAGTTTTTTTGTTTTTTATTATATATCTTGCAGATATGTTCTGCCAGTCTGTGGCTTGCATTTTAACTTTGTGTATATATATACATATATATCTACATATATATATGTATATATATAATTTTGTCAGGCAAGTTTTTTAATTGGTTGCAGTCACATTTATTACTCTTCATGATTTTTGTGTTTTTATGCCTTAAGAATTCTTTCCCTCTCCTGAGACCACAAAGATAATCTTACTTATTTTCTTTTAAAAGTTTCAAAGTTTTATTCACATTTAGGTCCTTCATTCATTTGTAATTTATTTTGGGATATGACATGAGCCAAAGATCTATTTCTCCCACATATGAAAAGTTAGTGGTCCCAGGGCTATAGATTTGACTGTTACCCCTGTCCTACACCAGGATCCAGATGCACATCCACGGTCTTTACTTTCCCTACCAGACAACAGAAAGGATTCCTTGGACAGTACACTTTAAAGCTTATATTGCCTTGCTCCAGAGATGCTTTCACAGAAATCATATTATTCTCAAATTGTGTAATTGTGAGGCAGTTCCTGAGGGTTTTAGGCAGCGTTGGCATATTGGTATGGGCATGGTCTTTGGGTTTACACTGACCAAATGCTCATTGTGCTACTTTCTGTCACCATAATGCCAGCAAGTTACCGAGCCTCTCTGAGCTTCGGTTTCTTCATCTGTAAATGCGGGTAAGAAGACCAGTCCTCTTAGAGCTATTAAGAGAATTAAATGAGATCACATACATGAGTATTGTAAAGTGCCAAGTTCGGAGTCTGGCAAAACAGGTGTTCCATAATTTGATTTCTTACATCTTTTCTGCTGGACAGTCTGGTTCAAGATGAGGCAGCCAGAATGTTGCTGCCAGCCATTTCCTATGGGAATTTCTGTGAGGCTGGCAGAGGATTCTGTCTAGTGGCTCTGTGCTTTGAAAGGCCTGCTCTATAAAACCTATAATGGGGCCAGGCATGGTGGCTCACGCCTGTAATGCCAGCACTTTGGGAGGCTGAGGTGGGCTGATCACCTGAGGTCAGGAGTTCAAGACCAGCCTGGCCAACATGCCAAAACCTTATCTCTACTAAAAATACAAAAATTAGCCAGGCATGCTGGTGTGTGCCTGTAGTCCCAGCTACTCAGGAGGCTGACGCAGGAGAATCACTTGAATCCAGGAGGCGGAGGTTACAGCGAGCCGAGATCACGCCACTGTACTCCAGCCTGGGCGACAGAGCGAGACTCCATCTCAAAAAACTAAATTTAAAAAACCTATAATGGGTTTTATAGAGCAGGCCTTTCAAAGCACAGAGCCACTAGGCATATATATATATTTCTTGAGACAGGGTGTTCCTCTGTCACCCAGGCTAGAGTGCAGTGTGGCACAAACACTGCTCATTGCAGCTTTGGTCTCCTAGGCTCAAGCAGTCCTCCCACCTCAGCCTTCCAAGTAGCTGAGACTATAGGTGAGAGCCACCACACCTGACTAATTTGTATATTTTTTGTAGAGACAAAGTCTCACTATGTTGCCCAGGGTAGTCTCAAATCCGTGAGTTCAAGCGATACCCGCCTCAGCCTCCCAAAGTGCTGGGATTACAGGTGTCAGCCTCCACACCCACCCTATTAATCTAGTAATTTCTAATAGCATTCTTGTATGTAAGCTGGCATACATCTGTTCTTTGTAGTGTTTACTTTTCAAAATATTGTTTAAATATAGGTAATTCTTTGAAATTATCCATTGCTGTTAAATGTTGGATAGAAGCGTTATTGGAAACTGACCAAACAGTAAGAAGTTCTAATGAGGCAGGCGCAGAAGGAAGTACTGTCCAGAACACACAGCCTGTGGTCTCTATGGCTGAGAGCTGTTAACACTTTTGAGGGTTCTGTAACGTCCAGTGACAATTCTTTAAACCCATAAGCTTATATTACTTAATTTACTCCCTGGACACTTTTACTGGTGGATTAATGGACTAAACATAAATCTCCGTTTCGGGGCCAGGCACAGTGGCCCCCGTCTGTAGTCTTAGTACTATGGGAGGTCAAGGCAGGAAGATCACTTGAGGCCAGGAGTTTGAGGACAGCCTGGACAATGTAGTAAGACCCCATCTCTACAAAAATGTTTTTTTAATTTCTCAAGTGATTTAATACCACATCCTGAATCACACCCAACTTTATTCGAGGAATAGGAACTCTGAATATGTCTTAAATAATTTGAACATCTCTTAAGAATAGGTTCTTTCAAATAGTTCTAGCAAGATAAATAGGAAATGAGGGTATTGGGATGGAAAAGGAAAGCCAGTCTACCTGTTTAAGAAATGATTGAGGAATGGATCAATCAAAGTGTTTAAAACCACAGTGGAACTTGATAGTGATCAAACTGTCGTATTTCTCTTGGATTAGAAGACTCACTAATGAGTCATTAGTAATTCTCTTGAAATTAGATACTCATTAGCTCACTAGTGAGTCTTCAAATTTCCACTAATGAGTTTTTCTAATTTCCAAGAGAAATATGTCAAGCTCCAAGAAAAGACACTGACGTGCCTCCCAAGCTTATAGGCCATGAGAGTTAGTCTGCACAGGTAGAATGGCCTCACACCGCTGTTCAGACACCTTGGCCTTACTGTGTAGGAAAATCTTAACTTTGGTTTTTGGTTTTCATTTTTTCAATTTTCTTCAAAGAAATAGCTTCCCTTATTTAATACTACTTTTCTTCATAGACAAACAAATAATACAGCATTCCTTTTAGTCCTTATTCAGCCACACGACACAAACCAGTATGGCCTTTGGTATTTTACTGCAAGCTTTCCATTGAATTACTAATGTTTCTGGTGCCAGTGATCAAGCATGGAGAAGACCTATAATTCATTGACTTTTCCTTTCCTTTAGGTGCAGTCGATTTCAATCTGAAATCAAACGCTTGAAAATCTCATCCCCGGTGCGTGTTTGTCAGAACTGTTATTATAACTTACAGCATGAGAGAGGTTCAGAAGATGGACCTCGAAATTGTTGAAGATTCAACAAGCTGAGTGGAGACCACGGTCTGTAGACCCCTTCCCGATTCTCCTGTCCCAGCTTGGAAGGCATTGAAAACAGTCTCCGTTTACACATCTCTTCATACCACGTGTTTGAAGTGTTAAAATTCAAAGGGATCATTGAATAAAACGGGTGTAGAGTACAGGAATGGGGCAGACGCGATTCAGGTGAACAGCACAAGAAGAATATGAGGTGTTTCCTAGGAGCAACATTTTCGATATCCAGTTCTCCATGATGACAGTAGCTATCTCCAAGCTACTTATTAACTGTCTTTTCTTGCATCTCATTTTTATAGAGCTACTCATCCTTATTTGGAAAAACCAACAACAAAAAAGGCTTTTAGAAAATGGTTGTAAATCTTACTTCTTTGCAAGTAACTATGTATATTGTAAATAGATATAAAAGGCCTTTTTTCTAAATAAGGACTTAACTGCCTGTAACATGAAACTTCAAACTAAACCACTAACTCAATGAACTACTTATGGTTTGTCTGAGATCCCTCACTTACCAATTAATTATAAATGTTTTTTTAAATCCCCAAAGACATTATCAGTGGTCTTTTTTTCCTTTCCAACTCAGCCTGTGTGCCTGATGTCATTTCTTTCAAGTTGCCCACAGTATCTCCACTTAAACTAGGCTAGTAACCAAAATAATGTGGACCTTCTTTAGGAAACAGTATGGGAGAATAGGAGTCCAGCTGTAAGATAAACCAGGAATATTTGGGCGTCTTGTACCTGGCCACGTACCACCTCAGTGTTGTTCCTACATAAACAGGGCCCCTTTTAAACTTGTATGTGGACTGCTGTTTGGTCAAAGAATACCTTCTTAGCATTGCAGAAAGGTGGCCACATGACCGATGTAGTGCAGGAAACAGCCCTGTCTCAATTAATGGAAATATATTTGCATGTAACCCAAAATTAGCTTATCTTGCATAGAACATAGTAAGTATGTGTCTTTGGTGACACTGTTCTACTATAGCTTATTTTCAAAAAAAGGGTAAAAAACGAAAAGAAAAAAGTGTACAGAATTAACATATAAACTTTGTTGTAAAACTGAATCATGTCAGAACTGCTTAAAATTAACCTTTACCATTTAATGTCATCTACCTGAAAACAGTGAGATTTATACTGTATCAATGTCTATTTTTTTGTTTTTGCTATGAATATAATTACAGTATTTTAATATTTAGTTATTTAATTTGTTCTACTAGTTGGATACAGAACACACAAATCCAGGGGGATTAAAGCTGGAAGGGGCTAAGAGATTAGTTTACAGAGAAAAGGCTTGGTGGTGGGATTTTTTTAAATGTGTGTTATGTACATATATATATATAATATATATTAAAAATGAAACAATCTAGATTTTAACATTTCCAGAAACTTAGTGATAATATTATGAACAATTCTAAAAGCCCTGTGATTTGAAAAATGTAGAACCATTAATGGCCCAAGATAGGCCTTTACACCCTCACAGGTGTGAAAGGAAAGGCCTTCACACCCTCACAGAGGCATCATACAAAGGACAGCGGCTTTGGCTTTTCCAACTTTCCGTCTTTAGGCCCTGGGGAGAGCCACACTTATGCACTAAAATGCACATATATGCACATGCATTCAAAAATAGGCATTTGGTACAATGGTGATCTTGTACCTCATGGGCTGAAACCAGCTTAAGAACAAATTTGTTCTTCCTGATAACAATAACTAGGTCTCCAAGAGAAAATACAAAGGCTGCTTTAGTGCCTTACGCTTACTAAATTTAAATCTTTATTTACCTGGGTTTGAGCCTACAGTCTATTTATGATTACATATCAAAATTGATTAAAACACTTCCATTTCTAAAAGTTCAAATATACTTGTTAATAAAAGGATTATCGGCATTAATACTTCAACTTAAAGAAAAGTTGTGTTCTGTTTTCCTTTCTGTGTCTTACTCCCCCCACTCTGCCCCTCCCCCATCACCATCTTCAATTCTAATAAATAATGCTGATGTTCAACGTTTGCAGAAATTGTGCTATTACGTAACTGTGGGCCTTGCCCCCGTCTGGCCCTCTAGATGAGTTGTAGCAGTGTTATTCTACACTTTTTAAAAAGAAGCGTCCTCTTTTTGTCCATGAACCATGTTTACCCCATACCCAGTGACAGAGGTGTTCTTTAAAGACTTGACTGTATGAATGTGTGTACGTAGTTACTTAAAGGTTATTCCTCTTTGTAATAGGAAGCTATATGGGATGAACACTTTTAAACTTTCCGACACAACTTCCATAACTAGAAGGTGGAAACCAAAACCCTCAAGGTAGTATTTCCTCTGGCCGCTGGTGCTGTGGGCAACTGTTTTGTTCAATCAGGTTTCTTTTCTTTTTGCTTCTAATGCAGAAATCAGCAGAATCACTCACACATACAAGTACACTCACATACATGAACTAATTATTTCTCTGGATATCTTTCTGTGTTCCATGTAAATTCATGTACCAACATCTGTTGTCAACATGTACATCTCCCTATGTGTGGTCTGCATTCTGAGAGTACCTCACAGAGCTCCTGCCTGGTCTTTGTAGTTTGTTCATTCATCCATCCACCTGTTCATTTGTTCATCCATGTATTCTAACATTTGTGTGTAGTGTGCAACTGTAATGTCATGCTTTTGAAGAAGAAAATAGCTGCCCATAGCAGCCATCTGTCTGAATAATAGCAAAACACTCTAGATAAGTTATTTTGCACTTTCTTATGTATAAAGTTGGTAGAAACTTATTTTTGCTTTGTATCATTTAAATACATTTTGTTTTGGTAAATGAACTGTGTATAAAATATTTATGCCGTTAAAACTGTTTTTAGAAAGTATTTTTAATTTCAGCAAGTTTGGTTACTTGTTGCATGACTATTAACACAGCTGACTTTTTGTGTCAGTGCAATGTATATTTTTTGTCCTGTTATTAACTTGTAAGCCCTAGTAATGGCCAATTATTTGTACAGCAAAAGAAGTAAATTGAAGATACTGGCTAAGACTGGATTGATTGTGGACTTTTGTACTATATTGCAGACTCCAATATCTGTTTCTTGGTGGTTATGTAAAAGACCTGAAGAATTACTATCCAGTGTGCAATCTGTGATATCTGAATGTTCATTGTGTATTTGTCTCTGATGCAAAAAGGTAGAGTAACACAATTACAATACACGATTAAATGCAGTAGTCCAGGTACTTACGTAATTTTTTTTATTTCAAATAAATACCTATTATTTATCACCAAAAGAAGGAAAAAGAAAAGTTGTTAAGTCAGTTATTCAGGGAAGGAAAAAACAGGTCTAATAACTCCCTAAACTTTGTGTAGTTCTTTTCTAGTTGTAAACACTTTCAGAAGCACCTGCATAAGATTGCAGAAGTGTTGACTGTTAGGGTTCCAGTTCCAGTTCTAGTTGGATCCCTTCTTAAAAATCAGGCTTGCTACAGTCTGAGATTCTTAATTGTACTGGATTCCCAGGGCTGATGAGTGTATGTGGATGGCAGCAGGGAAAAGCAAGCCCCTTCTGGAGATGTCTCCTCAAATTTGACTGGACCTGTAGAAAAAGACATGTCTGCATGTCTTTGGCTCTTTTTTCCTGAGCTTTATCCTCTAGCCAAAATATTGTGAAAAGTAGGCAACAGCATGTGTGTGTGTGTGTATATATACACACATATAATGTGTTTCTCTTGCACCCCTACTGTAGTCACATCAGGAATATTCCAGTGTCCTGCCCCTCGCCTAGAAGTACAGCAGTCACTGTTACTGGCTGGCCTTTCCAGTTCCGCCTTCAATCTGAGAGTGTTAGAACTCTCACAGTCCATTGTTCTTGTTAACAGCTTGTTTGGTCTTAAAATAGCCTTTCTGTAAAGAAGAGTATAGAAAACACTTTTTAAGTTTATTTTGGCTGTTCGATGATATTACTTTTCCTCTTTCTAAAGATACTAAATTATTTTTAAGCTTGAACAGCAGAGCCCAAAATTTGAGTATATTTTGCTTATACAAATTTTACCTCAGTGCAGCTCCAGTTTAGAGGCAGAAGATGAAGGAATGCCAAGAACTACCAAAACAATAGCAATTTCTTTAAAAATAAAAAATGGTAAAGGGGAAAGCTTAGAGCAGTTCCCATATTATTAATGCTGTATTACAGTTCTAATGATGGGTTGCAGACTTCTCAGATACAGAAATTCAGAGTTTGAAAGAACAAACATGCAAATGATCTTCAGTGATTCAGTGAGTCCCTTGTCTGCCATTTGCTTTTCATCTTCAACAAAAATTTCCCTCCATGCCTCACTTTTGACCATATGATGGAATTGGCCCAGCACTGGGTTAGTCTCTTTGCTTTATGAATATTCTCATTTGCTCCCACCTATTACAAAGCTTTGTTTTTTTTTCTTTTACTTTTGCTAGAGATAGCGCCAAGCCAAGCTACCATGATAGCATGGTGTTTTGAGATCCCTGAATAGGCATTACCACTGAGGCTTCAGTTCTAACCAGCTTGGGAATTTAGAAAGCCTCTTGTTTAGCGCTTGCTCTCTCCATAGAGTTTTCCTACATCAGTAGCTACCTGTGAGGATGGGAAGGGTCTAAGATAGTGCTGCTTTAAACTTTTTGGTCTGAGAATGCTTTGATTCTTAAAAATCTTCAAGGACCCCCCCACAATAGCTCTTGCTTATTTGGTTTATATCTATCAGTAGTCATATTAGAAATTAAAACTGAGATTTAAAATATATATGTCAACTCATTTAAAAATAGCAATGATAAAACCATGATGTATTAACATCAATTACATATTTCTATAAAAAATATTTTCCAGCCGGGTGTGGTGGCTCACACCAGTAATCCCAGCACTTTGGGAGGCTGAGGCGGGCGGATCACCTGAGGTCAGGAGTTTAAGAACAGCCGCGGGCGGATCACCTGAGGTCAGGAGTTTAAGAACAGCCTGGCCAACGTGGCGAAACTCCATCTCTACTAAAATCATGAAGCCAGGCATGGTGGTGCACACCTGTAATCCCAGCTACCTGGGAGGCTGAGGCAGGAGAATCACTTGAATCCAGGAGGTGGAGGTTGCAGTGAGCCAAGATTGCACCACTGCACTCCAGCTTGGGAGACAGAGTGAGACAGTGTCTCCAAAAAAAACTTTTCCAAACCATAAAAAGTTTTTTTTTTTTTTTTGCAAATTCATTTTTTGCAAATTTCTTTAATGTCTAGCTTAATAGAAGACAGGTGGATTCTCAAGTCTGCTTCTGCATTCCATCTGTTGTGATACTTTTTTGACTGGATTTATGGAAAAAGACATGTCTGCATGGTTTTGGCTCGTTTCCTGAGCTTTATCCTCTAGCTGTCATACTGTGGAAAGTATGTCTATCACACCCTACTATAGTCACATCAGGAATACACTTTGTTTTGGTTGAAGCATGAAGAAAATCCAACCTCACACATAGATTGGTTGAAAAGGGGGTGAAAATTTTTTATTTTTATGGGCTCATAGTAAGTGTATATATTATGAGGTACATGTTATGTTTTGATACAGTCATACAATGTATAGTCACATCAAACTAAATAGATTATCACCTCAAGCATTTATCATCTCTTTGTATTAGGAACATTCCAATTCCACTCTTGGATATTTTCAAATATGCCGGAAATTATTGACTAGAGTCACTCTGTTGTGCTGTCAAATACTAGATCTTACTCTTCTATGTGACTATATTTTTGTACCCATGAAACATCACTTTCCACCCTCCTCCCTGCTGCTCTTCCTAGTCTCTCATAACCCATCATTCTCGTCTCTGTCTCCATGAGTTCGCTTGGTTTAATCTTTAGCTCCCACAAATAAGTGAGCATATGCAAAATGTCTTTTTTTTTGGCGGGGGGAGGGTCTGGCTTATTTCACTTAACATAATGTCCTCTAATTCCATCCATGTTGTTGCAGATGACAGTATTTCATTTTTTATGGCTGAATAGTATTCTATTGTGTATATGTGCCACATTTTCTGTATCTATAGACTCAGGTTGAGTTCAAATCTTGGCTATTGCGAATAGTACTGCAGTAAACATGGGAGGGCAGACATCTCTTTGATGTACTGACTTCCTCTTTTGTGAATATTCCTAGCAGTAGGATTGCTGGATCACATGGCAGTTTTAGTTTTTTTAGGAACCTCCATACTGTTCTCCATAGTGGTTGTACTAATTTACATTCCCACCAACAGTGTAGGAGGGCTCCCCTTTCTCTGTCCTCACCACCATTTGTTCCTGCCCGTCTCTTGGATAACAGCCATTCTAACTAGGGTAAGAGGATATCTCCTTGTGGTTTTGGTTTGCATTTCTGTGATGTTTAGTGATGTTGAGCATTTTTTCCATATACCTGTTTGACATTTGTATGTCTTCTTTTGAGAAATGTCCGTTCAGATCATTTGCCCATTTTTAGTAGGATTATTAGATTTTTTTCCTATTGAGTTGTTTGAGCTCCTTATGTATTCTGGTTATTAACCACCCTTGTCAGGTGGGTGGTTTGCAAATATTTTCTTCTATTCTGGGGGTCACCCCTTCACTTGTTGATCATTTCCTTTGCTGTACAGAAGCTTTTTAATTTGACGTGATCCTATTTGTCCATTTTTGCTTTGGTTGCCTGTGCTGCTGAGGTCTTAGCCAAAAAATATTTGCCCACACCAAAGTCTTGAAGAGTTTCCCCAATGTTTTCTTCTCGCAGCTTCATAGTTTTAGGTCTTAGAGTTAAATCTTTAATCCATTTTGATTTGATGTTTGTATATGGTGAGGGATAGGGAGTCTAGTTTCATTCTTCCACACATGGATATCTAGTTTTTGCAACAGTTATTGAATGGACTGTCCTTTCCCCAGTGTATGCTCTTGGCACGTTTGTCAAAAATGAGTTTACTGTAGATTTATGGTTTTATTTCTGGATTTTTTATTCTGTCCCATTGGTCTATGTGTCTGTTTTTATGCCAGTCCCAGGCTGTTTTGGTTACTATAACTCTGTAGTATAATTTAAAGTCAGGTAATGTGATTCCTCCAGTTTTGTTCTTTTTGTTCACAATGGCTTTGGCTATTCTGGGTATTTTGTGATTCCACAAAAATTTTAGGATTATTTTTCTATCTCTGTGAAGAATGTCGTTGGTATTTTTATAGGAATTGCATTGAATCTGTAGATTGCTTTGAGTAGTATGGACATTTTAATAACACTGATTCTTCCAATCCACGAACATGGAATATATTTCCATTTTTTGTGTGTATTTTTCAGTTTCTTTCATCAGTGTTTTACAGTTTTCATTGTATAGATCTTTCATTTCTTTGGCTAAGTTTATTCCAATGTATATTACTTTATTTATAGCTATTGTAAATGGGATTACTTTCTTGATTTCTTTTTCAGCGTGTTCACTGTTGGCATATGAAAATATTACTGATGGCCGGGCGCGGTGGCTCACGCCTATAATCCCAGCACTTTGGGAGGCCGAGGCGGGTGGATCACGAGGTCAAGAGATCGAGACCATCCTGGTCAACATGGTGAAACCCCGTCTCTACTAAAAATACAAAAATTAGCTGGGCATGGTGGTGCATGCCTGTAGTCCCAGCTACTCGGGAGGCTGAGGTATGAGAATTGCTTGAACCCAGGAGGCGGAGGTTGCGGTGAGCCGAAATCGCGCCATTGCACTCCCACTCTAGCCTGGGTAACGAGCAAAACTCCATCTCAAAAAAAAAAAAGAAAATATTACTGATTTTTGTATGTTAATTTTTGTATCCTGCAATTTTACTGAATTTCTCAGTTCTAATTTTTTTAATGGAGTCTAGGTTTTTCCAAGTGTAAGATCATACCATCTGCAAACAAGAATAACTTGACTACTTCTGTTCCAATTTAGATGCCTTTTATTTCTTTCTCTTTTCTGATTTCTTGAGCTAGGACCTCCAGTACTATGTTGAGTAACAGTAAAAGTGGGCATCCTTGTCTTGTTCTAGATCTTAAAGGAAAGGCTTTCAGTTTTTCAAGCTAGAATATTATAATTGCTTTTTCAGATTATTGCTTCTTAAGATAATAGTTTTAAGTTTTTTAATAGTTTACGTTTCTTAAATATTGATTGCTGTGTGGACTCCATAATGATGCCAGTCAACTTTCCATATTCTAATGACATTAAAATCCATGGGTTTGTTTTGCACTTTGAATTTCTTTTTT